CAAAGTGATTAAAAGCCTTCACAAATAATATTTCTTTCACTGTACCATAGTGACACAACCAACTGTGTTGAGTGGCTGCAGAAAACAAGGTGGTGCATAAAGGTTGTCATGCAGAGCAGGATCATGAAAGTAATCCCAACCCTTTGTCATAAAGTCCACCTGTTTTATAGCCTATTACTCCCCAAAACAACACCTTTATCTGATTGATTCACATCAAAACATGCTTCAAACTTCGACCGTAATAGTTAAATATGATGATATGATACTGTCATATATAATATGAGACACATTACAAGACACAAATTATTCATATCTACCTGTCAGAGAATTAGAGAATAACATTTGTATTCATGTACATCCAAAATATCAATAACTGGATGCTTGATTGATGCATAGATTCCAAGCTCCAGGTGTTGTAATTAAACAGTACACCTGGGATCATGTATTGTGAACAGGTGGTATAGCCTTCAGAGTTTGCTAAAAAGCTACGTCTCTCATTCTTTCCTCCTTTTGTCCTCCTTTCTTTTCACTTTATCCTTTAGCTAGGCTAAATGCCACCAATAGGGACTTGTCTCTAAAAATATTGTGTCCCTGACACAGTTTCCCTTTGATCCATCTTGTCAGATATACCATGTCAAACATTTCTTCACGTGTGACTAAACCATATATAAATATATACATACTTATGGATACATGACAAGGTTTAATGGAATAACAGTTCCTGAAGCAGGGTCTTGGGTAAAGATAAGGGATGTAAAAACAATTATTACAGCGAGCTAATCTGTATACAGAGCATGACTCAGCACTTGTTGTGTTTACAGACAAATGTTCATTTTATACAGAAGCATATGAAACCACTGATCCGATGAGCTCATTCTGACTTATACCTCGTCCTCTTTTCTTTTTCACCATGTACCCATTACCCATAATCCAACCTTCGCCTGCTGTGGGGTGCCCATCCTGTGCTTCCCTGTAGGCTTGAGCAACATCATCGGGATCATTGTGTACATATCAGCCAACGCAGGGGACCCTTCAAAAAGCGACTCAAAGAAAAACAGCTACTCATACGGCTGGTCCTTTTATTTTGGTGCACTGTCCTTCATCATGGCTGAGATGGTGGGCGTCTTAGCTGTGCACATGTTCATCGACCGCCATCGACAGCTCCGAATAGGGGCACGCGCAGCCGACTACCTCCAAGGCTCGGCCATTACACGAATTCCCAGCTACCGCTACCGCTACAGACGCCGCTCACGCTCCTCTTCCCGCTCAACAGACCCATCACACTCCCGTGACACCTCGCCGGTGGGTCTAAAGGGCTTCAGTGCGCTGCCATCCACAGAGATCTCCATGTACACGCTCCCAAGGGACACACTTAAGTCCTCCGGTACACCTACCACCACCTACAACTCTGAGAGGGACCACAACTTCCTGCAAGTCCACAACTGCATCCAGAAGGACCTGAAAGACTCGAGTCACACCAACACAGCAAACCGCCGCACCACACCGGTATGAGGGAGTCGACACAGGCCAGGCAAGCCCGGCAGAGAGAGCAGAAACCAGGAGGCACAGGAACCCCTGTGGGCACAGTCCGCCCCAGGAGGAGATGGATTTCCATGTTTATAGACATTTGTTCTTTTCGTTCAGCTGCATGACTTCTCCATTTCCATTGTTGAGAGAGTTTCAACAAGTCTGCTGTGTTCCTGGATTGAATTGCAGAATAGTGAGAGCAGGTCAGATTGTGCAGAGAGTGTGATCTGTAATTTTTTGCGCAGGGTTTGTTCATGAGGTATGGGGCTTAGAAAAAGAGGGTGGGAGGGGGATGGGCATTTATGAGATAAAGAATCAAATTCATGATTTCATAGCCCTTTAGTTTGACAGATTAGCCCACCAAGTTTGGTTGGAGCAACAGGTCGAGCTCCCCCTCAGCCAGCCCACTGTTCAGATATACACCTCTTTTATTTATTGAATTATTTGTTCATTTTTTGCATTAAAACTGTGAACTGTTACAGTTTGGGATTCAGTAAGAATTAGCCCAATCTGTAATCTCTTACAAAGGTACTATATATATATATATGTATTACTTTTATAGATAAATTATTACGTTAATAATCAAGAGTTACAGACTTTATCGAAGCAAAAAAGAAAAAAATACCAAGTAACTATACCAAGTGCTGTTGTTCAGATATGAAGAGACTCTTTTAGTATCTGTTTATTTGAAGGGTGAAAACAAGAGAAGGTGCTTTAGGTAGCAGCAGTTCACAGGGACTGGTGCCACTGGAGGTACCCAGTCAACAGTAGAATAATATCTATTCTTTTAATAGAACCTTCTCGTCTTTTTCTCTCCCTGTTCACTTTCCTTTTTTTGAGGGGGTCGTTACAGGAGAGTTGAAACCCCTTAACACAAAGAGCCAACAAAGGGGTTCAAAGTTCACAATAAAAAGACTCCAAACACGACCTCTACAAAAATAGAAAGGAGCGGTAGGAAAGGAAAAGAAGAGGATGCCAAACTCAAAAATAAAAAACAAGTTGAATATAAAATAGTACAAGAGAAGTTAAGTGACTCACAATTTCAGAAATTAAATGCATGCTATAAAATTACAGCAAATCTGCTCTTGAGAAACTTAAGTTTTAAAGGTTAATTATTATAAGAGGAAAAAAGCAATGATGCTAAACTTTAAAGTATTAATATTTTCATGTGTAATTTTCATATGTTTATTTTTTATTTATTTAGTTCATTTTAACTTATTGCTTTTGTGAGACAAACCAAACAATCTACACTGAAGGAAACTGCTTTTTTAAAGGTTTGGTTAATTTCTTTATAAATATATAAATATATGTATGTATGTATTTTATTTTTAAAACTCACACAGCCTTAGCCATTTCTTTGTTTCTTTTTGATTTTTAATGTGTTGTTCAAATTGAAAATGAAATCTTTAAAGGTGCCAAAACCGAATGATCCTATACTTGGATGCATCAAGTCCTAATGAATAAAATATGGACCCTAGGGGGAACAAATCAACATGTTTCATGGTCTCTCTCTCGTGCACTTTGCTTTACAGGTTCCTTTGAACACCATGAGAGATGGATAAAGGCTCCCCCCAAAAAATTACAAAGTTTGAGTCATTGAACAAATCTTTTTGTGCCCCCCTTCCCAGGTCCCTTTCATGGGTCCCGCTACTCATGCTGGGAACCTCTGGAATAAAAACCTGGGAGGGCATGTGTGTGTACAAAAATCAGCCAGTATGGTTAGACTGTGTGTGTGTGTGTGTGTGTGTGTGTGTGTGTGTGTGTGTGTGTGTGTGTGTGTGTGTGTGTGTGTGTGTGTTATTTTAAAATAATTTTAAAGTAAGTGCTTTGTCTTTGCAAAAACAGTTGTAGTTAATGGGCTTTGAATCCCTCTAAGTTGAGATGGTTTGTGTGCTTCAGTTTGCGCCAGTTTTGACAATCTGAGAACTCCTCCCTCCTTTTAGACTGGACGTGGGTAAAGAGCTCATTAATTTTCAAAATGTACAGTCAAACACCAACATCCATCCTTCACAGCAAATGTTCTTTTGAGTTCTTCCTTTTCATTTTTTACTTAAACAAAAATATTGTCCGTAGATTAAAGGGACAGTGCACCTCAGTCCATCTCTCCAACTGCAAAATGTGAGGCCCAAATGCCATCCAGATGAGTGCTTTCATATTATGCTACTGAAGCCAAAGAATGTGCAGAAGTGACCTGGAACTGCGTGTGGGATGTCTCACGTTTTTTTCCTCTAACCAATTCTTTGTAAAGGGATATTTAGGTTTTCTGAAGTGGCTGTATATGAGTTAGGTACCATTAGATGTCAAGTAAATTGGCCACAATATATGCTAATTAGCATGGTCATTTTATGGAAAAGCTGCTGAGGAAACCATTATGAAAGCTAGGATATAGTTTTCTAAACAATGGGCCGAGGCTACTAAGTCTATCATGGGTCTTGTAAGACCCATGATAGACTGGTGCGAAACTGAGCGTGATCATTAAATTCATTGATATTTTCATGAATGGTGGACTGAACCACTCAGTTTATAACTCATGAACGGGAACGTGAGCCTAGTTCACTCCTGGGGCAGTGAATGACCGCTCACATTCAGAGAGATGCCGAGCACTGTGTTTTACAGCAGCAGATGTCAGAATCTACGGCACTCTCCATGCACTCAGTAGGGCTAATCCTGCTGACAGCACAAACAACACGGTTAGCAGTGCATGTGAGACCGGTAGCTTTGCACTTTTGCTGGAGTTTTATGGGGACAGGGATTACAGAATGGACGACTCTATAGAGAAAAAGCTCAAAATGAATGTGAGGCAGTTCAAAATCAGTTCAATGAACTTTAAATGTGAGCTAGTTCATTTTAATCAATGTGAACTGAACTTTGAGCTAGCTCATTTTTTGTGTGAGCTGGCACAGCACTGGTCATGACTCAGGAGTCTTTGGTAATGGTTACAATTTGTTGCTCAAATATAAGGGAGTATCAGGGTCCTCACAGAAACATAAATACAAACATGTGCCTCATGCTTGCTCTTCTTTCTCTTTCTTAGTCATACCTAAATCACCAAGGACATAAAACAGAGAAATCCTTCTGCAAATTGTCTGAAAAAACATTGGCACCAGCCTTCAACCATCAGCCTTTATGCATCTATAAAAATAAAGCTGAGTTGTCTGATATAAAACCCTGTAGGCTCTACTAAAACCACAGCCTCTGTCAACTGTTGTAAAATATCATATATTGATAGACCACTGGGAGTCATAACCCAAAAATATCAGTACTTGCTCTAAATGCCAGACAAACACCAAACATAAATTGTGTTTTAAGGTGGATAACAAAGTTTGACAAAAGTTATCTCGACTTTATGCCAATCAACCAAGAAAAATACTGACTGTGATGTAATTATAGATACCTTATAGCAGCTTAATCTGACAGTTCATCAACGAAAGAAACTAAATGTTAGTTTTGAATCCTGCTGCAAAGATAGTGCTTTTTTACACTCCACTTTCTCTCTTCTTTTAGGTAAAAAGCCTTAGAAAAGACATCATGTAAGACACCAACAGTTCTGGTATCTCTTAGACATTCATGAGAGAAAAACACGGGTTTGCAATAACATCACAGGATTTATTCAACTGACAGTTTCCCTGTAAAGAGAACAACTAACAACTTTCTACTCTGTGCTCTAAGAGCATCTCTTACAGGGCCGAACACACTTCTTTGAGTGTGTATATGGGCAAGCAAGAGCTCATGTATGCTGTCGAAGATGATACAAGGCAAGTCTATTTGTGAGCCAAAAGTGGTTCATTCATAGAGTCCAGAGAAATGGAGAGCTGAGAGCAGAAAAAGATCCCCCCAAGAAAGAGCCTAAATAAATACAAGATTCACAGCATAAATGAGGCTGTGTTTGATCGTATGTGCAGTATGTGTTTTGGGCAAGTTTTAACAACAGCAAATTCTTCAAATAACTGATGGGGGGGATAGGTTTCTATTAAAAAAGTGCTGACATCCTGATTTGCCACTATCTGAGCTCGCTAAAACAGGCCGCTCTCCATAAATTTGATGCAAAAATATGTCAACATAGCATTTTAAATAAATAAGGCTTCTTTATGTATAGCTGTCTGTATACAGGATTCATAAGCAGAAGTCATTTTACAAGCCCAGATTACATTAAAGAGAAAGTGTGTGTATGTGTGTGTGTTAAAGAAGAGGCTTAGCAATGCTGGCCTTCTGATGAAACAGTGGCTTTGCGTTCTCATTTTTAATTTGTTTGAGGATTCAGTCAGTCTTGTATTCTGTTTCTCCTTGTCTACTTTCAGTCATATCCTCCCATTTTGTCTTCTTGTCTCCTCTTCTTTCATATTTTACTGTGAATTGTTCCTAGAAGGCAGCATGTGAAGAATTAGCAGAGGTTGGCTCAATTTCTTACAGACTTTTTAAAATCTGATTTCTCTTTGCAACCAGCAGAGGGGCCTTTTGCTGGCCATTAGAATGATATAACTCTAAATTGGTTTATCTTTTCAAATTAAAAGAAAACAACCATCTCTTTAGCGCCTGTTTAGCCTTAGTTGCATACCCCATGTGCAGAGGAAAGCCCAATCTGTTTTTTTGCACTTTTACTGCTCTGCACACTGACCTATCCTCTGAAGAAAGACATTCGAACCCCTACAAGAAAACATCCATTTTTAACACTTAGTCTATGAGAGAGCTTAAAGGGATATTCCGACGTAAAACTAAATTAGCGTCAAACACATTGTAACACCGAGTCAGACACCCCGTTACGAGATGAATGTTGCCGACCGCTTGCTTCTCTAGTTATACGAACTTTAGTAACAGCCGCAGATAGCAAAACAGAGAGCCACGCGCTCAACTAAAAAGCCACTCCATAGCCACAAATAAAGGTCCTTTCAACCAGGAGCTTTTTTTCCGTGCGATTATTTAAGACGTCAATATTTTTTTTAACCCGTATCTTGTCAATACAAGCGTTCACATCAGTGACGTTTTTCTGTCCTGCGATATTGTGGCATTTATTTTTTCGTTTCACGGTCGTTTTTTCTAAAGTTTTGCATACTGTGTGTCCACTTCTGACCAATCAGATTTGGTGTTGCAGCAATGTCTGATTCACCGGTATATACAACATGGCCGACTGGCTGATTGTTTATGTATTAGAGAACAGAGTGCTTTTTGATTAAAAAAAACACAAACATTACAAAGATACTGACCTGAGGGACAACTTGTGGAGAGTCATAGCGTCGGATTTCTCATATGACGATGGTTTGTGTGCTTTAACAGTTTGCTAAACGTCTTTGTTTTAACTTTCATCAGTGCTAAGTAACTTTAGCTCGTAAGCTAACCTGTTCAGATACAACATACCATATGGATTTTCACTGTCTCAAACTCAGTTGCGTTGCTGTCACAGCACCATTAGGTCTCAGTTGTTACCTTACGTTTATGGATTATAGTTTAATGTGATTATCTATAGGGCCCTCATTCCCACCTGCTCACACACCACACATTGAATTTCTCACGCATTTAAATGAACATGGTCATGTCCACCAAGTTGCACCTCTTTAACTATGGAACAGGTAGGAATAAAGTGAGTTCCTTCAAGAGTTAAGAAGCTGCGTACCACGCGCAAGCCAATCAAATAAATTATTTATTTAATTAAAGAGACTAAACACAACTTTCCTACTTTCTTCCAGCAGCTGCTTGTTTGTACGGAGACCTCCAGGCAAGTCCATCAACTGCAGTGGGGGGACGCAGCTCAAGGAAGAACATTTATGATCATTTCTTTATCATTTCCTTGAAGTAATAATCATCAAATTAATCACTTTGTACTGCAGACACGGTAGTTTTTCTGCCTTAGCGTCACGGTCTGATTGTATTTCCAAGAGGAAATAATAGTAAATGTTCTTCCTTGAGCTGCATCACCCCGCTGCAGTGGATGAATGATTTTGGTTGAGCGCGTGGCTCTCTGTATTGCTATCGTGCCGTTATTACTAAAGTTGGTATAACTAGAGAAGCAAGCAGTTGGCAACATTCATCTCTCGAGGGGGTGTCTAACTCTGTGTTATGGTGTGTTTGACCCTAACTTAATTTTATGCCGGAATATCACTTTAAGTTCTGATAAAAGCCCCTTGCCAAGAATGGAAGTCCATGTTGTTGAGTTGCACTTTATGTTGGACAACATTTGGCTAATATGGATGATGTGAAACAACCCATTGCAGAGATTAAGTTTTAGAGCCCTCTTGTTCAGAGAGTTTGCATTACATAAAATAAAATAAAAAAACAATATATTTCAAACAAAGTGAAAAACTGTCCATGCAAAATAAACCAGACATTTACTGTTTTGCACTGCTCTGAGAACTTTTTTTTACTGTGCAGGTGTATGTATGAAGAGACTTATCCTCCTCCAAATGTCCCAAAGCAAACATGATATCCTGAGGTCTGAGGAGAGTTAACATGATGATCACGAGCCTCATTTACATGCTCTGTTTGCCTTGGGTTACACTAAAAACCATTATACCACCATTTATTGGAGAAGGGACAGAAATAAAAGGTTAAACCTCTCCCTTTACCCTTTCAAGTGTGCATTTTCAATTTCAATTCCAACTACACACTTTTTGGTGAGCACTTTTACAACCCCCTGACAAAAATGATGGACTAAGCAGTCTCGTAGGATGCTCATCCAGTTATTTAATTTTGTAGAAAAAGAGCAGATGACAGACATGACACAAAACTAAAGTCATTTAAAACATCAACTTTCTGGCTTTAACAAATAATAATAGAAAGCAAGAAAAACTGTGGTCGTCAGTAACAGTTTCTTTTTTAGAAACAAACAACATGGTAAGGTTGTAAAAGGCAAGCATACTGGTTGACCAAGGAAGACATCAAAACGTCAAGAGAGAACACTTAAAGCAACGTGTCTTGAAAACAGAAAATGCACAGCAGAACAAATGAGGAACAAATAGGTGAAAACGAGTCAACGTCAGTGACTGAACAATAGTAAACCTTCTCAAGGAAATGTGAAACTAAACCAAAGCCATCATTAACACTAAAACAAACAAACAAACAAACAAAAATAAATTAAAAAACAAGGCTACAATGTACTGAGGAAAAGCATATTCAGGGATGAATCACCAATCTGCATTGTGCAAGGTGATGATGCTGGAACTTTAGTTTGGTGCTGTCCCAGTGACATTTATGAAGACAACTGACCAAAAGACGACATGTCTGTGCTGTCTGTGATCTGTTTTTTTTTCTACAAAATTAAACAACTGAATGAACATCCTCCAAGACTACTGAGTCCATCATTTTCGCCAGGGATTTTAAGAGGCCCTTGAACATGCACTTGAAAGTGTACATTTTAAAAGGTGCTTCAAAAATGCACACCTATAATTGCATTTGCAGATGATGAGTAGTTTTTAGGGTGCTTGTTTTAGAACACACGTTAAGGTGCACTTCAAAGTGCACATTATGTAAACTTATTGTGCACAGAATTTCAAATGCACTTTAGAGTGCACACTTTAAGTACACTTGTAACTGAATACTTTTTAAGTGTGTCAAATATATACTCCTAGGTGTATTAAAAGTACACACTTTTAAGGGAGCATCAAATGAAAACTGAAAAGTGCACCAACGAGTGCAAACTTTAGAAGGCACTTTAAATTGTACACATTTTACGGCTCATGAGTTAGAAGTTTTTCAGTTCAACTCAAGGGCATTTTAAACATAAACCTTAAATCTACTTTAAATTGCATACTGTCACTTTATATGTGCATAAAGAATTTGTGCAAGTTAATACTTTAAAGACCCACTCCTATGAAAATCATGTTTATCTTGTTGTCTATTCATTTTCTGATACTCACGGACATATCATGAGAAAAAGTGCGAAATTGCATTTCTGAATATTTCTGCAGTCAAATCCCTGTGAATCTCCAGCAGACCTGAGCGGAAGGATCAGATACAGTGAGATTTCCTGCGTAACCAATCCAAGTTCTGCCCCCCGAGCCCCACTATGCAGGCCAGACTCGGAGAAGTAGAGAGGCCGATCGTGGAACAAGCGTCTGCGCTAGCAGATTGAAATGCTTGTAAGAAAGCTAATTATGATGTGTCATCATGTCCACAAAGACATTAGTGTCAGAGAGCTGAAAAGCTCCCATGTTACCTGCCACTCCTACTACACCAGCAATGTTAGGCTATGAGCTAGTATTAAGAGGAGTGTGCAGAGCAGCACTGTCTCCGCCCATTGCTCAGAGGTGAATTGCTAATGAGCTACTGCTGAAGAAAAGCCCTTGAAAATGACACAGGTAACTTGATTTTGGCTAAAACTTGATAATCACAGTTTAAAGACCACTGAGAACACTTTAAGTAGTAAAAAAAAATAAGAGTGGGACTTTAAAGTGGATATTTCCCTTTAACATTGTAGGGGGAAATTCAAGTTACGCATTTTAAGCAAACTGAAGAAACTCTGTGTTGACCTAATGAGCTTGCTTAAAATTGTTCACTTCTGGACTGTGCATCAGAGTGTTTACCATACTTTAGTTTGCACATCAAGTGGTTTTTTTTAGATCAATCAAAAGGTGTGAAGAATGTTATAAAAGGTCTTATATAGGGTAATATGAATTGTGTTATAATTTTGTGATGAAAGGTTTAAAATAGGGTGTTATAAAGGGAGTAATAAAGGGTATTATGAAGGGTTAGAAAATAAAAGATGTTATAAGAGTGTAAGAGAAGATGTTATGAAGGTAGTTATACAGTGTCTCATACAGTGTAATATGAATTGGGTTATAATGTACTAATGAAGGGTTTAAATAGGGTGTTATAAAGGGTTTATGAAGCGTATAACAAAAGATGTTTATGAAGGGTGTTATATAATGTGTAAAAACTGTGTTTTTAAGGGTGTTATAAAGGATGTTGTGAATTTTGTTGTAAAAGGCTTCATGCAGGTTAAATTGAATGGGGTTACATTGTATTTATGAAGAGTTTCAACAAAAGGTGTTAAGGTGATATGAAGAGTCTGATAAAGGGTTTTATAAAAGGTGTGTTTAAAGGTGTTATGAAGGCTGTAATGAAAGGTGTTCTGAATAGTATATTACGGGTCGTCAGAAATTGTGTTTTCAAGGTCTTAATGAATAATGTTATTTAAGGTGGATAGAGGGGTTTCATAAAGAGCGTTATAAAAAAGCGTGATGAAAGGTTGTAATCAGGGTTGTACAAAGAGGGTGATGAAGGGTTGTATAAAATGTTCATAAAGAGTGTTCCTAAGGAAGCAAGGAAGACTTAATCTTACTTTGTATTACGAAGGGTGTTAGGACAGGTGTTTTGAAGGCTTTCAGGTGAATTTTTTTTGGTCTGCTTTTCTCAGAACACATAGTGCACACAATTTTCAGTGCACTTCAAAGTGCACTCTGTTAAATGATTCTTATTCCATTTCTTATCTCATGTGACATGTTATCGATCATATTCAGGTCCAGCATTTACAGATAGTTTCTCAAGGTAATGGAAAGATTTAGCCTTTTGGGTAAAGTTCCTTTTCCAATAGAGGTAAGACTCCTGCTGGTGGAAGATATTAAGAGCTAACACACCAACTCCTCTCTCTCTCTCTCTCTCCCTCTTTCTCTCTCTCTCGCTCTCTCTCTTGTTGCTGTCTTGCTCCTCTCTTCCTGAGCCTGGATTTGTGTTTCTGCCAGGCAACGGTGTTACATAACTTTACATCAAACTGACTAATGACCTTTCTCTGACTTTACTGGGCAACGTTCTGGGACGGAGAAGCAAGCACCCATGGGAGCTGTGTGGGTATGTCACCTGAATCCTCTTCCCAACCCCTCAACTTTAGGTGGCTGACACAGAGGCTGCAGCATTACGAATTTCCTCTTCAAATAAATAACTTCTTCTGCAACAAAAAATAACCTGAACTGTGTATGTGCATGAAAACATTAAATCTGCATGTGCATTCCTGTGTGTGTATGTATGTGTATATTGTTTGTGCTGACCAGAGAACAGTTGCTGACTGCACTCACCCTGGGTTATTTTGGGTCATGCAGAGTTGAGTGGCAACGCAGAGCTATAAACACAGTCAACCAACTGAAAAGGAAAGAAAAAGTCATTGAAGCAGACATACTTCAAAATGACACGTTTACATCACCCCTGATTGTTGATAACACTAATACAAAGCTTTGACATTTTCTGGATAAAATAAATAAATAAATATGTGGACCAAAGAGGAGACTGAGATGCCTCTGTAGTTTCAAAAATCATCAAGCTTTAAAATCCAGCTCTGAATGGAGGGGAGTTAAAAAGAGAAAGAGATAAAGAGGAAGTAGGCTACACTACACAAAGTGCTCTGGGATGCATGAAGCAAAGGCAGCGCTACGCTCTGCCCTCTGGTGGTGTGACAGGAGAATTGAGCACAGGGACACCTCTGACAGCTTAGAGAACGCCGTGTCCATGAACAGGCACTGAATACTGATGCCCCAGTGCAGGGGTGCAGGAGCTGCAGTCTGGCAGGCCCAGGAAGAGCTCTCAGGCCCTCAGACTTACTGTCCTTTACACAGAACAGAGAGTACTGATGACCTCTCTGTGACAAAAATGCATATGATCAGTAGGTGAGAGTGAAAACCTTTGCTCTTAAAAATAGCCAAAAACCCACTATTGCATAGCTGGCAAACATTTTTTTTATTGCAAGTTTCTCCTGCTTACATCATGATCTACAGAAAAGAAAGTTTTGATTCATTGATTGCCCCATTGTGGGAAAATTATCCAGCATAAGATAAAGAAAATATCCTGATATAATTTCATGTGTCCAAAATAGATGACACTTGTATCCTGAGTACAGCACCTGTAGCAGTGGTATCAGAGCCTGCAGCCTCAGCCCTGTGTAGTAATGATCCTATGTGTGTGGTCAACCCCCTAACAGTCAGTCCTCCTGTCAGTCTCACCACTGCAGCTATACTCCCTCACTTCCCCTCACTCTGCAGGAACACCCCCCCCCCCCCCTCCCCAGCTGACTCTGTTTCAGGCGGCTGTTGCCAATGCCAGGGCACACACCTACGCACAGATGCACACACACCTACTTACATGTATAAGCGCTTGCACACACTCTCACACACTCCCCATAAATCACAAATACTTGGCGCACCTCTCTGCCGTCCCAGCATGCATTGTGGTTACCTGGCTGCCGTCCCATCAGCAACAGCTGCTACTCCAGGACTGGGCTGGAGGATCCACTGCAGCATAGCATGCATACAAACAAACACAAAGCAGTCAAATAATGTAGACACTGATAGGTCTGGCTTAAATGAAGCCAGGCTTTGAGAGCTCATTGAAGATGATAAGAGAGTGCTCAAAACAAGGGCAAGGTCAGAGCTGTGGGGTTCACATTACACCTCCTGGAATCTCACTGGCTGACCCTGATGCACCTTTTCAGAGTCAGGAAGTGCTTGATGGTTTGCTTGGTACTATTATTAAATGCTACATGGCTCCACCGGCTGTATTTAAAGGCTTTCCGGAACAAACGTCCGTATGAGCTGACAGTTAAGATGTATGTAAGACAGTCAATAATATGACAACATAGAAAGAGAAAAAAAAAAATCAAGAACATAAGCAGAAAGCCCTTTCTTCCATCAGTCATCATGGGAAACATCAACTCTCTGCCAAACAAAAGTGATGAGCTGGAAATACTGGTGAAGGTTGAGACAGCATACCATGAGCGCAGTTTCTTGTGTTTTACTGAAACCTGGTTTAATCAAAAAAAACTCAGACTCCAGTGTGGCTCTACCTGGCTTCACTCTCATAAGATCAGACAGATGCCAAAGCTAATGGAAGAAGAAAGGAGGTGGCTTTATTTGTCAACCAGAGATGGTGTAACTCTTCACACTTAACTGTTAAGGAGAAGTTGTTTTGTCAAGATATTGATCTGTTGGCAGTTGCTCTTCAGCCATGTTATTTTCCAAGAGAATTCAGTCATATCATAACAATACTTGTTTACATCCTACCCAAGACAACGGCTGAAATTCCGTGTAATATTTTACATGCTACAGACTCAACACCCTGAGGCACTAATGCTGCATTCGAGTTACCTCGGAAGTCAGATGTCGGAACTGAAAATGACGTCACACCCGAGTTCCCTGGATTTCAGTTACCAAGTTTGAAAAAAGCAAAATCAGAGGCCTGAAACAAGATGGCTACATCTACGAAAGTTATTTTAGTGCTCGCCTTGTCTGAGTATAAGGAAAGCGCTAAAATGGTGGAGACTTGCACCATGTCACCCTCTCCTCTCCTCTGACTAGATTCAGACAGTTTGTGAACTGTCCTACCAGAGAAAAAAACACCCTGGATCTGCTGTATGCCGACGTCAAAGACGCTTACAGAGCAAATGCCTTACCACCACTGGACAAGTCAGATCATAACTTGATTTTTCTGAGAAATGACTTTTCCTTTGGGGTTAGATACATTTTTTGTCCTTTATTTAAAGCTCCTGTAAGGAACTAATTATGTCCATTTTGGCGACCCTGTGCTCACAGCAGTCTTTGGTGATCTCATCCTTTTCATGCTCAAGCAGAGATTTTTAACAAAACTTTTCATCCTGCAGACTTCTCACAGTCAGGTGTATCATTTATGGTGAATATTCAGCTGCTTGACTGACACCTAACCCCTTGCACTAGTTTCTGGTAGCCTATGAAAAACTACCACATTGAAATGATCGGTTTTGTCACTGATGGGCTTGTTTGCTTTTGGATATCATAAAAAAGCATTAATACAAATTTCAGTCTATTCCATAAATGTGGAAAAAAAACACCTCATATGTGCTATTTTGACTCCACATTAAGCTCCATCTTCCCCATTTTCAATACTCACCTAAAAATAACACGAAAGTAAACCATGGACTAAAACTGCAAACTTTTTTCCTCATAATATGCCGATATAAGTGTCTCAATCTGCCCTAATACGATTTGACAAAGTACATCTTAGTCACAAAAGACCTACAACTGACCAGCGAGGTATGTAAATTTGAAAGGGGAAACAAAGTGCTAATGCACATCAAAATATGAGACAACATGACAAAGTGAAGCAGAGCGTCAAAAAATGACAGAGAGCTCAGTGCTGCTGTGAATTTTCTTATTCAGTCTGTCATATCAGAATACGTAAAATCCCTCAGCCTGCTCAACTAACGCACTGTCCTTCTGCAGCCTCAACTACTAACCACCTGCTCGCGATAAATAAACCCTTAGTGAATTCATAAATCTGAATGATCAAACTACTAACATGAGCAATTTTTCAAATATAAGAACACAAGGACTCAAAGAGTCTCAGTGTGAACAACATACATTTCTTTGAGGTGCTATTTGAGTTTGACTTCATGTCCCCTATTTAGATTTTCAAGATCAAAAATATACTTCGGTTTGGACTCTTTTTTTCAACTATGCCCCAGTCTGCTTCAGGAGTTATCTGCTCGTCCGTCACCGCCGAGGAGAGCTCGTTTTGATGATGGAGGACTGAGCTAATAGGTTGAAATGGAACAGACAGGGTTGTGTGAGACAAGCACATCGCTGCAGTTTGAGCAGATGCACCGGGTCACAGAGAGAGCATCTACTGGGACACCGAACCTCACCTAAGAGGGACGGGGGGGCAATTAATGGCATAATTATGGACCCTTGACTGTCACATTTGGCGGAGAAAGCGTTATGTAAAGCAGAGCTGTGTGGGAGCTTTGAACTGCAGCTCTCTGTGGGGCAGAAGGGGTCAGAGGTCAGGGCCTGTGGAGGGGGTTATGTAACAGCAGGAACATCTCCGTGACTGTGCGCTGGCCTCTGTGACAGAGGACTTCACCCCACTTTTACCTCCTCTGCTTGCACACCTCCTACTTTTAAGGGAACAGCTTATTCTGAGTGTCCTTTTTTCTCCACTGCAGATCTCCTTTAACGAAGGGGGAGAAAGGAGATCAGCCTTCAAATGCAGCTCAGTGGAGAACTATCGTCCTTCAGCACCCCTCACTGTGGGTTACCAGAAGCAAGATTGGACCTTGAAAATTCTTACACAAAATCCCTATTTCTGCCAAGAGAGCTGAATATTATGCAAAAAAGTCTCAGGAAAGCATTTTGCAAGACATCTAGGGCCCCCCTGGAGCCCTCTCAGGGTCTTCCTCATTACCTGCTGAAGAGGAGCTTTTACTTTTGGCACTGATGAGTCAGAATAGATGATGTTGGGGCTTAATTACTGCATGGTGGCTGCTGGAGTTCTGATGTCAGCCGAATGCAAGGCTAACAGCTCAAGGACACGTAGAGCAGGTTAAAACATGCAGTGTTAGCTAAACGCAGCCTCTCACGGCCCATCAGTTCTGCAAAGGTGGCTGCTCTCGTCAAAGCTGATGTCGACCTTTTCAGCCGCAGTAGAGACTGGACTCTTGGTTTAACAAGCACAGAGAGCGCTGTTGGAATGTAAATCTGTGCTGCTGCCAAAGCACTGCACTAAATGAAAGTATTATTACTAGCAATTTAGTCATTTTTAATGCGCTTTTGAACTTCTGCTAGACTTCATTTACTTGAAAGCTTGTCATTTAAAACATTACATTTCAGGTATTGTCAAGCTCATAAATCAAGACTGCAAAATTAGAACCAACACGCCCTTTAAGGTTTTTTTTTTTTTTTTTTTTTTTTAAGTCTTACACATCTTTTAGCTTTAACTGCACCTCTAATGTGTTCAGTCTTTACCTCACATCACCCCCGCCCTTCCATTATAAGCTCCTCTAAGAAGTTTTAACAAATCATGAAACTAATGAAAGAACCACCCCCCCCCCCTCGGTTTACAGCCAACAAATGCAAACAGGATTTACAACTTCTGCATTAGTTTTACCTCTAACCTATACAAGGGTGTGTGTGTGTGTGTGAGAGAGAGAGAGAGTGACAAGGCCAGACAGGCAACTGCTTGAGAGGTAGCCTACTTTTCTCGACACCAAATATTAAGTGACGGTCTGAACACAAAGATTTTTACCAGAAAAACTTTCTATAAAACAGCATACTGAAACTGACTCCAGTCCCTGACAGGAGCCTTGATCAGTTTTATAACTCGACATCTTCCCTGCCTCACTGGACAGTCACTGTCAAAATTTTACAGCTCTGCCTTTAGGTCAACAGTTGCTGAAAACTCAGCTGATCTATGATTGAAGGTATGACTCAAACAAGTCACTAAAAAAAATAAATAAAAATAAAAAGTTTTGTTCACTTTAGTTGCTCATGACACAAGATTTTGTCCAAATTCTGGGCCGACTTGGACATCAAGCCTAAATTATACCAGGTAACTTCAGTACAGACAGACAGTCTTGTTTGTTTTTGTTTATTATCAAACTCTGCACAACAGTAAAGATGACAGTGAATAAAGCAGAGAACTCTGTAGTGGGCGGTGACTCTAAGCAGTCTCCTCCTTGGTGATGCGGTCCTTTTTGAGTGGTCCCTGAGGAGAAACAGAAACATGACATCAGTTTTCTGCTCATACTTTGACAGCTTGCTGTTGGCTGGGAGCAGACAGAGTGTTCCCAGAGAGTGAACAGGGAGCGAGCACAAAAAGGCACTGCTCCCCTGCCTCACTGGAGTTCACTGTGGCACTGGAATGGAACCCAGAGTTCATACTGACCAGTGAACCAGGTTACGAACAGTGCAGGACAACACTACAGGGGGGCACTGATATTCGCAGTTCATGATTAGCTCATCTTCACATTTGTCACACAAAAGGAATCATTTTTATTTTTTTGTATGTTTATTCTTAGCAGACAAGTCTTCTATTATGTCCTTTAGAAAAGCAGTGAGACTACAAAGTCTTACCATGAATGCCTTCTTCTCCTCCACGGTCTGGAAGCGGCCGTGTCCAAACTTGGAGGTGGTATCGATGAACTTGAGGTCGATCTTCTCCAGGGCTCTACGGCTTGTTTGCACCAGCAGAGACTGGAGAGTGACAGAAGGAAAATTACCATACAAGAATTGGAGCTGCAGTGTCAAAACTTGGTTCAGATTGTAATCACTTGGGGTGATTAAAATCTGTTCAGATGGTAAGAGAAAATTCACATCTCTACTGCAAGAAGCTTAAAACCAGATTTTAAGATTCTCAATGTACTGCATCTGCAGCTCTTTGTCCTCACCTTGCGCAGAGTCAGCACCCTCTTCTTGGTCCCCACAACACAGCCTTTCAACATGACAAAGTCATTGGTCACCTCTCCATAGTGGACAAAGCCACCCTTTACAAAAAAGGAGACGAAAGTCAGATTTCCTGCTTCCAGGTCAGGTGTTTCAGTCCATCACAGGTCACATGTCAGAACTTACCAGAGGGTTGATACTCTTGTTGGACAGATCGTACTCAGTGGAGGCATTGTTCTTCATCAGCTTGCCGTCTTTGGTGTGGTAGCCCTGGCCAATTTTGTAGATCTTCTTGTTGATCTCAGTCCTGTGGTGGTAACCCTTCTGACCAGCACGGGCCACAGAGAAGGCCACACGCGCAGGATGCCAGGCACCAATACAGGCCACTTTACGCAGACCACGATGGGTCTTGCGGGGGAGCTTCTTTGTGTGCCAACGGCTGGTGACACCTGAATGGATGAGAGATAGATTTAAGGACCAGTACATTTTGACACCAAATCTTTCCTTAGATGTTTTAGAGAAGTTTATACTACATCAAAACTAGTTAACAAATACATGGCAGGCTATGTTTAAAACTTCTGACAGGAATTTTTTTTACAACATGAAACATTTTTCATGATACTATTTACCAAAATGTAAACCATCTTACTGCGAGGCTGCATTTCACTTCAAGTGACAAATGAATAAGACACTTGGATTTTAATGCTAACCATCTTCTTACCCTTGTATCCGTGACCCTTTGTGACACCGATAACATCGATCATCTCGTCCTGGGTGAACACAGTGTTGATTGGCACAGCCTGCTCCAGCTTCTCACGGGCCCAATCCACCTTGTCAGAGATGGTGCCTCCATTCAGCTGCACCTCCATGAGGTGAGACTTCTTCTGCCTCAAAGGCAGCAGACGCATCTGTGGGTAAACGTCACATGTCAGAACTAAAGTCAAATTAATCCACAATCTCAAGATGTAGACGATCAATATGCAAAGTCTCAGAAGGAAGGCAGCATGGAAAGTATCCTCATGTGTGTCGGGCGCCATGCCTGACGCAAGATCCGTGGTCTCATCACTGACAAAAACCTGGACAGTAAAAATCAACTTTAATGATGAAGTACTAACTTGAGTGTGGGCGATGACACGGACGACCTGGCAGTACTTCTTCATGGCAGCAAAGTCCTTCTCCAGCTGCTTCTTGCCCTCCTCATCCTGCCATTTCTTGCAGTACTTGGTGAAGGCCTTCTTCTTGGACTTGTACCTGAGGGCACCCAGAAAACAGATTGGCACCGGTCCTTCATAACCTCAGAGAGGCCAGCGGAAGGACACGGTGCATAGCTGCTTGCCCTCCCCTCTGGCTTGAGAGGTGGGCTTCATCAGCTGGGTAAGATTTTGGCTCATAGCACGGTTTCTAAGAAGCACTTTCCACCGGCCAGAGGAGCCCGGCGCTCATCAGGGCATGAGGCACCTGAGCGGAGCTGCCACAGGGGCCACCGTTATGTTAGACTCACTCAGTGAAAACACAAGACTTCTAATTTCCACTGGGCAACTAACTGCTTCAAGCACATCCATCACACACAATTAATTTATGGTATGTCTCACCAGTTCTTGTAGAAGCGGCGCTTGCACTCATCACTGACATGCTCAGCAAAGATGGTCTTGAAGGAGCGCAGACCTCTGGGAGTGTTGACGTAGCCAACAACTCCGACCACAATCATGGGAGGTGTCTCCACTATGGTCACAGCCTCGACTACTTCCTTCTTATTCACCTCTGGAGAGAAAAACACAGTTTAACTCCAAGTAAGTACCTGTCCAGTCAGGGTTTAATATTCTAAATTATATAATTATGTGATATTGAAACCTTTTTAATCTGTTTAATGGTCAATACTGCGCTCAGTGCTCGACATTCAGCAAGGGAGTAAAACCCATTCTGTCCGCCCGTCGAGAGTATCATCACAGGCAGAAAACCACACTTTACTATTACAGTTAAATTGATCAAGTTCGGTTGCAGCTCATCATCAATTTCAACTCTTTATCACACTCACTTGATCCGGGTCTATCGACCTCACGGACAATGTGTGTCATGCCAGCCTTGTAGCCCAGGAAAGCAGTCAGGTGTACAGGTTTTGAGGGGTCATCCTTAGGGAAGCTCTTCGCCTTTCCACGGTGACGCCGACTCCTCTTGCGGGGCAGAAAGCCCAGAGACCCGTGGCGGGGAGCTGAAAACTTACGGTGGGACTGTGGAAGCAGAAATACTTATCAGCTATCTGGAGTTTGAGCATCCAAACCCATGACACATTTGAGAGACACATTCATAAGTCTAAACAACTCACAGTGATTGGTGAAAATCACCGTGTCTAAACTAAAGGTTACCGACTTTAGGTTGTACCCGGGCTCACCACGTTATTAGCATCAATAGCTTAGCATACAGCGTGCAGTTCTAAAGCTGCAGTCAAACATGAGGCTTTCAGGGTGTATCATAATCTGTTCATAATCAAGTACATTCACGCTGTAAATGTGACTTCATGTTGTGAAATATGTAAAGGTTAACGCTGAAAATGAATGTAGCGGCCTACATCAAGTTCCCATTCCGAACCGTCATTCGCCGATACATGTACACTTTAGGTGCATAAATGTTCGTAAATGCCATCGTAGTCTACTTCAAAATGCGACATAAAAGTGATTACGGTCACGGAAATGAGAAAATACTAGGCGATGCTCCAGATAAATGACAGATTGAGGTATGAAGGCTGAATTGAATAGTGGTATACGTACCATAGTGTCTCCAATCCGGTTGAAAGAGGACTGTGTGCGGGCCGACGTTTATTATATACAAAAGCAAATATCGCGGGATTTAACGAGAATACCCTCGAAGAAGAACCGCCCATCGTTGTTTCCAGAGAATGTATTCACCTCTGCCACCAGATGTCGCTCTTTAAACGCGATTCACTACACCAAAAATGTGATTTCCTAAAAAAAAGTTCCACTAAAACGGTTTCAAGTTAAAAATAACTAAAAAATCTTTTGCTAAATTTATTTTGTCATTCAATCACTTCACCACTCATACGTATTATATCCCCAATCTCAAAGAGCATAAGTACAAAGAATGATTAGAAAATGTTTACACTTATTCCTTTATTGATCCCCCATGGGGGAATTTTTTTTTGTCACAGCAGCATCACAGACAAAAATAGTGCAAAAATGCAGTTATAAGAATAGAGATTGTATAAATAAATGTTCTAATTAAGAAAAAAATTAGAAAAGGAAAAGGGGAAAAGAAAAGAAAACTATATACACAATATAAGTACCAAAAAAGAAGTGGTGGTGTGAGTCCAGTTTTATTACAGTTTGTTGTAAAATCTTATTGCAGAAGGGAGAAATTACCTGCGGTAGCACTCCGTCTTGCAAGGTGGAAGTCTCAGTCTGCTGCTGAAGGAGCTGCTTAAGGCCCCCACAGTCTGGTGCAGTGGGTGAGAGGGATTGTAAATGATGGATATAAGCTTTGCTAACATCCTCCTCTCACCCACCTCCTCCAGGGAGTCCAAGGACAAGTCTAGGACAGAACTGGCCCTCCTGACCAGTCTGTTCAGTCTCTTCCTGTCCCTCTCGGTGCTCCCTGCGCCCCAGCAGACCACTGCATAGAAAAGTGCAGATGCTACCACAGAGTCATAGAAAGTCTTGAGCAGAGTCCTGCACACTCCAAAGGACCTCAGTCTCCTCAGCAGGTGGAGACGACTTTGGCCCTTCTTGTACAGTACGTCTATGTTGGTTGACCAGTCCAGTTTATTGTTGAGGTGGACACCCAGGAATCTGTAGGACCATCTCAATGTCCAGACCCTGGATGTTCACTGGAACGGTCTGAGGTGTCCTCCTCCTGCGGAAATCCACAACCATCTCCTTTGTCTTACTGGCATTGAGCTGGAGGTGGTTTGTGCCACACCAGTTGACAAAGTCAGTGATGACAGTCCTGTATTCCCGCTCATCCCCTGATGATACACATCCGACGATGTCTGTGTCATCAGAGAACTTCTGGAGGTGACAGCTCCCAGAGTTGTAGCTGAAGAGGAAGGGGGAGAGCACTGTCCCCTGTGGAGCCCCCATGCTGCAGACCACCATGTCCGACACAGTTCTGAAGCCTCACAAACTGTGGTCTGTCTGTGAGGTAGTCCATGGTCCATGCGGCTAGGTGATAGTCCACTCCCGCCCTCTCGAGCTTCCCCCTGAGCAGTGAAGGCTGGATGGTGTTAAAAGCACTGGAGACGTCAAAAAACATAACCCTCACAGTGCTGTTCTCCAAGTGAGCCATGGACCTCTGCAGCAGGTAGATGACTGCGTCGTCCACCCCGATGTTCGGCTGGTACGCAAACTGCAGAGGATCCAGATGAGAGCTCACCAGGGGGCGGAGGTTCCTCAGCACGATCCTCTCCAGAGTCTTCATTAGGTGAGAAGTGAGGGCAGGACCCGTGGCCTTCCTTGGGTTCTTGTTATTCTTGTTCTTCTTCTTGTTTTTGTTCTTCTTTTTAGTAGCTTTTAGTATTTAATGCTGTTTTAATGTTACTGCTATGTTAATTCAATACTCTGTGAAATACAATCTTGTGGGATAAAGCACTGATGATACAAGAAGCAGTCAACATAATACATTTTATTCATTTAAAAAATAAACAAACACATATTTATACCTTTCACATTAAGGCAGCAATATTTTTGATTTTATGATCCAGTGTTGTAACAGAGCTTTGATGTTATAATTGAAGTTGAAAATTTAAGAATCAAACCACCAGAATGCCACTAGGAAAATATTTGAAATGCCTTTTTTTTTTTTTACTTGCAGTGGTTTTCATTTGAAAGAAAAGCATGAAATGTTAACAAATTCTTGCATTACAGTTGTAGCTAAAAAGGCTAAATTCATGCACCAGTGATTACACATCTCTCAATAAAGCTTGACGGATTATTCTAGAGAGGCTGGCGTTTTGTAGTTCATGGCTTTCCCTATTAAAAAAAATAGCCCACATTCAGCTAATACTCCAGCCTGTCTTTGTTTTCATATTTTATATTACATTGTCTTGCAGATGTCAAGTGCTACAAATGATTAAATTTATCCAGCATACAAAACAGATTTTTCAATCCTGTACTGACAGATACATGTTTGAAAAGTCATGCTTTACCACTATAAGGATGCAGGTTGATGCAGAAGCACGTCTGGGTTCTTCACTGATTGGAGCTTGAATCACAATACATTTGGTCTCCATTAATGCAAGGAGAAGGAATGAGAACTTTTCCCTGAGACTCATGCAGCCAACAAGCAACTCCCCTCGCCCCACCATCCTAGATAGTGGGTCAGTTTGTTCTTTGTCTTCTGCAGACGTTTGTTCATACCCATCAGTATTATTCTGTAAAACCTTTAAAGTGACGGAAAAAGTCTCTTCCCAAGGTAGAACAACCCAGGTAAATTAGCACATACAGTCTGTGTTCTTAAAGTATCTCTCAGTATTCAGTCTTTAATTTAAAGTTCAAGGATGATTTGTCACAGTCTGCAAGAACCTTTGCAGGGAAAAATAGTCCTAAAAAATATGAGAAAATCCTTTTTTAGGTTAAATGAGCCCAAGTCCAGGCCCGCTAGTTCCTCAGGCTTCTTTCTTCAAGAGTCAGTGTCCAAACTGTGCTTACACATCTGAAAATATACATTGTTCTGTTCTTGCACTGTCAGTCTGCAGGTTTCATTTGGTCACTCTCGATCAAGGTTCATCTTTTGGAAGAAAGCTTTTCCAAACTCATAGGTGCTGATCATTACAGCACAGGCTGGAGCCACTTTGATCACCCTCGGCATAAAACCTGTGGAAAACACAAATGTTTTCACCTGAGGTTAGTGTTGCTTAGTAACTACAAGTTCATCTTCAAAACAATATACATTATGAAAAAGGGATACATGTTGTCACAGAAAGTAAAATCGAAAGTATTGTGCACCAGCCTTCATACCACATTTCCATCTAACAATGCCCCTGCTGATCTTAAGCTACCCCAGACAGAGGAGTGTCCAGTTAATGGAAAATACATGATTAGATAGGGCTAAGGGAGTAAAGGAAAGAGAGGTCAATGTTTTTGACCAAAAACTTGTGGTGGAAAAAAAAAACAACAAAGCTTAATATGAAATATTTTGGTCTCAGGAGGCCGTAGAAAGAGTTCAACAGGGAAATTCAGAGCTATGGCCTTGGCAAGTAGGCAGTGGCTGTGCACCATTTAAGAGGCTAAATGACTCGTAGTTTGGACTACAATAATGAGAATATTGATAATTTGTTTAACCAACTAGTGCCCTGTAGTAAGAGTGATCCTTTTCTTAAGAGCAGAGTCTGGGCCTACCAAGGTGCTCTTGATTTTGTCTAAGAGTCAAAGTCGTGTGTCATTTCATAGGCCAGCACAAAAAATCTTAACAAGCAAAATAATTTTAGATAAAGGACTATTTTCACAATGGACTGCTGAGATATTACATTGTTGAGCATTTTCTATGAATACATTTGACCTCAGTGTATTTGAGGTATGGACTGTGCAGCTGTTATAGTCAAGAAAACACAAGTATCAGCTTGTGACTTTTTACTGGCAGGATCAATACAAGGTAACCAAAGATCTGGATCAGGGGCAACCTGATCTGAACATCCCTTTTTGTCCTGCTGTTAACCAACCTTGCATTTTTACACAACAAAAGACAACAATTAATGAGTTTTACCTGCAAAAAGTCCTCTGTAGCCCATCTCAGCCCATATTTCTCTCATGATGTGCCATGTGGACGTTGTTCTCTTTAAATTAACTAGAAGGAAAGCAAAGTATTTAGAAAAAAACGCACATTCTATATCGGTCACTAACTTTATCACTGTTTTTGAACACAAACCTCCTTGAGTATCCATTTCTCCTAGCTGAATTTGCCTCCGTGTCTTCACCACGTCAAAAGGCAGGGTCAGGATCGCAGCAATCTGGACACAATGTCAGACAAAAAGAAGTCATAAGACACCAGATTTGACCTGAGATCAGGCAGCAGCTACACCTCACTCACAGAAATAACCCCTGCATCATATCAGGTGGGCTGTGGTTCAATTATTGTGCAAGAAACACAACCGTGTGAATGTGGGTCAGCGACTGGCCTCATTCTCTGAACTAACCCCTGATGATCCATTCACTGCTCAGTGCTCAAAGCTCAACCTGGAACCTTGTTATCAGATGTTTAAGAGACATGAAATCAGTGTGACACGTTTATCTAGTAATGTTAGTACGGTCAGCCAAACAGGTCAGATTTGATTTGAATCACTCTAGGTTTAGGATTTTGCTAACAAATACCAATAAAAGTGTGATGCTACAGGAAGACTGGTGCTTAAAAGGTTTTCTAAAAGTTTCGTTTTTAATCATTTAAAGAACTACGGTATTAGATCAGGTATTGAAAAATTAGAGTTAATCGTTGCAGTAAGTCAAGCAATTGCTAAGTCAAGCAATTGATTGGACAAAACTTGAAGGCCCTTATATGATTATGTTTATTTTTCAACCCTACACAAGGTACTGTAACTATTAGGTTGGGTGGCCTTGGGACATTGAGGCAGTGCAGTAGTTGTTTAGCGCTGCCACTGGTGCATGGCCAGTTCTTTGTTTTCTCTGTTTTCATGCTGCCACAGATTGTTGGCAGGGCTTGTTACAAATTCAATCAAAAAATAGGCACCAGTGACATTTATCCTGCACTTTTTTTCAGGGGCTTTTTGTACTCTCAAGGAAAAAAGCTGAGTACTTACGGCTCCAGAAAGTGCTCCTGCCGTGAAACTGATGGAAAAGTTGGCCTGGGTCACTCGGGACTTTTCACACAGACGGGCCTTCACAAGCTCGTAGTTAAACCAGTACAATGCTGTGGACAAACAGAGACAAGGGCCGCTTGTTACCAGTATGTCTTTGCTTCATATTTGTTGGATTTATCAATTGAAAAGGGACACGAGGGGAGGGAGACAGGAAGGAAGATTTTCTAAGAGTGTAAAAGACGTTTTTGTTGAGGAGATGAAAAAAACAAAAAGAAGACAAAGCAGCAGTATGTTTGCCATGAACTGTATGTAATCAAGGGAACAATATAGAACTCATCTTTCTGGTTGTATGTTTTTCTTTGTTCTTGACTATTTAGCCCCAGTCTGTGCCATCATTTGGGAAAGGCTGTCTTTACTCATTATTATGGCCTACAGATAGAGCTGTACAGTAATGTTTGCTATTTTCTTTATGAGGTTTCAGAGTCTATTTGTTCCAGTTGGCTGCTACAAGGAATGATATTAATCTAACCTATTAATTCATGTCATTGTAAACAGTTTCCAACAATGAATAAATGAAGTATCGCTGTACAGCTAAGGGAAGGTAGTGAAAAGCGAAGGTTAATACTGTTCATGAAGGTTTCCTTCTGCATATGTAAAATAAAATGATCTGATATCTATAATTTACATCTATTTTATTGATAACCATGGCTTTGCAGTCTGTGTTGTATGTTGTGTCCCTTAAATAAACTAATAAACATGTATATGACTCCACCCTGGTTCTATTAGTATCAGTCGCACGTCCTCTTTGGTGAAACAACAACAATTTGGAACAAACTTAGGGTACAAAAATAACTAAAAAAATTGAGTTGTGGTACAATGTTGTTTAATCTCCTATAAAGTTCACTATATGCTTTATTCTGAAGTGTAGTTCTCACCAGAGAAGGGTACATCTCTTAGCACAGTAGGTCCCCAACCCCTCCATAGCGACAGCAGCCCATCCTGGGCCACAGCAGAGTGGATACATGCCCGCAGCTCACTATAGGGCAGACGACGGGACTGCATCTTAGTCCTGACCAGCTCCAGAGGGCTGATCACTGTCACCGCTCCCACTGTAACACAGAAATCCACATATTCATTTACATAACTCATTTACAATCACATGTAAGATATCTGAATGCACTTTAACAGACTCACATCTGGCCAAGCCTCCAGCAACAAGAGGAACATGGCTGCCCTGGAAACCCAAACCATATCTCAGGAAGTCCCTCAGCTGGTCGTAGCAGGTGAAGTAGATGACAGTAGCAGGTACTGCCATGACACTGCAGACATGATGCAAGTGAAGAAAGGTTTCTATTGGAAACTGTCAGGATATTAACACACACAGTTGCACTAGTCTGGTCTGTGCAGGTCTAGTCTGGCAAAGTTGCAACATTAAAAACCTACAATTCTCTGCTGGTGTAAGCCCCTCTATCAGGCCTGGGACTAAACACAAAGTTAGTGTTTAGTAAGTTAGTTACATTTGTTTATTTGGTGTTCAGGTTACTGCACATAGACTGTATATACTATGGACAACTTGGTTCCGCCTTCCGCCAGTATATGGATTTGAAGCCAAAAAGTAATTCTGCGATTTTTCTCCACTTCCTGAAACCAACAGTACAGTTGTAGGCACTTCACCACTTGCGCAGCAGCATTGTACGCATTCGGCGAGAGATTTGCCTAGAATTGCTGTGATGACGCTTGGCTCAAACAGCGTATCCCCTGGGTGAGCTACGCAATCGCTGCATCAAGTATCAATCATAGAAAACATGAACCCCCTAATAACTTTTAAAAACAGAACTGTACAGAAAAAAGAGGACTTGAGCACAAACCAGTCTTACAGTAACTACATGTCAACATCACAACCAGGGGGGGAGAAAAATGTATGTTCTGTGTAATAAATTTTTAAAGTTTGTCCACAGCCCCATAAGCTTTGCTGGCGGAGGCAGGATTTATGACCTATACTGAAGCCCGTCACCAGAGGGTGCTGTTCTCAGAGTGGCTTTACCCAGCGAGGAGGCAGACGGCATACACTATACAGTCTATGGTACTGCGCCATGGGGCCCCATCTGGCCTTACTGTTTTAGTGTGTGCCTGATGTAAAGAGGCTGGAGTCTCCTTTACTGTGTCTACTTTTCACGTGTTCCTTCTCTCTTCATCTGTCTTCTGAGAAAGCCTTACACCACACATCTCATTGGCCCTCATTTATCAATCTTGCGCAGATCTGAGCACAGATTTGAACGCTGGATTCATCGTACGATAGGACACACGTGAGATTTATGAAAGAGTTCGTATCTGACCAATCCCAGCATACGTATGATCGGGTCTTGGTAAATGCAGCGGCTGAAATCGATCGTCATTAACATGTTTACGGCCTTAAATATTTGTGGTTCAGAAGCCTCGCCCACTGAGGTCAAACATGAAAGAGGAGAAATATAAGAAAAATTCGAAACTTTTCAGAGCTGAAAGTGGATATCCTCACATCTGTGGTGAAAACTAACCAAGATTTTCTCTTTGGAAGCATCAAAACTGGTATAAAAGCGGTCCAGAAAACTCCTGTCTGGAGCAGGATTATGGTGGTGCTGAACAGCGCTGCCACGGAATAGCGGACAGTGGCTGAAGTTTGAATAAATCATTAGTCAATAAGTTGCTCATGATGATAAATTATTATCTTATAAATGCCTCATATTTTTTATTGGTGTGACATAGGGTACGTTGCTCCTATTATTGAAAGTATTTAGTTTTAATTTGTTGCGTCTTTGTAATGTAGAGCAGACTGGAGAGTCTGACAGAGGCTGAACAAAAATAATTATTAACCTCACCAAACGGTGTGTCGCTGCCCCTGAGGCACATTTTTATGGATTTCTATTGGATTTTTATCACTGATTAAATAGCAAGAGCACTTTCTAAACTTGTACTTTACATCAGAATCCATGGATAAGGTCCTGTCTCCTCTGTCCACCACCTTTGTGGAGTCTCTCCTCGTTATTGTTCTCCGGGCATCGGGTCCTTACGTTGGACCAACACAGCCAACAGCACTCCATTCGCCAGTGTAACATTGTGCAAAACTGTACTGGTTCAAATGATGTCCCACACCCTTTCAGGAGTGTACAACAACGTCCCCGCTGCTGGGCCAAGACAGAGACACCTGCCTTTTAGGAGTCAAACGCAGCGCTTCACAGTGGCGCGTGTGCATGTGTGCGCAATGTTAAAATGGCGCTCCTGCTCTGTGGCAGTGTCTCTGGGCAGAGTTATCTAATAGGTTTGTTCACTATGACATAACAAATGTATTTTATTTTATTTACGTCTTAATCTTTAATGAAATCTGTCTGATTGTGCTTAGTGACAGGTTTGAGGTTTGTTTATCAATTATTTTCAGACAGGCATTTGCTGCACCGAAGATCAACACTGACTCAAACTTGTGTACACAATGTCAGACCTGTCATGAGATTTGGTCGTAGCGTACGCTCACGTGCAGATTGCTAAATCCCGATCCTCACGTCAAAATTGTTGTACGCAAGGTGTATGCAAGTTTTCTGTCGTACGCAAGCTTGATAAATGAGGGCCAGTGTGCATACAGTATATTCCTCTTTTATTGAATAAATGACCTAAACTATCAGCTATTTATCAGTGTAATTAATCCAGGTCCCAAACTGTACTGATCCTAACATGTAATATTTTAAAATATTACAGGCATTGTCTTCATTTGAATCAAAAACTCACAGTGTCGGAGGCAGCCCACTCCACAAAGACCGGAGTCCTTCATGGCGCGTTATTTTCACAAATGCATCCTGTAACAACAACCAAGTCATTTTTGGTGTGGTAAAAAAATCACAGCAGCAAAATCTGAGTTATAAGTGTCCTCACACTTACAAGTGTCCCACTGAAATGAGTTGGTGTTTTGTACCAGCTGGTGCAACTAGTTCTATTCTGACACACATAGATGTGATCCATCAGCCCATTACAATACAGGAAACACTTCCCTGTGAAAGACAAAATAAGCAGAGCCACAAGAGGTTAAAACATGGGCAGAAATTCATCAGACTAAAAAAAATTCTACAAAATTACAGTCAAATGTGTTTAAATGTGCGAGTTTATCTGTCTGTTATGTTTTCATGTGCTCTCAACTGAACGGCACAATCCTTGTCAGAGGACAATTACACATCTGATGGCAATGACCAGAGATTCAGTGCAGTGATAACATCAAGTCTGGCCTCGCCTCTGCTTACTTTGCCTGTTTGTTCAGAGCTGATTTAGGATCCTCTTTGGACAAAAGATCAGAGAAACTCTAAAAAAAGCATAATTTCACAACCTGCACATACAACAAGTTTCCACCTTTAGAAAACAGTGCAGGAAACAAAAACAGGGCCTCTACAGATGACAGAACCACAGAAGAATGAGTGAAGAAGTTCCCCAGGAAGAAAAAGATCAACTTTAAGCAGTTCCGTATAACTGTAGAGCATTTCCACTGAGCTTTTGTCCTTTGGAGTTTCAAAACTCCAAGAATCTCTGGCTTTTTGATACCTCCTTCAACATGAAACAATAGGTGAAAGAGAACAAGTAGGACTAAATATCATGACCTGAAACTAAATCATGAACCCCAAAGTTAATAGGACACACGTGAATCTATCTGCGAGCAGGCCCTCTTGTTTGCATATGCATGTAATGCAGGTTAACAGAGCATGTGCCCTCTTACAGAAAGCTGTGCTGGACAAGCAGCAGCCAGGTTTTCAGCAGGTTAAATACTTACACTTGGAAGGGCGGATGACGCCGCTCCATGGAGCTGTTTCACAGGCTAAAGCTTTGAGACAAAGCAAAAGAGCAGGGCACACAGTCAAAGATAAAGACAAAGACTTTGGGTTGGGGGGTTAGAGAAGCACTAAGGTTCACGTGGCATCCAAGAGCAAGCGCTGAGCACAGAGCAAGTGTTTCATGAGCTTAATGAATCTTTACTCCACACAGCAGAAGATCAGGATGTCCTTCTATTACCTTGGTGGAATGGAGTTTGCTGAGCCTGCAGCCTGATCTTCACAACATCCAGCGGTGTGACTGAAAACAAAAGAATTAACAGACTTAAAATAACAATGGCATACAGTCAGTGGAAGGCCTATTAGGTACTCGAGGTGAACGCTAATGCTGGCTCATTCAAGAGTCCTGACATAAATACCCACTTTACTGACTGTTGAAGAGGAAACTGAATGCGCACTTCAGTTGTTTTTTATTATGCTGTCCACTGTTTTCAAATCACTGAGGGTATGCCAAATAACTTTAACTTTTTTAATATAACGTTCAAATTTCTCTCAAAAGTTTGAAATCCACTTTGTTCTAGAAGAGCCAAAATACATGTAACAGAGAGCTTGCTCGGCCATAAACCAATCCTGTGTACACAACAAAACACTGAGGAAGCCAAATAAAACAAGAGCATTATCATTTAAAGATAGACAAGTTTCTTTTTTTGGATTCGTCCCACTTTTCTCACCAAAAACAGATGTGAGGAGGGCCCCAGTACCAGAAGCAAGCATCTGCTGCACTGGGGATATTGCAGCCACAGGGCTGCTCATGGCCCGATCCCCCATCCTGCACAGCTGTCAGAGAAAAAAAATACACAATTTCACACCAAGAGGACACAATGATCTGTACGCAAACTCCAAAGAGGCATTGTCTGACCCCCTGGAAGCCTTGTGGCTGGATTTCTCTGCCTGCTTGTTATGTAAAACAACAGAAGGAGGAGAGTTTGGACCTGTTAGCCAATTTGTGTCATGGTTTGGTGTCATGTTGTGTAACACTACCTCCTGAGACATAACAAAAATTAGACTACTATCAAGCGTAATCCAACAATACAGGAGGTTAAAGGAGAGTTAGATGGTGTTCGTTTTATGTGAACGGGGAAAGGTGGAGTTGTTATGGGGTCATTGAAACACTGTGATAGCTTATCTACAATGTGCATGAGCAACGAGCAGGAGAGCCAGAGACCCTCTCCCTGGAAAAACTAACCAACAGCAGATAGATAAACATGAATTACAGATGACTTTCTGAAACTCCCTTTCTAGTAAACACAGTGTGCTGAGAGTTTATGCAGTGGGGCCACAAAGCTGAATAACAGTCACTGAAAACTTTGCTGTTAAACTACCCAGCAGCTGCCATTGTTGTCCTCCTGCCAGGTCTATTTGTGGGTTTGATTACACTAAAGAATGACAGGTACAGCCAACTGACTCTCAGACTCTTTCTCTGACTATTTGGTTACTTTTCAAATAAAGTGATCCTCTGCTCCCACATTACAAAACCCCAGCATCTAACCAACATATGGATGTGTCATGTTTTCCTGACAGCTTCACCTTCATCAAAACGCTGAAAGAGGCTTCACCATGTCGAACTCTGCGCACATAACGACCTGACACGTGTAGTCAAACATAATCATATGACACATTTATGCAGTTTTAACATATGTAACCCCGCTGTCCAGGCATTTTGTAAGAAGTACTCAGGTTAAGCACACTCTGTCCTTGCTTTCCTCCATCGCTCACTGGTTCATTGGGGATAAATACACCAAACTGAACTTCTTAAAGTTTTCCTAGCAAATTGAATACTCGAATGCATTACGCTAATCTGTCTAATATACATCACGTTGCCATGGCTGCTTTAGTGATAAATTAATGCTAGGTGAGTAGCTAGCTAGATAGCATTTAATGCGTTTCTTTAAAATCAAGAAGCCCCTACTCACCTCTACCCAAGCTGCCAAAGATGTTGTGAAATGAAGGCGCATTCGCCCATTTCAGCTATGTTAGCGTTTACATTTAAAGGCCAAAACTATAGTCCATGGTGTTCGATCAGACATGTTTTTTAGAGTCGCAGCACGGCTGCTGATAAGTCACAGAGAGTACCCGTGGGCTGAGGTGTAAGTGTCGCTGATTTGTATAGCACTCACAGCTACAGTTAATCCAGTTTACATTGTGAGGCCGTTGCGGATGTTTTAGAGATCTATGATAACGCTGCAGCGCTCTCTTGGCCCCCCGCCCCCTGCATCTGCTGTCACAGTTGCTCTAGCGCCACCTGCTGGAGATCTCAAAGAGGCGCACCGCAGCTGCCGCATGTAAACAAGCACATCGAGGCCAACTTTAACCCGTTCATGACAGCAATAGGAGCAACTTAATAAAGTGCATCGATAAATTTCGATTAAAAATAGTTAAATCAAAGAAATTATGATTGACGAATTCAAAAACTATCATTGAACAAAAGCTAACAGCTCATGTTGGTCAGGTGTGTAATGTATGCAATGAAGAAAGTCAATGGTCACAACTAAAGGTACAGCTCAGGTCAAGGCTGAGGAGACTGCGACAGTCTTATATACTTACATACCCATAAGAGGCGCTACCCGAGTGAGTAAAAAGAGAGGCTCCTTCTCTCTCTCTCTCTCTCTCTCTCTCTCTCTCTCTCTCTCTCTCTCTCTCTCTCTCTCCGGGGGCGTAGTATCAAGCAGGTTATTGTGAAGAGTGTGACACTGGTGAGACACTTGCAAAACAGCTGACTACTTACAACAGCTCTTCAGTCATCCACCAAGGTAAGATTGACACTTTTTGGTTAGAACTCAAGATTTTAACACAAAACTAAACTTGCTAAAGAAGCACAAGTTTTCCCGTGTATCAACCTCACTCCGCGTGACGAGGCGTATTAACAAAACGAAATTGAAAGTGGGTACAGGTATTTAGTTTTAAATTAATGAAAATTCAAGGAAAGTGTTAGTGATTTTAATCTTTGTGTGCGTGCTTATTTTATTCTTTATTTGTTTGTATGATTGTTCATGAAAAAATATTTCACTTTACTTACCATCATACTGTGTATGCGTGTGTGTGTCTTTCTTTGGTATACAGATGCAGGGATGGGTTGTGATCAGTTGTGCTCTCCTGGCCATGGTCAGTGCTGATGTATGTCCAGATGGAGGGAGTTGTAAAGATGGTCAGACTTGCTGCAATGACCCAACCAATGGTTATGAATGCTGCCCATTTGATCAGGTAAACATTAATATTCCTCTTTATGAAAAAAGAGTTACAACATACAGCACAAAAGCAATATAGACAGGTCAATCAATCTCTATTTATATAGCCCCGATTCACAACAAGTGTTATCCCAAGAAGTTTAACAAAAAAAGCTCAACTTTTATCTTGTCGTTTTATTCTCATGTCTTCATCTGTAAAGTGACCTTGAGTTTTTAAAGAGGTGCTTGTAAATAAAAGAATATTATTATTATTATTATTATTATTATTATTATTATTATTATTATTATTATTATTATACTGTATTTACAAAGACTCAATGTAAAGATGGGATCAGCCTGAGCCACATCTTGTAAGATCAGACCCACTCCCATCCCACCTTCAACCACATGAATGAAACACTTGACAGCATTTGTCAAGTTACAGTGGAGAGGAAGAACTTCCTTTAACAGGCAGAAACTTTGTGCAGAACCAGACTCATGTTAGACAGTCATCTGCTGAAACTAAGCTGGGTTTAGAGAGGAGAGAGAGGGAGATGAAGAAAGAGGGAGATGGACAGAGGAGAGACTGATAGATGGAGATGGAGAAAGAGAGATGGACAAAGGGGAGACTGATGCTTGTAGTTTAAGTAGCTCTAAAGCAGACAGGTCCACAACAGCAGGACATCTGCCGCTGCAATCTTGAGAAAACTACAGGATGGTGGAGCTCAGGGACTCAGAGAAAGGGAAAAGAGAAAAGTTATTATTGACCCTAATGGGACAACATGATTTAAAGTTAATGTCTCAGACAGAAAGAAGATGGAGAAGGAGGAAAAAATGCTCACCAGTAAACTTTGCACCTGCTTGTTCAAACACTTCGATCTTTAAGTCGTCCTGAAGAGGACTGGCTATTAGGACTAGGACTAATCTATTTGCCGTGGTTAGTTATTTTTATCCTCTCAGTTGAGCTAATATATGCACACTGCTCTGCAAAGTCAACATGCAGTCACTACATATAGTACACAGTCAAAATGTAATCAAGTCCTTTTTTTAAAGTTATGTATAAAGATCAGAGAATCAGACAATAATTATCTGTAATGATTAGAACAGTCACTAAGAAATGTTTGACTGTTTATCTCTACGTTGGCTCTACACAATCTTTTCTGTTGGTCACATTATCATATTCTAAAAAACAGAGAATTTGCTGTTGACATTCATTGCTGTAAGTATTTAATGTCTTTGAAATATATAGTGAAACGTAAGAGAGAGAAAATGTCAACCTCACTGCTTTCCTCCTAACCTTTCCTTTTATTTCACATAATATGTTAGCTGGAATAAATATTGAAAAACTTGTTTGTTATTCCATAAAGTAGAATTTCATAAATCATGAAAACAGAGAGCCCAGTTGTTGCTTGCTTAGCTTAACAGAGTATCAGTAAAAGCTAGCAATTTCTGACTCTTGTGAAAAGAACGTTTTTTGTTGTGTGTTTGAGTTACTCTAAAATCTTTAAATGTATATAATTATGAGTTAATGTCTTATTTAAGTATCAATCAATGTGTTATATTATTTTAATGCCAATTAGGCCTGTTTAAAAATCTTGATAGTAAACATAAATTAGAAAAATATTCTGTCCTGTAACATGCTGTCAAAGTTGTTTTGCGATATACTGTATTAAATTTTCAATATAATGTTATAACAATACATAAAAGGAGCTTAGCCTAGACAGTCTAAAACAATAGGAGGCCTGTATTCTACTTTATGGTCTCATAATTAGCTCAACACTTTAACAAGATAAACTTCAACAAAATGATAATGTTTTAGTTGAACAGAATACTTTGTCTCCATGTCCACTCCGTAGTAAAATGTGAGATAATGCTCTCTATAATATAATACAGGTCTTACACTGGGTCACCGGTGTTTTACTGTTTTATGAGTCAGATAAAAGTCTGGCTTCATTTTGCTTGTGTGATAGCAGTTTCTAGACTTTGGTAGTCAAAGTGTTCCTACTACAACTGTCCTCACAGGCGGAGTGCTGTGAGGATCACATGCATTGCTGTCCTGCTGAAACACTCTGTGATACGGCAACATCCAGCTGTGTGAATGCTACTGTTACAGTACCGTGGGCAGAAAGAACTTCTGCCAGTAAACCCAGACTCTCTAAAGTAAGAGTAAACCACCTTGAGCTCAGAAAAATACAACTTTGATTACATAACATTATGCAAGTGCCTGCTATAATAAACATTGTCTTTCCCATCCTGGGCCTGCAGTCTTTCAGGATGATTAAGTCATATGTCGGGGAAGAAGATGACAACATCTGTCCTGATCTGTCTCGATGCCCAGCTGAGTTTTCTTGTCTTAGCGCGTTAACAAGGTTTGGCTGCTGTCCCTTAGCTCAGGTAATCAAACTTTGATTATATACTAAGAACATGGATGCTGCTGCATTTATTAACATTGTTGTACTCGACACGTAAATTATGAGAAAGGGGGATGTAATAACAACAATAAGTTTGTTGAAATGTTTCATATTTCTAAGGTTGTCAGCCTTCCTTCATAACTTATTTGACATACAAGTCCAAGAGCTTGTAAATTTGTATTGTCTTTATAATGGGAATAAGTGCACAGTGAACAGAGAGGAACTTTGTTTGTTTGAACTTTTTTCACTCTATGACGACAAGCCGATAAGGGAAGTTGTAAATCAGCTATATCAGAAAATGTAGCAAATTTGCTTTGACTCTGGTTGCACAGAATAAAATTGGATTTCTTAATAATGCATAGTTATCTACTGGATTATTTTATGGCAGCAACGATCTACTTAGTGGTGAACATGTAAAGACTGTCAAAATGGCAGATTGAGATGTCCTACTACTAAATCTATTTGGAGTTGAATTTAAGATCAAGCCTTTTTTTTCTTGATTCTTGACAGGGGATCCCTTGCTCTGATGGGAAACACTGCTGTCCAGAAGGTCACCAGTGTAGTTTAAACAGCCGCTCTTGCATCAAAAAAGGTAAACCTCCTCTACTTAATATCATGAAACTCAAACAACCCTGATCTGGAACGAGTCTTGTCTGCAGCATGCTTGTGACTGGGTCATAACTAAAGCTGGTGTACAAAAATGGCATGGAGTCTCGCAAGGCCCTATCTCGGGGCCTCATCCATTTGACATCCCCCTAGTCAACAGTCTAGATACCTTTAAAGGCAAAAATTCTTAATTTTTATTTCGCTGCTCAGTTACAGACCCCCTTTGGCTCAGGTTTTCTTACACTTCACATAAAATTATTAATGGTAACTTAGAATTCATTAGTAGTTTAACAAAAGTATAGTGCAAAAGTGAATTTTTAAATATTTGTTTTAACTTATAACAGGCCATAGTTTAAATAAAGAATGTGAGTCAAAGTAAAGTTGATCAAAGCCTGAATACAGATGAAATACACTCACCAGCCACTTTATTAGGTACACCTGTCCAACTGCTCGTTAACACTTAATTTCTAATCAGCCAATCACATGGCGGCAACTTAGTGCATTTAGGCATGTAGACATGGTCAAGACAATCTCTTGCAGTTCAAACCGAGCATCAGTATGGGGAAGAAAGGTGATTTGAGTGACTTTGAATGTGGCATGGTTGTTGGTGCCAGAAGGGCTGGTCTGAGTATTTCAGAAACTGCTGATCTACTGGGATTTTCACGCACAACCATCTCTAGGGTTTATAGAGAATGGTCCGAAAAAGAAAAAATATCCAGTGAGCGGCAGTTCTGTGGGCGGAAATGCCTTGTTGATGCCAGAGGTCAGAGGAGAATGGCCAGACTGGTTTGAGCTGATAGAAAGGCAACAGTGACTCAAATAACCACCCGTTACAACCAAGGTAGGCAGAAGAGCATCTCTGAACGCACAGTACGTCGAACTTTGAGGCAGATGGGCTACAGCAGCAGAGGACCACACCGGGTGCCACTCCTTTCAGCTAAGAACAGGAAACTGAGGCTACAATTTGCACAAGCTCATCGAAATTGGACAATAGAAGATTGGAAAAACGTTGCCTGGTCTGATGAGTCTCGATTTCTGCTGCGACATTCGGATGGTAGGGTCAGAATTTGGCGTCAACAACATGAAAGCATGGATCCATCCTGCCTTGTATCAACGGTTCAGGCTGGTGGTGGTGGTGTCATGGTGTGGGGAATATTTTCTTGGCACTCTTTGGGCCCCTTGGTACCAATTGAGCATCGTTGCAACGCCACAGCCTACCTGAGTATTGTTGCTGACCATGTCCATCCCTTTATGACCACAATGTACCCAACTTCTGATGGCTACTTTCAGCAGGATAATGCGCCATGTCATAAAGCTGGAATCATCTCAGACTGGTTTCTTGAACATGACAATGAGTTCACTGTACTCAAATGGCCTCCACAGTCACCAGATCTCAATCCAATAGAGAATCTTTGGGATGTGGTGGAACGGGAGATTCGCATCATGGATGTGCAGCAGACAAATCTGCGGCAACTGTGTGATGCCATCATGTCAATATGGACCAAGCTCTCTGAGGAATGCTTCCAGCACCTTGTTGAATCTATGCCACGAAGAATTGAGGCAGTTCTGAAGGCAAAAGGGGGTCCAACCCGTTACTAGCATGGTGTACCTAATAAAGTGGCCGGTGAGTGTATATCTTATACAGTGTGCATAATGTTGACAGAACAACTCATTGCACATACTGTACTAGTCAAGTTAATTGGAGGATCACAAGCACACGTTCATTTGACTTGGAATTTTTGTAAACAATAAAATAATTCATTTTGTTTCAGAAATCAGGGTCAGATTCAGTCTCTGATTCACTTATCTTGAATTTTAAGGCAGCTTGGGTGCAAATACTAGATTTTTTTTACAGTGTATCTGCATAGTCAAAATGAAACATGTAGAAAGCAGCATATTTGAAATGTACTTCCTGAAACATTTGGTCTGCTTTCACTCTCACTTCTTGAAACCAGGACTTGGAACCTTAAAAGTGGTCATGACTTTTTCTGCATTTAATTTGTGACTTATATTTTCATAATGCCTTGTGTTTCTCTGATATTTGCTGACTGCCCTCAGGTGTCCACAGATAAACCATTTAAAGCTCCTGTGCAGAACTTGAAGTTTGTCATTTTTGGTTACCCTGTTGGTCAGACACCTAAACCTTATCAGTGGTTCCAGACATTAAAATAAATAACTTTAAAGATGTGCTAGGAATAATTTTGCTTTATTCTGCCTCACTCCAATAAGGTGTTTTAGAAATATGACTCTCCTTGGTTCTGTTGCAGAGCATGTGACTACAGTTTTATGTGGTGATGGAAAGCAAGAGTGTCCAGATGGAACAACCTGCTGTGAAACCTCAGAGGGGATGTGGGGATGCTGTCTCCTGCCAAAGGTAAAAAATGCTGCTCCTTTTATCGACAGTGACATTTTTGAATACTATTGTTCACTCATCCACCATGGAGTGTAGTACAAAAGAGGAAGAATTCAAATGATGGATTTGCATGTCCTGCTGCTATGTCCACTTATCAAACCCTTATGTTGTCTTAACAAGCTAGGTAAACTCTGACTTCTCATACCGTCTGAACAGGCTGTGTGCTGTGCTGATAAACTACACTGCTGTCCTGAGGGAAACACATGTGACATTGAAAATTTGAAGTGTGTTTCACCTTCAACCAAAAAAGTGACACCAATGTGGGCCAAATTCCCTGCCAGAACTAGAGCAGAGTGGGAGAACCAGAAAGGTCGGGGTTTTCAATTTGATTCTGCTGTAAATCTTACTTCCTCATTCTGATTGATTATTGTTTAAACCAGTTTCTGCTTACAGAGCATGACCTGTGTGTGGGTGTTTTTCGCTTTCAGAGGGTGAACAAGTGACAGCAAAGGCAGCTCACAATGACGGTCTTCCTAAAAAAGCCCCTGAAGTCAGCACAGCGAATACAGTTCCTCCTACCAAGAAGGAAGTATCCCCCTCGACAGTTACTCAGAGAACTGCAGGTTAGATGATTACCTAACATAAAGTGTAAAAATCAATATATTCATTCTAATTTAGCATAAGAATGAATCTTTGATCCACCACATACATTGAAGTACTCTCTGTTTCCCACTCATGACCACTTTTACAAAATACCGTCAATAAGGTACTTTCCAGTCGTGCAGGTTTGTCAGGGAGGGCAGGAGTTCTCTAGCACACCTTGCTGTTGTTTTTTTATGTTCAGACATTTCCTGGCAAGTTAAAGTTTCCTCCAGGGTTTGGCATGTTTTTCAAGATTAAAAAAGAAATGCATAACACTCTTCCTGCATTTGTTGGATGTGGTGTTTGATAGGTAGGTTTGAGTTGTGCCATTAGACAAAGGTTTGCCTTTTTAGATTGTTTATTTAATGAGGGGTCTTGTTTAATGCTACTTAAACTGAAATATTTGAAGAGCTGGTGCAGATATGATAACCTTTAACAGTTTTTCCATTTTGCATTTCCTCTCAAGTCAGAATGCATCTATGTTTTAACTGTCTATGTAGGACTTGAAAATGTCTTGTGGAGTTGTGTTGCAAACTATAGATTGTATAAACATGGACATAATCTTAGTGAGTTCACCCATTCATTTCTTAGGTGGAGCTTTGAAGCCCAATATTGGTGGTCACCATACTAGGAATACTGACCTACTCTTCCCTGTGGTTAACATGCAAGAAGCAAAGAGGTCGCCTGCTGGCTAACAGCCACGAAATGTCAGCCTCTCATTGAAGTCAGCTGTCCCCTCAGTTCTGTCTAATTATGCAAAACTCACAAGTTTAATGTCTTCAAAATGAATCATTTAAAACTAACTCACAGCCTCTTCAGTGTATCCAAATAGAAAAGTAGGTGATTTGGTTGTTAGGCGTTTGGTAATCCATATCTGGGTCGAAAGGCTTAAACACTTCCTCCCCTCGTCTGTTGTGTAAGCATGCAGAGAAGGATCTTTTCATCTTCTTGTCAAACTAGCATAAGACACTTGCTGGGCTGTTAATATACTATCCATGGGGTTAATTAGTATGAGTTATTTTTCAAACATCTGGAACAAAAGTTGCCTTTCTTTTGTACTTCTTTTACTCTGTTTGCACCAGTTTTAACTGTGACCGTGAAAGGTGTAAAACTAAAGTCCCCAAAACCAAAAGAGCTAGATGTATTTAGTTATGGGATTTAAAGTACCAAAAAGAATCAGATTATTCCAGTCAGGTGCAACACCCCATGCTGTCAAAGCTATCCTCGCCACATTTTAGAGGTACACAGTCACTTTGTAAATGCTACTGTACTCTCCTGGTTGTAACTGCCATATTTTCATCACTTATGTGGTTGTTATCTTCATGTCCAGGCAATGATGTAGCCTGCAACAGTACAGCAGCCTGCCCAGATGGGAACACATGCTGTAAAACCAAAGAGGGTGGCTGGGCCTGCTGTCCCCTGCCAGAGGTAAACTTTTGGTTATTTATCGAACAAAATGTTAAACTTTGTCAGAAATGCACAATTCTCAACCAACCTGGCCATTTTCAGGCTGTTTGTTGTGCAGATTTCATTCACTGCTGCCCAAAAGGTAAGAAATGTAACCTGGCTGCAGAGACCTGCGAAGATGAATCATGCTCTGAACCACTGGTGAAAAAAGTGCCCACCATCCCTCTGAAGAGCACTCTGGTGGGAGATGTGACATGTGACTCTAGTCATAAATGTCCTGATGATTCCACCTGCTGCAAGACTGAAACGGGAGAGTGGGCCTGCTGTCCTCTACCCAAGGTAGACTCAGAATAAGATCACTGAATCGTCTGTCTGTACAGAAAATTTGACACCAAGAATCAATAAGCTGAAGTTAACATGAAGAGCTGAAACATAAAAGCTGTATTAAACTGACAACTGAGCATGGCAGGAATTGAGCCACATTTAGACAGCACTGATTCTTTTGTGTTTAGCTAAGATATTGTATTGATAACACAGCTACAGATAACTGATTAGGTCAGTTTGGTGATCTTTGGGCAGAGCCAGACTGTCTTTGTCAGTCTGTGTAAAATCTTTGAATAACGCTAAACTAAACTGCTGCTGGTAGTAACTTCACATTGTAACAGCAAGAGTGCGCTTGGCCCTTTTTGTGCTATTAAGACAAAAAAGTGAATGACTGCAATTCATAATATCACACTTTGCCCATAGGTTTGGTCTATATTAACATCTAATGCTAACAGCGGTAGCCTGTTAGTTTAAGTTAGCATAGACAGCAAGCTAGGTTTAGTCCAAGGACTTGGCACAGATTGACATACACACACACACACACACACACACACGAAACACACAGGAAATTCTGAGTTTTAAAAAGTTGAATGAGTTTTGTGGACATAACAGGGCTATCTGTGTTCAGCTGACTGCTGGCTGTCATATTGTTTTTTTTTTATTTCTTAGATATTTCACTTGTTTTTGCTTCTCTTTTCTCATAATTCCACATGAAAATGTATTTGACGAAACTACTTTGTTTTTAAGGCGGTTTGCTGTGATGACCATGAACACTGCTGCCCTGAGGGCACCATCTGTGACCTTGCCACCCTCACCTGTAACCACACCTCGGGCTCTTCGCCCATACAGCGGAAGATTCCTGCATTACCAACAATGACATCTACTACAATGCAGACTGCATCCCGCAGCACAGCGGTGACAACTGCACAGCGAACAACAGCTGAAGATGAGAGGAAGCCAGAGGAGGATGAGGTGAAGCCAGGTGAAGCAGAGAAGGAAAGGGTGGAGGGATCTGTTCAGTGTGACCCCCACACCTCTTGCCCCCAGTCCACCACCTGTTGCTTCATGAAGTCATCTAAAAAGTGGGGCTGCTGCCCACTGCCACAGGTGAGCACCGCATCATCAAAGCATGGTTTACTACAGGTCCTGAAACATATCTAGCTAAAATGAAATTTAAAACACAGGGGAGTGTTAACCAGATTAAAAATGGAGTGAATGTTAACATTCTTTGACGTTTACCATTCAATGAATTCACTGCACCAAGTGATTATCATCATCATCATTGAAAGCTCTGTATTTTGTTCGCCAGCTTTGACTTCTGGCTTTTTCGTGAGTAAAAAGTCTCCTCTTTCACCACAAACATCCTCAAAAAGTGCCTGACAATTCTAAGAACTACTGAATGGCATTAGTCTCTCAAACCCCGAGAGAGGAAGCAAATGTTTTGCCCTGACTTTGCATGTTGATATGTTTTCTGTTCTGCAGTCATTTTCTGTCTTTCCTGTGCTCACTTGTGACAAAAGGCCCCATTCACCTGCAGAATAAATGAAAGGCTTTCTTCCATTTGACAGCGTTAGATCATTTATAGGCATTTATAAATACATTATTAAATGTAGTCAGCTTTTATTTCAGTTATGCAATGTTTGTTCAATCTGCAGTTTTAAACTATGAGAACAAACAAAGTTATCTGACGTGAATTCAATATAACAGCACGTGTTTAAAAAAAGACACTTATTCACACCAATAATAAGAAACCCTTACACAGGACTATTTTAAGGGTTTGTTCTTGTGCCAATTGGGGCACAACCTTCAATCCAGTGTGTACATGAAATTCATCAGTCTAAGAACACAAGAGTTAAAGAACAGGGTCAGGAATTGGCCTTAAGTTTTTCCAGAAACCCTCTTTGTAAACAGATTTTTAAAAAATCTGTTACAAAGGTTTTGCATCCACTCGAAAAAACTCTGCATCTGCAAATCAATATGTGCAAATTTTTTTTGGAGACACTTATTTGCATAGAACTGAAAGACAGTTCAGAACAAAGGCAGCGAAAGGAAAAGTTCTGTTCCCTCCATCAGTGGCTTAAATATTCATGATACTTTGGTTAGAAAAGCTGACTGAGTTAGGTGCTTTTATTTTAATAGGAGAAATTTGGAAAAAAGAATTGATGATGTGAAAGTAGCACTTCTGCTCTCACTTTTCCCCAGGCCGTGTGCTGCTCAGATGGGAACCATTGTTGTCCTAACCACTACAAGTGCAAAGAGGACCAGACCTCGTGCATCAAAGGGGAAGTTGTGATTCCGTGGTACACAAAGCTTCCTGCCACCGCCAGCATCCCAGCCAATCCCAGATCTGTGAAATGTGACGGTCAGAGTCAGTGCCCTGAACACACCACCTGCTGTCGGCTGTCCACGGGTGAATGGGGCTGCTGCCCTCTGGAAAATGTAAGCCGTACATTTGTAGATTAAGATGTGGAGTATAGCTGCTTTGACTTGAAAATAAGCCACATTATCTGGATAATTCAGCTATGTCAGTGTTTGCTTTTGTAAAAATAAGGGCCATCACATTCCCTAATCTTTTGCTTGCTGTGTCTGCAGGCTGTGTGCTGCCAAGATAAGAAGCACTGCTGTCCTCAAGGTTACACCTGTGACATCGCCTCCAACTCCTGTCAGAAGCTCATCATGCTGGAGCTGGAGACTGTGCCACTAACCCCAGTGCTTCTGCCTGGACCTCAACCCCAGCTGCCTCCTGTTAAGCAGAAAGATGTCAAGTGTGATGAGGAGACGAGCTGTCCGGATGGACAGACCTGCTGCAGGATGTCGGCTACTACATGGGGCTGCTGTCCATTCAGTGATGTATGATGCAGACAGCTTTAACCTTTGAAAGAGGGTTTTTAGAAGTATCTCTTTCTCCTGCAGAGAGATAGTCAAAAATATTGACACCACCCTTTCTTTTTTTTTAACATAAACATGAAGATACTGTGTGATGCCAGTTAACTTCACAAAACGACTGAAAACAAGGGGAGACAGCTGCCCTGCTTTGTCTATTAAGCTCACTCAGCTCTTTATTTTGTGCTGAGCTAGGCTTAGCTAGTTCTGTAGTTTCATGTTAACTGTACAGATTAGAAAGCAATTATTCATCTTCTCATCTTTTGCTCTACATTCAAGCACTTTCTTTTGACAGGTTTATTATTTCAGAGATTCAGAAATGCCAAAATAGCTTGTGTAAATGATCATGTGTTGTTATTTATGAAAGTACTCCATCACACATTAAGTATCTTTAATTAATTCCACCTCAGCTAGCCCCATATGCTGCTTACGTATTTCTGCATTACTATTAAAACTACATACAAAAAGACATGATCTGCTCTTAAATATAGATTCTACACGAGTCAAACCAACACTTCTCGGTCAAAAAAAGGCTGCCTCGGCCAGCTGCACCTCTAAACTACTGCTTACGTGTTCATATGGAATAAACTGATAATCTAACTTATATTCTGACACACCAGTCATAATACTCCTCTGCTTTAACAGCAGTTGTGCACTTGTAATTCAGTAATATTACACTCTGTTGTTAACCTGTCCATGTTCTCTCCACAGGCGGTGTGCTGCAAAGACATGTTGCACTGCTGTCCCCACGGCCTCACCTGCAATGAAGCTGGAGAATGCATCCAGAAACCTGTGTTTCACTGGCAGGACTGGCCCAAGTTTCAAGCCAACAAAAAGAGAGCTGTCATAGTGTAAAAACAATATTCCCTGATTATGATATTCCTCTGCATGCAAAGCACTAATGAAAAATTATGTAAAGGGATTTTATTGTTTATTGTCAAATGCTTCTTTTGTGGACAAATATAAGGTCGAACAGAGAACTGTGAAGTTTAATTGCATTTGGAGGCAAGTTAGGATGTTGAGTTTGACACGTTGTCATGTTCATAAGTCATTAAAATCTTTTGTTTTTTCTAACTACACTCCAGAATAATGAAAAACAACTTAAACACAGGCAACATCATTTCTGTAAATCATCTATTTCTCTGTCATTCTTTAGCTTCCTTGTGTTGAAAACTGCATTTCTCTATGAATCAACTCAATAAAGTTCATGTTTTAGTCCCTTAAATGTTTCAAAAGCGACAGTCTAATTCTGAATTTAGACATCCTTATGGCATGTTGTGACTTTCTTCACCTGTCATCAAAGATATTTTCAAATAAAAAGCACAAATCCACACAGCATAAAAAGGAACATTGACCTCTCATCGATTCTTAAAGCTTCTGTTCTGTTATGTTGACTATGGTACCCCCTGTGGAGAAAGTAGGAACCATTACAATGTTAGTAATCTTGCCTCTTCCATTTAAAGGTGTACGACTGACAAAATAATCTCCCCCTGAGGTCTTTTTCAAATCATGAAATTTATTAAGCACTTTGAATACAATGTAGCTTACCAACCCCCTCACAAAAGTTTGAAGCAGCAACAATAATTTTAAAGAAATAGTCAATCTTATCACTAATGTTCTCTCTTGTTTTTTTTACATCTTGTTTCATAACCTACCAAAAATTATACTATTCAGATACAGTTTTTTAATGGGGCAGTGAAAGTAAGAGACGCAGTAAAAAAATTATTTAGAGAAGCCAGAGTAGTGGAAGTAGAAGTGAAGATACAAGTTGTAGTGATAATAGTAGTAATTGTAGTAGTAAATCTGGGAATCTGTTTGAAGAATTAAATAATGCATGAATAATGAGAATGATTTTAAAATGGAAAAAAAAATTGAATAATTAAAAATCCTCAAGTATTAGACAAGGTTGAAGTATTAGAAAGGTTTGAATCAGTTTGAATGAGTTTAAATTTGTCTGAAGAATTGAATAATGAATATTTAACGGGATTATATTTAAAGTGGGGAAATTTAAATGAATAAAAATCCTGAATACATTTTTGGAGCCCTGAATGGTTTCTGTAGGTCAAAGTTTGTGGTAGGAGATATGGGCCAAAGTTTGTCAAGCGCTCTAGTAAAGGGTTTTAAATGTCATCCCCAGTGCTCTGTGTACTGAGCCTGGCTTCATGTGTCTCATATAGCCGTTAGAAGCAGCTTTCCAGTCAGCTGTGTGTCTCCAGGTGCACTAATTGATTGCCACGGCGAAGGAAGATGTGTCACTGCAGCAGGAGAGAGGCGGTTTGAAGCTGAGGAAATAGCTTTCCAACTAGGCCCTGATGGTCAACCTCTGTATATATTCATGATAAGGAGCTTGTGAGAACCACAAGACTCTGCTGAACACATTAATACAATTTATTATCACAATCATTATAACACCCCAATGTGTCCTCAATAAGCTGAAATTTTCAAGCCCAGTATGGTTTCTGTAGCTCAAGGTTTGTGGGTGGAGATAGGTGGTAAAGCAGACACATAATTACTGTGTGTACCTGTAGGTCTCATAGACAGAGAGAGACTAATGCACACACATTGTCAGAGAGTGTGTGTGCCTGTTAATTAATGCATCTTAACAGGTGTCAGACATCAAAGGCATTTACTGACCTACTGTTTGAATGAGAAGCTGCCTAACTGCAGTGAATTTAGGGCCTCTGAACTTCTTCACATAGCACGATTTCCTTAAGTCCCAGAATGAAAATAAGAAGATCGTGCGAATCCTCCGCCCCTCATGAACACAATGATGAGTACATCCCATAATGTTCTCAATGAGCTGTCTGGAGCTTTCTGGAGCCCTGAATGGTTTCTGTAGGTCAAAGTTTGTGGTAGGAGACAGGGGCCAAAGTTTGTCAAGTGCTCTGGTGAAGGGATTTACATGTCACCCCCAGTGCTCTGTGTGCTGAGCCTGGCTTCATGTGTCTCATATAGTCGTTAGAAGCTGCTTTCTAGTCAGCTGTGTGTCTCCAGGTGCACTAATTGATTGCCATGGCGAAGGAAGATGTGTCACTACAGCAGGAGAAAGAAGGCTTGAAGCTGAGAAACAAAATGCCAGACAATGCCCTGATGCTAATTCTCTGTAACAGCTACAGTATATTCATGATAAGGAACTTGTGAGAACCGCAAGACTCTACTAAACACATTGATACAATTAAGTAACAAAATCCTAATAACACTCCATAATGTCCGTAATGAGCTGAATTTTTGGAGCCCTGAATGGTTTCTGTAGCTCAGTTTGTGGAAGAGGATAGGTGGTGAAGCAGATACATGGTCAGATACAAGTGTGTGCATGTAGTCTCATAGACAGAGAGACACTCACACACATACATATTAACTGTGTGTACATGCAGGTGTCATAGATAGAGAGAGACTAACGCACACACATAGTTACTGTGTACATGCAGGTGTCATAGGCAGAGACACAGACACGCGCGCACACACACACACACACACACACACACACACACACACACACACACACACACACACACACACACACACACACACACACACACACACATTGTCAGTCTGTGTGTGTGTGTGTATCTTGCTAATGATTGCATCCTAAACAGCTGTGAGATCAAAGGACCAACTGACCTACTGTTTGAATGAGAAGCTGCCTAACTGCAGTGAATTTAGGGCCTCTGAACTTCTTCACATAGCACAATTTCCTTAAATCCCAGAATGAAAATAAGAACATCGTACAAATCCTCTGCCCCCCATGAACACAATGATGTGTTTTTCATGTCTGTACTCTAAAAAATGTGGCCACAACAGCGACTTAAACAGGTCTGAGCCTGAGTGGTGATCAGGATTTTCTGAGAGAAAGATAACATTAGGGTTAATGGGAGGGATACCTGCCATTTTTGGACAGTTGGTCACCTGCTGGCCAAGGGGTATGATTCAATGATTTGAAACCTCTTTTGTGAGAAGCAGGACACATATACCTCCATTTTGATGTATTTTTTATGGCTGTGGAGTGAAATTTGTGGGCGTGGGAGCAATATATTCGTGCTACGTTTTGTCGATAAAAGAGGAGCTCTGCACTCTAGCTATGACATCATCACTCTATCTCTTCCAATACACACCCATTATAAAGCCTGAAATTTGCTGAAAACCATGAGTTGCTTAAAGCTAAATTGTGGAAAAACTGTAAAAGATATCAAAAAAATGAATACAACATTAATAGTCGACAAGTAATGAACATTTTAAAGCAAAAATAAGGTCTCTAGGTGAAAGCAGAGCAGTGGATTAATCCACTGCTGAAGTATGCTGAAGTATGCTGAAGTTATAAGGCTCAGAAGGTTGAAGAATAAAAGGAAGAATTGGAAGATTTCCCCGTTGACTTCAATGTTAAAATTCTGGCACAAAAAGTTAAAAAAAAAAGAAAAAAGTAGAAAGGGTAGAAAGGAAAAAAGTAATAGCAATCATGTCCTGAATGCTTAATCAGCATTTCCACTTAACAATAATAATAAAGAAATGGATATCAATAAGTGGAAATGCTGTGTCAGTATTTCCACTTAATTATGCGGTTCAAATTCATTTTTTAAATTCAATTATTCAAGTTTAGCATTTCAAATACAAATTATTAAAATTTAGTTTTAGGTGGCACATATTTCAGCCAATACGGGAGCTTTAAGTTCTAGCCCTGCCTTAGTTTGTCAGTATCAGTGTTAGAAGGAAACATTTGTTAAATTAAGCAAGAACACTCAACTTTATGTAAATGACCACCATGGTGCCTGCCTGTTTTTTTTTTTTTTTTGTAATTTTAGCTATCCAGGTGAAATCCCAATATTCAAAGCTTACCTAAAGTTTTTCTATGACTTGTCCTTACTGGCCTCCCATCTATCAAAAATAGATTTCCTGTTACTGGAATAAAATCAACAGCCCAAAACCGAGCGTTTTACCTCTTACATTATTTGTGGACTCACAATGGAAAGACTGGACGTTGCAACAACTTCAGGCTGAAGTATTTGAAAAGGGTTCAGATTCACCCAAAAATAAACAAGTTTTATGGTGATTTGATCAGACTCTTAAATGACTCAAACAAATTTGCAGTTTTTATCTTCTTAGAATGAATTTTGACTACATTTTGACTCTCTAAAGCTCGCTATTTGTCGTCAATTAAAATGGGGAATTTGATTGGAATAAAAAATTTGATTCTAATTTATGTTCCCTTATATCATGTTTTTAGCAATCTCGTTATTAGAGGAATAATTTCAGATGCTTTTATTCTGAAGGCTAAGCGTTTCTTTTCCGGTATTTTTGTCCTTACGCCATACTGGACGTGACTCCGTTTTGACGTATGAATCATTCTTCCCAAGATGGCGTTGCACCTGCTGCTCTGTCCGTGATCCTTGTTGTTGTCTGCGTAAGAAATCAAAGCCACAGAAGCGGAGTGCGAGTGGACCGGTGACTGAAGTAACTGCTCAAATTGACAGGGAACCCACAATGTCTACGGAGGAGCTGTCAGCTTCGGATAGCGAGGCTGTCCTGGCCGGCACAGGGGAGCGATGGGCACCGGTAGGCGCTGTGGCCAGTCCCGAGGATGAGAGCGGGAGCAGCGGCCAGCCGTCGCTGAGAGTGTCATCCTCGGAAACCAAGGAGGAAATGGCTGCCAGGCTGGGGAAGCTGGAGGAGGAACAGGAACTGTTGAACTCTTCTCTTCTCGCCCTCACTTCGCACTTCGCTCAGGTTCAGTTCCGACTGAAGCAGATTGTTCACGCCCAGAGCGACGAGAAGGAGAGGATGCTGGTGGATCTGGAGGAGTTCGCCTTTAGGGGCTGCCCGCATGTTGTGGGTTGCAGGGCTCAGGATGCCAAACACCTGGAGAACTCGGTGAGACTTTTACTCTTGAAAAACTCAGATATAACCACAGAGACCCCACAAACTCCGCCTCGAAAGATATGATGTAGAAAACATCCCCATCGTTACTTCAATACCGTTGCTGAATAAAGTAATCACGTTTTTCGGCCACAAATTTGATGAAATTCTCAATCCCCAAGTTTGAAGGATTTTCCTGATTTCTGTGATACTGTCCTGTGACATTTAGCGGTATTTTTTGCACTTGTATTTTTTCAAGTATTCTAACATTATATTACTGTTTCATCTATATCTATAGCTTACCTACTGTTATACTGTGTGAGCACTTTTCTTGCATGTTTCATAAAATTCCTTCTGCAGAAAGGGTTAGTCAGAATAGGACGTTTCTCTGTACTGTGACTTGATCATATATATGCTTTTATGATGAAAGTGGAGTACACCAGTCAACATGTTTTAGATATTTTTAATTTTAAAAAATCCTCATATTAACTATTACCTAAGAAAGACTTAACAATAACCTGTACATACAAATGTATGGTACACTGTGGGGTACAATACTACAACACTAGTTGTACCACAGGGTCTATGTATAGGACATACCCACACTTTTCTCTGTGTGATTTTCTTCTAACAATGTGGGGGAAAAGTAAACTACACTAAAGCAATCTGTATTTTCATGGATCTTGGATATATTTTCACCACTTTGTATTATTTTAAGACTAGATATTATTAACCATTTTAAGAAGGACAACTGTCATGATGATGATAATTTATCAGTGGTTAGTTCCAGCAGTTCTTGTCAGCATTCAGCTTAGTTGGACTCACTTTTAGTCACAGCTATGATTGTAGACAGAAAGGTTCTTAGTGAATCTGCGTGGTGTTAAAGCTGCTGACATTTACAGATGTGATTCACCTCAGGGCTCAATGATTCCTGATCCAGGCTAATTAAAGTGAGTGTGTGGCGTCACACTGGAGGCTGCTGTGCCCACTTCTGTTTTGATCCCTGACATCTCTTATCTCAGTCAGACAATGTTGCTTTCGACAACAAGTGTTGACTTACAGCCCTGCTCGCTTAATGAAAAGGCCTGGAGCGGGTCAGTATCTGTTTAATGACGACTTCTGTGTACACAGTGGAGTCAAAGCAGCCTGCTTTTTTCCTGCTATTGTTTGCTCCCCACCTCTTAACATTTCTTCTTAGCTAGATCAAAACCTTACATCACTTGCAATCACTGTGTACATTTATACCCCACCCTAAAGGTCTTTGCATGTCATTCTCTCTTGTTACATGCTTTACATGCAGGGGGAGCTGGTGAGTATAAACCCTGATGTCTCTTTAAAATGTTTAATTTGTGACGTATGATAAAACAACACGATAACAAACCTATGTTCATTGAGATCTGAGTACATAATGTCTTGTGTTCCTGTGGTCATTCAGACCTCCCTGTGTTTACAGATTAAACTCATTGTGTGTGTTTCCTTCCCTCAGAGTGAGAGGGAGAAGCGGGAGCGCCTGGAGGCTCAGAGGGAAAAACAGAAGGATCTCATTTTCCAGCTGAAGACGCAGCTGGATGATCTAGAGCGCTTTGCCTATCAGGAAGGCAGCTATGACTCGCTGCCACAGTCTGTCGTCATGGAGAGACAGAAGGTGGGACTGTGATGTTAGAGGGTATGACTCCATGACAGCATGAAAAACAAGAGCCCCAATAGATAAAACCAAGCTTCTGTTCTGTCCAAATTATCCCCACTTGCCTGTCAGTTAGGCTGTGCTCATTATGTAGTGTTTACATGTGCCAGATCAGGCAAAACAAGTCCAACTTCTGTTTTTGAAATACCTCAGGCTGTAGTGTTAAAGAACAGTTCAGTAGTCTGGAAGCCTGTTTAAACAAAGCTCAGTAAATCTTCTCTATTTCTTTGAAAAACTCTAGACTGACCAAGAAATGCTTAATGACAGCATATGAAATCTGGGTGGAGGAATGCTCTAGCAAAGCCAACACCAGCATGTTAACAGAACTACCTGAATAGGTGTAGTGGTTACCATATTCACCGTCTGGCCTTATTGTTTTAGTGTGCTAGTATTTGGTCATTTTCCTCAAACTTTCATGTCTGCTTCTACACTCCAAATTGGTGAAAAGATGCTGCAAACCAAAGCTCTAAACATTTTTCCCTATGTTTTGATTATATCCTCTCTAAATCAAATGTGTTCTTTATTCCCATTAAAGCAGACGATTGTTATGGCCCTGATAGTACTTGCCAGAGCTTTCATGATACCTGCACTAATCCCAATCTGCACCAGTGGCCCATGACACCAGCTCTGTTTTGTCTTACTTTAGGACATCAAGTCCACGCTAAAACATGTGTTAAAAGAAGCAAGTCCGTATGTGTTGTCACTTTGCTCTACATGGGGACAAAAGTTTGTCTTAGCGTTAGAGTCTGCTGCCCACACAAGCCGAAATAGTGTCACAGAAGTGATGTTATCGTTCCTTCTGGCAAATGGGTTAAAGCACTGTTATAGTGGAGTGTTTGTCACTGTGTTAATAGTTGAATGAGATAGTTTCTGTTAACCGCTTTTCACAAACAAAAATCTTTCTAGATAATGAAAAGCAGATCATAGGTTGCTGTTGCGTAGTTCATCTTAAAACGTCTGAATAAAACAGTGCAAAAAGAGTCAGAAAAGTCAGAGAAGACTAAGAAACAGTGTAAAATTTGATCATAATCCTGCCAAAAGTTGTTGAAATGTTTAAGTTCTGACAGAATCGACTGCTCACACAGAGCCATATAGTTATCATAGCTTATAATGCCCTGATAAAAAGTGAGTGAATGCCAAATTTGACTATGACTGAATTATCCACCAACATAATAACCATAGGAAATAGATTCTCTACCAGGGAGGAATTGCAATGAGTCACTTTTACACCCTTTATTCTGACTGACATTTTCAGGTCATCATTGACGAGTTGATCAAAAAGCTTGATGTCAACTTGAATGAGGACATTGGGAACCTGTCGCCAGAGGAGCTGAGACAGAGAGTAGATGCTGCCATCGCTCAGATAGTAAACCCAGCCCGGGTCAAAGAGCAGCTGGTGGATCAGCTCAAAACCCAGATCAGAGACCTGGAGATGTTCATCAACTTCATTCAGGGTACACACTGTCTCAGAGACAGATCAGACTGTGTCAGAGTTTACAGTTTCAGCTTTTCATTACCATAATTTGTATGTAGCATAATTTCTTTGATACATTTCAGTAAATAGCTTGGTTTGTTTTGTTTTGTTTGTTTTTTTCTGAAAAAGATGAGGTGGGAAACCCTCTCTTATCTGATGCCGGACACAGCCAGCAGAAACAAGCAGCAGGTGCTGACAGCAGAACTCCAGGAGTGAAGAAGAAAGGTTGGTTAATTCTTCAAAGACATATTAATGGAAATCCCTATTGGTTAGAGAAGAGATAATAACATCACCACTGTTGGTGCCTAGTGTGAATGAATCTGTTAATGAATTCCTCTGTCTTCTCTCCCTGCAGTGGACCCAGAGCAGGCCCAGAAGATGCGGGAAACAGGCCTGCAGCTGATTCAGAAAGCCCTTGCTGTGCTGCAGATCTTCGCTGCCAGCCAGTTCGGCTGCGGACCCGGCCATGTTCCTCAAAGCATGTGGCCTCAAGAGACTTCAGGGCAGGACTATGGGCCCCTGCTGCAGAAACTAGAGGCTGCTGTGGATAAGGTGCGAGTGCTGGGCTCCTGCAGACAGCCAGCCCTCGAACACGTAGTCAACTACACCAGCAACACTTCTCTGGGACCCCGAGATGAGCTCACGTCAGCTGTGAGGAAGGAGCTCTCAATCGCTCTGAAAGACTTGTTGGCACATGGCCTCTTTGCGCCCTCCCAGACCATGAGCCTGGTTCTGGCCCCCATTTCCTGCCTGCTGCCTTACAGACCTGCCACACAGAACATGCACCCATGGGAACTCTTTGTCAAATTCTACCACTCTAAAAACGGGAAAGCTTTTGTGGAGTCGCCAGCTCGCCAACTATCTCAGTCCTTCAGCCTGACTGTAGGTGGCGGCCCGGTGACTGTCACCCCTAAACAGTCTCTGCTGTGGGCCATCCACACAGTGCTGAAGGAGCATGGACGCTACAAACGAGGACCAGACACAGAGTTCAAAGCACTGGTGTGCATGGCTCTGAACGAGCAGCGGCTAGTGTCGTGGCTCAACCTTCTGTGTAAGTCAGGGACTCTTATCCACCCGCACTACCAGTCTTGGAGTTACATGGCACAGACGGGCTTTGAAGGAGCCCTCAGGATCCTGGGCCGCATCAGCCACCTAAAATTCAACCTCCCAGTGGACCTGGCTGTGAGGCAACTGAAGAACATTAAGGATGCTTTTTGAGGAGAATCCTCATGTTGATAATCATCAGCTAAACACCAACAGCATGACTTTGTGCGTGACGTGATTAACCTTTTGAAAGGTTCTTTCAGTAGCTGCCCATCTGAAGTGAAATGTGTGACGTCTACAGTACATGCATGAATGATAATGTGTACGTTTACGATGCCAAAATGTTGCTACTCATACTGTCAACATGCCTTAGACTGGAGCTAAGATGACCTCATTTTTATTGAAGCCTTCTTGACCTTTCCTACCTGTTCCTCACAAAATCATTTTACCTGTGAAACATGACAGAGCTCTCACCTGTGCCACAGAGAGTGACTGGATAGTAATCAGGACTGTAATGTTGTAGCCACTTATACAATCTGATGGAGAGGTGGTGAGCAGAGTAGCTGTTTCAATACTGTGGCTTCCACACAGTAACAGAGACTGCTGTTAAGGATGTGATGGAGGGATAAATCACATGTAGCAGATTAGGTTATTGTAGAGCAAAGACGCAGAGCTCAGGTCAGATTAAAATAAAAAAAAGCATTTTACAGGGCTGGGTGATAAACTGTACTGGAAAGAAAACAATAAAACTAACATCACTTAAGACTGGACGTTACCACTCAAAATGGGAAGTAGATCGATGAGTGGTGAGAACTGTAAAAACAGCCGGCAGGACAGCGTATTTAGCTTGCACTACATTCCAGGTTGACTACTTTTTTGCTGCTTCTACTTTGTTTTTTATTCGAATGATTTAAGTCGTTGAACCAGCAAGAGTTGGGAGTAAAACAAGCTGAGGATAAAACTGCATTGTTCAGCATTTTTACTGGTAATCATTATCATCATACTGGCTTATTCTAGTTGGAGAGGAAAAAACCTCTGAATGTTTTCCTGCTGGGAGAAACTTTGTGAAGGACAAACTCTGAAAGCATATAAGTGTAAACTGCATTGTCAGTTGTAATCATTGGTGTAATTCGGTGGTCAGTTTTGGCTGGTGAGGCAGAAATCTCTGTGAAACATGTTTCCTCCTCCTGACCTAGAGAATAAGCTAACATCATCATCGATAGCTCAGCTTGCTGCCACTCTAGACATCTTTCTTTAAATATATTTGTAGAAACATGTTTGAATATAAAAATGCTCCTCAGTGTTTTACCAGTTTTAATGACCTTTGATTAAAAGACAATATAGTCTGAGATCCTCTTTTGATAGAATCCCAAAGTTAGACTAATGTACCTGCTCTTTTCTTCATGCTAGGATCACAAGTTAAATATGGTCGTATTTTCATTGGTTGTATCGTTCGATAATATATTATCCATGTAATTCTATGTCACCCAGCCCTGATGCTTCCAAGCAAACATCATTCATCATTTGTTTGACATGATACAACTGAACACGCTCTGGACTCTGTTTTAAAACCTCTGAAGCTGTTGTTTTGCACATTGTGTCCGGCATGAACATACCGGTCCTTGACCCTGTATTATCTGCTGCTTCTCTCCTACTCCAGTAGAATTTAAATGATACAGTGCTGTTTGTATAGAACTTATAACATTATAGCTTAGATGTAACATAACTGTTGGATATCGGGGGATTTTTTTCTGAGAAATGTATCTTTTATTTAATATAGCTTAGTTGCACAGATCATATCGTTACAAATTGAATGTACAAACCACAAATGCTATTAAACTGAGGTCAGCTTATATCTGCTGTATGCTTGTGTGGTCTGAAACCTCTGAAAAGAGAATTGATGAAGATAAACAGTGCACCTATAGACACATTCCCATCTGTTACCTGTCATTTTATTTAACTCTGCTAACTGAAACCTTGTGTTCTGTTTGAGCTGTATGAAGTAAATGTAACTCTTTATTTCTGCTCTGATTTTCCCATTTTCATTGCATCTTGTTGAGCTGTTATTTGTGATTTATTTAAAAAATGTTAATTTATTGAAAAGCATATTTTAGCTGATGTAGTCACAACATGCTGTAACACTAAGTCATGTAGCTGGGAACAATTAACACACTGAATTATTTAGATTGTGCTATTTATGTTGTTTTTATTGAGTTGCCCTCATCACATAAAAATACAGCAGCTGTTATATTTCAGTCTGTTTTGTTTTTATCATGGGAAATGCAAAGCTACAGTTGTAAAACTATTTAAACAGTAAAGGAAATGTTTCGCTGTTTGTGAGTGTTTGGCCCCAGGGCTCTAAATAAATCAAGAAAATAAACTTTGGCTATGAACATTTAAATCTGTGTTTTCCTCAAACTTTATTTTGCTTAAGTGTTTTGACTGAATATACCTTCCTATACGGAACAGTCATCCATGTAATTGACTTTTGAGACAGAGGGCGTTAAAAATTGACCTATTGTTCTAAGGGTTATCACATAAAACCAGATATCAGTCATTCAGATGTGTTTTTTACATTATATTTCTAATTTAAAGCTCCTACAAGGATTTTCTAGTTTGTTGGTTTTGGGCATCCCTGTGGACAAACTGGTACTTTTTCTGCTAATCCTCCTGTCTCTCAGTGGTTTAATGTATTCCCTCGGGGATACATTAAACCTCTGCATGTTCATGCATTGAATACCCAGTTACGTTATCAAGTGTTTTGAAAAACTTCTGCTGAAACCAGCTTATGCATAGAAAACTTCATTATCGGTAGCACATCAGTGTTCATAACTGCGTATATATCCCATCGCCTGACACTAGGCATGATGCATAAAAGGAGAAGGCATTCTTGGCTTTAAAGTCTTTCATATGATATTATTTAAGTATCTATCTTATAGTTTATGCTTTACAAAAACAAACGTTTTGATACAAAAATAAAACACTGTAAAAAAAATAAATAAATAAAAATAAATAAAATGCCACCCGGAAGTGACATAAACTGAGTGGCGTCAAAGTTCACAGAAACCGATTCTACTTCCTTTCCTGTTAGCGGTGGCCGTAGAGCAGCAACAGTGAGTGAATTTCCCTGGAATCAATCTTCAGCCATCGCATTTAATCTAGCCATATGACTGTATTTTGGCACACCATATGTTTGACAATCATTTCTCTTGTTACGACGTTGCTGTTATTTTGTGTATTGATGCCTGATATAGAGAAAAATACACAATTAATGCTGCGGGTATACTCAGTAATGCATTTTCCAACATGGCCGCTTCCTTGACTTGAACGCTGTCTCAGTTTGAAACGTTTGCTAAAGAGGCTACCACATCACACTATAGTGATTCGTCATCATATATGTAGTGTTAAATGTAATTTCGTCATGCCCTTACTGCGCGGCATGGCATAAAAATGTGTCCAATCCTCAGTAACAGCCACTATTTCCAAGCCATCGTTTGTCGGTGTTGGGCTGCCATGCTAACCGCACAGCAGGAGCAAGTTAGGCTGAACCCACTGTGTTCACATCTGTGGTATTTTCGTTCAGTATTGTCTCAATGGGACGCTAATTAACTGTTATGTGTTTTCTGTGGTTAGAAATGGGCAAGTTCATGAAGCCTGGGAAGGTTGTGATGGTCCTAGCTGGACGCTACGCCGGGCGCAAAGCTGTCATCGTTAAGGTAAGATCTGACTGTCGGATTTCTGAGGAGTAAGTCCTCACTACCTGCTTTTATACCTGCGTACCATGAACAAAAGTGTATGAATTTTGCTGTTTTCAGGGCAGTAAATTCATGCCCATTTTCCTGATAATGCCCTTTCACACTAATAGACAGCCAATAGACACAATCCAAATAATGACAGAACAATAATGCAGTAAGGGTTTCTAACCCCTCCTTTATGTGTTTTACAGAACATTGATGATGGCACAACTGATCGCCCTTACAGCCACGCTTTGGTCGCAGGCATCGACCGCTATCCCCGCAAAGTGACCACAACCATGGGCAAGAAGAAGATTGCCAAGAGGTCCAAGATCAAGGCCTTTGTTAAGGTGTTCAACTACAACCACCTTATGCCCACCAGGTTAGCATAATCTATGTCTACATGTTTTTTATGAGCTATTCCAGCTTCACAGGAACTTAATACATGCCCATAGATGGAACAAAATATACCCTGATGAATTGTTGATGGTAAATAAAGATTGGCTCTCGCACATCATCAGCCCGCAGTATATACAGTGAACTCAAATAGGACTTCAAGTTATTCAGAAGAATGTACAACATCAGAACATAAAATGAGAGTTATTGTGTTTATGGTTGGTGAAAAATTCTCAGGAAAGTAGTCAACTTCCACTTAGTAATACTTACTGCTGTTCATGTCCCAATGCCAAAGACATTTGCGACATCCTTGTGCAGTTAGTATCCTGACATTGTATAGGATTTATTGTCAGAAGCAGCGGAACAATTGTTAGATTTTTTTTTCTTTTTTGGCTTTTGCTGTGATTTCATACGAGCTTTAAGTCCATCACAGTCCTAATTATCTTAGTCTAAGTTTAGGACAAAGCGGTTGTTTTTTGAGACATAACCGCTCTATTGACCAGTCTCTGTAGTGTGGGTCATTGTTTTCAGGTTGTTTCAGTGAGATCAATAACAAGAGATGTGATCTGAGGTGGATAAAGTGAGACATTGCTCTGGTGAAGTGGTAGACACAGCCTATTACTAGTCTCTGTAGTGTGGGTCATTGATTTAGGTTGTTTCAGTGAGATCAATAACTTAAGAGATGATTGCCAGTTGATGGAGCTGTCGTAGGTACTTGTTCACGGCATGGTAGTCAATCAGTTAAACATGGCCACCACAACAGTAACAGCCAGTGACTGAGCCTCATTCAGGGCCAGTGGCAAGTAGCTGCACTGCAGCGTAGGCATAACACATGATCAGCATTTTGGGCCTAAAATAATAGAAATATTAGTTTTATTATGTAACCAGTGATTGCTGACTTGCAAGTGTGACAAGCAATTGTTAGTCAACTTAACCAAAACATGCCCACTCTGGTTATCCTTGTTGAGTAATGTTGTTGTTCAAAAGTGAGGTTGGAGCTGGAAGAACTTTTTGTTGTTGATTTCAAGCATTCTTGGTTAAATCTTGGTCCTTAATCACACATGTTGAAGGGATGACACTTCATTATATTGGCAGCATGCAACAGGAAGTTTAACCTTGAGACAAGAAGCAAAAGGCAAAGTTGACAGCTGAGTAATAAGAAATCGGATTAAGTGGTAACATTTGGAAGAGGGAAGTCAACAGCGAGTGTCCATAGAGCATACATACATCTGCTTTAATGGCTGCAGCACTCTAAAGTAGGGATGTGCAATAATGCAAAACCACCATTTGATTGTCTCAGAGACTGATCCACAAGAGAATCCTGAGTGTTAAAGTAATCCCTGAATTTGGACAGCCAAACTGCTGGTACATGAGGGTTTCTGGTGTCAAACTGCTCATTTGCACAAACAAGGCTTTTGGTTTTTAAATATGTTTACATGTAGAGTAGGGTTTAGTTCTTCTATGCTCTGTGAACTCGTCTGAGAGTTTGAGAGTTAGAGCAGTTTTTAATTGTAGCGCTTCTTCCCTTTCAGATACTCTGTGGATATTCCCCTGGACAAAACTGTTGTCAACAAGGACGTCTTCAGGGATCCTGCTCTCAAGCGTAAAGCCAGGCGGGAGGCCAAGGTTAAGTTTGAGGAGAGGTGAGTCCCTGCTTCCAAAGTATACATTCAGTTTTGGTGATTTTTACTTTTGACTTTCAGGATGACTCGAGTAATGATTTATAAATGTTGCTTTTTCTGATCAGATGATTTGAGGCCATCCGGGCAAATATTAGCTGAGCTTTTTTCTAATTATCCATGAAAATCATCAGTCCAAATACCCTAACTATATTCTGTCAGTTACATGAGGCACCCGGCATACTTTATTCTTGAGATTCTTCCAGATTCTTTTAATGAATAACCAATTATACCTTAACTGTTTGGCTGAGTCTCAAAGCTTCATATTTACATGTGTGAATGAAAATGATTTTATTCTTTCTTTTTTTTCAGGTACAAGACGGGCAAGAACAAGTGGTTCTTCCAGAAGCTCAGATTCTAAATTCACTTGGTTTAACTAATAAATGTTTAAAAAAAGATTTTGGCTGTTTGACTTTTTTATTTTTTGAGGAAATAAATGAAAATGTGGATTGACTGAGCACTTTTTTTTTTTGACAAATGAGGTTGGAGTGATTTATAGAGACCAGTAATGATCTGTTTTCTTTCTTTGTTGTAAAATTTTACTTGAATTAAACTAAACAAACATAGCTCAAATACTTTCAAATCCAAGCTCATGTTTATGGGTCAGTATCTGGGTAAGGTATTTTTACAAGTAGGAATGAGGAAGAGAGATAGAGGTAGTTTTGAGGCACATCTTTCTGGTCCATCTGATGTGTGAAAGAAAAGGCTCCCAAGTTCTGAGGAAGAGTTTATCGCAGTGTATCGTGTCAAATAATCTAGTGAGACATTCAAGTAGAGCCCTAAACCAGTTTGTCGAGTGATGATGTTATCCAGTTCTAAAAACCTACATTTCCTACCACAGGAGGTCAGCATTGTGTAGAGTTGGTTTTTGCATTTACCAGTGATACAAGTATTTGACATCAAACACAAAGCATCACCATTTATGTGAACAGATAGAAACCTGTTAATTTCTTGCACTATGATCCACCAGAATTACAATATTTTTTCTGCAAGACCTTAAGCAATGTGTGAGATTCATTTTCTCTTTAGCACTTTGGGGATAAGTTAGCATGAAATTTCTGGTGTTGAGAAGTGGAAAGGTGGTCTCAGTGTATTGCCATGACTTGAATTGCTTTAACTGTATTAAAGAGATTTAAACATTGTTCCAGGTGTCCTCTGAGATCTTCAGACTGAACTCTTTTCCATGTGTCTTTTAGAAGACACGTGTTTGTAGTGTGACACTAGTTTTCTTTATTTTGAAAGCTGTAAAGACATGCTTATGATTCTATTATCCACCCTCTCACCTTTAAGATTGGTTTGCCTCGAACGTGTCGCTGGTTTGTGCTGGATGTCATTTTTTAATAAAATATCTATGTATGGTACCATAATGGAATCAGTGAATTCTCTATCTGACAGTTAGCCTTTGATTTCTGCTTTAGATCTAATACTTCCAACGTGCAATCACTATATCTTGGTTTTAAATGTAAAACTGGAATCCACATTATTTCTAACAGACTAAGCTATACATCCTCTGATGCCCTTTGAATGTCAGGTGTGCCATTTAAAAATATGTTGATGTATTTTCTATTTTGTCGTATTTGTGTTAGTTTTGCAGCCAGATCTTGAAGAGGGAAATTCAAGACATCTCACCCTAGTGTATGAAATCCCAAAACGTCGTTCATGTCCATTTCTGCTAATATGAAAAAGTGTTTAGAGCTCATCGTGCTGTCCAGTTAGGAGGGCAAATTTCCGACAGTGCCTGAAGATAACATCAGATTAAATTACCGCAGCGCCACCTGACGGAGAAACCCGATGCGTTCAGGGCTGTTTGTGTTTCCAGTAAAAAGAAAGTGAAAGATAAGAGACTCGACCGAACAGCTTCGACTGGGAGTAAGTATAACAAAATACCGTCTGAGAGAACTATGGTCTTAAACCTTTTAAGAGATATTACGGTATATTACAAATGCTGACAAGAGTTGTTAATTTTACCAAATCTACGTAACTGTGCGTGTTTTAAAAGTTGAGATGTAGGTCTGTTAAAGAAGTGAAAGACCGGGGTTGTCTTTAGCCTTAATTCAGGGCCTGTACTTTAAAGAGCTTGGTTTATTATGCTGACATGTACTCCGTTTAAAATACGTACCTTCTATTTACAGAAAAAGAGTTCAAACCTGTCACTGTGTTTCTTTGCTGTGACTGTATCCAGGTGATATTGACTTCAGCATGTCTGATGAGGTGAGACGCCTTTTTCGTAATGTTATGTTCGTTGTTTGCGTAATAAACTTCCTATTCTCTTTAGCTGACCTCTTACTGAGAGATTATGTCCGCCCAGCTTAAAGCGTGCAGTGTTGTCTTTTATCTGATTTATGAGTAATATGAGTTTGTTAGATCTTTAATATCTTCATCCCTCCTGCTTTAGGAGTTCTCCCTGGTGATGGCAGACCAGAAGCCATCAGAGGACAGCCTGGAGGCCATCGAAGCTTTGACTAACAAACTTAAGGTGGACTAAAATTCATGACTTCTTATAAAGAAGTGTAGATGGATCGCTTTGTCTTAAATGATCACTACTAGAAAAACAATTAGTTGTAAGGTCATTATTTTACACGTTGTAGGAGACGCTACATGAAAGCAAATATATGCATGCGTGCCGACCATAGACTGTATATAAGAGTATATATAAGACTGTATATAACAGCGTATCCCCCCGGGAGAGCTACACAATCCCTGAACGCCCATAGGCTGTACCAGGTGTCAATCATAGAAAACATGAACTCCCTAATAACTTTTAAAAACGGAGCTGTACAGAAAAAAAGGACTTGGGCACAAACCAGTCTTACAATAACTATATGTCAACATCACAAGCAGGGGAGAGAAAAAATTATGTTCTGTGTAATAAATTTCTAAAGTTTGTCCATAGTCCCATAAACTTTGCTGGCGGAGGCGGGATTTATGACCTGTACTGCAGCCCACCATCAGAGGGTGCTGTTCTCGGAGTGGCTTCACCCAGCGAGGAGGCCGACTCTGTCCATCTTATATACAGTCTATGGTGCCGACTGTCTTAAATACGCACCTTACCTTAGACAAATACTACAATATAAGAGCATTCTTGAACCAAATCTGAAAGAAAGACGGTTCATTAATTTAAGCAAAAAAAAGTCATTTTTGTGTCAATGAAGGATAAACGAGATATCAGAGAGACTAAAGTATCTAAGGTGCTGACACATACCAGAATGAATTTGCTCAGAAGTGTATGAAGTATGCACAGAAGAGTCTCGTATATTTAACCCCAGTTTGATTCAAAGAACAGTAACTTTCCAATGAGCTTGATCATAATGAAGATATAAAGTTGGCGAACGCTGCTTTTGGGTGCACAGAAACAACACGAGCAGCTGCTGCAGGACCAGAAAGAACTGGCCACCTGCAGAGACGACCTGCAGGACCGGGCTAAAAAGTTTAAGGAGCGCACAAAAAAACTGTCTCAGGATCTGAAAGAGGATGAGGACTCCCACAAGGAGGAGATTAGAAAAGAAAAGGTAGGAGTCTCAATTTAAAGTCCCCCCCTTCCTTCTTTGTTCAATCTCTCTTTTATTAAGAAATGGTCATTGGGAAATGGGAAACAATTAATATAAACAGACCAGATTTTCTCCCTCTGTTTTATTCCTCTGTCTGTAACCCAAGCAGTTTAATATCCTTTAACTGAGGATCTGACTAAACTTAAACCTGCACCGCTCTCATCCACACTGGCTTTATACTGTGGAGCTGTGTGAGTGCAGTCTCCTTTTCCATCTCCCAGCCGTATACTCATAATACTTAAGTTGTGATAGTTTCTCAAACTGTGGAACAACTTCTCTCACCTCCTCTTCAGTCCAAATGATCAGCTTTGTCACGACTGTCTATGTGCATGCACACATGCATGGATAAAAATCATTGATTTAATAACAAGCATGAATCAACCCTTCTGTCCCCATTTTATCTTTTATCTGTCATCTCTTATACCTCTTATCTTTTTTTGACTTTACTGTCTTTTAAGCTTTTGTTATACTTGTACTGTTTTCTTAATTAACCTTTTAGGCCTTTTATTGTTTTATCTCTTGCTCATTTATCTGTTGCTCTATTTTATCATTACTATCATTATCAGTATAACCTGTTAATATTTTATTATCATTGGTTATATTGCCTTTTATATTTACTGTCCTGTTTCCACTTTCGAGCCCCCTTTTAATGGCATTTTCTTTTTTCTTAACTATTTTATGTTTTTATTTTGGTCCTCGTGGTCTCATTTTATGTTGCATGGTTCTTGTATTGTCTGGGCTCCTCATGACATAAAATGGCCTTCAATTCTGGTTTAACAAAACTTGTTTTGATCTGTCTTTTTTCATGTGCTTTATGACTATATGTCAAAGCTCTTTGTAAACTTCTGTTTTTAAAAGTGCTGTTCAAACAAATTTATTATTATGATTATTATAAGTAGTAGTATTAGTATTTTGCAGCATTTCACAGGCTTGGTAAAAATGGAGTGTAATATTTTTTTAGTAAGGTTTAATGCGTGTGCACTTGACACAGCTAAATTTTCCCATTTCCACACACAGTATGTTAAAAGTACTGTATCCTCCAGTTGTATAGCTTGCTTGTGTTTTTTTTTCTTACTTTGAAATATGAAATACCTTCTACCCTTTGCTTTTGTGAGGTCTAAAGGAGGCGCCCCCTGTTGACATCTTAGTACCTCTTATCTTTAGTCTTGTGTGTAAGAAAGTAGTCCATCCAGACTGGTCTGTTTTTCAGCTGGTTAGAGATTTCCTACTGCGCTTTAAATAATCACTGTGAGAAATGACTTCATTGAAACAGTTGGAATGGTTTCCTTCTTTATCTGGTTGTTCTTTATGAGCTCATCTGTCTTCACTCAACTTGGAAAAAAAAATTGGGGCTGCAAATGAGGCTTTAAAACCAAGTTAACCTTTCAAACCTTTTCACTGTAAATTTTGGGTCGGTATATACACTACAGGCCAAAAGTTTGGAGGCAAGATCAGACTTATACAAAAAAGATCATAGTTTCATATGTATAATTTGCAACACAATAAACATGACTATTGTGTAAAGAGTAACTTATCAGAAGACATTTTGACTATAATTATTAGGTATTTGAGTTATTGTTGCTTAGACTTTGCTTTCTTTAAAGTAACCTCCTCTGGCTTTAACAACATATACCAGGCATTCGTTCCACAAGTTTTTTTAAGGTACGTTCCAGGGATTGCATTCCAAGCTTTCTTAAGTTCATTAAAAAGAGACTGCTGATTCGTGGGACACGTTTTTCTGACCGATCGATCCAATTAATCCCGCACAAGCTCAGTTGGAGAAAGGTCTGGAGACCGAGGGGGCCAAACCATCTTTTGAAGAACACCTCCCTCTTCTTTTTTGTCTAGGTAACCCTGACAGAGCTTGGCAGAGTGCTTAGGGTCATTTTCTTGCTGCAAAACAAACTTATGAGCCACAAGTCTTAGTCCAGATGGAACAGCATGGTGCTAGAGGGAGTGGTACTGTTCCTTCTTCATAATACCCTTTACTTTAAACAAACCTGCAAAACATCCCCAAACCATGGAGCTACCATCTCGATGCTGAATTGTGGGTGTAACACATGGTGCTTTCAGACGTTCACCAATTTGTCTGCGGATATAGACTCTGCGTTTTGAACCAAACAGTACAAACTTGTTTCTAGTCATCAAAAGTCCAATTTTTGTGTGCGTATGCCCACTCATATCTCTTTTTCTTGTTCTGTGGACGAAGTAGTGTTGTTTTGCAGATACACAACCCTTCAGACCAGCCTTTCTGAAACATCATTTCACGGTTGTAAGAGATATGGGTTTCAACCTTGTCATGTTGATTTCCTCCCTTATTTTTGGTGCTGTTTTTCGCTGATCACTCTTACTGGTGACAATGCTGTTTATCCTCTGCTTTTGTAGTAACTCTCTTTCATCCAGGTCTTTTTCTGTTATCATAACTTCCAGGTTCCTCTAGTCTCTTCAGAGTATAGTGGACTCCTTTGTTAAACACCTTTAGGCGTTTTGCAATTTCTCTTTCTGTGTACCCTTCTTTCCTTAATGTACAAATCTGTACTTTTGTTTCTTTGCTCAGTGACTTCTTTCTTGCCATTTTTTCAACACAGTTGAGTTTTATTAGGATTTTTGTATGCAGACTCTCAAAAGCCAAAAAGTTGAAGTGAATAATCCAACTGTGATTTGTTTTTTTGCTTTTCCACTGAAGTTGTGACTCTTGCAAATGTTTTCAACCCTAAAACTAAGTCTTTATCTTTTGCTGACATATATTTAGCAATGGTCTGTTAATATCGATGTATATCTAAAGGTAAATGGAGTAAAATGGTGCATTTCCATGAAAGCAACATCTGATCATGGAGTAAATACATCCCAAAATACATAAAACTCATGCTGGATTTTAAAAAAAGCATTGTGAACAAAAACTTGAAGTTACTCCCAACTGTTGGCCTGTAATGGCCTTGCTTTCAAACTTTTGGCCTGTAGTGTATACGGAAAAATACTGATTAGCCTCAGATAAAAGTTACCATCTCCTCACTTGAGCCACTGTTGCTGACCAGACCAGAAATGATGAAAAGTATGTCATGCAATTATTGATACCATTTTGGAAAGTTGATCAGTTTTGTTGGGTCTCATCCTCTCTCGGTTTCTTTCTTTTCAGGCTAAAGTAGCCTTGCTGAAAGAGGAGGAAATTGACCTAATGAAGCATATTGAAGAAGTGGAGGCAGCCCTGCAGGAAGAAGAGGCCAAATATGAGCACATGAAACAGCAGACTGATGTAGGCCTATCTCACTCAGCACACAGGGTGTGGATGTAGTCGCATTTGAAATTCCCATTAAACCTGCAGCTTCTGATTCCAGGTGTTCTCTGCAGTACCAGAGAAGAACATGGTCTTCAAAGGATTGACAGGAGTGGAAGGTGACTCACAGTTTGAGATGAAGCCACACATCATTTACCCGATGGAGGGAGGAACAGCTCTGATTACATTTGAGGAAGAAAAGGGTGAGTTCGTTCAGGAGATACTGTCACTGTGGGTTGTGTTTTGCACTGATCACTCAAAATTCAGATACATCAAGAAACTTAGGTACCAACGGCAAGCATTCAGAGGTGCATAGGAAACTAATATGCACTAGTGACAAACCACCTTCCAAATTTACTCGTAGTTGCGAGGAACATTGTGGATATGAAAGAGCATTGCGTGAATCTGGGCGGAGAGTGCTTCATCACTGTAGGAGCCAGGCCAGTTCAGCTGTTGACGCCCAGTCTGGTGGAGGTAAGAATTTTTCCACCCTTCCTAAGTCTGGTTACTGACAATATTCACTTTTCTGTGAGTGACCCACGCCTGTTGGTCCCATAGATACAGTCCGAGGTGAGCCCAAGATGCATATTAATCTCCAACCTGCCCAGGATGGACACTGAGCCTCTGCTGAACAAGCTAGAGATCCACTTCTCCAAGACAAAAAATGGAGGAGGAGAGGTGGAGGACCGGGAATTCCTGCCCGACTCTGGGACTGTGGTCATCACCTTTCTGAAGTCCGACTGTGAGCAAGCTCTGTCCTTCAAATTACAAAGCAAGAATGGTTGAATTCTGTCTCAGATATTGTGAGAAGAAGATCAGTTTTAGAACATTGTAGACTTTAGGGTCTTAAAAGCTCACTATGTATCCTCTTGTTGTAACATCACATATCCACTGCAGTTGCCAGAGGTCTGGCAGAGACCGAGTTCCATGACGTGGCACTTCTTCCACGCGGGAAAGGTCACAGAGTAAGGGTGACTCCTTTTCTCAACGGGACCGTCACAAAATTTAAGGTGAGCATTCATGAGGTCAGTGCAGAGACTGCAGATCTCAGCACTCTTTTTAACCCCTTTTGGAAAATGTTGGCATTTAAAACTTATTTTTACTTGTCAACAATTTAAGGGTCAAGCTTAAATATTCAACCGCACTCAAAGGAGAAATGTTTAAGAATGTGGGTGTTTATTGAAACAGTATGGTTGAGTTTAGCTGCAGCCTGCTACTACGCAGTTGTTTGCTGCTTGGTTCTAATTTAGCATGACTGGTTCAGCGTGAAGCGGACCCAGAGCAACTCCCCTTTTCATTGGCTATTTGTATAGTCTACCAAAACATGGCAGAATGCCGACTATCGAAAAGAATATTGACCGATATCATTATCGAGGGAAATAATTTTGGATATCCTATATTGTTATCATTTTATTACCCAGCCCTACTGGGAAGTGGTCAAGTTTAGTCTGAATGTTTAAAATTCATCATATTTTACTTTCTAGGATTACAGATCTTGCAAGTCCAGAATCTAGTCCAGCTAAACGGGTCCCCTTCTTGTCTGTGACATAAGAGAAAGATGGACTTTGCTTTGTCTGTGTTCAATTTCCAGACTAAGATGAGGGTGTGTCCCCGGACAGTACTACTGACTGGGATTCCTGCCGTCATGGAGCGAGAGACCCTACAGGACCTGCTGGAAATCCACTTCCAGAAAAGTGGCAACAGTGGAGGAGAAATCGAAGCTTTCCTTTACAACCCGCAGGGCCACAAGACCTCAGCCCTGTTCACAGGTGTATCAGAGAAAAAACAGGAAGAGTAGCCGGTGTACATCATTTATCTATAATAGTACTATCAGTCCAATCAGGTAAGGCTGTAACTGCACTACAATAAGGGCTGGATCTAACTTCACCAAACAGCTACCATGTACCCATTTAACCTTTCAGATAAAAGCTGGAACTCAGCACAGGGACCTGCCTCCTGTTTTAGGGTGTTTTTGGAATTTTAACCATCATTGAAGTAAATTCTCTCAGATATCTGTCAATGTCTATGTGAAGAACTTAACTGTTCACTGAAATCTGTGATGGGTGTTTTATGTGCATTATTAAGAAGTTTTACATTTATGGAAATAAAGATTGTATCATGATGTAAATACCTCATCAGCTTCAGAGTGTTGGAGTGTGGAGGACTGTTGAGCACTGAGATGTAAAGAAAACAAAGTGAGACTAAAGTCAAATAAGGTTTATTGTAAAAATGTCAAAGCAGGATAAAAGTAACAGCACATAAAAAAGAAACAGAACTAAACTGACATTACTCAAAGAATCCAGCTACATCCCATAGTGCTCAAACTGAAAACAAAAACAGCAGCAACAGTGAGATCCACAGATGAAACAGCAAACAAACTGAGGTCAGGCACTTAGACAGAGAAGGACAGTCCTATGGTGTGTGTGTGTGTGTGTGTGTGTGTGTGTGTGTACAAACAACATTACATTCAAAGAATGGAAAACCAGCAAAGGAAGCACATCTCGCAGAGAATACAGAGAAAAAAAACACCTGTGATACAGTCAAGTACTTTGGAAGACGGCCAAATTTTCACAGCATAAAAAGGACAAAAATATATAATTTAAGATTCTAAAATAACAATATTTTTGTTACTATACAATGTTTTCATGATGATTACACTCAAACTAGTGCAGGAGCAACTGCCAGCATCTAACAGTCTTTCTCTTGTACAGCGTAGAGGCTACCATTTGTGCATGTTCAGGTTCACTTAGACCCTGCCGTCTTATCTAAATCTTTCCTTTTTGTGCAGTCAAAGTCGGCACAAACAAAACCCAATAACGCATAGAAACCGCTCACGTTTCAGAAACATAACTGACATTGATCAAAGTCAGTGCAAAGTCTGGTGTCAAAGTGACATGGCCCCACGTAACTACGGCAGTACTATCACATCATTATGTACACAGCGTTAAAAAAATCACGTCCTATGATGCAGTAACAGGTCCTACTTGCACATAACAGTTAAAAGGCTTTAAAGAAATGACCACAAGTTGTTGCAAGTAATACAGGTTATGGTTGTTAATACATTGTTTGCTGTAAAACCATTGTAACATTTATTACAGAGAAACAGTACCTAACAGATCGTAGTTAATCAAGTCCTCGGTCGAGATATGCACTTTCATACAGCTGAAAAGATTCCCTTCCTATTTCTAACACACATCAGTTTGTGCCTTTTCAGTTAATGCTAGAATGAAAGGTTTGTGCTTGTAGCTTAAAGCACTGAATGCACTTGTGTTAGTCTAGTGGTTTTTGCTGCCAAGAACATCACATCTCTGATCAGTGTTTGCACCAAGCTGACAGCTGTTTTCCTGTTCTGCCGTACGCAAGTTAACACATTGCACACTTAATATTGCTTTACCAAAGCAAGCTGTTAACCACCAACCATCTTCCATGTGTTGGAGAGAGAGGCGTCAGCTCCTCGGCTGGTAAGTAAGCTGGGCAGGAGTGCATTAGTGTTTTGAGAGAGGAGGAGGATGGGAGGAGGTGAGGGGGCAGGAGGGCTGCTGGTTGTTGTTGTGGAATTACGGGACTATCTGCTGATAAAACTGGCATGTGCAATGTGGCCATTTAAACAACCAGTGGTGCCCACTGACTGGCCTTGCGTCCATACTGGTGTAAAGGACCAGAATGGAAAGAGAGGACAAGGAGAAAAAATAGAAGCACAAAATGTTAAATTTGCCGCTTTTGTACATGTTGAAGCAACAGTTGCAAAAAGAGAAGTTTTGTATTAAAACTTCATGTTAAGTTAACATTATCGCGGGTGCCCACATTGTGGAGTGGAAAAAGAATTACTGAGACAAAAAAGGCAATATCATGAGAATAAAGCTGTGGTTTTAGGAGAAAGACATCAAACACAAGATGTGTTAAAGCTACTGATGCATCTCAAATTCATAACTTTGTTAGAAAGTAAAGCTAAAATTAGCTTTAGTCCACAGTTATTAAAATTAATTTAAAAAAGCTTGAAACTTTATTTTACATGCCACGAGTCTGGAATATGTTAAATTTTCACTTCTTAAAACTCCAATGAGGAGTTTTTGAAAGTCACACTTATGTCTTTTAATAATAAACTGCAACAATCAGTGACTGTCCATTTTTACTTTGTAATTATAGCATCCTAAAAAACTGTTTTAGGGGGGAGGTGTCAGCTCAGCAGCTGAAGAAACAGTTTCCACATCAATCTTCACAATAAACATTTGACTCTTAAAAACCAGCAGGATGAGGTTTTTTTGTCAGAGGATGCCACTTGAGCACTTTGGGACAGCCCGTGGGCCAAACTTGACAGATTTCAGAAGTTCCTTACAGGAGCTTTAACTGATGAACTAGACTATTTTAGGATACTCTAATATTATCTGATGCATTTGTACAGTAACAGGAGGACAGCAGAGGACAGAGCAGTTTTATTCTCATGGTATAACCGTCTCTCAAGGGGTACATCAACAGATTCTTTTCTGTAAATTTATGTCTATTCTCAAAATCTCAAGGTTTTCTTCCATAATGTGGCCCCAGTAATTGGCTATGTTATAAGAAGAAGCTGAAACTGCTAAAAATAAAAGGTCTGATACTTATACAGAGCCACAAGAGTCATCATTATATGGTCACTGAAATGTGAAATTTCATCTTACTCATCATGATGACTTTTGGATGCACATAGGTCAAAATCACTGACTGATACAGCTGTTGCAGTTCCTTTTGTGCCACTTGGAGGCACCAGGTCTGTCAGCAGTATCTTAAAGAAGTGTTTTTGAAGGGTCACCCAGATTACAAGAGCCACATAAACCTGAATACACTCACCTGAATATCAGTAAGCTCTTTGTAGAACCTCTTTGCCAGGTCAGGGCCGTTCTTCATGGTGGGAATCTGGTATGTCTGACAGAAAAACACAACTTATTTTTAATCCTTTAGCTCACACAGCTCCCTAGGCTGACCTTCAATCCCTCAAAAGCTACACTCGTACCTTTCCTTTGTAGAGGAGGCTGCCGACAGGACAGACAACGCATGCAGTCCCTGCTCCGAACACCTCCAAGACCTGCCCTGCGTCCAGAGCCCCGAGTAGCTCCTTCATCTCCATTGTGCGCTCAGTCACCTTAAATTCTCCCTGACAGACACAGAAAACAATGAAGACTGTCATTCTAGGCTTGTAATGCCATGAAATGAAGATTATTTCCCCCTATGATTGCTTTCCTCTGATGTTTGAAAACGAAATGTTATGAATATAACTTCTGTTCCCTGAAGGAGAGGAACGAGGTACAACACATATAGTATGGGATATCACGCCCTCGCGTGGCCTGACTGAAGACACCTTTATTCACGCCTTTAAGGCAGATGATCTGTGGTGACGTCTGGGAGGCTCCGCCTGCACATATATACGTGTAACACCACAGTCATCCTTCAGTTCGATAGCCGCTCTTCACCGAGCCTAGCTGCGCAGTGGGGCAACCTAATGTTGTACCTCGTTCCTCTCCTTCAGGGAACAGAAGTTATATTCATAACATTTCGTTCCCTTTCAGTCGATTCACTCGGTACAACACATATAGTATGGGACATATATATACGCCCCACAGAGCAGCCACCGAACCGAAGTCAAACCTCCAAAACTTTAGTGCACTGTAGACCCAGCAGAAAGGACAGAGTGAGCCACTGAAGGGGCTGTCCCATCCAAACAATAAAACCGAACAAAAACTGTGCGGTGATGATCAACTGGCTGCAGTGCAGATATCACTCACAGAAACCCCTTTAACCCTTTCACGTATAACGGTCACTACAGTGGACAAATCTTCAAAGGTCATTTTCTATTATAAAAATAGAGGTTTGATGTTACAAATGCATGTTAACCACTACAGTAGACCCTGGAAAATGAGTCAAACACTGGTGCCATGTGGCCATGTGTTGCAACTGCAGAAAAAACACGTCAACATTCAAGATGGCTGCCTCTGCTGAGAACAGACCCTCCACCTCTGGGATTTCCACTGCTTCCTTTTATAAAAGCAGAGCCCTGCAGGTAAAAAAAATATTTTGGGATAAAGTAACATCTAATAATTACTATAGTTGCAAAAAATTCCATGCATTGCTTTTATGTTCTGAGGAAATTGGAATTTTCCATTTGTCCACTACGGTGGACAGCATGCATGACTTATACTATTTCTACTACAATACATGCAAATGGTGTAACTCCTTATCTCTGCAAAATGCTTGATTTCAAGCTTACCTTTTCAGTTAAAACCAACCATTTTATGTTATTAAAAGGTAACCTGTATTGTATGTATCAAAAAATTAATGTTGTGCATGTATTTTATATTTTGTGCATGCATAGTATATATTGTATTTTGTGCAGCCTTTGTGCAAGTTTTGCAATGTTTATAAAACATTTTTTGCAAAAATATATTTTGTGCACGCATTGTAACACACACACACACACACACACACACACACACACACACACACACACACACACACACACACACTACTAACAGTGCATGCACAAAATATTATAAAAACAATGGAAAAAATATATATACATATATAAGATAAATAGAAAGAAAGATTGATTGGTTGTGCAATATTTTTCACATTATGTTATTTATTATATGCAAGGTTCACGCACAGAGAGGGACCAGAGGAAGTACAGAAATGTAGAGGAACTGCCATCGTCCAGCGATGCAATATCACTGTGTGCCTTCTTTTCAAATGTGAACTAATGTAGTACAGGGCATCGACAACTGAATGTGTTTGGATAGTCACTAAGGCACTATTTCTTTTATTATTGTAATTATTATTTTCATGAATGATCCAATCTATGGCATTTGTTTTTGCTTTGAGTGTGCTGGCTGAAGTTGTAGCACCTAGCCTGAAGCCTAATTAGGCTCATGGTTTCAGTTCGTTTGACACAGTTGACAGTTGTTGTTGCTGTTGTTTGACACAAGCCATGTTTTGAAATGTGCATTTAAACAGAATTTAAATGTTTTAAAATGTGAATCTAATTGTTTTGACTCCTTTTTGGGGTGGGGTTCTATTATTTGTATTAATACAATTCATTTTCTGTAATGTCGTCCAAATGCATGTTGTCCGCTTTAGTGGACATGTCACTAAAAACTTAGCAGAAACAGGTAAAAAAAAAAATTCCAACTGCAATATTATTTATATGCCTTATATTGAATAAAAACACATAGTAAGAATTTTTTAACTCAATATATCATAATTCATGCATGAAAGGGTTAAACAAGGCCTATGAGGCTGCCATTCCCCTGGTTGAATGTGCCCTCACACCTTGGGGCAACGGAAGACCCCTGCTGCCGTATGCTAAGGAGATAGCCTCCACAATCCAGCGGGAAAGCTGCTTTTTAGACAGTGCCCTGCCTTAGGCTGGATTAGCAAAACAAGCTAACAACTGGTAACATAAACGCACACTCTGAGTGTGGTCTATGTCAGTACGTAGTGCACGCACAGGGCACAAGGAATGCAACCTCCTCTGCTCCTCAGATGCAAATGGAGGACGGCAGAAGCTCAGTAGTTCAAAACTCATAGAGCTATAGGCTGTGGGGATAATCTTAGGCAAATACGCTGCATTTGGGCGCAATGTAACCTTAGATCCATCCAGAGTGAACTGGATACAAAAGGGATGCACAAAGCATGAAGGTCACCCACTCGCCAAAGCAAGTAGCAGTGCAGTTTTGTATGAAAGAAATTTCATGTCTGCTGACTCAACAGTCTCAAATGAGGTCCACCAAGAGCCCCAAGCACCAACCCTAAATCCCATGAGGGAACACTGGGTCTAAGCACAGGTCTCAGCCTGCGGACTCCCTTTAGGAAGTGCATAGTAAGAGGGTGAGCGCCTGGCGACACACCATCAAAGCCAACATGGCATGCAGATACAGCTGCCAAAAAGACTTTAATTGTTGAGAAATAGAGACCCCTATCCAGCCGCTCCTGAAGGAATGTTAAAACATCCACAATAGAACTTTGAAATGGGAGTACATTTCGGTCCTGACATGCAATCTCTACTCTCTCACAAGACGATGGAGAGAAGGTCTGGCCCAAGGTTTAAGTGACCCGGAATATGTGTGGCTCTGAGTGACAGAAAATGAACACTGCACCATAGCAACAGAGAGTGAGACAGTTTTAACAGGGGAAGAGAGCATGTCCCTCCCTGTTTGTTTATGTAGGAAACCATGGTTTTGTTTTCCGTCCCGATCAGAACCTGATGGCCCGTCAGAACCGGACGAAAATGCCTCAGAGCTAATAGGATAGCTAATAGCTCCAGGTAATTGATGTGGAGCTTGCATTATGCTGGCGTCCACACACCTCTCACTGCTGCGCCCTCGCACAGAGCCCCCGACCCCTCAGGGATGCGTCTGTGGACACCACCTTGCGAAAAGACACACTCCCTATCGGAGATCCCCGTTGTAGAAAACCGGGTTCTCTCCACGGGAGAAGAGCCGACATGCAAGACGGAGTTATCGTCAGCCTCCTCTGGAGGTGACGCTGCGCGCACAGCCGGTGAGACTGAGTCCAGCGTTGAAACGCTCTCATTTTTAACAGTCCGAGCGGCACTACAGCGATCATAGATGCCATCATGCCTGTCAGCTGTAAAATCGTCCGGAAACACAGTTTGCGTCCCAACTGAAATTGTGAAAGGCAGCGGTGAAACGCAGCCACCCTGCGTTCTGACAGACACGCTCGGCTTGAAACGGAGCATATTTCCAGCCCGAGAAATGATACCTGTTGACTCGGAGTCAGTGAACTTTTCTGTAAATTTACTGAAAAGCCCAGTGTTTGGATGTGCGATAGGGTCAATGACAGCTGAGCCGCTGCTTGCTCTCTGGAGCTCGCGATTAGCACCCAGTCGTCCAGATAGGCTTAGATGCGCACACCTTTCTCCCTTAGTGGAGCCAATGCCGCCTCGACACATTTGGTGAATGTTCGGGGGCGAGTGATAAGCCGAACGGCAGCACCAGGTATTCGTAGGCTAAGCCCTCGAATGCAAACCTTAGAAAGTGCCTGTGGTCCGGATGAATCGCTACGTGAAAGTAAGCATCTGTCAGATCGATAGTTGTAAACCAATCTCCCGGTCTGATTTCGCCCAGTAGCTGTCTGAGTGTTGGCATCTTGCACCTGTAAGTTCGTAGGTATTTGTTTAACACTCGCAAGTCAAGGATAGGACGGAGCCCTCCTCCTTTTTTCGGAACAACGAAATAGCGGCTGTACCAACCTTGTTCGTTTCGGAAGCGGGAACAACTCGTATCGCTCTCTTGTTCAACAAGTTGTTTATTTCTTCCCTCAGCACTGCTGTAAACGGTAGCCCATGGCAACCGTTCTCCCTACCCACGGTGAGACTGCGCATGCGCACCACCGAGGGAGACGAACAGTCAGTCGACTGACCTCCAGTACTGTGGGGGAGGGGTTGTCGCCCTCTAGCGTGCCGGCTGGGAACAGCAATACTTTCCCGCCCAGACTTGATTGATTTATGATGTTTTGAGAACAAAACGGAACCTTTATTTGATTCAACGAACGCACATTTGTAACATTCACTCAGTGAACAACAGGCGCCATTACTGGGGCATGTGTGTGAGGGAGGATTGTGCTTGGGAAAACTGTGTTAAGGGAGTGCAGCGCCTCTCGGGACCGGACCCCTGAACAAACATTAAACGCGGCCTCTTCGGCGGCAAAAAATGAAGGGCGGCAGCGTCTCTGTCGGTTTGTGCGGATAACCCTGTTGTTTGGGCCTCGCATCACGCCTGGGGATGATGCTGCTCAAAGCTTCGGTTTGTTTTTTCCTCAGCTCAAACTTAGCCTGAATGTCGTCGAGGGACTGCCCAAACAAACCGCTGGCCGACACAGGCTCGTCGAGATAAACCGCTCTGTCCCTCTCCGGAACGTCGGAGAGAGTCAGCCACAGGTGCCTCTGCGCCACCACCGTGGAAGCCATGCCTCTACCGAGAGAGAGCGCTGCACAGCGGGACACACGGAGGATATAATCTGTGGCGACCCTCGCTTCATCGAGGAGAGGAGAAAGCGGACTGTCAGGAGGCATACGCGAGCCGAGTTCCGCCAGACACATAGCTTGATATGTCTGAAGCATGGTGACGGAGCTCAGTGCACGAGCCGTATTTGCCTGTGTCCTGTAAATTTTATCCAGCTGTGACGCTGAAAACCTGCAGTGCTTGGATGGGAGCGTGATGGGGCTACCGACACCATGATTCTGGGCCGGGGCCAGATAAACTGCCAGGGACGCCTCCATAGGCGGAGGGTTCACCAATCCAGCTTTTTCAGCTCCATCCAGGTCCAGAAACTGTCCACAACCGGGCACTGTGGCGCGGGTGGACAGCGGCTTGTCCCATGTCGAGGTTAGTTCCGCGACAAAATCCGGGAACATGGGCAAACTGTTCTTAACAGTCGTCGGTTCGGGTGGGAGAAAAAACCCCGAGAACCGCGACGGTTTTTGAGCCGGTGGAGGAGAGGGCCATCCTACTTCCAGTTTCTCAGCTGCACGGCGGTACAGTGAGAGGAGGGATGTGTCGTCCAGATCAACCGGCGCAGCAGCGGCGGCATACTGACCCAAAGACAACGGCTCCTGCTCATCCTCTGAAAAACCTTGCACGTCCAGGCCGATGTCCAGCACGTCATCGTCCTCCTGGTAACAAGCTAGCCCGGATAGCGGCTGGCCAGCGCCCTCGGTCGGGCCCGGCTCAAATCCAGCTGACCCGTAAGCACACTCCACATGGTCTGCCCAGTTTCCAACTGAGCCTTCGACCAGAAAGTCCTCACCACCGGACTCGGACGAAGCCGGGTCTCTGGACTCGGAGAGGAGGGGATCGTGCATCGCAACAGCGGATTTTCCTAGAATTTTCTCCACAAACTTGACCCGCCTTCCCATGGTTGAGCTCCGAAGCCGGTGACAGGACTCACACGACTCGGGCTCAGTCAACGCCCTCCTGGCGTGGACAATACCCAGGCAAACGGGACAAGCCTCATGGAGATCCTTCTCGTGAAGGGAGAAGCCGCACCCCCGAGGACAGGGGCGAACAGAAGACTTCGCCTTCGCTTTCATGGGCTCAGCGCTCATAACAAGACGCAGAAGCTGAATGAAATTAGCGCTCCGCGGGTAGCCGTAGGCTAACACCAACAGGGGCAGTTAAGCTAAAAACGATCAGGCAATAGCCACAGACAAGACCAGGCTGAGCTAGCAGCAGCTAGTTAGCTCGACTCGGTGTAGGTGTTCTCAGCGAGGTGAAGAGCGTAAGAACTGAAGGATGACTGTGGTGTTACACGTATATATGTACAGGCGGAGCCTCCCAGACGTCACCACAGATCATCTGCCTTAAAGGCGTGAATAAAGGTGTCTTCAGTCAGGCCACGCGAGGGCGTGATATCCCATACTATATGTGTTGTACCGAGTGAATCGACTGAAAGGGAACTGGTGTTTGGTGTCCCTTTTGGTTGTCTTACCCAGTCTCTAGCCAGGTCTAGCAGAGACTGTCTGGTGACTCCTGGGAGAATGATGCCATCCAGAGGAGGGGTCACCAACTCTCTCTCTGTGGACACATGTTTGACTCATAGTTAAAAAAACAAAACCAAACCTGATATTAAACATGACCAGAAAACAACAAAATGCCATGATTTAACTTGTTTCAGGTGGACTCTCACCTCCGTTCTTATTGGTCCAGTAAATGAAGAGGTTCATGGTGCCCACCTCTGTGATCTCCTCTTGTTCTCCATACAGCCACAGCACCTGCTGACAGCCTTGCTTTACTGCCTCGTTCTGTACAGCTATCGTAGGACCATAGTTACTGTGAGAAAACCACAGACAGGAGATAATAGGGGTGAGAAAGCGAAATGCTAAATTAGCTACTCAGTGGAAAAATTTGGATAAATCGCAATATATTGTATCGCAATACTCACTGTATTGCAAAATGTTAAAAAACACAATAATATTGTCTCCTGACACAAGTATCACGAAAATATCATATTAAAATATCACCCCTAGGAGATAACTCAACATGTTAGCCTCCAAGTTTATACGTTTGTAATAAACAATCAAACTGTGATCTTCCCGACAGAACTTCAGTTGGTGTAAACAAGTGATAAAACAGAAAATATCTTCAGCAATCAGCGAAATCATGTAGACTGAGAAATGAAGAAGAAAACTGCAAAGAGGTATGGTTGGATCATTTGGCAATGGAAAAACATGGCTTAATCTGTCCACCAGAGAGCGTAGTTGAGTTTGACAGTGATAGTGGAAGGTGTATTACTGTCACTTTGAAAAACTGTTTACTTTGTGTTTGAGTGTCTGTCAGCAGTAACTTTAAAAATAACAAAGATGTCAAATAATTACTTAGTGTCCCTCTAGTGAGTTTAGTCAAAACCAACGGACTCATAGGCTCGTTTTTAGGAAGCTTCACTGTGAAGTGACACCCTTTCTTTCTTTGTCTTCAGGGTCATTTGTTTTCAGAGCCACTTTGATCTGTTTATAAATTTTAAAACTGCTGGTTGACAAAAGGAAACTGCCAATGAACCAAGCAGAGCACTTAATATCATTAAACTGTTCAAAATCTATCAGCCACAATAAAGAAACAGAAAACAAAACAGCCAAACAGGCTTCATATCAGAACACTTAAATACACATATAATAAACATGATTACATTAAACACACACACACACACACACACACACACACACACACACACACACACACACACACACACACACACACACACACACACACACACAGGCTGCAACATCCACTCCTCAGTCTCGTGACCTGCTGTTGGAGCTAAATCAGGCTGGATAGCTGGAGCGTTAACTTGATGTCTGATGGTATCAGAGCAGATTTTGCTGGCTTACATGTCAGGGCATTCAGCCATGTTATATAATGACATGCAGTTGAGCAGGTCCTTACTTCATAAAACCAGACTAGTACTGAGGCAGGCTAGTGATTAGAGGCTAGAGATTTACTGGAGCGTAGACATTATAAGCTGGAGGGATTAATAACCTTTGTACTGCCTAAAAGAAGGGGGAAAATAAACTGACCACAACCGCAGCGTTGCTGTCTGTCTTCATTACTTTGAGCAGTAATATTAAAAGGTAAAACATCCTGAATAATGGCTCTGCTGCATGTGTTCAACTTTGTTTAACAAGTCAAACTGGTCATATCAGTGATTTAAATTATTCCCAGCTTCAGAACAAATACTACTTTACCCACAATCCCTCAAGGCATCCCAGTATCAAGCCCTCCAGACACCTTTCCTCTGAGGGGTATATTTGCTGTCTCTAATGAAAAAAAGTCTTGTTTACTTTTCCTGCCATGACATGTCAGGACTGCTGTCTAAAACTGGGTTCTGTATCAGGTCTTGGCACGGCTCCAGCCTAACACCAGCCAGCTCTGTGGCTGCCGCTCAAGGCTTCATCAGCAAAGGGGAAAATCCACATAGTTGCTCTCTGTCCAGGTCCACGGCTGCCCACAGCTCACCAGAAACTTTGCTCTCACAACAAGTGTTTAAAAATGAAACCTCCTCTTAGACATCCTGTTACTCAACTCAAAATCATAAACACTGCCTGCATTTGTCCAAAAGGCTTTCAAGATTACAGCAGGCGTAGATGCCACAGGTGATCACTGCAGGCTCCATCCACCTTGCTGCATACGCTTTGGGAAAATGCCCAAAGCTCTCCACATTTTACCAAACCAACTTTGAACCTTTCTCTAATTATTTGGTAAAATAGAGAAGCCTGTGACACCAGAAAACACTCCTCTTAGCAGTAGGGGCTGAAAGTAGGAGACGGCAGGTTCCTAAATCAGGATCTAATGAGAAAAAAAGCGCTGCCGTTGACTCTATGTGAGGAGGAGGACGGTGTAAAAAGGTGGATTTGGGGGGATACTTTTTCAACCAGAGGTATTTTGTATGAAAAAGGGGCGTTACAAAGTATTACGGTCTGCAGGTTTACACGACAGCTGATCTGGTGGTGCACATCAGCCTTTGAAAGCATCTTTGTGCAGATTTGGCAACAGTCAAACCTGGATCTGGATCTTTGTTCTCTCTCAGGCAGAGGAATAACATCCAGCCAAACCCAGCAAGAGGGAGCTCTGTCCCAAACAGCCTCCCCACTCTGGCTCTTTCTAAAGCCCCCAACCCCCCTTCCCTCTTTGTAGAGGGTCTTATAGTTTACAGCCTAACCCGGCAGGGGGGTAAACTCCTGCCCAAACAAACTTCTCATCCTGTTTCTGCCTCACCTTTTCTCACAACAGCCTTTTCTCTCTCCGGTTTTCCTCTTTTCTTTGCATTTTTTTCAGGTGTGGGTGTGAAAGGAAGTAAGAGCCACCGTGAAAAGGGTGATCACAGGAGGCCCAAGATGACTGGTGAGTTTGCCTAAGGTGTCACAGGCTTAACTGGATGAAAAAGGGGAGGGACGTGCCACTTGATAAAGCAGCCCATCTGTCCCCATCGATCTTCATGACTGGGTCATGGGGGCCATATTGGTGTGAGAGTGAAATGGAGTGGGTTTCTACTCTGAGCATTCAAGAGCACAGGTAGCTTGTGTTGAAACTTAATGTGCAGTCCAGACCTGTTCTGTCAAATAAAGAGTTTAGATGTGGATTTAACTCACCCTCCCATCTTGTAGGCCCCTACGCCTCCTTTCCAAGCTCTGACGAATGACGGGTCAGCCAGCAGAGACACAGGGTTAAAGGAGCCAGTGGCGAAGTAAGGTCCCACGGGTCCAATGATTACAAAGATCATAGCTGTTCCTGTCCGAGATACTCCAAGGGATGGCTGGAGGAGTGAAGACAGGTAATTAGAGCAGAGGGACAGGGATTCACTTGTTTAATTACCTCAGCTCACCACACAATGTGGCAGCCTCATGACACAGAGAGAATTTCATTTATTTATCAAAACACTGACCTCAGTTCCTATGAAGGTGGGTCTGATGTAAAGACTGGCATCCAGTGAGTAAGGAACCCAGTCCTGGTCAATCTCCACCAGCTTCCTAATGCATTCCAGCAGTTCACCTTTATCAAACAACTATATAGAAAAAAAAAACACTTTAGATAAACTCACCTTTCCTCCTAGCTAAAGCTAGTGGCAAGACGAAAGAATTGAGGTCTGGCTCTATTTGTTAACAAGAGATGGTGTAACTCTTCACACATAACTGTCAAGGAGAAGTTCTGTTGTCCAGATATTGAACTGTTGGCAGCTGCTCCACCCATATTATGTTCCAAGAGAGTTCAGTCATATCATACCAATATACTTGTTCACATCCCACCTAAGGCAACAGCTGAAGTTCTGTGTGATGTTCTCTATGATACTGTTGCTAGGATGTGGTGGAGAGATGCACACTGAGCAAGGTAGAGGCCTTCTAAAAAACATTAATCATCCACTTCATAACACCTCTATGGACCAAAATAACAACAGCGGTGATACAATGGTCTCTCTCTTTGCTGCACAACTGAGAGATTTCAAAGATCTTCTGTGCCCACAGCCATCAGACTGTTTAATTCTTCTATAAATAGTAGATGAGATGAGATTCCAGACAAAATAATCTCCCTCTTGGGATCAATAAAGTTCTTGTATTGTATTACTGTATTGTATTGTATAACACCAAAGGGGAAGGTGGTGTTTTTTCCATTACATGTGCTAAGTTTACGATATAGAAGGAAATATAGAACTGCTTAAGACTCTTCTTTAATCAATCATCTCTGAATATGAGAGAACAAGGACCAAAACAAAGACATTGACCTGTATTCTCAGTTTCCACTGCCTCCTGAACTCCTGATCAAGTATTGAGTGGTTGGTCGGGACGGCTAAACTGAAGCAGAACCAGGCGTGTTGCCAAACCATTATATAACATAGCAGAGGGGCTTACAGCTTCAGGGCTGCAACGTCACCAGCTCAACCCGGCTTTCTTAAAGAATCTGAGGAATTCAAAGGAAGTTTGAGGCCATACAATCAGCTTTTGTCTGTATTAGCTTAGGTATGCTACCAGTGAGTGTACAGGGTTTAAATATAGGCCTACAGCTGCAGATGGGATTACTTTTACTGAACAATGGCTGACACTAGATTGCAAACGTGTAAAAAGTTAATCACAACAGCAGTAAATCACCAGGATGCTACACACCCTGTTACGTGAAGCTGCATGAGTATACCATAACCCAAAGAATAAAAACCATAGACTGTATATACTATGGACAACTTAGTTCCGCCTACCGCCTGTATAGGCAAAAAATTCATGTTCTGTGTAATAAATTTCTAAAGTTTGTCCACAGCCCCATAAGCTTTGCTGGCGGAGGCGGTACTTATGACCTATACTGCAGCCCATCAACAGAGGGTGCTGTTCTTGGAGTGGCTTCACCCAGAGAGGAGGCAGACTCTGTCCATTCTTTATACAGTCTATGGTAATAACGCTATAAATAAACACAAACAAGCTGCATTCTTTCATTCAGAGTGAAGCAAATAGACTCTATACGTTACACCATACGGAGCTCAAGTAGAAAGCAGCGGCTGCACATGGCTGTAATACACCAGTAAACATGCTCTATTGCTCAGACTTTGCTGCTTCATTTATCAAGGGGTGCTGTAAAAATTAAGTTTTGATTATTATCAATGTTATTACTCATCCTCACATCTATGAGGGGAAAATAAAGTTTGTTTGTTTTATGTCGGCTACTTTTAACAAGCCAGAGGCAAAACTAGCTATGACAAGTGACTTTATCATCAAGTGGATGATCCATGTTTATTTTTATCATCTGTTTATAAGATACTCTCAAAAAAATATCACATAATGAAACAATAGCAGTCCAACTCCCATTAGTATCCCTCTTCTGTTGACTAGAGGCAACTATGTAACTTTTCTGAGGATCTACAACACTTTTTTTTCCATGAAAACAAAAGCAGTGACTGATAAAATATGGCAAATGTGAGAAACCTCAATCATGAGACCGTGTTTTAAACTCTCAAAAGCAATCAAAGCAGTGACTTCTCTTTAGAAGTGAAAAGGGATAACTTACAGGAAGACAGCTTCGGTCTGCACTTCGATGCATCCTCTCCATGTTCAGCATGGGTCTGAACAGGCGGATGTGGTTGTCGACCCCTCGGAAAGCCTTCATGCCCTCAAACAGCTGCAGAGAATACAAACAAAAGCATGAAATTCCTGGATGTTTCAAGTTGTGAGCTTTCTCCTACAAACTGTATGGAGATGATGATAATGTATCAGCCCCCTGTGCTGTGATGACTACTGTTTGGAAGCCTTAAAATTTGAGTTTTGCCTGTAATCATCTTTTTTGGAGTTGGAGGAGACCTTGTTTGGACAAGAGGGTGGCAAATCACAACATTATCGTCATGAATTTTGAGTAAAGAAGTTACAGAGCCTATCCTTCTTAAAGTCAGTCGAAACTTCCTGCAGCCCCCAGCTGCAAGGGGCTTTTCAATCACACAACTTTTTGACTGTTTCTTTAGATCATTCCTTCTTAATTTCATGACGAAAGGATGGAACCAATCAGAGAGGACATCCAAAGTAACTCAGTTCTCTTTTTAAACCCTCCCCTCACCTCTATTGAGTAATGCAGAGCAGAGCTGGCCGGGTGCAGAGACAGGTTCTGGAAAGGTTTAATCTGAGGAGTGTCCCAGCCCTCTTTCTCCGACCAGGTGATGGTCAACATGTGGTCAGAGAACTGTTTTCCGAACACCAGGCTGGAGGGCTCTGGCTTGGGTTTGCATGCTGGGTTGCGTTCGATTATGAGATCTGTGGCCTAACAGGGAGGTGGCCGTGGAAAGAGAAGTGGAGAGGGAAGAAGAGCAGAGCAGGGGACGATTTGCAGTAATTGATTTCACATCCTGGTTATTGGTAGGGCATGCTTCAAAAAGACAATTAGTCCAGTGTTATATGAGTCAGCTGAAACTTGTTCAGCTAATTAGACAATTAATTAATTTAATTGGATTTAATAATTACAGAAAAACAGGGGAGAAAGACAGAAGGGAGAATAACACGTTTAATCTGAGGCAACTGGAAGCAGTACAAAGATGAAATTACAGTCTCTTACAGTAGTAACTGACACCTTGATCAGGCAGGCCAGGGCTACATGGAAATGACACAGGCCTCACCTGCTGAAGTATAAACTGTTTGGGTTTTCTTTACCTTGAAGGAGCTGGCAAACCGCAGCGAACCGAAGGAGAAAGGGAGAGCCTGAAGAAGTCGTCCATGAAGTACCTGCGAATGAAACATGGCTCAGTGAAAAAGGCATAAAATGTATCTACATATCCTGCATTGGGAGTACACAAGGACAAGATGTCTGACATTGTGTGTTTGAAGGTGTGTGTGACGCAGCACCAATCATTCTGCCTCTAGTTTACAGAACAGCCAGTGCTGAGTGCTGAGCTGTTATTAGAACCAGGAACCAGCAGGCTACATGCAGGCTACAATGCAAAAGGACAAATACAATGGGAGGAATTCTGTAGGTCACAAAGGACTACAGAATAAATAATATAAAAGTCATACCGACAAGTAATTCAGTCAAAATTAAAAATAAGTCCACAACAGTTTTTCTACCACAAAGAGAATAACAAGTCCTCAACCAGCTGTAAAAGCTACAGCAAGGTTACTGCCTAGTTTCACAGGAAACGGACCTGTTATTGGTCAGAGGCTTCCATCATGAGAGGTTATGGTAGCAAATTTATAAGGCAGGAATGGTATTTGTTGTAATGTTTAACTCTATCATTTTATTAGGGGGAGGGGCGTAAATGTAATCATCGAATCATTAATCTCACCGGGGGGGCAATAGCACAGACAGTTTACATTTCCCACGTGTTAAGATTTTACTTGATATTAATCAGGTCCGCTAACACGCATGCCACATGTTAAAAAGTTGCACCACGCCCCTGTGCGCGCTTTTTATGAATGGATGATGCAAGGTTTGCTACCATTGCAAACATACTCTAAGCATGTATAGGTTTATGAGTTTCATTTTTGGCATCAGTGGAATGCACGGGTGCATCTGATGCATGAGCCATTTTATACCTCTGGTTTTGTGTGTAAGATATCAAAAGGTGGCTTGCATTTGAGCATATCTTTAACATTCAACTGTAAGTCTGCAGCAACATAACTATCTTTACAACTTATTTAATTAAGTGGTAGCATTATGGGCTGGAAGCACATAGGTATTTCAGTTGGCATAGTCGGTATTTAGAGGGAATGGAGCTGCATTTAAACCTCATGCTAAACTCCTTGTAACAAATATGCAAACGAGACTATATCTTGTATAAAATTCAAACAGCTGCATGGGAACAAATTAATTCGTTTCGAATTGTTTCTCTATTTAATTCAGCTACATATTAATTCGCCAATCTGGTTTCCATATCAGCTTTCATTGTGTGGTTGCGAAAAAGATAACATTTGGCTACTTCGAAGGAAAAAAACGAATTACGTAAAATCCAAAGTCTAAAGTCCATTTTGAAGACAACGTCGACGCCGAAGGCGTTATAAAACATAAAGAAATGCGTCTGAATTGGTTTCTTATCATCTGTGTTTGAATTAAAAGACATAAAGTAAATGTATTTTAGTGACAATTTTTCGGCATTGGTTTTGGTGTGATGACCTTCCCATGCTGTATTGTTTTGCCATCTTCGGTCCTGACACTGTGTAAACCAGCCCTGAGTCAACAATCGTTATCTCTCCCCGTCTTTATCGGCAGAGTTATCTCTCATTTGCGTGAATCATTTACCACGACAGTGATACAAACAGATAATCCACAGCACACAGGCACGGGACAAATCAATAAACTCACCGTTCGGAGGGCTGCCATCTCCGCTACGTAACGACGATAATCGAAATTATCTGCTCGTGTGGAAACACGAACTCAGCCTCAAAGTCAACTTGAGTTCCGCTTTGAAATAGGAGACGCTGCTCAGCTGAGGTGGAAAGAAACCTCCCACAAATAAAGTAACTCTCTCTGAGTATCTGTTAGTACTCAATAGACATTTCAGCCAGTTTGTTAACACTTTATAATTAATTAATTTAACTTATAATTAATTAAAAAACTGAAGATTTTAACCATCTAAAACAAACTAGACTAGAGTCAAGGTAAGAAGAGCAGCAAAATCAGTTTAATAATATATCATTGTGTTTACAGTGAATGATGAATTGAATAGTACATTCAGGAAGTCATTTGAGGCGTGACAAAATCGTGACATCTGATTGGTAGACTCCTGAAGGCTCAAATACTGGAGGTTATTGGAGGTCGGAGAGGTTGATGCTGATTGGGTGAATGGAGGGGAGGGGTACAGGAGTCGTAATGTACTGGTAAGGACTCCAAAACCTGAAACCGTCCTATACCACCATGCCTTTATGAGTAAACTGATATTATATACAGTGTACAGAATACAGTCAAAATTGGTCATATATTATACCCTTTGATTTAGTGTATAATCTACATGAGTACAAACTAATCTGTTAAACCGGCTGTTCCACAACTGTGCGGCGACTGCAAAAATCAGGCAAGACATCAGGGTGGGATCTGACTCTTGAAGCCATAGTTGAGTTCGGCTCCACCGCTGAGCAGCAGATCTATTCCAGTGCAGAAGGTAGCATCAGCAGCGAGGTACAAGGCAGCCAGACCACTCTCCTCCTCTGTCCCCATACGACCCAGAAGCTATATGAGAGAAAAAAAACACATGGGTCCTTTACATTCCTGAAAAGTTTCCAACAACACATTTGTGGTTGCATGCCAACTTCCTAGAGTTTATGATGCCTGTGGCTGATCCCACGGTTTTGATGCACTGTAAGAAACACAGCCCTGCTCAGATCTATTTGCCAAGTACTAAAAGTAAGGCTTCATTTGTTTGAGCCGTTCTCCCAAAAGTTTTCCTAAAAAGTTTAAGACTCCATGGATGAAATGTAGTCAGCCAGAGTCAACTCAAATCTTTTTGTTTAGTTCCAAAAGTTAGGTTTCTCCCAAAAACCTAGATGAAAAAGGGTGTTAAAAATTACAACTTCATTATAACTTATGTTATTTCCTGCTTCCAAAAAGGTGCAACAGTGCTCCAAGACCCAGGCTCAGATTTTAAATAGATTCATTTTATACTGTTTATCAATTCTATCAATAGTAACAACCACATAGAATACGTGTTTTGTATGATGTGTCAATACTGAAAAAAGAAACTCTAGAAACTCTAGACCAGTTTAAAAATATCCTGACATTTTCATCTCGAGATTTCTGCTTTTAGTAAGTAAGAACATGCTGGAGGACCACAGGGCCACGTCTCAGTTTGTTGCATCAGCCATTTGGCTACAAACCCCTTTTCTCTCTGGGATGAAAAGACAGCTGTAATTTGCATGGTTATAAAAACAGCCTGTAACAGAAACTGTGGGTGTTGAAACCCAGGATTTAAAGAGAGGGAGAAAATTTACAATCCAATAGAAAGACAGCAGAGGTCTGCAGAGTGGGTCATTAACAAAACAATGTTGTGGGATCCCGTTTGCTGCTGCAATTGTCTCTTTCACAGAAACCAGAAGTTTCCAGCATGGAACGATACCTTTTTAAATTCACTATAGACAATAATACTGCTCTTCAATACCCAAAACTTTTAAAATATCTTTTGAGAATTCACCTGTGAGTTTTCTCCCTCTTTAATGGCGGCTGCAGCATCTGGTGTCTGTGCTGCTAAGTCTTCCCACAGAGGTGTCAGGATGTTACCTGGGGAGATGCTGCAACACACGACAGACTGTTTCATTTGACAAGAGAGGATACTTTAGTTAATACTTGCAAATTCCTCAAGTGATTTATGTAAATGCTCTTTAAGAAAAGAGCAGTGGTAAACCAGAAAAGGACTCAGACATTGTTGCAGAGATGTTTGATATTGCAGTATGTTTAATATTAGTGGAAATTATTGTACCTAAAGGTACCCAAAATATGATAGGTGCAGCCTCTTAATACAGAGATCCTGTCTTTTCTCTCTGGCAGCATAAGAGGGCTTTAGTGGGGGGGAAATATAGAAACAGAAAGACAGGCCATTTCTTTAAAACTTAGAATTACAGAGAGAAAATCAATTTTGCAAGAAGACGGCATAGTATTTCTCTGAGAATATGACATCAAGTTATATGTTTGTGGGCCATGACCCAGAAGTTACATAATATCACAGTAACATTCATTAAAAGCAAATTTTTACAGGAGTCCTGAGATTAGCCCAGTCTTTCAAACTGAATCAATGTGGGGTTATTTATCTATTTTTTGGCTTGAGTCAAAATCACACCACTGAGATTTTTTTCTCATGTATCATCTTCAGCATATATTGTATATTTCAATCAAGTACACTAAATGGATTAAAGAGTTGGTTTTAGATAAAGATTCATAAAGACAATTAATTAAATGATGCCATTACAACATAAAGCATTGTTTTTGATTCAACCCCATTCTAAACTGTTTTTACCCTTGTTTTCTCATTGTATAGATGACGAAATTAGCTCCAATGTCATTACATTATCAACAGTCTGCAGTCTCTGGTATTTTTACATCTGAAATGCTGTCCCTGCACATTTAAACAAACAGAAAAGCAGAGCCAGAGCAGGAGAAACCAGTCCGAACACTGAAACAACTTTGGCTCACCAGTTGACTCTCACGTTGAAGCGACTCTCATCCACCGCCATCGCCTTTGTCATGGAAATTATCGCCCCCTTGTGGAAAAAAAGCACATTGTAGGTCCTCTATCTCAGCTGAGACTCGGTGATCATTATCAACGCTCTTGTCTCACCTTGGTTGCAACGTAAGGAGCCGCATCTTTCTGACCGATGGTTCCCACCAAACTGGACACATTGATGATGTTTCCCTGACGCTGTCGCAGGTATGGTAAAGCATACTGAAGACAGAGTGAGACCTCCATGACTTTCAAAGGTGGCATATTCACCAACAGGGTACAACTCAGGGACATTTGTACAATCTAGTGCTTACAAACCAAATAAGTTTTCATAAGGATAACTGTGTAGATTATTTTTACTGGCATGTTAATTATTGGTGAATTTAAAAGGTGTTTAACAAGATATGCTACACTAGAGTGTTTCTAGTATTTGGTTTTGTTTTATCATCCTTGGGGCCCACATTTCCTTATATTCTCATTGAACTTTTGTTTTCTATGTTCAGTGTAAGAGCAAGAGATTTCAGGTCTTAAAAAGAATCATCAATTTAATCTTTTAGCTTTTCAAATAGCGTTTCTTTCATGTTTTTAAACGAATCAGACCTTTCTTCAATCTGCCTCAATCTGCCCCATCTGCCTCCAAGTGAGATGGGTGTCTCAACGTTTGAAGTGTACAGGAAACCAACACACATGGATCAATATCTACTTTTTGATTCCCACCATCCTCTGCAGCACAAACTGGGTGTCATCAGAACACTCAACCACCGGGCCGAGAACATTCCCACGAAGAAAGAAGGTAAGGAAAAGGAACAAAAGCACATCAAAAATTCCCTGACAACCTGTGGATACCCTAAGTGGGCCTTTGTGAAGAACAGAAAGAGAAATAACACTGAACAGGAAAGGGAGGAGAGACGCAAGAGCACTGTAATCCCTTACGTTGCAGGCCTGTCGGAAAAACTCAAGAGGATCTTTGGCAAACACCACATTCCTGTTCATTTCAAGCCTGGTAACACACTAAGGCAGAAGCTAGTCCGTCCCAAGGACAAAACACCGAGACATAAACAGAGTAATGTGGTATATGCTGTCCAGTGCAGCGAGGAATGCTCAGACCTGTACATTGGGGAAACTAAACAACCGCTTCACAAGCGCATGGCTCAACACAGGAGAGCCACTTCCTCAGGTCAGGTCAGCTGTCCACCTTCACTTGAAGGATACGGGTCACTCTTTTGAGGACAGCGATGTACAGGTGTTGGCTCGAGAAGACAGATGGTTTGAAAGAGGAGTTAAAGAAGCCATCTTTACCAGGCTGGAGAAACCTTCTCTGAACAGAGGGGGTGGACTCAGGCAACAATCTCTCTGGCACTTACAATGCAGTTCTCAGCTCTCTCCCCAGAAAGCTCCACAAACATTCACACCTGGAACCACATGACTCAGGTGGCATGAGTCATGTGGTCACATGATAGGAGTTGCTAACGACCCTTTCAGAATAACGACTTGGGGGGGACACACCGAGAGATGGGTTTCTACGACCCATTCTTTTCAACTCCAGCCAGTCGTTAACTGTCCCCCTTCTCCAGGAAGATAAATATCTGCTCCTGACACTAGCACTTTTAGGACTGAAGAAGCTTCTTGGATAAGAGGCGAAACGTCTTCTCAACTCTACACAGTCCAGTTGCCTGTTTTTAAGTCTTCAAGATCAGATAACAGAGATTTTCACAGCTGAACACAAGCAGACTCATTCCCAAGACTCACCATTAAAGCTTTCCTAACCACTGTGAGGAGAAACTGAATTATTTTATTTTATCCATTTAAGAGACCTGTGATATTTCTTAGTAGACTGGGAGATAGATATTGGCCTTGCACCAAACTGATATCTCCACATTCAATAATGTCTGTATTTTTTACTCTCCTAAAGCAAAAGTACTCAAGCTCCAGAATTTGTTCCATATTGGACAGACAGGGGAGGCGGCTGTTGTGAATATACTATGGATATATGGAGATATGTAAACGTTATATAATATATAGCACTGCATCTCCCTGTATCTATCACATACTGAGCTTCTGGAGGTCAGCGACAGAATTTCCTTACACTTTTCCTCATTTCCACACTACGATAGATAGACAGATACTTTATTTATCTCTCAGATCAATTCACATAAGTTGCACTCAATGGTGGGATATTGTCCAAGTTCCAGTAACTTAGAATAAAACCTAGGTACAATATTTTAATGCTTTTATGTTCCAGGAAGAACTTCTCTAACATAATATAACCTCCCTAAGAGACCAAGAGTCTTTGCCTTCTTAAATACATGATTACTTGTTAATATCTGTTTTTTTCCGCACCCTATTTTCTTCTATGTTGTTATGCTATTCTTCCCTATTAATGGTTCAAAATCCCTGTTATTTTAAAATGAACAATGCTAACTGTTGTAATAATGGAAACAGCATTTATAGGAGGGAGTTTAGATGGACTTTTTGCTATTTTAAAGCTCTTTGAGGAGTTTGGAAACATCTTGAAGTTTGCATTTCTTTGTATATAAACTAGACTGGTGGGGACAAGGCTGACAATTCCTGTTGTATTTTAAATGCCTGTTACTGCTGTGATGGTTACAGGCAAAAAGGTCCCAATTTGTCCAAAACTGATACAGACAGAATTTTCATCAGAAATGTTGTGAAGTCTCTGGTTTGTGTGGATTTTGGTGTCACCTGTGGACAATCAGGACTTCACTGAAATTGGTCCTGGACATGTTTTATAATTGTTTTTTGACAAAACATCTCATCCTGCTCTCTTTTACCAGACACTATGTAAGTAAAGGCTGGATCAGTAGTTTGCATTTAGTCATTTAATCTCACTCCAAGCACCTTTTCAGTGGTTTCAGACAAAAATAACTATATATATTTAAAAAGTCAATCCTCTTGTTTGCTTTTTGGGGTATGAAAGAGACACAGGTTTCTGTGTGTTTCATCACCAGCCAAAAACTCCTCACAAAGCTTTAAGAACATTGTAAGACAAAAATGTTCACGTCTTATGCCCCACCACTCTTGGCCATCCCTAGGTCTCAGAGGAAGCTGATAAGTGATTGGCTTTTTAAGTAGTGGCTCCTAAAATGTGGAATGAGATGCCATTAAAATATTAGAGAGGCCTCCTCCAGTCCTGTTTTTAAATCTCTTTTAAAAACACATCTATTTGCCATGGCCTTGAACATTGTATGAGTCAATGCACTATTTTAAGGAGATTTTATTGCATGTTTTAAATCATATTCTTCTGTTTTATTGTTATATTATACCTTCGTTTTAGTTATTCTATTGTCCAGCACTTTGGTATCACTTAGTTGTATTTTTTCTTAAATGTGTTAATGAATAAATTGGAAAGGAGTAGAATTACTTTAGCTGCCAGGAAGTAGCTGATGAGGTTGAGATTGAGCAGATCCCTGAACTCTTCAGCAGTGGTGACATCAGTAGGTTTATGAGGAGGGTCTTAATAAGGAGAGAATACAAAGACATTTAAAAATATAAGTATCTGATATTTTTGTGCATCCAGAAGCCCACTGGAGAACCTGCCCATTATAACAATATTAGGACTCACGCCACCCTGCGTTGTTCACTAGGCAGTCGATGTATCCATATGTCTCCACTGTGAAGGCCACCAGTCTCTGTGAAAACCAGGCAAGATAAACCAGTGAGGCACCTTTAGCTTTACACCCCGCAGAGCAAACAGGAGCTAAAGCAAATATGAAGCTGGTTAAAACCAAACAGAGTTCAGATCTTGATTCAGGGTTTGTTGTCTCAAAAGCTCAAGTTAAAAAATGAGCCAATTGTGGATCTGAAATCAGATCTTCATCTTCAGAAGATCTGTAAACTTTTTATGATCTCAGTCATAACAAGACAAATAGCAGTAAAGTTAGCCTACACCTTTACCTTAATGTCTTCCTCTTTGGAGACGTCACATGACATGAACTTGCATGAGACTCGCCCTTTACTGTTTAGCTCTGCCTCAAGGGCTTCACCTGCTGAAGCTGCGGAACATAAAGGAAAGAAATGAAATACAAACTTCAATGAAATATATTTCTCTTGAACTGAAGTTGTACCTTGATACAATGGTGCATCAATCTGTTTTAGATATTTATCAAATAACAAAACCTTTCCTCAAGGACGCTGAACATTTCAAGTTTGAATGAAAAACAGCAGAATAAAACATGAGTACTCACCCCCTCTTGCACAGAACACCACTTTGGCACCATTCTCCACTAAAAAAGACGCAAAATATTAGGTGCGTTATTCACAAACACATCCAAATATACAGCCTCTGTAGCGATAAATTACCATACCAAAGACTCTAACAATCCCTCTGCCAATGCCTTTGGATCCTCCGGTGACAATCACAACTTTGTCGAGGTAGCGGAGGGACATTTTGGAGAAGACGATGATGATAAAAACTGGTCGCAAAACGCCGCAAAGCTGCGCGGGGGTACACAGCGCTCCCTGTAGCAGAGCCGAAGCTGTAGACTACCTCTCCCTTTACCACTCCTCTGTCTCCACACGGCTTTGATTCTTCTAGTTTTTCCACATTCTGATGCAAATGACAGCAGTTTAAGACTTAGGTTCAAAGTGCCCAAAATTACGGGGCTTGCTTTGCTGCCTTCAGGTGCAATTGTAAATATTGGAAATCACAAATTACAGTCAATGAAGCGAGGTATTGACAAATACAGTCACTGCCCACTGAGTCTTAGACGTCTATTAGACGTCTCGTCTTAGTTTAGATAGAAATTGATAATTATTAAATAAGAACACATGTAAGTTTTATAAATGATGGCCAAGTGTTGGATTGACACATTTTTTTTATAAGTCATTGATCAATGTACAGTGTAGTTTAGTCTATTTTCATTTTTAGACCAGTGGTAGACCGATTTTAGCCCAGACCGAAAAATGCTTGGTGGCTGAATAAACAGTTTTAAATTAAGAGCACCAAACCGCTTTAGAGTATCGTCTTAAAGGAACTCAAATGAAAAGTCGCGTAGGCTTAAGACATGCAGACTCGGCTGCTTTACACTCAGTTCAGGACCTATCCAAGGACTGCCGCTGAGGCGCGGTGCCCGTTCAGCTCAGCAGTTCAGGTTCACCCCGGAGTCTTCAGTTTTAACAGAAGTCCTAAATGCATCTCCTGGTTTAGACTCTCGGCTGCATGTTATTCCCATAGACTGTATATAGAATGCAGTCTCTGTTTCCCCACATTCCCTGTCCTCCCTCAGCTGTTCTGTCTAACAGTGCTTTAAACACTATTCAAACCACAACCACTGATGCTGCGTAAAATGAAAGAAAAAAACAATAGTTGAAATACAAAAATAAATAAATAAAAAAAATAAAAAAAAAAAACTTCTGTAAATGCAGAATAAGACATATTTATATATTTTAAAGCTCCAAAAGTGTAGCCTGCACCCATTAACAGCCAAGTAAGAGTCTGTAAAGGCTGGTGGCAAAGTCAACGCCAACTCCAGTACACTAACATTATGACTGCCAGCAGGTCATCACATCATAAAGCGGTTCCCTCTCAGCTGATCATCTATCAATCAGAAACTTGGCTCCTTCATGCCAGCTTCTGCAGTCTTCAAATCAGTTTCCTTGGGCACTACAGTGAGCCCCAGACTTCTCTTGGTGGCATAACAAAAACAGTGTATGGAATTTTGTCAATGGGATTACTTCATTCTGACGGCCCTCTTTACATAGCATCCTCCGCGCCTGTGCCATGTGGTAAAAAGCATCTTTTTCATTTAAAACACTTCAACATCTACACAAAACCAAAGCATGCTAAACTGTGGTGGTAGGCTGTTCATATATGTTGATATTATAATGAACTGTAGCCTGCATAGTTAAGTTTCAAAGGTAAGTGTTCAATCTAAGGAAAATACATCTTTTACCATCCTTTACATTTTTTTTTGTTTTTGTTTTTTGGATGTAATAAAATATTTTCTGAGGGGCAGAAATTCAAATTTACTCTGAGTTCTTGAAGGCAACATTACTAGGACCTGGTTACTGGGTATTGTAGTCTTACTGCAAACCAATAAACTACCACACAGAGATATCAGAGCACAGACTACATGATGGTCCTTAAATGACTACAAAAATATGCTTGTTTGTTTGTCTTTACATTTTAGATGATGTAAATGTTCCGTTTTATGTCCTTTTTTTGTAATTTTTTGGGTATTCTGCATATAAAATAAAGTCCATGATAACAGACACAGACGCAGAGAAAAATACTCTTACAACATATTTGTGCTTAAATCCCAGCATCAGCTATGATCCTCTCTGACAAACTTCAGGAAAACTCCCCCCTTTTTTTAACCTCTGCTCTGTGTCTGAGTGAGTGAGCGAGTGAGTTCATGTGCACACATGCGTGCAAACATTTACAGTGTGTTTAAGAAGGAGTGATAGGTTCAAAGGTTGATGTCTCTGATCACAGAGGGTTGTTCGGGGCAGAAAGAGGGGGTAGCTGTGGCAGCAGCAGGGCTCTTGCAGAATGAAGGGGTCAAAGATTGAATTTCAGCCCGACAGCACTACCCCAAGACTTAGTGAGCGTGAGAGAGAGCGCAGGGGAGAAAGTGAAGACAGCCAATGACCTACAAACAAGTTTGACAGTCTTTACTTCACTCATGCCGCAGATTAACACCCAAGAAGCCCCTGAAGGAGCCACGCTGCTCCCTTTGCTTCCTCCCCTCCTGCCCTGAACCTTAAAGGTGGGATAACATGAAGTGGGAGGAGGAGGAAGAGGAGGGGTTGTCTGAAGATTATGATGAGGGATTTGATACACAAACTGTCTCAGACCAAAAGGCTCACTGAGGTGAAGGTACAGTAGGAGAGCCATGGCCTCTCTGTGGAGGTGTGATTAGTTTGAATCAGCAGCTCGGGGAGGAAGCAGCAAAGGGGAAGCTGGTCTGAGTGGTTTCAACTGGATGCCCTGGACAAGGTGATAAACTGACCACGAGCATGAAGCTGAATGCATGTACAGAGCCTTTTGCATCATTTTATAATCAAACTTCAGGTGGTAGAGTTTTAATGATAAATCACTCATTCATACTTTAAACTACCCATTTAATTTAGATCATTGTTGTATGTTGGCTAAAATCAAATATAATTAAAAAAAACAAAATAACTTCCACTTTAGACATCAGGCACAGTGATGTGCCAAGATTTTGATTTCATGATTTGTTTTCATCACTGAAACATTATTCTTGGAAAACTGTAAACAGTGCTTGTCAGTATAGTTGGTGCTTACACTGTTTCTATAATGGTTAATGGTTTGTTAGCAACCATTTTCAAGTCTCCAGTTTGGCAATTTTTGTAGTAATCATATTGATCTTTATAAAGGTAAAACAATATCTACTAATGGAAATATGAAACAGCTAAAGTTAACCTTGATTTATTCTCCCCAAAGCAAATAGACACAAAGAAATCAAGTAAGACAACAAACACAAGAGAGACAAAATTGAGAAAGATGTATAACCAAGACAAGGGAGGTGGTACAGGAGGAGAGGGAGGTGGAGGACAGACAGAAGACAATCAGAAAGCTGATGGGGTTGGTGATGAAGACAAGCACACAAAGGACAAAAATAATAAGCTGGAGAAGGAAAGCAGTGAGAAGGAGCCGGGCAGAGAGTCAAAGAAGGAGAACCGTCGCTTACAGTTGAGGAATGGCTGGGCTCTGACTGAACGCCTGGCCATCAACGTGTCAGGGATGCGCTATGAGACTCAGCTACGCACTCTTGCACAATTTCCCAACTCTCTGCTGGGTGATCCCAAACGACGTCTCCGCTACTTTGACCCCATGCGGAACGAACTCTTCCTGGACAGAAGCCGAGTCTGTTTTGATGCCATTCTCTACTTCTACCAGTCAGGCGGGAGGCTGAGGAGGCCTGCAAACGTCCCTCTGGACATGTTCTTGGAAGAGCTGCGTTTCTACGAGCTTGGAGAGGAGATCATCGATCGCTACAAAGAAGATGAAGGTTTCCCCAAGGAAGAGGAGAGGCCCTTACCTACAAATGAGCTGCAGCGTCGCCTCTGGATGCTGTTTGAGTACCCAGAGTCATCCGGCGGAGCTCGAATCATTGCCATCATCAGTGTTATGGTCATTGTGATATCAATCCTCATCTTCTGCTTGGAGACTCTGCCTGAGTTCAGGAATGAGAAGGAACTGAGGGAGGTGAGGATGGTCTGCATGCTGCTGATGCTTAAAGAGCTATTTACTGAGCAATAGGACGTTGACACACCAGGTTCATAATTCTACAGTCATCAAATATTCACATAAAGACTGGGCACTCTCAGGTCACTGGAGAACAATGAGGTGGTTGACAGGCTGCAAAAATGAGAGGTACTGCCACTAAGAAGTGATGAGGAGGACACAGAAAGATCACTACTGATAGATGTCAGCCAACCCAAGATAAAGAAAAGAAAAAAAATCAAATTTTAAAGGATTAAGAGAGAGGGAAGGGACAGCTGAGGATAGAGTTCGTATGAGGGTGTTTCTTCCCGAGAATATTTTGGGCTTGTCGTTAAACCTGATCCACTAAGATTCAGGGGGAGGAACAAAAAAGAAGAAAACACTTCTAGTGTGGATGACAGAAAAAAAGTAAGCACAGACAGCTTTTGTGACTGAGGTTTACTCTTAAGGTGAGATAGTGGAGATGATATGTCTGGTCACACTCAGGCACAACTGCCAGTGCCAGTGCCAGAACCAACGAATGCATTCAGGTGGGACAAATATTTCGAGGGTCCCATGAAGAGATAGTGTGGAAGGAGTAGGAGGAAAAGAAGCAAGCGTGAAGGGAAGAGAGGGAGATGAGCTTGTCTCGTGTTACCCCTTAGAGATCTAAAGGGCTATATATAGTGAAAGAACAACCCTTAGGGCACATCAACACATAAACGAAGGTCTATATTAATAAATGATGTGACTCATAGACTGTGCATGGAAAACAGCATTGAAAAAGGCTGGCAGATCAACTTTTCTGATGACCGCCACAAAATGAAATTAGCCTCACACACAGACACACACACCAGTAGTCTGGAGAGGAGGAGGAATCTGCAGAAGTGATACGCAACAGCACTTGTTAGATTTATGTCCCCCATCACCACCAACGCTGCTCAGTTTCTACCAAACATAGATAGATGGGCTCATTTGATCTGAGTATTTGAAGCTTTAAAAGCTATACTAACAAAGCCTACAAGCAAAGCCCTTCCGAACCAATCACTCATCACCGGAAGGTGGTGACATACTACAAACTGAATTGACTTGTTAGATTCTTACCCAAGGTTTTTGTTTATACCACAAGCTATGCAACCTTCAAGTAATTAAAGGATCTTAGTCTCTCCGTTGTTGGATCCTTTTCTTTCCAAAGTTATATCTTTCAGCTATTTTTGCTTCTATTAGATGCAACAGCTGAAGAAAGACACGGGGTGCACAAAGTGGGGTAAGACAAGCAGCAAGGAGTGCTGTTTACTGCTGTAATGAAGACTAAACAAAGAGGACCTCCTAAACATTGGGCGTTTGGGCCACTAGGCCAGCAATGTCACTCATAGTTAGATTCTGGGGCCATGGCATTGATCCTTTGAGGCCATACAAATAGAAATGAGAGTTTTTTGGACCATAACAATGGACCCACCAACTAAAGTTAACAGTAATAGTTATGGGGATGCTGAGGAGATGAAGGCTGGCCGGGTGATTGTATCACAATTCAGAGGCGGTATCCTCTAAAGGGCACATTTATAGACTTATAACTGTGGCACACCAAGGCCCGTCCCAATTCAAATACAGCTTACAGATTTGTCTTACTTTTTCTCAGGCCAACATGGAGGCATCAGGCCTTACATTTTCTGTGTTTCTATGTGCGCCAAATGAAGTGGCAGAGTCAGTGTTCAATATCAGTATTTGGTTTCAGCTCAGTGGTTCAAATGTTAAAAAAGACAAACGTCATAAAATTTGAGATTATCTCCAACATGGTAGAGATGGTTGCTTAGTTGGATAATCCAAGACAAGTACTCACGTTAGCTTCCTGGTGCTTACACTGTAGTGCAAACAGGAAATCCTTGTCTTAAATGAGGACACAGTCAACATACAGCATGTGTGAATATTTTGCTGTGGTTATAAGAATGACAGGTGGTGAAGTGAATGTTTGTGGACAATAACTCATTAAGGTCGACATTCTCAAACGTTTCCTGAAGAAAATCACTCACGCACAATCATCATTAGACCATTGACATGCTTTGGGTGGTTTGGTTGAACTGATCTTTTAAAATGCAAGAGTTTAGACTAATAATGAGGCACAGGGATCAATGGACAGGGGGAATCATAAAACAATAAAAAAAAACACAGTGTTGGGGAAAATATCCACTCCAAAGGCCCCATGCTCAGAGTAACTGTATCTAACTTGTTAAAAGACACTAATGCTCAGTCATCTCAAACCTGCATTCCCTTCCCAGAAAGAAACAAGCGGCTGGGTTAAATGAAGTGTCAGATGCCTTGGCTGTGCTGGTGTCTTGGGTGTAATGCAACCCCCAGTCACATGAGCTTAATATTTTTTGTTTGCGTTTAAATATAGAGGAAATGATTTACATAAAAGTCTGCAGTGTGAAAATGGAGAAGACACAAAAGTTAACACAGTATCACAGGTCTCACAGATCTTGATGACTCGTGTCATTCTCTGCATATATTGAAGAGCAACTCATGCAATAATCACCTCTTCTCACCTATCCTCTATCTCTCCCCTGCTTACTTCCACCTTGTTTTCCGCCTGCTCACTTTCCTGTAAATATAGTCTCCATGGAGATATTTATTAGAGTCTTACCCTTCCCCTTTAGTCTCAGGTTCCTTCCCAGCTCATGTTTGATGATCAACAGATGACAGAGTACGAATGCTACCTGTTTACAAAGCAGCTTCTTGAGTCTTTGAAATCTCAAACCCTTTTCTCTTATTCTTGACCTTTTCAGCAATTCACCACGATACCTCACCCCACCAATCCCAATGAAACCATCTTAATCCCACCGGGCTTCACCCCCTTCCAGGACCCCTTCTTCATTGTAGAGACAATCTGCATCTGCTGGTTCTCCTTTGAACTTATTGTGCGCTTTACCTGTGCTCCAAGCAAGATGCATTTCTTCAAAGACGTCATGAACACCATTGACTTCTTTGCCATCATTCCCTATTTTGTGACGTTGGGCACAGAACTGGCCAAGGACAAAGGTGCTCAACCATCTGTTTCCCTGGCCCTCATTCGAGTCATCAGGCTGGTAAGGGTCTTCAGGATCTTCAAGCTCTCTCGCCACTCCAAGGGCCTACAGATCTTGGGCCAGACGCTCAAGGCCAGCCTCAGAGAGCTTGCCCTGCTCATCTTCTTCCTCTTCATTGGAGTTATACTCTTTTCCAGTGCTGCCTACTTTGCAGAGGTGGACAGCCCTGAAACAGCATTCACCAGTATCCCTGAAGCATTCTGGTGGGCTGTGGTATCCATGACAACAGTGGGCTATGGTGACATGTATCCAGAGACAGTAGGGGGGAAGCTGGTTGGCTCTATGTGTGCCATTGCTGGGGTGCTCACCATCTCACTGCCGGTACCTGTCATCGTCTCAAATTTCAGCTACTTCTACCACAGGGAGATGGAGTGTGAGGACACAACCCAGTACAACCATGTCAACACATCGTTGTGGGAGAAGGACAGGGAAGATGAAGGAGAGGATAATGATGATGAAGAAGGAATGGACGACATGCCTGAATACATGGAAGATTATGCGCTGTTGAATGGGCAAAATAGCACAGGTATCTGTGCACCAATTAATGGGACTCTCCCGACAGGACTGTGTGCCAGTCAAGCCTCAAGTCAGGGAGGGATCAACTTCTACCTCAAAGAGCCTTTGGTCACTCAGGTGTGAAGAGACTGAGCGCTGTCACTGCCTCACACAAGAAGGAGAAGAGAGACTGAAAGATCCAGTTTCAATTGAGTGATAGAAAAAAAGTCAAATGTAAACATGTAGAGAAAGATTTCTTTGGTACAGTTCTTTCGAAGAGAACATGGTTTTTACTTTTTCATGTTTTCATTATTACATTTGCCTCACAAATATTCAGAGTAAATTAGTATTTTTCAGTAAAAATTAAAGCTAATTTTTGCAGAACCCGCATGTAGTTTTATGCAGTTTCAGTATTGCCTTATCGTGTCCTGATTTAAATGTTTATGTTTAGTGCACTGCAGTACAGTTTACCCATGCTGTGCACATGTGGAGTGGTTAAATGTACAAGGAGTGCTGTAAGTGTTGATCTCCTGTACTTAACAGAATTAAGACAGACATGTGTTGCTACAATCTCAAGCTGCTGGTGACTACAAAGAGATCCCTCATCGGTTGACAGTGGTGCAGACAGAGTTCATGTTGTTTCTGGTAACCCAGTTTGTATGCTACAGTCCCATGGTGTCAGAGATATGGCCTGTAAAAATGTATGGTGAAAGATGATATCAGGTCAGAGCTGGTATAGCTCAGGGCTGACATTTCTGTACTTGTGATGGTGAGGTCAGACTGCAGAGCCATGTGACTAAACTCAGATAGTTGAAGATGGCCAAACACATGACAAAGCAGGGTATGCTTTAGAGTGTTTTATAAGATGCTAATAAGGCATACTTAACATGTGTTTTCCTCTATTTGTTTGAACCATTGACAGTATATTACTATAACAGGTGCATCCCAATCTCTTCTCACTTTAAAAAAGTGAAACCAAAATACCACAAAAATGGGAGATGACATGTTGCATATTTTGGAGCCAAGGCATAAGCAGATGTGATCTGGCTGACAGAGTTGTGGTTTTGACATCAGATCCTTCGCACAAACCAGGGCACAAATTTGACTCACTCTCAAAACCTCAAAGATCCGTCAGACTCGTCAAGTCTGCAGCAAATTTTTGTGTTTACAGAAAGTGCAATGACTCTTGGGTAAATGCTCATTATGTTCTCTGTCTGTGTTTCTTCTCTATCTTTCTTATATAGTATAAGGGATTAGCGCAGTAATTAGCTAATCTAATATTTATTGTCATGACAGAAGCCATTGTTCATAACGCAATGCTTGACATGTGTTTTGATTTTACTTTTATCTCTACTTTTGGGGAACAGTCATGTCGTCCATCTGTATACAGTCTCAGAGCCAGGCACAGATCAATTAAACTGTTAATTGTGAATTATCAGCATTACATTCAATAATGTAAACAATAATATTGAAAAATTAATGATCAAAACCATTTAAGTCTGTTTAAATCAGTTTTCTTTAACATCTTTTTGGGTTTAAGGCTGACATTAAGGCAGCAGTCATCTTCACTGTGCTGGGAGACTTAGTAATGTGCCGAATGAGGATGACTTGGCTCTAACAGACAGCTCTTGTGGGTGAATGTGGTTTGGTAGCTGAAAGAGCCAAATGAAATGGATCAGCATTGTGAGATGGATCACAGACGACTTGAGTAAGAGCACCCAGCATCTGTGGATTTGAGGTGATCTTTTAGTCTTAATAGATATAGTGTGTTTGGATTAAATATTTCACTGGACTCTGATCGTGGGGACCCTCCTTTTTCTTTTTAGGAAAGTCAATGTTTTGTTCACATATTAACAGTTAACTGAGTTGAATGTTTGATTGACTAGACCCATCTCTGTTCCTAAAGCTAATCTGGAGTTAGGGGATATTTTTTTCTGTAAAGTAATGCTGTTGGAAACTTGTCTCTAGAGTCCAAATCTGCAACCCCATCAATACTGTTCTTGCTGGGAATTACTGATGCACCTTGATGACCAAGCTAGTGCTAGCACTGGCTGACAATCTAACCCTTGCCCCTCTCCAGTTTCTCTCTCTAGTCCAAAGATACAAAAAATATTATTTCTGATCCCTTATTTCTGAATATGATTGTATGAGGCAAAATGACTCATGGCTTTAAAGTTCCACTCCGGTCATATCTTTTTTTCTTCTGAAAGTGTTATCAGTGGTCTTTAAATGACGATCATGAAGTTTTTGGCCAAAATCACATTACCTGTGTCATTTTTAAGGGCTTTTGTTCTGCGGAGCTCCAGTAGCTCATTAGCAATTTGCCTCTGAGTCGTGGGCGGAGACAACACTGCTCTGCACACTCCTCTTCTTGCTAGCTTGCAGCCTAACATTGTCAGTAGTAGAAGTGGCAGGTAACATAGGAGCTTTTCAGCTTTCGGACACTCATGTCTTTGATGACATGATGAAAGCTGATATCATAATTAGCTTTCTTACGAGCATTGCAATCTGATAATGCACACGCTTGGTCCGTGATCGTCATCTCTATTTCTCCGACCCTGGCCTGCATAGCAGGGCTCCGGGGGTGGAGCTTGGATTTGTGACGTAGGAAATCTTACTGTGTCAGAACCTGCTGTTTGAGTCTGCCAGAGGTTCACAGCGGTTTGAATGCATAAATACTCAGAAATGCAATTTTGCACTTACCTTTCTCATGATGTGTCCTGTAGCATCAGAAAAATGCCATATGAATATGTAGACAACAAGAAATACATGATTTTCATCAGAGTGGGTCTTTAAGGGCTCTAAAACCTTTCATGTTCATTAAACTCCAAAGAATAAAACATATTATCTAGTTCACAAATAAAATTCAACAGATAGTGAGACACTTTGATAAATTATTTGGTCTGTATGGATGAATGTAGAGGGTTTAGCTTATTCCCATGACAGATGTGGTAGTTGTTGGTGTATATATACTGTATACTGTAAGTCTTATTTTCATCAGTCATGTCAAGGATTTCTAAATTCCTTCCAGATTACTTCCTGTGAAGTGACCAGGAAAGAATGTGATGATGTGTCCTCAAATCTAAACAACATTTTTCAAAGCACCATGAGGCATGTGTAAAGTATTCTTAGAGGGTGAAGTAAACCTCAGACCGCCTTAAGCTTTTTATTTTTTTTAGCTTTGTCTTTGAATCAGAGTTGACTTTGTACCTTGTACCCCTGTCTAGGAAAGAAAAGCGCTCTGTATTACTGCTCTGTGTTGTGCATTTTCATTCATTTTACTGAAATTATCACTACTTTTGCTGTTATTGGTTTTAGTAAGTACTGTGCTTTTACTGTAAGCCATCCTGAAGAAACCAGTAATGCTGAGCTTTAGAAATAAAACTGAAGTCAACCTGAGCTGAAACTGTTCTTCTGTCTGTAAAACAGCTCATATGAGTCCTGTGGTAAGCTGTAGGTCCACTGCATGTGATGAGTGATCCTGCCTCTAGATGTCAGACTGTGTTTTAAGTTGCACCACTGACTGTGCAGAGACCAGAACATCTGTCTCACTTCTGCTGCTTGTGGATTTAATTTACAGTAACATAAAAGACTTGAGATAATTGAACACAACATTCTTCTTCTTGAAATGATCATGTTCATACAGATGATACAATCCAGATGACTTACAATATTTTCATTCTGTGCTATAATAAAATGACATTTGGGAGGAAATTATAACAACTGGGTAAACTGATTACGAATGGACTGAAACCGGTGAAATACCAAATGATTGTAGGTTTATTACTGGAGTTGGGTTGATGTCAATTTTGGTGCCCCTCCAGGACAAACACAAAAATTCTCATCCTGATGACTTTTGACTATCTTATGTATTAATGTATATTGACTGAACTCAGTGGGAGGAGAAATTGATTCAATCTCCAGTTTTATTCATACCCAATACCATGCAGCTGTAAGTCTTAAATTGTGCCGGTGAATCCTCAGTGAGTGGGACCCTCGTCACTTATTGTGTCTCCCTTGAGAATAAATCACCAGCAGTGTTAGTGTCGTATTTGTCCCGCAAATGAAACAAAGACATCAGTGTATTTTGTAAAAATAGCCTGTTTTTCAAACAGATGATGCACCTCTTAACCTCCGGCTAACACACTCACAAACACACACGCGCACACTCAATGATGATGGCTACAGTGATTAAATTCCTGACCCTCCTGTCGCCTCAGATGGTGTGATATCCTCATGTCATGTACTGGAGGCACAGCTCTCTGTCATGCTACAGGACAGATTAGTGTCTCACAGCACATAGACACCATCAACCAAAACAGCTCCACAAATTTGAATTTCACATATTTTTAGACTGACCTCAACACAGTTTTACAGATTTCTGATAGGTGCTGGCCCTCTTCACCTTTTCCCTCCACCTGACTTGGATCTCCCTGCTGACGTGAAGGGAGCATAAGCTAACGTCAGTGCTGCTTGCAATTACCCACAGTGCCCTTATGCTGTCTGGGAAGAATGAAAAGGATTGACGTCTTTCTGGCCATCTGCCGCCCTCCTATTCCTCTCCCATCCCTCACCCTCTCTCGCCTCGCCCATCTCTAACTCTTCTTTGAGCGGATTAAGTGTGTTGGGATCTCTGTGTGTCTTTGTCTCATCAATGTGTAATTGTGCGTGTCGTATGCGTTTTGACTGTGTGTTTGTTGTAAATCTTCTGTTTAGTAATATCTTTGTCTACGTCTTTAGTCACCAAACACTGACGCGTGTCCCCTTTCGACAGCAAATCCCTCCACAGATTGCACACGTTACATACCGGGCAGAGTAAACACCAATGTACTGTAGCTATTTTAAATAAATCTCTAAGATTTTATTACATACAATATACACAAGACCTGGATCTGTGATTCTGAGTCAAAACTTTAGGATGCGGGGAGGCAGTTGATTCAATCACATTCAAAATGAAAGGCAATTCAGTGGGGAGGAAGATAAAGTGATTTTACAGCAAATCAAAAATTTAGAATGATACATGATAGTAAAAGTGAAATAACTATTCAGTTTGAACAAACAACAAAATTAAAACAGCAGAATGGCTATAATGCATCATTTCAGACATCAGACCACGACAAGAAAATACAAACCATAAATAATATCAACAATATTAACATCCAGTGTGACTGCAGTCAGGGGAAAGAGAGGTGAAGTGCAAGAAAGTCTTAAAATCAGGTTTGAGAAGGTCTGAGCTGGCTGTATGTTTGTCACATTGACTGTATATACTATGGACAACCTGGTTCCGCCTACCGCCTGTATACAGATTTGAAGCCAAAAAGCTCTCGGTATTTCCGGGATTTTTCTTCATTTCCTGAAACCAGCGCTGTGCAGTAGCGTTGTGCGCATTCGGCCGTGCAGTCGCAGAGAGTCGCTGTGATGATGCTCGGCTCAAACAGCGTATCCCCTGGGAGAGCTACGCAATCCCTGAACGCCCATAGGCTGTATTAGGTGTCAATCATAGCAAACATGAACCCCCTAATAACTTTTAAAAATGGAGCTTCACAGAAAAAAAGAGGACCTGAGCACAAACCAGTCTTACAATAACTATATGTCAACATCGCAAGCAGGGGGGAGAAAAATTTATGTTCTGTGTCATAAATTTCTAAAGTTTGTCCACAGCCCCATAAGCTTTGCTGGCGGAGGCGGGATTTATGACCTATACTGCAGCCCATCAACAGAGGGTGCTGTTCTCGGGGTGGCTTCACCCCGTGAGGAGGCAGACGGCGTCCATTCTATATACAGTCTATGGTTTGTCATTAAAGCTAAAGCATTATTAGTCTTTGAGGTGTTATGTTTAAGCATAGCCTTACAACTCTGCCTACAGGTTACAAAATCCTTTTTTCTATTTCTTGCTAGTAAACATAATGAGCTCCGTTTAATTAATGTCAACAAAAACCTTAGAGTAAAAATGAATGAGTTTTGGCCTTATGTACGTTGATGTTTCTTAGCTAAGAAACCGTTATCAAAAACTGACATTGATTCACTTTGGTTTTTGTGTGGATTAAACAAACAAGACAAACATGTTTATTAGTAAGCTTTGCTGGTTTTGGTGGATGGATTTTATCAGTCAGAAACTGTATGAATGAAATATGAGAAACCGTACTAACTTTCCCCTTTAAATGGACAATATTTCACATCCTGTCAGGATAATTAAAAATAGACACAGAGATGAACAAAGGTTAGGGACCAACTAAGTCAGAGTTTCTGCCAGTGTGTTGCCAGCCTGGTGTTACAAGCTCTAACCTCTGTGAGCCTAATATTTTAAGCAGCAGTTATAGTAGAGTCACATAGAACAACAAAGTTAAACACCTAGGTAAGTCTGCAAGCTCAGCGTGGATGTCTATTGGGTAAAATAGAAACACAAAAGCAGTATGTCTTAAATCAGACTTCTCTCTCTTCATTGTGCGTAGACTGACTTTCATTACTTCACCCTCACAACTATTAAAGCTAAGGTTTCTAGCTAGACACAGACCTTACAACTCTGACTCCTAAATCATTGGCAGATTATGCAAAATGTAAACAGATTTGATTCATTGAAACAACAACCACTTTAAAGTAGTACAAAGACAGCATGCCAACTGTTGACACTGTCACTCTGTATTATTTCATGGAAAAAAATCAATGCTCATCTTAAATTTGAGTACAGCCCCCAACTTCAACAGGGTAATGGCATTATTAGGTCTATGAAATTGCCCTTGGATGTGATATTATGCAGTGGGTAAACATTTTGACCTCAAGTTGATGGGTTTGGAAGCAGAAGAAATGAACAAGTGCTGGTGTGGGTGACCGGATAAGATATATTTGTCAACTAGCACTGATGCTTTGTACAGCCATGGGCCTAGAAAACATGGTCTGCTTCATTTCTGCAAGGTCTGATCTAACAGAGGTCACCTCGGTAAAAAGTTAATTATAGCTCTGACCAAAACATGTCAGAACACACAGCGCATCACAGTTCATTATGTTTACTACTAGATAGTCATAGGGAGCCCATGCTGACTCTGTCTACCACTGAAAGAAACTACAACAGGAAATGAAACAAGCTGGCCAGGAGGGAAACATCTACAAGTTTAAGGTGTTGATTTGGTTTCCTTATCCCCAGATCTTAAGCTATTGAAGTATCTATGGGCTAGACAACTAGGCCCAATTCGTAGAAGGCTCACCTTGCAACCTACAGGATTCAAATGATCTGCTGAAAATGCCTTGATGCCAGACACATCCAAAATAGCACTGATTGGGTAAAAATGGGGTTGATAATTCCTTGGGCAGGCAGTCTTGATGTTATGGCTGATCAATGTAAGGTAGAAGACAAATAATCATTTGAAAACCAAACTTCACAGGTCCACAGAGTTAACTGAACCCTTAAGCAACAAACCCATTTTACTCAATTTAGATCCAAAGAGGTCAAACAACTTTACTGACAGAGATCCTGACCTGAGGGTTTACATAACAGGTAAGTGAAAAGGAGCCTCGACACGTCCCTTTTTCATTGAGAGCAGCAAAGTGAGGCAAGTTCAGACATACAGGAATTATTCAAGTTTGAGTAGGAAATGACAAATCAAAACAATAATGGAGTTATAAAAAGTGGATGACACAGGTGAACTATTGGGGGAAAAAAAACTCTTCATCAAGCCCTTGTTTGCAGAAACTAAATGGCCTTAATCCAGGATTTGAGGGCTTAACATGGTACAGGATGTTGCCTTCGCAAAATTCTGACATCTATGCTTGTCAAGCTCAAAGTAAGCTTTTCCAAAACAGTTCTGTTAATCAGGAGCAGTGAACCCAAAGACATTGAAGTAGTTGAAATGTTACCAGTGAGAAATCCACCATGGACCTCTGCTGAGATTTGTCAGAAAAATTGAGCTGCGTGTGAAACAGAAACTAATTGGTGTGGAAGGTTTTTGCTGGTAAATCCAATCATGGCAGGTCACCTGGTGGGATGGCATGCCTCCGATCATACGCAGTGTCATCGCTTTCCTCGCCATCGCTTACTTCATCCAAAACTCTTTCTCTCTCTTCGTCCTCCTCTGTTTCACTTTCTCGCCTCAGCCGCTCTCGTTCCCTCTCTCTCTCTCTGTAGGAGCGAGGGATCGTGGAAATCTGACAAGACAACGACCAAAACATCAACCCATGTAGACCACTTACACTATATTTCTTTCATACAGGCTAATAGCTGACTCTATGCAGAAAAGTTTAGGAACCACAGCTTTAAGGGAAAAACACATATTCTCACTTTTGAAACTGTAAATGACATCTTTTCATGTCTTTAATGAATGAAATTGGCTTTTCCCCCCCATCTATCTTCAAATGGAAATTAAACCCCATTCCATCTTCACGAGAGAAGTAGGAGTAACTGGCTTCAGCTATCACCTTAGCAATTAATAAACCGAGCCTTACCAGCAGGAGTTGTTTCCTAAACCAAGCCACTGCTTCACAACATTAATCATACACTCAGTACGTTTTTTTTGTCACCAAAAATCTTTTTAATGTTTGATTTTGGAATTGCTTTTATGATGCACTAGCTTGGCAAGTAGGAAGGTCTCAAGGTGAACACAGTGTTTTGTTCAACACCTGCAAAAAGTGATGAATGAAAAAGTTTGTGGATGATTGGACTATCTCTCTATCTACTGTCAAGTTAAATCTCACCATCAAAGGAATCCTCAAAAGCATCATATTAGCAGCATCAGTACATGATAAAGAGACGTGCTCTGTTTTATGAAAAGCTAAAGTCACACACGGGTAGTTACCTGGTTCTCATGGCTGGGCAAAGCGCAGTAGCCCGGCTCTGTCCTGTGGAGGAGGCGTGGTGAATGAGTGCGGAAAGGTCTGGGAGAGTGGGAGCAGACGGAACGTGGAGAAGGAGAACGTATGGAGCGAGGAGAGGGAGATCGGATGGAACGAGCAGGTGAGTAAGTGATGGAGTGGGACTGGGAGAGAACATGGCTGTGGTGGTTTTGTTTAGGTGGGCGAGGGGAGCGAGGCGGCAGCTCGGGCGGTTTGAGAGGGTCCACCAGGTCCATCTCTGTGAGGATGGGGGGTGGAGGGATGAAGCCAAGCTCCTCCTCTGGGTGAAGCATTTGCATTTCAGCCGCGTCGAGTTCGGCAAGCTCTGCTTTTGACAAGTGGGCCACGATGCCGGCACCGAACGAGTCACCCACCACATTGATGGAGGTACGCATTCTGTCACTGGTGAGGCAAACATGATCAGCGTCAGTCGAGGAAACAGCGCCACCAGGAGCTAAAAATTAACTATCACACTGACTCCTCATTCTCACACACTCTCCTCCTATCAGACACCTGACTCACAGCAGCCAGTCGACAGCAATGAGCAGACTGATGTCCTGAGTGGGCAGACCAACAGCAGTCAGGATGAGCAGCATGGTAACCAGTCCAGCACTGGGAATACTAGCAGCTCCAACACTGGCCAGGGTAGCAGTCATACTTAGGAGGAAACAGAGAAACAGTTGAATCTTGTTGTGGGCGATAATGAGTGGACAGCAGCAGAAACAAGATTCAGTATACATTATGAGGACTTGTGTTCACTTTTTATGCTTGTAGCCTCTATTTTCTGTTCAAAATCAATGCATTGAGGCATTTTTCCACACTCATTATTTGTTTGATGTTGCTGCATCCTCAGCACTCTAAGTTAAAAATATTAAACACTGTCTTGGTTGTTCTAGTAAAGTCTTCATCCTTAACCAACCATAATCCAAAAGAGAACAGACTCAAGATATTTTCTACATTATGGTAGAGAAGGATAACTTTTTATGGTTATGTCACATGCATAGACTTGTTTCCAGTGTATCATTTTCAGGTCCAGAGCTGCTGTTCGTTCTATAAGTAGTTTCAATCACTTGATTACGCATAAAATTTCCTTGACTAACAGGATATATGCATTAAGCAGCTGCTCTAAACCTGGAAAAGCTACCCTTGAAAAAACAAGTCTAAAGTAACCGAGAAACCTAGTGTTTCACCACCCTTGTGGACAAAGCTGATATCGGAAATCCTGCCCCTTCTTGATTGGTCTTAAAGAAGAATTGTAAGCGGTGAGTGTACCAGTGTTGCAGAAGTTAAACTTTTTAAAGCACTGTGAGTTTGGGCTGCACAATTTTGTCCAAAAATAAAATCTCGATTTTTTTCTCTGAAAACGATTTTTGATTTCAGTCTTTTATTCAGTGACAACTTCACCAAACGTCACTTTAAAAATAATACGTTTTTCTATCATCTCCCAAAACAAAACCACAGAAAATGATGTAGTGCATATGCCAAGCCAATAAGTGGCACTGTGACGCTGTCTAGGAAATGCACAAAAGACAGAAGAAGAGTACAGAGCATGCGTATAAAGGTTATTTTGGCTGGACAGGCGCAGGCGCCATCAAAGAGTTACGCTGTGTGTCACATTATCGTTTCAAGAGAGATGCAGATAGACGTCCACATGGAGATGAGATGGCAGTTGTTTACGGATTTGTGCACTCTCTGACCTGTTTTCAAAAAGTACCATTTAAAGTCACCAGAAATGCTGATACAACAAAAAACTTTTGCGATTACTCCTAAATTCGTTCCATGTCTTTGAATTGGTTCCGCCTTCAGACAGACTTTGCAGCAGGGAGTGGTTAGCTCTCCGTCAAAACTGCAAAGTCATACCATGGCCACACAACTGACTTGCTCTTGCTATTTAGCCACAAAATTATCGCCTTCTTTTGCAAACGCCATGTTTGTTTACACTGGTGTGTGGTAACTGGGGAGCACTCTCGCAGGAAGGGGGAGCCTATTGTGGCCTGGAGGCACTCGACATGATAGAGAGGAAAATCGATTTGACCCTTTTGATTTTATAACATTGTCATAATCAAATAATCTGATTACGATTTAAAATTGATTTATCGTACAGCCCTACTGTAAGTACAGCTACAAAAGCAGGTGATGCTAAGAGGCTTTTGAGGCTCAGCGATGAGAGCAGAAAGGAAGATGCAAGGAAAATAAGCGTTGGCTGTGCAGTTAGCACCAGCAGTGGAGGAAGGCTCTTTTTCAATTCATTAACTGAAAGTTTTTCTGAGCTCCAGAGGCCCCAGTACAGCTTGGCTTCAACTCCACATAAATCTGAATGGTTAAGAGCAGGTTTCCTCACTAACTATGGATGAATCCACCAGCTTGTTTTTTTTTGTTGTGTGCTAATGTGGCGCCACCAAACTGCAAGCAGTTACAGACAATGAAAATGTTAAAGTCTTTGTTGACAATGGTTGGAAAGAAACATAACAATAAAAAGGTGGAGTTTTTGTCTCAAAACACTTCTTCAAAATTGGCTCTGACAGTTTAAGGGAAGGATCTTTTGGGCCAGCCTCCAAAGTGTGGATTTGAATGTTTTGTATGGTTAAATGGAACCCATGTGGCACAGCTTGCTTCATCAATACGCCAGCAGAGCATTCATTTTTGTCCTGCATCAGACAAAAGTGTCACAAACATCTTAAACACACTCAATTTAACTTAATCTCTTCTAACCTGTTGATTTGGCTTTAGCTAATAATAGCACAGCACAATAAAACTGGTTTGGATGCTTTGAGGGAAATCCGATCTGGACTATATTTATTGCCTAAGATCCAAACACTTTTTTTCATGGCTTTGAATATTGCACAGGTTTAAAGTAACAAAATCCCTCAATGACTCCTGACATTAAAGTAAATGTGAATATTGAATGCACAGTGGAGCTGTTTATAAGATGTTTGAAATGACAGGAACAATAATTGTCTGTTGGTTTGTGTTGTAACTACAGATCAGTTTGAATATGATCTAAACTAAACTGAAGTTTATTGTTAATCTGAATTTAGAGTTTTGTGTCACATCTTAAGTGTTTTTCATAAAGATCATTACCACCCCACAGAGAGTGAGAAGCTTTCAACAGACCAACTCAACACATATGGTCTGTGTTTAAGAGCAGTTTCCTCTTCCATTATGCAACAGTCAAACAGTTCTTTAGAAAATTAAATTTGGGAACTTCGTGGGACGTGTCTGCTGCTGATGAAACACAATAAAAAACCTCAGAGAGTTGAGTGTCATTTATGACCAGCGGCCACAACATGCAGAGTCCAATCCAAAAAGACTGGATCCAATCAGACATGAATGTTTCTTTGAAACCTCAGAAATGGGAAACAAGAGCATCTCGGTAGCTTAGTGGTTACAGGGCATGCCACGTATCTGCAGCTTAAATGTTTCCTTCTTTTTTTCTGACTATTGAACTCTGAAAAATGTGTGAAAAACTGAAAAAATCTTGTTCTTCATTCTTTTGTCTTTTCAGTATTTTATTTATTTTTATTGCATTTTCCTGGACTGCTATAACAATTCAACTTCCCTTGGGGATTAAGACAGTCATCCATCTATTTATCTATAAAAAAGAAAAGAATGGACCTTTGAATAAATGCCATTTGATTTGTTTTTGTGATTAACATTGGGATGTTCTTGATATTACCTTTATTTATGATCAAGATAATATCTACTTTTGTACAGTCAGAGATTAAGTAACATTGAGGGTGAAATATGTTGTCAAATTCAATGTCAAATTTCAGTTAACATGAGTTAATAATATGTTCCTGTTCTAAGGTACATAAGAATTAAAAAGAAAAGCAGTAATGAGACAGACATGGAGCTTAAACATCTACACAGTCAGTACGACAGAGAGAAGATCAGTGGAGTGAATAAAGAGGTTTTTGCTGATGAAGTCAGTGTGTCCTCCCCTCAGCTGGTGTTTGAAGTGTATAAAAGAAGTTATACATGTAATTTTCTTCAATGTGAAATTTCAGGTTCAACTGGTTGGGTGTCTCAAGTGCACATGAAGATCTTCTGTTGAGTCCACCGTGGTCGAGGATGCCTAAAAGAAAACTTTTGGCATGAGCGTGTTTGCAGCCTGGTATTGATTGTGGTTTTGAAGTATCTTTGTAATGTGATGCATGTGATCGTACCATAGTTTCAGAGGCTTGTATAAGCCCTTGTTGTTGTTGTGAGAAGCCAGTAACTGGTAGAAAGCTTGACTGGAAACCAGAACTTTGTATCACATGAAAACCTGGTCAAGGCTCCAGATCATTGTCAAAGGTGTAGTGATGTAAAATCAAGACACAGTTGCACACAAATGATCAGAAACCTGGATGCTGTCAACTTCATGTTAACAGTTTCTCATGTCACATACGTATGGACATTTTTACCTCAGCTGGATCAATGCCAGAATCAAGGTAAAATATGATGTAGTGTGTCCACTTTTGGCCTTTTTTACTGCAACATCCTCTTTTTAACACAACAACACCGCTCATGGTGTTGGCACTCAGTGTCAGTTGGATCATCGTTGCTGCAATCACAACACTTAGGGCTCTATGTTCGTGTACGCTGGTGAGGCGACAGAGGATGGCGGACCCCGCGCAGTTGTATTTTCGTCTGGCGGAGCCCGGCGTACAGCCAGTTTGGTATTTTTGTGAACTGGGGCGCACGGAGGCGAACCGAGATCCGCCAAGCTGGGTATGGTGGCGTGGCAGGGGGAATCAGTGGGTGCAGTGACATTTTCGTGCTCGCCAGTGGCGTGTAAAGTGCGCTGAAAGCTCGCCGATTCAAACCTGGTCTAGTAGTATTTTAGTAGACCAGTGGCGTATCTGCATACGTCACCGATGCCTCACAGGCAGGTTTCCACAGTGTCAGGCACATTTCAGTGCAATAAATAATCATCAACAACTAATAATCTGAGTCAGCACATACATTTAGATCTATATCGATATATTCTGATCTATATCTGATCTGATGAGCGCATTTGGCACGCGTTTGGACACACAACCTGACCGAATCAACACAGCTGAAACCGCATCAAATTAAATTAAATTAAATATCTAGTAAATAGACACACATGATGAAGTTAACAAGATATTTAATTTGTCTCCCTCCCTTTCTTCTTCCTCTTCTCTTATTTCTCGCGCAGCTTGACCTGGACACGTCTCCATGTCCTCTCTCCGTCCTGCTGCAGCGGCTGAACAGATGATTTGTTTCAGTGATCAGATGAGTTATTTACTTTAAGCCGACATACGGATATTATAATATTCAGTTTTGTGAGCCAAATTTATTTTAGATGCCAACATCTATGAAAGAAAGAGCCAGGCCACGGAGCGCAATGCGTCCTTTATGCACAGGTGGTTCCGATTTTAATGCCATTTTTGGAGTTTATGTGGTAATCTGTGCGCACAACCCACCTTTGTCACATAAGGTTTGAATATATGCAACTTTATGTGAGTATCTTTATTTGTGGAAAAGGGTGTTTGTCTTACCAGTGGGTCCAACATTACACACACCAAATCTATCTGTGCTCAGATGAGAGAGTGTGGAGGACACTTGTTGAGCAGCTGCCCTCTGTCGCCATCGTGTGGCATAGCTGTCTTCAGACATCTCTTGATCTCTTTGACTACTTCATGAAAATAGTAATACGCCTCGCCGGTGGCGGATTTAAAGGCAAGGAGAGGAGCTTATGTGATTGGTGAAAACAGGTCTCGGCTGTGTTAAACCCACTCCACACCCTCTCTCCTCCCTCGCTACGACTTACGCCGCTGGGAGGAGCTGAGTTAGGGAGGGGGGATACTTACGCCGGGCTGCGCCGCTCACCAAAATACCAAATTGTGCTTGGGAACGCCTTGTCGGCACGGCGGACCTGACTTACGCCGCGTCTGCTGCACGTCTCCAGTGAGGCACGAAAATAGAGCCCATAATGTTGAAAAATAGTTCCACTTGAGACACTGCTGTGCAGGTTTATGTTACTTCTCCTATCACTTACCAATTAAAAAAGGGTGAGACCTCCAAAATCAACAACAGAGGTTTGTACACAAGAAACTAACCACGCTCCTTTTATTAAGGGGACATTTTCCAGGCGTAGAGCTGTTAAAATGCTGCAATGCCAATTCTATCAATATATTTTTATATTTTGCAAATTTACTTGAAGTCAGGCAAATTCTGAGAACACAAAGTGACTTAAAACAGACTTATTGGTCACTACTGAGATGAGCTAAACTGCCACTAGACAAACTTCTTGATGTAGCAACAGTGAGTGCATGAAATTTGTGAAACAAACACAGACTCTAAATGTCGATTTGGGCTCAGAAACAAAGAGGTGAGTCTGAGGTTTTTCCTGCCCATGAAACAAAGGTTTAATGTTCGAATATTCAAACACACATTAGACTTCTCTTGACTGTCTGGTAGCAAACACTACCAGCCCAATTACTACAAATTCAAGGAGTCAAGGAATCAGCCACGGAGTCCAGAATCTATCCCTAAATGTAACACTGCAGCCCAACATGACAAAGCCTGTATTCCCTTATTCCCTAACTATCCTCACTGAGCCCAGGTGAAACACTCTTCTGGTAAGATTACAGACCAATAGAGATCTCACACATGATACTGGTTGTGGCTGAGTTTTTGTTTGTAATTTGGTAACACACTAGGGTGCCTGGGATGCAGTTACCACAAATAAAAGCCTGCAACAAGTCCATTCCAGTTCAATATGTGGAATCTAACAGAACACCACAAGCTGTTGTTTCAGAAAGCTGAATGAAGATGCTAACAGGATTGATGACTCCCCTTTGGGTCATTGTTTGGTTAACCCTAATGCCTTACCTGACAGTGATGATCTGTCCGCCGTCCAGAGTGATGTCATTCATCTGGGCGATAAAGATGGCTGCCACAGCTTCATACAGTGCAGTGCCATCCATATTAATGGTGGCACCAATGGGAAGCACAAAGCGAGTCACACGTTTATCAATCTTCAGATTTTCCTCCAGGCAGCGAAAGGTGACAGGTAATGTCCCTGCACTGGGAAAAAAAGATAAGACCACACAAGATGTTCAGTTGGAGGAAAAACAATGCAGATGTACAGAAAGCAGGAGGAAAGTTTGAGCTGCAGGACATAAAATAAGTAGACAGGTGCTGAAAGACAAACGTGCAGAGGTGAAGAGTGAGGTGAAGGGGTAAAAAAAAAAAAAGAAATTTGAGTCGGTTGGCAGCTTCCCGCTAACAGCTGGTGTCGGCCACTGTTGCAATCCTCCGACATGTGAATTAAAGGAATTTTATTCCCAGCTCCTGCTAAGCTCAGGTCATAATATAATTAGAGAAAACGTTGATAGGATTACCCACATTCACTAAAGCCTCAGTAATGTGCCAAAATGACAGTTGGTTTCAGCACTGATGCAGGGTCCCAGGCAGGACAAGACAAGCCGAGCCAAACAGGACAGAGCGGGGCCAGTTTGGCTGCTGACGGCTAATCCGAAGGCTTAGACATTAACAACACAGGATCTGTCTGACATGGAGTTGTCCATGATCGCTGGTGCTTACACACATTTGGCTCTGCTGTCCTGATTATTCTGTATTAGTGTAAACACAGAATTCCCCTTTCCAACCATGCAGACTCGACCCTAATAGCTGAAAGCCAGCAGCAGGCAATGTCAATCAATCATCCCAACTCCACAGCTGCTCGAGGAAAAGATGTTGTAAACGAAAACATGTGACGCACATGTGTTAACACTTGCCCAGACAGAGAGCTAACACACACACTCACACACAAACACACACACTTCCTGGAGGCCGTCTTACCTGCTAGCAGTGCCCAGAGCTGTGATCCAAGCTTGGAAGATTCCAGAGTAGAAGGTGAGGGGGCTCTTTCTGGTGGTGGCGAAGAATATAGCCGGTAGGATCAAACCGCCGTGTATCACCAGGCCTACAATGACAGTCACCATGTACATGCCAAGTTGCCGAGCAACCACCTCCAAGTCTCCGATGGCCGCAATCTTTCCAGCAATCAAAGAGGCAATGCCAACAGGAGAGTACCTATGCACAAAAAAATGATAACCAATCAGACGTTGACATTGGTTTTATAGAACTCCATGTTACAACAGTATGGGCTCTATTTTCGTGTCCACCGGAGATGCAGCGGAGGGTGGCCGACCCCATACAGTGGTGTTTTTGTCTGGCGGAGCCTGGCGTACAGCCAGTTTGGTATTTTCGTGGACTGAGGCGCACTGAGGTCCGCCAAGCTGGGCATGGTGGCATGGCAGGAGGAGGCGTCGACAGAATCAGCTGGCGCAGTGACGCTTTCATGCTCGCCGCCGGCGTGTAAAGTGCGCTGAAAGCTCGCCGATTCAAACCTGGTCAGCTTTCAGCGCAGGCGGAGCGCAGCTGGTCTAGTGGTATTTTGGTAGACCGGCGGCGTATCGGCATACGTCACTGATGCATCACTGGCAGGTTTCCACAGTGTCAGGCATATTTCAGTGCAATAAATAATCAACAACAACTAATAATCTGAGTCAGCACATACAATGACCAGTGACAGTTTTAGATTTTATATCCTGCCATTGGGGATGGGAAAAACATTTTCATTTGAAAAAGATCATGGTGATATCAGCCTCATGAAGGCAGATGCCCATATGATGCAGATTCTGTCAAACTGCCAATGATTGGCCCAGTTCATTACTTAGTCTTTAGTTATCAGGACCCTCTCCTTTGCAATCATCCACCAGTCATGGTCAAGGGGGGAGGCACCCTCTCTACCTGTAATGGTGAGGGCTGGCACAGGTTTGGACCAATCATTACTTTGCTGCCCCGGCATATGGTTCACATACTTTTACCATTATCATCTGCATTGCCTTAGACTAACTCTGATGAAAATCATGTTTTTCTTGTTGTCTACATGTTCATGTGGCAATTTTTCTGATGCTAAAGGACATATCTTAAGAAAACTAAGTGCAAAATTGCATTCCTGAGTATTTCTGCATTCAAATCGCTGTGAATCTCTGGCAAACCCAAACGGGAGGCTTTGACACAATGATATTTCCTGCGTCACAACTGCAAGCTACGCCCCCGGAACCCCGCTATGCTGGCCGGACTAAGAGAAATAGGGAGGATGATCATGGAACAGGTGAGTGCATTAGCAGATTGCAGTGCTTGTAAGAAAGCTAAAAATTATATTAACTTTCATCATGTCCCTAAAGACATTGGTGTCTGAGAGCTGAATAGCTCCTATGTTACCTACTACTTCTACTACACCAGCAATTTAGGCTACAAGCTAGCATGAAGAGGAGTGTGCAGAGCAGCGCTGTCTCCGCCCACAACTCAGAGGTGAATTGCTAATGAGCTACTGGAGCTCTGCAGAAGAAAAGCCCTTAAAAAAGACACAGGTAATGTAATTTTGGCAACAACTTTAAAATCAAAAACTTTAAAATGTGATTTTGGATAAAACTTCATAATCACAATTTGAAGACCACTGAGAACAATTTAAATATTTAAAAAAAAAAAAAAAAAGACAAGGAATGGGACTTTAAGCCTATACATAGCCTTAGCTTTGCCACTGTTACTTGCCAAGGCTGCATATGCTTTGCTCATGACTTGATGTTGAGTCTGTGTACAGAAACAGAACAAAGAGTAAAACTTTTTTATGAATCAGGATGATACAAACAAAATTGATTGATTAAAAACTTTGTAAATAAATTTCGAATGCATCTGGAAACATTAAATGTGGCTAACTTCATTCCTGTTTTATTTTTTAACCGTGAATGTTTAAAGTTTCATAAAAAAAATTGTTCACTGAAGTTTCTTGTGGCCGAATATGATTTTAAATTACAAATCTAACTACAATAGTATACTTCTATTTAAAGGAAGAACTATAGAGAAGCTGTGACCAATTTTTGGTCCTCGGAAAGAAAATTACTTCAAGGTACATTGTGGACTTTAAAAGCATGTAAACATGTCCAAAATCACTTTCTGTTACTCATTTGAGAACAGATTGCAATGTCCCTTTAAAATGGAAGGAGTTTTCCCAGACTCTTGGAAACACTCAGCCATCACACCAATCCTTTAATCAGGCAATCCCACTATAGCTAGTCATTACAGACCTATAAGCATTCTTCCAACAGCCTCTAAGGTCATGGAGTGTGATAGGGTGCATGGCTTGAAATGAGTGTCACATGGCTACAACATTGGGGATCCACATCTCACAATTTTTGAGCAGCCCGCTAATTCTGACTGTTAACAAAGCCATTCTCTGCCTCTCCAACCTGATTGGTTGTGAGGCAGACGCTGCTCCCTCCTGTTATGAGGTCCTCGATTAACATGCACGAGCCCAAACAAAGTTAGCGTGCTACAACATCGGACAGTAGAAACCAACCAGAAAGTATGGAAACACAAGCAAGAAAACAAAGTAAATAACGGAGATTCTGGTGGAATAAGGGGTGTTTAAAAGGAGGTAGCCCGGACAAGAGCTAAAAAGCCGGGTCAACATCAACTTAAATTATAGGGGAGGCTTTGGGATCTTACGGACCCTGTAACCTTTCTGCTGGACAGGTAAACCGCTTTAACAAAGTAAGCCAAGTGTCTGTGACAGAAGTGTTTCTTGTCAAATGGGACCTGCAGCGTGTTGTAGCACCGCTAAACTGTTTACCTCGGGTCCTGGACTTTGTCACTTTATCCTAGTTGTAGAAGTCCTGCAAACATTGTGTTTGCTGGTAGTCTGTTGGCATCTTCAGTAGCACTAATGTGTTTTACTTTCACGTTGACTGGGCCCCATTTGTAATTATCTGAAGTATTTATCTGCATTATATCTGAATTTAATTGGAACGATACGAGCGAGCAGGAGTGTCTGTTTGTGGGCAGGGCTTGCTGGAGCAGAGAGGGAGGGGAGAGGAGGAGCTGAAGGGAAAACTGGTTGGGAGGGGTAGGGCTACATTCAAGATTTCACCCCAAAATTGGCACTTCCTCAAATCCTGCCTACCCCACCTTTAATGACCTTCCAAGTTGTTGCCCTTCAAATGTAATCTGTCAATCGTAGTTGATGCTGTTTTGTATGTGCATGCAAAACACAGTGAGCAAGCTGCCCAGGAATAGACTTAGGCCATGACTAATGTGTATCACTGTCTTGAGAGCTCTTAGTTGCATCTCAACATCTGTTTGTATGTACTTCTCAAAAAGAGCGGACAACAACACTGATCCAAACATTTTTGCACAGGGTAAAAAGAACTTCCCCAACTTTAGATTGTTTGAGAAAACTAAACTCCAGAGTCGGCCAAGTTATACTTTGATGCAATGATTATGTCACACGTCTTACTCCTTAACCAGCTGGGCAACTGCCTGTAAATCAACCCTGAAATCATACCACCACTGCCTGGTTTTGGAAAAGCATGAGCGTCTAAACTAGGACTACACAATAAAATATACTGAATCTGTACTCGTCAATAAAATCTTACATGATCAGACTCCACCACCACTTTAAGAGTCTGTAAAAAGAAACTCTGGTAGATCAACCACAGCAGGCCTCAGAGGTGACTGAGTTATACCATTTTGAGTAAGTGCCTCTGGTCAAGCAGTGTTATCATTTTGCATGTCCCAGACCAGGAACCAAATACCAAACTCCAACTCTGACCTCCTTTTCAAAACACCTTAAAGCATGGCTGATGGAAAAAACAGATCTGTGATCATAACTGTGTCTAATATGTCAAATAAGCCTGATGTTCGTTTTTGTTTTATGTGTTGACACCAACCTGCTAATGGGACAGGGGATGGAAATTAGCCACCCGGCTATAATCTCATGTATTCACACGTGAAGGTCAGTTAATGTATATTGTCCCATTTAAAAATAAATAAATAAATCTCATATTTCAAATGTGGCCTCTCTACTCTCTCTCTCTCGTAGGAAAAAGCCAAAAGGAGTGTAAGCCCTGCAAGAGTGGGGGGCTAAAATTCTTGCCCTACTTACATTCCAAGAAGATGGATTTAAGATAGAAGGTAGAAGGTAGATTTAATATACAATGTGCAATGCATCTCAGTGTGCCGTATCTAATTCATGTTATTTAACTGCTTACTGTTTTCAGTTCTTGCCAGTCTAGTCATATAACTTGAAGTGGCCATTTAAGTGCAGAAGGCTAAATCATTTTTGTCAAATACTGATTATTCACTTGTTGTCTCTAACATGCACCTGTCCAGTGTTGCTGTAAATGTATTGTATGTATAGTATGAGTTGACTGCCAAACCAAGTTGCCCCCCTTGGGATTAATAAAGTTGTCTGAACTGAGCTGTCTCTTAAAAGTTAAAAACCCCTTTCCTCAACTAAATTTGGTGCTGAAAGTTGTCTGTTTGATTGGTGAATAGATGAAGATATAGATAGATAGATAGATAGATAGATAGATAGATAGATAGATAGATAGATAGATAGATAGGTAGATAGATAAATAGATAGATAGATAGATGTTATTTCAGGTGTGTAAATGGTACATTTTAGACATCACCTAATCAATTTCAATCCCCTGTCAAAGCAGCAGATTTCATTACTTCATTCTTGGATCTCTGGTTTCAAGCTTCGGAGCACAGTTGTTCCTCTTCATGAATGAAGGCCGCTGTGGGACACATGAATTAGATAAGTGTTTTCCTTTAAGCTATTCCTGGGCCTCACTATCGGGCTCTATTATGACAGCGCCCTCCTTTAATAGGTCAGCTGTGCGCTGAACCCTGAGCCTGGCTTCCAGGGACAGTTGTTTGCTGAAATATGTCCTGTACATGATTTGATGGATGTGTTCTTTGTATGATACATGTTTTTGTATACACTTGACTCTGCGTTTGGCTGGCTCAGAGTCTCCAGTTTGTTTATACTGTGTGAGAGAACTGAATGAGGATACATCTCCTCTGGTGTCCAGCTGCACTTGGTGATGGCCTCGGAGAGCAGCAAGACAAGCATCCTGCTGTTTTTCTTCCAACCGCCTACCCCCCTTCCTCATTCCCTCCTCATCTCTCTTTTGAGTGCCACTATGCTCTCTTTCTCTGTACGACCAGCCAGAGTCCTGTGAAGCCTCCAGGCATGCACTCCTCTCTGAAGACGTGCTCTCACAGGCATCTCTCCACGTCCTGCTGTCCCTCCCACTTGCATCTGCTTTCTGCACTGCTGCCAAGTGATTCCTCTGCTGTCGGTGGATCCATTACACTTTGGAGGTCTTCCATCTCACGTCCCTTGGGACATTGTTCTGGGCCTCAACTCCTGCTCCTCTCAAGCATACCACAGACTCCAGCATGTGCCAGGGAAACCCTCTCTCTTTCTCTACCAACCTTCCATCTGTTTGTATCCTTCACTGACACACTTTCTCCCTTTTCCTCTTTTTCTCCCTCCCCCCAGTCTCTGATGTCAAGCTTGTTCCCACAATTTGTCTCATGTACACAGGCCTCGCCCTATCCATCACTGTCACTGACCTTGCATGGTGTATCTCCAGAATGTCAAAGCAGTGCCGTCTTAGCTTACATGAGCAAAAACAGACACATGTTGGGCATGTTTGCAAACATAGAAACACACACATGCTCACAAGGGAAAACAAAACACTGACCACATGATCATGGAAACCATGGTCATGATTATCTCGTTGAGGATGTTGAAGAAGTCACACATGACCTTCCCCCGCTCACCCATCCGGCCCATGCAGATCCCAAAGGTGATGAAGAACCCAATTAGGCCTTAAGAGAGAGACAAAGCAGCATGTGACTGGAAACTTCATCATACAGAGCAGCGAGGCAGCAGACTGAAAGTCAGGAACATCAAAAAGGACAATCACATAACTTACCGAGGACATTCATTCCCCATTTGTATTCCAGTCTCTTTCTGTTCACCATGATGGGTTCAGTTTGGTTCGGTGCTACAAGTGACTCCCTTTTCAAAACTGTCTGAACCTAAAGGGAAGAAAACACAATATTCAAAGTCAGAAGAGGCTTTTTATGCAATAACAGAGCTAACATGACTCCAATTCAAAAGGCAGACCTTGACTCTGTAATTCACAGTGTGTGTGCGCAACAATAGCCTGGCAACTGCACTATAAACTAACGTTTTGTTTAAAAAAAGGGAAAACAGAGAAGAAAGGGTTCTAGGGTAATTTAACAAAGAGAAGAAAAGTAAAACAAGGAGGTTAAAAGGGTAAGGACAAGTCCTTCCTGCAAAAGCAATTATACCTTTTATGACTACAATGAATCCCCGATGAATACAAACAAAGGAGACAATAAAACAGACAGGAAGGTAATGTGAAGAAAGAAATCAAGAAAAAAGAGCTTAACAAGATCGTACTGTGGGGAGAGGAAGACCAGCATGAATGTGTAAGCAGAAGTCTTACTGTGGTAAACAAGGATGTAGTGTTACAGATGTAAAGAGATGAGCACTAGCAGAAGGGCTGACCCTCACACACACAACTATGAGTAGACATTCAGGGACACAGGATAGCGAGAAGAGGGGAAAACAACATGACTCAGACTTGTATCATTGTTTTTAAGTAGCCAGGTTGCATAAACAGTATCTGTCTCCTGGCTAGTCCTCTCAACCATTAGCATCTGTCTGCAGATCATCACCCATATCTGACATTTGCAGCATTATTAACATAATCTCCACTCATTTTCAGAGCTGTTTCTATGGGTCTTAGCAAGAGAATGGCAAAAATATCAACCAGGTTTCTGTTTCCCACACAACCAACAGAAAAACACACAGAGTTTCAGAGTAAGCCAGAGCAGGTCATACTCATACTTAAGCAATACTTTACAATTACAAGATTACAATGTTGTTTAGCAGATGCTTTTATCCAAAGCAACGTACATACCAATCATACACCAGCGGAGGACACACACTTGGAGCAAAATAGGTGAAGTGTCTTGCCCGAGGACACTTCAGACAGACTAGAGATAGGGGGAATGGAACCGCCAACCTTCCAGTTGTTGAATGACCGCTGTACCTCCTAAGCAACTGCCCTAATACTAGTAACAAGAATTTCTCCTCATAGTTCTTTTATTAAGTGTACCAAGAAAAACATAGTGTTTGCACTTGCAGATTTAAAGGATTATGGGTAGTGGTAGCTACTTGTGCCCTCAGTGTAACCTTTCATAAGTCTGTTAACCAATGTTTTCATCCCTCAGCTCATCTTTTAACAAATTCTGTCGTGAACCAGTGATTCATAGTAAATGCACTTTTGCACTTTTCAGGAGTTTCACTTTGGTTTGTTTCTTAGTTTAATACAATTTCTGAAGCTGTCGATGAGGACCAGAGATAACGTACCCTTTAGGGGCAGTGCTGCTGACTGATGCTGGTTCTCGTGCTGGCAGTGCTTATTTTTTCTATTCAAGGATTTGAAGCACTAAGTTTCCTTACCACCGAAATGTTCTTGGTTTTTGTTAATGCATTCTTCAAAATAGTTCACCTTTTGGAACAACTGCTGTGCTTATCAATGTCATTTTTCACACACAGACCAATCAGAATCAAGAGAAGGTGGGACTTGTGATAAGGTTTTTGCCAACAAAGATGGCAGAGGTCTTTCTTTGTAAAGTTTGCTTGATTTAAAGAGCAGTGTAAATGCAGCATAAAGAGCAGTGTAAATGCAGAACAACTTTGTGTACCTTGCAACAGCTAAAGCCACATGGACACCGAGGTCATAAACAAAAACCTTGGTGGACACAGCCCAACAGACCTGAGTCTTCATAGTGCTTACTAGCATGCAGTCAATTGCTACTTCAACGTCAACTTCTTTGAGTTTCATTTACAGGTCTGTGGAGAGTTGTCCTCTGTAATACTTTTTATTAACCATGCCTGTATGTTTTGCTAATGGGTAGTAGCCCAAACTCGCTTGGGTGCCTGGGTGATATTCTTATCGTGTTTGTCACAAAGTGCATATTACTTTTGACTTTGTAGCTGAGCCATCTGGGAACCTTTTGAATGAAAAGTACCATTGAAAGTGCAGTGGTGTTGTTCTATTTCATAAGGGTTGAGGCAGGAAGTAGTGAGACGCTCTGGTGGTTTCACAAAAACATGTTGAAGAAAACAAAATGTGTGAGATTTAGGAACATAATTTCAGGCCTCAAATGCATCGAGATGAATACATTAATGCTGACAGCCCTAGTTCTAGCCAATAATGATTTTTTATTTATTATACACAAAATCATCCATTACCATAAACATTCATTTGGTGTAAAAAAGGGCTCAAAAAATCTGAAAAAATGTCATGTAAGATCCCATCTTGCCTTTCTTGTGTAATCAACAGTGTAAAACAAAGTACTGAAATTGCAATGTCAAAACACAGAATGCAAAACAAGTTTTGTTTTGAGATGCTATCATCTGTTAGCATTTAGGTTATGCCTGAAAAAATATGAGAAAAGTAAATGGTTAATTTCTCGAAATCAACTTGTAGTTTGGCTGTAGTTTCCTCAGGTCAAAGAGTATGAAATTGCTCTTGTTAGCCTGTATTATTTTTTTGTTTACTTTCTCTGGAATTCTGAGAGTTGTGCTTGTCTTTGTGTGTATTGGTATAATTTCAAACCTCACCCATGTCTTGGCAGTGACACTTTATAGGAAACTCTTTTCAACAGAAAAGAGCCTTGGCCTTTTGGTCTTTTGTGGCCAAACCCTTTTGAGTCAAAATCCTCTCAAGTGACACCTGCCGGAAAGATTGAGTATGGAGTCTGGAGGACGACTGAAGTCTCTAGAGATCACATCCCTTGTTAGCGATTTCCCTTTGCTCTTTCATTCTGTCAAACTCCACAGCTAACACTTTGAACAGATGAGTAACATTACCTGTGTTACAATCTGTTATAGTAGCTGTTGACAAACCAATGCCACCTCAAGGTTGATTTAGCAGCTGTCATGGAGCTTAAGAACAGCGGGTCAAAACTTGTTTTGCACTTAAAGCATGGACACAGACATTTTATTTTCCTTAACCATAATGTGCTTGTATATAAGATGTAAGCTGATGGTTGAAGGGTTGAGCTTTTAAGCACCTTTATTCCATCCATGCAACATCTCCTTTTTCGGCGCTCATAACCTGAAAGTATGCATTTATGAAGACTCAAGAAGACAAAAGATAGAAATACATAGAGGTATGACTAGGATGCCAGGGCTACCTGTTGGAAGCAGGCCTGCACCAGGTTCTCAGGGAAGAGGTTTCTGAGCAGGTCCAGGAAAGCGTCCAGACTGCTGACCTCTTGGCTCTTTGGGGCTGCATTCCCTTGCCTTGCCTTCAGTTTAGGGTTCCCTGGGTGAATCCCCAAAACCAGGATGACCCCAAGGATGGCTGCTATTATGGTGGTGGACATGTAATATACCATAGCTCTACTACCCATCCTGCCACTGGAGCGAGCATCCAGACCTGCCAGTCCTGGAGGGAACAAACCATTTCAACATGTGAATGTTTAGCACACAAATCTAAGCTGCAGGTGATCAGTATAAAAAAAATGTCAGTGTACTGGTGGCTGACTTTTAGCCAGAGTGCTCTGAGCCACGGAGCTAGCAATACTAATACTCCTCTTAAAATGAGTAAATGTGAAACTTCTGTGCAGTAACATTCTTCAGTTCTTCATTTTAACAGAAAATCATGTACATTGGCACGGTTAAATTCTGAGGCTGTGCGATCAGCCTCAAAATATTGTCTAATCCACAAATCCAGCACAATGGGTTCAACACTCCACTGCCTGTCCTGTAGGGTAAACAGTTCCTCTGTCAGTCAGTGTTTTGCACATTTAAATGAGCCGTAACGCATGTACAAACACAGGCCATATGTAGTCAGATAGCGCATGAGTACTAGCACTGTTTTGTTCAAGTTTTTTACTAACCAAGACATCAATTCTACCTTTGGATGACCAATTATTGATATATGCATACATAAAATCTGTCATTAACTTAATAGTATTAATAACCTTAAAATTGGGGTAGGTAGGAATCTGTTAAAGACGCATCTTTTTTGTGGTGTAAAAACAAAAAAGCTTTTAATATTAGTGAATAGCTATTAGTTATTGATGACACTTGGTAATATAACAATATCGCTGTGTTTTGTTTTGTCTGTGTAGTCAACATTTTAAAATTTTTGAGCGACCTGCTCTCTCTGTCTGTAAACAAAGCCAGTCTCCTCCTGCCTGACCTGATTGGTTGTGAGGCGGACGCTGCTCCCTTGTGTTTTGAGGCACGCTCAAAACATGAGCCCAAACAAAGTTAGCGTGCCACAACATTGGACAGTAGAAACCACCCAGAAAGTACGAAAAATTGTCTAAATCCTCCTTTGGCCATGACTGCCGACACAAGCAAGAAAACATGTAAATACCGGAGATTCTAGTGGAATAACAGGCGCTTAAAAAGGAGGTAGACTGGACAAGAGCTAAAAAGCTGGGTCAACATAAATGAAGCAAAAACGATGGGCGACGCTTTGGGATCTTTCGGACCCTGTAACCTGTCTGCTGGACAGGTAAACCGCTTTAACAAAGTAAGCCAAGTGTCTGTAACAGAAGTGGATCTTCTTGTCAAACGGGACCTGCTGCATTTTGTAGCACCGCTAAACTGTTTACCTCGGTCCTGTAATATGTCATTTTAAGTCCTGCAAACATTGTGTTTTCTGGTAGTCTGTTAAGCACCAATGCTTTTTACTTTCACGTTGACTGGGCCCCATTTGTAACTGTCTTAAGTATTTATCTGCATTATATCTGAATTTAATTGGAATGAAACGAGCGAGCAGGGGCGTCTGTTTGTGGGCGGGGCATGCTGGAGCAGAGAGGGAGGGGAGAGGAGGAGCTGAGGGAAAACTGGTTGGGAGGGGTAGAGTTTACATTCAAGACTTCTCCCAAAAACTGGCACTTTCTCAGATCCTGCCTACCCCACCTTTATCCCAGGGGTTCCATCCCCACGCATACAAGTGGTGCTACTTTACATAATGGAGTGGATTGTTTTCATTTGATTGGGCTACTTTCTGCTATCTAGCTCCAGGAAATAAGCCATAAACTGTGAAATTTGTTACACACGTCATGAATCATCTTCACAACACACAGGTGAGGACTTTCCCTCTCCATTCAGCTCTTTTTACATCTATGTGTAAGTTAAAGCTGTCAGGATGAGAGTGCACAGTGCAGCTCTGCCTATCTACGGCTCCTCTCAGTCACAATAAAGTGTAAAACTGGAGGAAACTACACAGAGCTGTGTGGGTATTTTTGCTTGAATATAATACGGGCTGTATTCTTTGTGAATAAGACCTAAAACAGAACAGACAGTGCAAGCAGATGATACACAATTTATGTTGCTTTTTGCAGCAGCAGTTCAGTCTTGCTGAATCTTCTCTTGAGTAAATGGTAAATAATCAATTTCGTCTTTACCTTTTACCCTTGAGCATGGGCATTTTAGAGGTGTTTCATTACAAACCAAACAGCTTAATAAGCTAAATACCAAGCTACCAACTAACATATCAACAGTACACTGTTTCTTTTTGCTTCATTTCCATCATAAATACAAGAATAGAATGACTGTGGGTTACTTTGGATTTTAAGTGAACAGATGTTTGTATATGTTTGAGTGGCAGCACACCTGTGATGAGGCTGGAGATGATTAGAGGCAGGATGAGCATCTTCAGCATCCTCATGAGAATGTCTCCTGGGAAGGAGACCATAGTGAGGGCGCTGTTGTCTGTCACCCTCATGTACCGCAGCAGCATTCCAAACATGACGCCCATGACAACACCTGAAGATGAGAGATGGTGTTAAAGCTTGTGTGTTTTCTAAAGACACTTAGATATATGTATTTTACCAAAATCATTTTGCATATTCACACCAAAATGATTTTCTTAACCATTAAAAAGTCTCATAGTCAAACAGAAAGCCAAATTAGTTTTGCTCTAGTAGGGAGCTCTATGGTCCCACTATAGGGTGAATATCATGGGCTTTTAAGACGTTGAAAATCCAAAGTATCCAACACTTTGTATCCTCTGTTATTTTCACAGAAAAAGAAAAAAAAACCTTGGTCTTTTTGCCCTCCAAAAACTTAATTCACATCTGACATGTCAGAGACTTGGAACAAATAAGCACTGCCTGTTATGTTAATACAGTTACATCTGGGCTTAAAACTGGATGACAAATGTCAGGCAAAAATAAGCCACTTCTCAGTTTCGCAAAAGGGTTTTTTTTTTTTTTTTTTTTGACAAAAAAATGGAGTTGTGCAGAAACATACCAAAGTGTTTACAGAGTCAAACTTACAAAAACAGCAAGCCAATCTCCTCGCATGGGAAAGAACTGTGGGCTCTTTACATCAAGTGTTAAGCTTGATATTTTCTGAAACTCAAATGGCTTTTTCTCTTGCACAATGAAACCGACCCCTGGATGAATTGTTTTCCATTCTGTGACAGAAGTGTTGTTTTCTGGTATGCAGAATTATGTGAACTCTAAAACTTAAGCCAAGCTTGTTTGTTTTACTGTGTCTTGGGGGAATTCTCTCTACTTTGTCCTATTTTCCAGCTTCTACTACTCAGTGACAATAGGTTGCAGTTAAGCACAGAATAAAAGAAGCATCTGGAGCCTGTGTTTACAAGTCCTTCATACCCAAAACAGTGAGTCCCAGCAGCAGGCTGTGGGTGTTCCGGCTGCAGTGGCCAGCATCTTTATACGCCACATCTGTGTTGTCATCTCGCTGGCTTTCTTCTTTCTCCTTTACCTTGTTTGTGTTGGACTGGTTAGGTGTGGACCGGTTTGTCATCCTGCCTGTTAAGACAGTTGGAGAGATGAGTTTGCTGCTGGCAGGGAACATACTTAAATCATATTGTATTCCCTGGCCAGAATAGTATCTATTGTTCAGAGGCATTCTTGGATCTTGATGAGACTTTCTTCACAAAAAAATTCTCCTGAGGCTAGTTGGACTTCACACTGCAGGTAATCCAAACGAAGCAAGTGATAGCCAAACAAGACATGAAGAAACATCTCTAGCGATGTTATCTATAATCACCCACTAAATAGAAAAACAGACACAACCGGAATCTCAAAAAACATTGAATGGAACTGCTGGTTAAGTGATAGATTTGGCTGATAATTGCACTTTTGGGTCTGCTAGGAGCCAAAAGATATAACCCCTGACCTGAGATGGACAGGGAAGTGAACTGTTGCTTAAACCCATACTGGAGGACACTGAGATGAACATCACTAGGGCTGTGTCTCATTTCAGAGACTGCACCGTCGAACGGCGCATTTGAAGTGTGCGTGATGTCATCACGTGGCGCGAATGGTGTCCCATTTGGCTTGAAATGCTGAGCACGCTTCAAATTCGGTCTCAAAACCACACTACCCCCGCCCCTTTTTCAAGCGTGCATTTATGCACGCTTCCGTGGCCTTGGTATCCCAGAACTCTTTGCGTGCCGCTGCACAGCTGTGCATTTCGGGTGGGAGGCCGGACTCACTTGGAGACGCACCGCGTCTTCAAAGAAAATACAAGAAATCCAAAAACAGCAGACAGTCAGCTCAGGCTGCACGAGAGCATGATCTCTTAACTCACTAAAATCTGCAAACCAAACATTATAGATTTAGAGACGAACTGATCCGCTCTGCTACCACAATCAAAACCATTTGAAGTAAGAAAGCTGACAAAACTACAGCCGAGTATCATTGACACATTGAGTTTTTTTTAAGATTTAGAGATTAAAGTTGTAAACTTAGGAGAATAAAGTCATAAAGTAAATAAAGTCATAAAGCTGCTTTTGTGGAGGGGAAATGGCTGTAACTAGTCATCTGTAGGGTTATCGTGGATGTATCAGCGGGTCATTCAGAGAGTTTTTGTGGTTTCTGAGGAAACAATCCAACTGATGATCAACATTAGAGATCCAAGAGGAGTCGAGCTCCGACGAGCACCACGTCTCTGACACCGGCGGTAACCTACACCTGCAGAGACACCAACACCTTATTATGGCATATGAATTCACATCATAAACTAAAGCTCAATGTCATTCACGGATATTTACGGCTGCATTGACAGATATATCCTCAGCATATCCATATCTGCCTCCACAAACGCAGCGATTTTCTCCGAGTCCACCAGTTTGTTTTCCGTGGAAAAGACGTATTTCTCATATATTCTTTTTTAAGTCTTTATACTTGTGACAATGTAATGCTGATGTGCCAAAGGATCAAGTATCTCCTTATTTGTGAAACCTATACTGAAGCAGTTTCTTCAAATGCTTCATGGCCCTAATTTTAACAACTCTCCTCTGAAATAACAGGTAACCTTACAACTTTATTCTCATAAATTAATGACTTTATTCTCGTAAATTCACGACTTTAATCTCAAAGTCTTTAAAAAAATTCTCAATATGACCCTCATACTCCTTCATACGAAACATGCAATCATTGGATGAATTTTGTGGGAATGATCTGTGCTTGTATGTATCTATTGTTTTGTGTCTGTGCAAGGTCGCACAATCAAAAAATAAATGCTGTGCTCCACGGCTTTTCTTCAAGTCAGTCGTGACGTGAGCCTGAGGGTGAGGACATTTGGCGACTCAACCAGGAAGTCCTCCGAAGGGTAGTGTGTCCCATTTCACAAAAATCGGACCATCTCACTCAGGGTACTTAAGTCCACATAACGGCAGTGAGCTCAGGCTAGCCTGATGCCGTCTCTGAAATGAGACACATCCTAGGTCTACAGCCACATGAGCAGCCATGTCAAGCTTGACTTGAAGACAGCAGTGCTGTAGGCTAAAGGTGAAACACCATGAATGAAAACATGCTCCTGGTGGAAATGCTATCAGCTGATATTTAACAGCCAGAGCAGAAATGTTAACAAACTTAAGTTTTGCATATTTAACCAATTAATTATTTTTTATGTGGATAAATGCCATTACCTGTAATATTGTTTACAGAGGCCACACATGAATCCATCAATAAGCAAGCCCTTGGCAACCACAGAAAGAAACCGCGAGCAGAAGCACATTCACCAGTGAGCAGCCATTATCCGTGGAGGTTGATGGAATGGTGACAGTATTTGGATGCTAACATTGGTCAATTAGGGATAAACTGAAAAACTGAAAGTACAACTAAGAATAATGGGAGTGCCTTTGTATTTCTAATGTAATGAAGATGGAAGAATCTGATGATGGCCCTGATCAAGGTCTTTCAAGAGCAACCAAAGGTATCACATTTTCTTACTTGAAAGCAAACAATGTGTGTACCAAATGTTTTCATCCAGACGGTGATAAGACGTTTTATTCAAAACTACAAGTTTCAATTGCACAGTGTTGCCACACTACACTACATTGGAAGCATACATTTCTGACAGTTTTGGTTGTTTTGGTCCCCTGCCAAGCACTCAATGTTTTGCATCAAGACGACAAAAGATTAAAATTCAAATGACCACCAATATCTTGAGGTTTCATCCTCTCAGGATTGATAATATTTGTATTTAATGTCACATCTAATTGTCCAATACATGTTTAGAAATTTTGATCTTGACTTCAGCGGTGCACACACTCACTGACATTACTAGCAAGGTTAAGAGGGTTAATCTAGCATTGATGAGATTCTTGTATAATGTCTGACCAAACACATTTCAGAAACATAATTTATCTAAAAGGATAGGCTAAATGCAGAACAAGATGGAAAACTTTAAACTCACATCACTATGAAGGCATTCAACCATTAGACATCACCCAAAGACATTTCACATGTTTCTGAGTTGGAAAAAAAAATGTTTTCAATAAACAGCTGTCAGGTGTTAAAAATTGTCATTCAAAGTATATTTGGGTTTCTCTGTGTCAACACAGAATTGTTATGAAAGCAATGACATTTTTCTTCCATGGAAATCCATCACCTTCAATAAGAGGAAAGCATCAACGTCTAAGAATGTGTCCACTGTCCAATATCACATACCACACTGCATTTCAACAGAGAAAATTGAACAGACCTTATCACCATCATGTCTAAACATTAATCCTATGTAAACACATCTGGAGAGAAGCGTTACCATGCCAAAGATCTGCAAGTATCAATGTCACTTTTAAACACAGTCTGAGACCACTGCAATCAGACTGATTATCATCCATCAGCTGGGCTGCAGCAGGGACAGACTTTCACACATAAACCAAAATACAGTTTGCAAGGTGGAGCACAAAAATGTTACCTGGTTTGTCTGCTCTCACGCTTTCACCTCTGTTCTCTCATCCTCCACTTTATCTTGTCACATCTCTATCTCTCTCCAGTCTCAACAACAGTTGCCAGTACAGGCACAAAGGCAGTTTGCCAGTGTGGTCTGAAATTGTATATTTGGGGGGCGGAGAATGTCCTGCTAAGTTTCAATTGCAAAGAATTAATCCTCTGTGAACGGAGCACCCGGGAGAGGAGGGGGAGGTTGTTCAACAGCTAGTAGTCTTCACAAATCCTCTTTCCAATCCTTATGTCATTCTTAGCATGGACATTGTTTGGTAATGTCAGTTGACCACATATGCCTCAGCAGTCAGTCAAAGAGTGGGGAGAGTATAAATCATCCTCTAGTCTTTCTGTGTTGAACTGTAAACTGGTGGGCAATGCCACATTGAAATGTTAACTCCATGTTAAATACTTTCTTTTAAAGGTGGTTAGACAATTGCTTGCAATATGAGTCAGATAGATCATGAAGTTTGGACAAAAGCTGGTTTATGTGGTTTGAGGGAGACATGTGGGTATGAAGCTAATTATGCAATGACATTTAACTCTAGAGGAGGTTTCTGTAGACATATCCCTTTTTTCCATCTTTATAGACAGAAATTCATTACATCAACCCCACACTTGCTGGTTGCATTGTTGGGAACTCAGAGGAATGCAGTGTAAAATTTGGGGACCCAACAAATTTGCTTGTCCCAGTGGGGCATGTGGGCATGCCATGAAGTCGCCATGCCCAAGAGTCATCCGTTTGGGTTGACAGCAAAGTTAATCTATTTTAATTTGATCCCAGTCTACTTATGTGCTTGTTCAACCATAATTTTAAGTCATTATTGGCAAACCTCATACAGAAAACTCCTGGAGAAAACCTGCAGCTATGTTTGGTACTTAGCTATAGGAGCAGGAAGGTGACAAAAAAGTTGGTGGTAGAGGTCATGCTACAAAACTCAAATTCCTCCTTGACTTTTACAATTAAAATAATGTTTAGTGGACTTGTGCAACAATGGTGGCTGAGTGATTATAACACTTTTTGTCATCTTGCGGGTCACAATAATTCATTATTCACATATACAAGAAAATCTAAGCCCTCATTATGTGCATTAGAGTTAAAAATGAGTACTCTGGTTAACGTTTCCAGCTGTGAAGTTAAACCTTTGTTTCCTGGACAGGTCAGATGGAGTCCCTGACATAATGAAGCGACAGCATGTGCTATGAAGAGGGCGGCACTGAGGAGTTTAAGCTGCAAGGGCATACTCAAGGATCTGAAGCTGCTCTGCAAATCTGTCCCTCCTTCTGCAACAGACGGATTATCTTTCTGCTCCAGGATATAGAGGAGCTGCCTCTAGGAACAGGCTTTCACTGGGATGTCCCGTGGCCCTGTCAAATTGAGGAAAACTGAGAATATTAACATCTTTGTGGGGCTGAAATTGACTCCCTAGTATTTTTATGCCTTGCCTGAAAAGTACTTACCAAAGTTCAGTTTATAGGTACACAAGAAACAGATGCCAGTCAGAATATCCAAGTGCAAGCAAGGAGAGGGCTGACTGGCATACACATGCCTGTTACATCATGTTATAGCTTAGCATCCCTAATAAAACACAGCAAGTCAAGACAGCAGGTTTAGACTGTTTGGTTGGGCAGCTTTCAGTAAATCCTGGATTTTGAAGCAACATGACACAGGCATTATAACTCTGCCAGGTAGGCTGTGGACCAAGAGGCATTTGCCTTTGAAAAGGAGCAAAGTCTTTGAGAGAGCACACATGTTAGAGATAAAAGCTGAAACACAAGGATGAGGCAGAGCAACTTCAAAGTGAGTCAAGCTAGGAGTAAAGAAGAAATGACACAACTCCTGCTGGTATGGATTGATGTTGATGATGTTTGCAAGCCCTGAAAGGCCACATTAAGTTGCGAGTCAGAAAGTCTCATCCCGCCTTAAGGGACCACAGTTTCAAAGTTATGGTGACTGGACCAACATCAGTGTCCTTGGTCTAATACCCTTCCAGTCCATCAAATGTGTGATGATGACCTTTGCAGTGCGTGATAAACATCACAATCAGTGTCCACATTCAGCCATGTACTTACGACACATCTTAATCGTCATGGTTTCCAGGACGACAGGCCACGATAACAGAATGAGGTAATCTTCCAGACGAACAGGCTGTGATTGCTGTAAATTATCCCAAGCTGATGCAAACAAAAGGTGCACATGCCATCAGAGCAGGACACACCAAACTACCTCAGAATTAGATTCAGGCTGGCTGTTATAGCCCTCTTAGTACAGACTGACTTTATTTATAGCAATGCACATTAATGATCCAACCAGGTCTCCAGCCAATCCCTGAGGTAAGCCCAAGAGATCAAACAGATGCACGTTGGCCATACATACAGTAATATTTCCTCCCTCTCTAATCCATCTGCCTGCTTCAGATCTCAACTTGAATAAAACACTACATTTCAAGTGCTCTGCTAGGAATAAACATCAAAAAATGACAGTGTTAAATAATGACTATACTTATTTAACTGATATGAGAAATGTTTGATTGATATGTCAGGTAATTGATTTATCAATGGTTTAAAGTATTATCAAGATGAAAACAAAGTAAAAGGCAGCCATTCTCTGCTTTCACTTTACCACATGTAAGGTAACATGCTGTCTTTATAACACAAAGCATGTGTGCAGAATATGGATGGACTTTGCTGTTTTGTCCCTTTCGGCAACAAGCTACTTAGACCTAAATGTTGTTTTTTTCTGAGATTAGTGAAATTCACTCTAATTAAAGTGAAACTACATAAATCAAATTTAGTGAGCTTATTTAGATGGAGTTGAAGTGAAAGGAGTGGAATAAAACTAAATAAAATTATAACAACAAAAGAGTTAAACTAAATGAAATTAAACTGAAATAAACTAAAACATTTGGATTGAAAAATAACATTGCATGAATGTAAGATGAGTTGAACTAAGTGAATTGGATTGACTTGAGTGAACGGAGTTAAATTTGAGTCAATTAAGGTACAATGAACAACATTCTCTTTGATTACTTAGTTTGGACTGAGTTTAACTGAATTCATTAAGATTAGTTTGTGCTGATTACGACTACAGAATCAAATGGTTGAATTTTCTTGGTTTGCAATACCATGAAATGATTGCACATATCTGATATTACTAAATGTATTTAATGAATAATTACTTCACAAAAGGAAATTTATTCTTTTATTATACAACAATAATTTTTATTTTTTCTGAAAGTTTTTTTTTTTTTGATAGATTACTGTAAATATGACCATTATGGTTTAAAAGGCTCAACTGAACACAGTTTAACTGTTGTGGTTATCAAAAACGTTCAAATTTACACAAAAATTTGACACCCCTGAGTTTGTATTTAATGAGCCTATTGAAATGTGTTTTTTAAGGGGCATCTGTGTGTGAGTGAGTGAGTGTGTGTGTTTGTAACTGTGTGCGGATGTCTGTGTGTCTCAGAGGATTATATCCAATGGTTGATTGTTTGGTGTGAGCTTTGCAAAGGGATCGAGATATAATCCCCACTCCGCCCCTCCATACTCCCCCTAGTACTATGGAGGCAAATGAGGATGGTCCCTGCAGTGCAACAATGTTGTCCTACAATACACTGTGAACCTGGTAAATAACACACATACAATATACATGAATTTGTAGAGGAATGTGGGTGAGTGCTTCTCTTATCTTCACCTAATAAACAGGTTATAAAAGCATTTATTTACACAGATTAGTTTTGAGTCTTTTTCCTCTTCTATTTTAAGACTAACACTTTCTTTTCAAAGACAGACCCAACTATTAAGCTTATAACATTTGGAAATGTCCCTAAACCTTTATTAACTCTGTACAAGGGTTTGTGTTTTTTGATGCTGTCTTTTCATCTGTTTGTCAGCAGGATTACGAAAAAAAAAACCAAAAAAAAACTGCAGGCTTTATTCTCATAAATTTTGGAGAAAGACTGTAGGATGGCCCAAAGATGAACCCATGAATTTTTGGAGTGGATCTGGACCCAACTTATGAATGACAATAATTGCAGATCTGACTTGCATGTGGAGATATCAGGGATGAAAAAGCAGATTTATGCCATGGTGGACTATTGTACTTTTAAGTCTTTGCACTCCACTCTACCAAGTCAGAGTCCTGAATTATTAAACTGCACAACAACACAAAGACATTACGGAATCCCATTCTGAAATACCAAACATTTTATATAACCAAATCACTGTGTCTATATCAGACTAACATACTTCAGTCTCTCAAAGTGGAACAGCTGCTGCCTGCATTTATTGTGGATTACAGTGATCACAAACAGTGTGAATGTGTCTGCTCGTAAGAAATTATATTAATGCTAATTTTACCAAAAGTACATACACACGCACGCACACAAATACTCACACACAAATGCATACACACCACTTGTTAACCATGCAGTTCAAAGCAGAGTGGTACCTAATTCCTTCAACATATGTGCAACTGTCATCAAACACGTGTCCGCTACTTGGCTTTAACAGATCTCTGCAGTGATAACCTAAGTGTATTAACCCTCTCACTGAAGGTCAGTATCAATCACATGTAGATCCATCTATTTGATCCATTTGTGGATGAAAGCAAACAAACACAATGTCTGTCCTTACTTGGCACATTCAAACAACTCACAAGGTACTTAGTTAAGACTAAAACGAGGAAATAGTCTGCAGGACACTACCACAAAGTTTGTGTAGTTTCTCTATTGCAGTTATATGCTTTTTAAAGATTATTATTCCAATTTAATGATATATATCTTTTGCATACAACTTCCAGCAGTAAGTGATGACCCTGCAAATGCCATAAGTACCCACTGATACATTTCTCTGCAGTCATCATTCGCTGAGTTAGTTAACTAGGTAGTAACTGAGCCTGTTTTATGATTGATTTGGGCTACTGCTTTAAATTGGCAATATTACAAAATAGGTGTTGATGGGAAATGTCAAACTGTGAAAAATTATGTGCTCCATCAGAGAGTATTGACTAACTCAGCCCCCCCAAAAAACTAATCAAAACAAACAAATAAACAAAACAAAAAAAACCCAATATGCTCCTAAACCAATTTTTCTGTACATCCAAGATCTAATTGTCTGCTGCAGCTGTATGATTATAGGTCAGCCATAAACTGAATTTCATAGTTATTGATACATCTGGCTCTGTCCTGATAGACTTCAAATAGATCTTGTTCAAATGTTTTTAGCAGGTTTAAGGGCCAGAGTAGATGAAAATTCACATAATGTATAAATAGTGAGTCTTTTGAGGGTTTTCTTTGGTACCTTTTTTTCAGAAGGGTAGGATGGTGGATCCAGCAGAACACCCGAAGAGACAGTGGGAAGTTGCATGTTGGAAAGGGGTCACAGGTTAGAATGCTTAGTCTCTGTACATGGGGTACACTTACTCCAAAATGCCAAACAATTGTCCGTGTAAAAAGTTGAAATCAGTTGATCTAAATGTTTGAATCAGCTTTATAGATGTGGAAGGTTTTGATGATCAGATTGTTTTATTTTGCACTTGTTGGCACCACAGCTTAAGACTTGTTTATATACTGGACTAGTTTTCAATTGCTGGTATAAAATTAAACGATTTAAACAATTAATTGACAAATTTTACCTTTTTTTTTTTTTAGATATCTTGCAAGGAAGAATTGGGAACATCCAGCAGGAAACTTAAAGGGGATGGCTTTCTGTGTTTACAATTGAGTAAACATGGAGTGTGAGTGACAGAAAACACTTGAATTTGTGTTTATGATTCTGTCTGCATCCGTGTATGGGTCCACACATGTCAAACGCACGTCCCCCTCAACCCATCCTCCCCTCCTCTTGGACGATAATCTGAGTGTATTAATCTGTTGTTTGAACTCCTTAAGCACCGACTGTCTATCACATCTGCTCTCTTCACCCTTGTAAAGCTCTGCTATTTATAAACTTTCTCGTTTTCCTTCCGCTCAAATTCCTTCTCCACGTTTTTGATCTGTCGTCAGAATTTCCTCAGTGGGCGGAAACAATGCTGTTAAGTCCAGAGGTCTTATGGGTCCCACGTGTTGAATCATCAGATTTTTAAAATATTCTTATCTCAACTGCAGACAAAGTTATATGTCATGAAACTAAATTTACATGTACAAAGAGAGACAAAATATTTTAGACAGAGACATCATTTAAATCATTTTAGATGACTGAGTCCTAAGCAACAAAAAAGGACCATTCAGAGGCCCCTCAAAGAGTTTCGGCAGTGAATGATGGGTACCAAAGATGACAACAAGTAGGAAACCAAGCTTACCTGCTGAGCGTCGCTGTCTCCCATACGACCAGAGCAAGGCATTGGAAGAGACACAGGCAAGAGGAGGGACGGGGCGAGGAAGAGGGAGGCGAAATCACGTTCTTTACGTCATCTGAGAAAATTTGCAGATTATTACAACAGCTTGGTGCTCTGAGCCCCCCACCCCCATCACACCCTCCCTCCTTCTCTCTTTTATCCTCTCTCATTCACTCACTTCCTCTCCATCAGATCTCCATTTTACGGCCTTACTCAAAGCAAGCTGAGAGGAAGATGAATATATTTAACTGTTTTTTAAAATGACGGTAGGCAAAAGGCACCCCTTTAAGAAAAGGAGAACTGAGACCTCTGGGGGTGAGTTTGGTTGCCCTCCCCTCCACAGGAGGGCGCTATAACGCTATACTGTGCAGGGAAATGAGTGCAGCAGAGATCCTTTGACAGGTATCAGTGTCAGTCAGCAAGGCCTCACAGTGCAGGGGTCCATAGGGTGGAGCAGCTACATACTGTGCAAAGATAGAGTGATCTGGCTGTTTCCATGAACCGTGACACTTTATCGATACACAGAATTAGAAATGTACTGTTAAAGACGTGGAGGAGTTTCAGGTTTGTCATACCAGAGATGCTCGGGAGAAAGAATGTAGACCTATGATTGAGCTTTATGAGGAGGGTCGGAGTTGATTTATGAGAGCAGCTTCTCAGCTATCAAATGCAACGTGTAGTGTCATGACTTTGCAGACATTGGACAGCCTGACTCTACCAGGGCTCAATGAATCTATTGGGCCTTGTTCTTGTGGTACGTTAGTCCTGTGGTGTCTCTTTCCAGATGTTCAGAGCTTGGTTCATTCCTCCTTCATCCTCCATGTGCCTTCTTTTATCTTCTCTTTGTGTGATTGGTGCACTTGAATTTGAATCATGTGAGTTTTGTTTCTTTCTGGGTCTTTGCTTCAGACAAAGAGTCATATCTGTCCAGAACAGTTACAGCTGCTTAATGTCTTTAAAGGTTTAAATTTATCATCTATAATTTATCCTCCAAACTGTTATTTGGCAGTGTCCATCTAAACACCTGTCCACTCATCTTGGGTAGGGATCCCTCTTTTGTTGCTGTTTCTGAGGTTTCTTTTCATGATTCTCCTGTTGAAATCAGGCTGTCTTTTTGTCTCAACAGTAACAAGACAGCACTTCTGTTAATGAAATGAACATACCATTATAGAACAAAAGACATTCACGAACTAGGGCTTGATGATATGACCTAAAATTAAGCATTTACTCCTCCAGTGTTCTCAGTGGTCTTTAAATTTTGAGTATGAAGTTTTTAGCCAAAATCACGTGCTATATGGGAAATCTCACTGTGTCTGAACCTGCTGTTTGTTCCTGCCAGAGGTTCACAGTGATTTGAATGCAGAAATACTCAGAAATGCATTTTTCACTTATTTTTTTCATATGTCCTGTAGCATCAGAAAAAATGTTCATAGGAGTGGGTCTTTAAACCACCCTATCTAGTATTAGCATTTTTTAACATATAATGGCAGGTTTATAGTGTGACATAATGTGATTTTTAATCAAAATGAAGACTTTTTTTAGGCTTTAATACAGTGCAGATTTGTCAACAAGTGTAACTTCTCTAATTGAGGATATTTTAAATCATAGCGACTGCTGTTTGCTGCAATGGGCATTTTTGTTCAGAAACCAGGGTAAAAGTTCACAAAAGGAGACAAACCACTGACTACACAGCGCACCTCCATCTACTTCCATTGAGAGTAGTCAAGCCAAAATACTGCTCAGGGGTTGCTGACAGCAAAGAGCTGTGTGCGAAGCGATGCGATGCGTAGAAGTGATCGGGCTGGAGGAGTCGCTGGATTCACAGCCCTAGTGTTCCCCATTAGTTTTCTACTCTGCTAATCCTGTCAACAACATTGTAGGAGCAATGTCTGTTACAATGAAAGAGGCGAGTGTTCAGAACCTTTGTGCAGCCATTCACCAGGGGCAGTGCTAACAGTTTTTACTTCCCTTGGTTTTATACAGCCCATAAGACAAATGCACATAGAATACTGATACATGCTAAAATTATGCAAAAAGCTCTGATAAGTTACATTTAATCAGTGAAATATTTCAATCTTTCGTTTTTTTTTAACTTTTATCTGAAAGAATTTTATGTTAAACCTAATGCCTTAAATCACAAATGTCTGAATAACTATTCCACCCCAGTTAAAATTTTGATCATTACATAAAGGTAAGCCAAAGTGAAGCAATTTAACCCACACCCCTGTGCAGACACAGAGCCACACACTGTCACAAATACACACGGTCCCTCTGGAGTGACAGATGGAGAGGGGCAGGATGGGAACAGGGGCTTCTACAACTAGGCCTGTGCCCCCATTGTGCAGTGGGCGCGTTGTAAGTCTATCCTCTACTAATTGCCAGAGCAGTTCAAACACAAAGTCTGCCTCTGAAATCCAATCCTGCAGGGTGTTGTACAGTGAGTAAAGTTTACAATGTGTAACATTTTTCCTCTGGCAAGAAAAGAGACAAAACATGGCTAATGGAAGAGGCTGGATGGTAGGGGGTAGGGGTGAGGAAGGACAGCAGGGTGCAAAAACCACTGAAAAGAAAGAGGTGTGGATCATGTTAGCCAGAAGGAAGACGTAACTGTAAATAGATCATTCACTATTTAGGCTGCATGTCTAATCCAGGGGCAGCCAGGCTGCAAGTGGCAAGTGAATGAAAGTGTAGCCGCTGTAGGTGGACCGAGTCCTGTAAGGAGACACTGGAGAGACAGATAAGGAGGCGAGGAGGAGTGATTGAGAGGTGATCCGGGGAGAGAGAGAGAGAGAGAGCAGGCCACTGTAAGAGGAGAGGGGCAGACGATGTAAACAAGACGTGCAGCAGAGTGTGTGCATACAGCGACGTCTGTGTGTTGGCGTCTGAAGCTGTTTCATAAACTGACAAGGTCGGGCATCACACATTGGGCTGAATCTAAACAGACAGGAACAGAGGCAGACTGCCAGGTAATGCAACACAAGCGCCAGTCTGCATTTTTGCACTCATTCCAACCTGTTTCTCATTAAGCATTAAACAGATTTACTAAACCAAGTCCTCCATTCCCCTAATGAGGGCTATGCAGCTCACTCTGATGCTCTCATATTCCCTCCCTCCCTCCCAATCAGTTTTCCCGAAGGTGAACATTCCATACACTAATTTCAGTTTCACCCAGGAAAGACATGTAGACACATGTGTTGTTTATTTGTCAAAGAGACACTCACGTGTGTGTGTGTGTGTGTGTGTGTGTGCTTTCTTCCCTCAAGCATGTTGTTTGTGTGTTTACCTGTGGTCTGGCGCCTGAACCCCATCACTCATCATCCTTATTGACCTTTTGTAAACTGTGAAATTTAATTTCAGGCTCAGATTGCTTTATCAGTACGAACCTACACCTGTGCCAAATGTGTCCACAGGGAAGTCGGAGCGAAGACAGCTAAAGCGCTGCAGCAGAAGACGCCCAAAAGAGACTGTGAGCCAGAAAGGAGGTGATGAATTCAACAGAGGCTGACCTCCTGTGAATGACCTCACCTTTGACCCTTTACCGTCTTACCACCATGGCTGCCGACTGAGGCTTTTCCAGGAGGGTTTGGCTAATTGGGTCAGATTGCAGGGAGCGGGGAGCATTACACCTTTAATTGGAAACATATGCAACTATAGCTCAGTGCATATGTGTGTGGTGATGCTGGCAAAGGTTGGCTAGCTTTCATTTGACAAGGCTTGAATTTAGGGTTGGAAATGTGGTTGAAAAAATCAGTCCGGTGAGGGATAGGACTGTTTGTGAAGAACAAATCAATTAATCAGAGGGAATCAAAGTGTGTGAGGAAGAAGCAGGACACAGAAAAGGACTGACATCAGGTACCTTGGGGAGGTCCAGGGATTCATAATTGAAGTCTGACGTCTGACTCTCTCTGTTGTGGATGGACAGACTGTTAGCCTCGTCCTGACAACTCAGCTCAGCTATTTCCAGTAATTGGCATAATAGCGACCTTCCAATTACGCTCAGATATGAGTTTCAAATAAAGGAGGATGTCCAACATGAAGGTAATGGGCTGATGGCTGATGGCGCTGCGTGTGGGAAAAATTTCATCAGAGGAGGTAGTGACATCTGGAAACTTTAAAAAGTCTCTCTTTTATAGAGGAAAAATGAGAACAGGTTAAAGATGTAAGAATTCAAGAAGATGCAGCAAAATGAGACCAAGGAAAGTGATATCTCAGCTCCCAGAGGCAGTGTGGGATGTTTAGGGAGGCTTTGCAAGTGTACAATGCAGGACTTGACTGTAAAAAGGATCATTTTTGTTTTTATGGAGGCTTTCATAATAGCCTGAAAATCTGCTGGGTCAGAAAATCCCTAAAGGACACACAGAAAACCGCTGTTGAGTATTATTCCACATATTGTGACCTAACCATAAAGGCTTTTAGTGAGTCGTGGATTTAGGAAATCTTTTTATGTTTTCTTTGGTGCCCGAGTATGAAGGAGAACTTGTTTGTCTTAAATAAACCTCTAATTCTTCTCCTTTGTGAACGGTTGGCATCTCTGAATGTGCACTTTTGTGTTTGAGAATGGGGGAAAAAGTGCAAGAAAAATCACACTTTACCAACCCCTACTCTTTCAGTCGTCATCTTTGTTTGACCATCACTCTTCTGTCCACACTCCAACAACTTTCTCTCACTCCCACTTTCTCCGTCTCTCACACTTAACTCTCACTGATTCACCCCGAGGCAGAAATATTTAGGTGCACGCAGGGCAAGTTCTGACAAAGACAGAGACAGAGAGAATGGTGGGAGGGTAAAAAAGACTTTGAGTGACTGACACTAAGTGCCAAGAGGGAGTAACATGGCAAGGGAGACACCACACAGTGTGTTTTAGTCAGAGATGGTCTGGATAAAACGATGATATCTGAATTTACTGTTGTGGTGGGTCAAGAGAGAGCTGAAGAAGAAAGACTGTGCACATACGTGTACGTTTGCAATCAGTCAGTGGGTGCAAGTACATCAATGCTGCCTTTCCATCTACAGGTATTGACAGTGTTAATTGTCTCCATCCCTCAGTGAAGACTGCTCTTTAGTCCACCTCTCTATACAGAAGTGACCCGTTTTAGTGGCTTTGAGTTCGAAAAACCCCTTTTCATGATCCCCCTTCTCTTTCTGTGTCTCCTCTCCAGTCCCTATCTCTCTCATCCCCAAACTCTTTCATGAGCAGTCTCTCAGGGGCAGGGTTGTAACATAACCCTCCCCTCTTTTGTCTCCATTCTTCTCCTTATCCTTTCATCTTTTTAAACATTCAGGGGGAAAAGGGTTTGGTGGGATGGAAACCACGACTTGGTAAAGGAAAGAAAGAGATAGCATGTGAGAGAGCAAGAGAGAAGGGGACGCTGGGGGGGGGGAGACAGAGTCTTCCCTGCGGCTCTGTTCATCCGCCAATTTATGGCTCTCCTTTTCAACAAGGCCATTCAAGGTGGGGAGTTTCAGTGAGAGCGCTGTTCGTGTTGGCCAATAGCACCAAACCCTTGTCTGGTCTATGTGGGGACGACTTATCTGCTCTGAGGACCCGTTGAACTGTCTGTCGGCCTGTGTGTCCCCCATGGACCTCCATTGTGTCTCCTCTGGGCCTTTCGCTGGTTATCCCTCTGAAGACCTGTGAGTGGACACAGCAGCATGTTATCAGCAACTGTTTGAATCCTTGTGACTTTACAGGAGTCCCAAAACCACCTGAAATTATCCTTGCAATACATACAGAAAGGTAATCAGGTATGTTTAATAATAATGAAATAACACCAGAGTTTTATGATGGTTTCACATGGAAAACATCTGCAGACACGGTTTATGGAATATCTAACTCCTCTTAAATTGAAACAATCTTAAATGATGAAAAATGAATGAAACAAACATTTTTGTAGACCATCTAAAAAAATACGTGCCAGATTTTGAATACTACAGTGACTCACAGTATCAAAGTTTTGTAACTGTTGTGTGTTGCAACATCAGTACAAAGATCCAAGTATTTGAAGCTGCACCAACAACAAATTACTTCTTGTGTTGCTTGCGGTGTCAATAAAAAGGTTCATATTTTGCACGTAAACAGTTATTATCCTCCTCTATGGTAAACAATAAAATTATCTCTGCTGACAAGATAAATGATGGGAGTGATTTGTAAAACACTTAAAGAGGTTTTCTGGATCGTAGTTTTATATTAAACAACATTCCAACCTTGGAATTTTTAGTCCCAGGAACTATCTTTCTAGCAACTAATCTATTTATTTGGCTTGTTTTTACAGTATTCGTCCTCAGGACCAAGGACATGCAAAGATAAAACAATTAAGTCTACTGATATAGATGCAGTTATGACAATCTAGTTATCTAATCAATGCTTTAATTACATTCTGTAATTATTTGACCAACCAGAAATTTTAACCACTATGAAATCTACCAGTACAACTCCCTGACCAGGGACTTTTTTTTAAGTAACCTTAAAGTTGTCTATACTTTGGTCCCTCCAGTGAAATCCTTCTACATGTTCCTGGTCCTTGGGTGAAGTTCCTGCACTGGAAATATGGCTTGATTTGTTTTTCTCCCATGAAGAATTTGGAAATTAACAACTTGCCAAGTGGATAGGGGTCAGGGCTTGGAATAAGGGGGGCTTGGAATTATGCCTCAATAATACCCCTGGGCTCTGTGTTGGACCTAGAATGCACTGCACTGTACATTTTTTTTTCTGTAAATACAAAGAGTGGAAACAGCATCAAATAAAAGCAGATTCGTTAATCACAGAATCCTGTGTTTGCCCTTGAGCAGGGCACTTTGCTGCCAAGAAGAAAATGACCCAACCTCCTCACTAATTGATAAATCTGTCACAAGACAGCGGAAGCAATCTTAAAGTAGACTCCTTATTGGCATTAAAACACAGGTTACATCTTCAGGTTTGATTGTGCCAAACAGGATCAAGTTTCACCCTGCATTTGCAGACCCTGATGAACCCGTCCAGTTTGACTGCAGCTTGTTTTCCATAATTTGTGCTGTTACCAGGAGCCCGTAATAAGTTCACATCACGACATGGATCAACGCCAGTTCGTTGCTGGTAACTTCATAAAGGTTCTTCCTGAGAAGAGCGGGGCGGGGATAAAAAAGGAGGGAGGAACAGGTAAAATATCTCTGTCACGCACATGGGAAGTTTGCATTCAACACCACATGTTTTTGTGAATCCACCTTAACTTGCTAGCAAGGCAGTATGACTTTTTGTTAATTTTGTGAATAAATAGCTGGGTTTGGGTTTTAAATAATATCTAGCTGTTAATGAAACGAGTCTTGGATTACTTTGCCTCTGCATATGCTATTCGTTGAAAGTTTTCGGTCTTTTTCAAATATACGAACCTCCTGGGTGGAAAAAAAACATTCGTCTTGTCTTTGCGCTTCCCAAAAGGAATTGGAGTGCTTAGTTGTGGTAAGCTAGCAGTGGATGGGGCAGACATTGCACCGGAAGTAAGTATGTGAACCTTCAAAATAAAGAAAAAGTTGCTCGTCTAACGGTCTGTCGCAATACAAAATACTACGTATGGGTTTTATTTTGAAGGTTTCGACTAGAGGTTGCAGTTCTAGCTCACGCTGGCTTTACGATTTGTCCGACTAAACGCGTTTCAGGCGGAGTTCAGATCTTAAAAGATTTGACTAACTTCTTCACTTCTCCACTTCTTCGTTCACATATTTGAACTCAGATACCTCTCACTTTTGGCCCGCCTTGGATGAGTTTCAGCTCATGGAATATCGAAAGTTTGTGTCAAGTATACATTTTTAAATCCTTTCACGGCTTATTACTCACCAACTTTCCCCCCCAAGTGGAAGCGCTCCCAGGACTTTGGTGGTTTGTAACTTTTATTTTTCACTTTAACTCGGCGGATTTTTGAGGTTCACATGCGATGTCACGGGCTAATAAAAGAAGAAAGAAATGATTGTGTTTTGCCGCGTGGTTGTCCGACAAAGGTGGTTTTTGAGTGTATTTTTTAAAACCAGTTGAGTGACTGGCGACAGGACTCTATAATCAATGTGGTGTCAGCTGGAAGGACGAGGGGTCCGGATCTCACCTAAACGGTACGGCTCTGAACACACGTAATCCTTCATACCAAAAGTTTTTGAACATTTCTTAATGTTTCAGAAATGAAGTACACTCTGAAATACTTTGATTTGATGATGTAGAACTATGTTAGACAGTGGTTACATAATGCCGTTAAGTGTAATTTAATTAGGTCACTTTATCAGCCATGTGTTCTCATATTAAGTTCATGCATCTTGTGGTTTTGTATAGATTATTTTACAGTCAGATCACGTCTTACTAAAATGTGTGCATGTACATTTTACATTTTTGTTTGTTATACTAATTTGATCTCATGTAACATTTTAGACTTGCTCCTTGCACAAGATTAGTCCAATTACAGCATGCCAATCCTACTCCACTTTTTATTTTCTTTGGCAGCCCTGCTGTTGTAGCCTATTTCACATTTTGTTTTCCCTGGCAGGCAGTCAGCTGAGGTGAGAGCTACCATCTCACAACACAAACCCGCAGGTAGATCACACAGGTTGTGGTGACAAACATGCCTGTGTTGATGTCTGAATCTCATTCTACAAGAGATCAGGGGCTGCAAAGGCTTCATGGGTGGTTTAAGAATATAAATTCACAATGTATTACAGCTTTTGTGTCTTGTAAAAAGTTTCACCACACTGTAGCAGATGTTGCCAGATTGGCTTTAAAAGATTAGGGTATTTACTATGCCGTTTTCTGCACCACGCATGTACAGCTCTGAAACAGGAGTGGTTTTTTTTGTATTTGTGTGTGAAAGAGGAATACATATCCAGGGAGATGTCACTGATAGAGCTGTTCATTTGGAGCCAAGTCTGAAAAGGAGAAGGCTGGATCCTGCAGGTTCAGCGTGGTATGAAACAATCACAGAGCTGGAATTAATGGGCTGTTTGCACAGTGGGACAGCAGGGCTTTGTAATTGAGCACATTTGAGGCCAAGGCTTTTTGCTGTACTCCTACATAAGAAGAGCGGGGAGGGGGGGGGCAAAAATTTACCTGCATGTGTTTTCCATGTCACATGCTGTCACAGCTACTTCTGCTGTCCCTATTCTTACACTCAGACACATTTCTGGTAGCTTAGTCAGACAGCGTCTGCTATAAAATCTGCTGGAAGATGGGAAGTGAGGTGAAAACCATCTTGACAGAAAGAAACCTTAGGCCTCCAGACATCCTCCGACTCTGTCGCTCTTTGGGTTACAAGACTTCAAAGAGGCAGGATTAGCATGGGACAGGGTCTGGTCACAACATTAACACAGAATGCATTATGTCTTTGTCAGAGAGACATGTCTGACATTAGCCACACATTAGGGGTCAGTGGTTGAGGGGTTTACTTTGCTAACTGGATAATATCACAGCAGCCACTGCCAGGTGTGGATTTACATTATGGCATCTGTTTCCTGGTGAGGGTCTTGCACCCGCAGCCCCCCTTCTCCGCCATAATTCCCCTGAATTGCTCTTTTACTTATGCTGTCTCATCTGGAAGAAACCCCTGCTGTTTAGACTGGCAGCTCTTAAAACAGCCGTCAAAACGATTTCACAGTTGGCAAATTCAAAATTCAATATTTTTTCCTCACCTTTTACCCCATAAAGTCGCAGATGAATAGTTTTTAAAAACATTTCTTAACTGCTGCAGTTTGATATTTGAAGGACTTTTGCTGCCAATACTGATAAATTTTATGAGAGAAACCTTAAAATGTATGTCTTGGATTAATAATGAAAAAATAACATGTATTGTTGACTAAAAATGTAGCTGGAATCCCCAAGCAAAGACTTAAATGTAGCTGCTCTCTTATCAAAATAGGATGATTCAAATATACAAGATATCTTAATGAACTCGTTTAAAGCAATTCTGCTCAGAGGAGATGAATGCTGCTGCAGTGACAATGAAGTTAGGAAACTGCATGGTGACACTATGTAAGTTAACTCAAACATTCGTTTTTGGATTATGCTTTCTAAAAATACTATTATAGACCCAGTCTCTGTTCATGTAGTAGGTAGCTCCTGTGTTGTCTGGGTTCCTTTAGGGTCTTGGTCTGTTAGCTTCATATAACAGTTTCTTCATGTGTCCTGTGGATCCTTATGCTGTTTTTATTTCTGCAGATTGTCAAAGCACTTTGTAAATCCCTGCTTTTATAAGTGCAATACAATTATTATTATTATTATTATTATTATTATTATTATTATTATTATTATTATTATTATTATTATTATAAATATTAATGTAGGGGAAACATAAGATATAAGCAATTGTCTTTATATTGTAAGAGCCCTGTATCAGCCTGATATTGTAGTCTGGAGGTTTTTTCAGTCAGTGTACTATGTCATTGAATGAATAACCAGATCAAATAGGAAAACTACCTGCTGACAAGTGCAGTTGATAAATCTTTTAAGTATTATTTGGACATTTTCTACTGAGATGTTTTATTGAACAATCGATATGTTGAAAAGTATAGAGTAATACATTTAGGTAAAAGACAGTGAGTTTTGTATTCAACAACTCTATTAGCACAAGATGCTTTCCAGATAAGACAAATGTTAAAGAAACACAAAAGAGGAAAATGGTTAGATAGAAAACAAATTCAAATCAAGAACACACACATAGATAAAGGACAGGATAGAACAGTTAACAGTTGTAATAAATACAGGATCAAAAGTGGTTGGGTTTGAAGCAAACTTTGCATATTAAAAGCAGAGTCAGACAGATTAGCTTCAAGCTGTCACCTAAAAATGTTCTCAGACGTCCTTTGGGAATGTTACAGTGTTGCCACCTTTTTCTGTTTCTCAACATCTAACAAAACACACGCTGCAACCTCAGGAGTCAAAGTAGAGAAACGGCAATCAAGAAAATGAAGACATACAGAACAGCAGAGTAGCCTGTATGTAAACCAGTTTAGGCTGCAGCTGCGAAATTAATACAATCAATGCTAAATGCAGGCCTCTCGGCTAAAGTCAGAGTTCAGTCTGTTTATTCACAGATAATTGCTCAGTGACGTGTTCATCCGCTGTCTGTTTGTTTAGGCCCTGTCCTGCGGTTTCAGGGTGTTCTCTCAGTGATCAGTTGGAAGAGTTTCAGACTACGCAGATTAAGATTAACACAAGTGTGCACTGTTGATTGGGGTTTGGGGTTTTGATTTCAAGAGACTGGGATTTTCTTTCTGTGTGTGAGCTTGTCTGGAAGGAAAGGGGGGGATTTAGAGAGCTTGGGTCTGGTCCAGAGGGCGGAAGAACGCCATGGTCCTTGTCTAGCCTTGCAGGGAGTGCAAATGATGCGTGTCATTGTAGCAAATGGAGCATGCTGATGAAGTGCTGCTGCTGCTGTTTTACAAAGAAACTACTTAGAGGGACTGCCTGCCTGCCCTCTGTGTGGCGTCTGAGGGCTCCAAGAAAAAGCCCTTGAGGAGCATGTAGCTGCTCGTGCACCAGGAGACACAATCCCACAACACAAATCCGCTATATATACACCCTGCACCGCCTCCTCTCCACAGTCGGCTGATTTTGAAATGGCCCTCTACTTCTATTAGTCACCAGATATGGTTCACCTGTGTGGCACACACTTTGTTTTCACCTGTAATTGCTGTTCTCCATGTTTGAGAGGTGTGGCTAACCCCTGAAGTGTCTTTCCTCACACAGAACACTTGGGTTTATTTGTCAAGGCCTGGAGTGTCGATCGGTAGCAAAAGAAAACAGGAAGCACGCCACACTTTGATGTGTTTTATTGTCTGCATGACAGGCAGGGACTCAGCATGCCTGGGGCGGCTGCTTGAGTGATGCATCGACCAATCCTTGTTGCTTCTCGATGGCTGCATTGTGCCTATAAGGGTGTGGCCACGCTTACAGCGCGTTGTGTCACTGAAAGGGTTTTGTCGCTTATTCACGTGTTCACTGATGGTCACCGGTGATGCATCCATTCAGACAAACATGCCACGAGCAAACAACCAGTCATGACATCCACTCCTTAACACTTTTTGTGTTGCCCTGTGAGTTTTTTTCCCCTCGCTGCCTTGAAGGAGCCTCGCCAGTAAAGCTGCATCACTGACATTCTGATCATTCCACCTATTTTAACTCTTTCCAAGTGACCTCCTCCTTACTTTCAACAGACTGATATTCACCTCTGACGTGTTGCCTTCTGTGCTCTGGCTCAACTCCATCCCATTTTTCATGCCACATGGCTGGGTAGCTGGTAGTAAGTCAGAGGTGAACCTCATTGTGAAATGTGAATGAATTAGCTTGACTTGACTCATGATTTGTGCTTCATCAGACTGATGCATCGAAAAAGTCCTGTACATGTCTCAAAGTGTTTACATTTGGTTTAAAGGAAGGCGTGTATTCGGTTTGTAGTCATTGTAAAGACTTTGTGACTCTGTGAGGAGTTTTAATCTGGTTATAAAACAGCTGGTCATAAACAACCATGCCTTTGGTGACGTATAGAAGCAAACATGATTGTTTAGAGTTCTTATTTTGTTATCTTTAATGCCTATGACTGCTCTAAGGGGGTGAGTGTTGAACCAGCATTTTGTGGTCTTTGCTTTTTGACAGTAAATATTTACAACAGGGAAATGCCTATAATATGTTAGGCCTCCTGTGACTACCCAGAGCTGTAGCTACCGTAAATGTGGACTACTATGGTGCTAAATACTCTTTTTCTGGGTGTAAAAAAGTGCAGATGTGAGATAACATTATGTGGCATGACATCTGTTGATCAAAACAGCGTTTTATTATGGCTGTTTCTGGTTAAAATGACACATAAACATCCAACTTGGGTCACCAGATAAGTGGACTATTTACCCGGTGGTGCTGGCTCTGCTGGAGTTAGCCACACTTGTTGAACTGATTGGACATCCTTTACCTGCAGGTACTGTAATCCTCTTAAGCCATGTTCAATAAATGTGGTTTTATAGATTGTATCCTGAACTTGTTTTTAACCACTGAATTTCACATGACAAATGTATCTGCTCTTACACCATTATTGTTGCTCAGAGCAGTTTTGTAGCTTTAATGGTTGAATTGTCTTATGTTATGTGGTTTTTTTATTGAGCTGAGTACAGGTGAACACATTGTCTAATTTGCTATTTTTAAAAATTTAAATGTATTTGAATTAACAGTGTATGCCATGATGTCTGCTGTCTGAAAGTTCTTATATAGCTGAATTAAAGAACTGAGTGACTTCACATTTCACACAGACAGAAAGATACACAGATGAACCAGTGTTGTTGAGCCAAAATGAGCCTTTTACACTAATGTTAAAATCAGATTGTCCTTTTTATTCTCTTTGAGAAAACTGTACTGGAAACAAGGCTACTATACTCTGAACTATCCAGTAAATTGGTTGAGTCATAGATTAGCCTTCGACATATTTGTCAGCTGATATCATAGATCCAACATCAGCCCTTCATGGATTTAACTTTGTCTGCAGAGAAAAGGCTCAGCCTGATTTATAAACGGTGTTCCTGTGTAGTTTGTCCAGCAGAGCCTCATTTAACTGTATTATCTTAAATTTTATATACAGAGACTCAAAGATGAGCCGATGCTCTAGAGTTTGTTGTGAAGTTATTTATTGTTTTCCTGATTGAGCTGGCACAGCTAAGCACAGGATAAGTGAGTCTGTTTGTGGGGCTGACATTAGCAAGGCCAGTCTTCAGTCCTTTTTTATTGCTTAACACAGTTTTCAGTCGATTTTATCTCTACACACTAAAATCTGTCACCTCTGCTTGGTTCAATCTGGTTTGTAGAGAATTATAACATGTCTTAAGCTGTGAACCACAGCTACAACCTGGTTAGTGGCAGGTGGCTGTGTGACAGCTTAAACTTAAAACTGGTTATCAACTAGTAATCCTGGTGCTCAGTAGCTAGGGTGACAATGTCAAATCAAGTAGTCAATCAAGGTAAAGAGAAGTAGCCTTCAAAGCCTGTAGCTTCACTTTTTTTTTATTTTGATTTAATATATGATGTTAATGAGAACTTAAAATTTGCGAAGTTGTAGCAGCTCTAAAAATTATTTAAAGGACACTTGACACTTTTTAATCACATGCTGTGCTGTGAATGTCACCCGCTGCTACAGTTCTCCAGTCAGAAGAGGATTAACAACAAAGATCCTACTCTATTGGTTTCTTATTTCCTGCCGCACAAAATCAACTTTGAATCCTTTTGTGATTACAAGCTGTGCAAAGTTGAAGTCTTCCAGGTTATGAAAGGCAGGATGTTTACAATAGTGACGATTGCATGTCATCAGTTCAGCTCGATTCAAAGAGCTTAATGGAATGAAAGTTCTAAGTAAACTTTAGCGATCCACAGCAGCAGCAGATGTATTGTATCAAGTACGGGCAAAGAAAACCTCATTCACCTCAAAATACCTCGGTGAGAGGGTGATGCCTTTTTTGATAGGTGTGTTGTGTTATGTGTAGGTCTCAGGTAAGTCATGTTTGTAAATACAGATTTATAGAGATACCCTTTGTTTTAGATTGGAGTGAAAGTTGTAACAACAGAGGAAGGGGAAAAAGGGAAAATCATGCCCTTAAAAGCTGAAGGGGGGGGGGGGGGGCTGTTTTCTTGGGTTGCAGATGTCTTTTAATCCTCTTCCTCTGGCTGTAAAGTTTCAGGCTTGTGGACATAGCAGCTGGTCAGTTTCTGTGTTTCAAGGTTGTTAGAATCTACATTATTCCTAGCTGACCTCCATCTCCTCACTTGAAGAAGCAGAGGGTGACCTTGCTGTATTTGGTCACAGTTTTCCACTAGTTGTGCCAAGATTTTAAAGCCATACCTCAGTGGTTAAAGCAGCAGGGTCATAAAGCTGCAGGCCACCAGTAAAACTTCTCCTTTTACATTTGAACCAAGGTACTTATGCTAACAGGAGGAGCCACAGTTTGCATTGTTTCAAGTAACATGTCTTCCTCTCTTTCTCCTCACGCTGATGCTTCCACCAGCTGATACGTCTTGGGAGTGATGCACTGGCTTCCCCTGGTTGCCATGGTGATTGCCTCGGCCCTGCCCTTCCCTCACGACCCTGTGTCCAGGATTGCTGCTGCAACAACAGAGCCTGGCTTTGACAACCGCAGAGAACGCCGTCATGACAAGCAAGTTGCTCGGCTCCGGGCTAATCCTATGGACTACAACCTCCATGGAAATGCCCCACAAATGGACTACAACATGGATGACACTCTTAGCCAAGAAACCAACAGACAGAACCCCCAGGACTCTACGGACTATGTTAAATCTGAGGCTGAAAAGATTCCTGAATTCAAAGTGGCTAACCAAGGAAACTACCAGTCTGATAGCAACTCAGGCAGAGATGATAAAAGCAAAGTCAGTGTGGTTGGTCCACCACAAGAAACTCTGAGAACTGAGGACAATTTTCTACCAAAAGACATCAGCAAACAGGATTACTTAAATTTGACAGTAGCTTCCAAAAAGGAAAACCCTCAGGACACCACAAAAAAACTGTTGCAGGTTTCTGTGTATGGATCCCAAGATTACACCAGTCCTTCTGCTAATTCAAAGAGTCAATCTGGACCAGAACCAACAGCATCTACAGCCAGGACAGAAAGCCAGAGGACAACTGTGGCAGAAAGAGGTGTGATTGAGGAGGTCTTTACCCCTGAGACAGGGCTGGGTCTGGGGAATGGTGTGGACTTAGAAGGAGACGAGATGTTCCTGGATGCACATCCTCGAGTTTTGTTCTCTCCCTCTCCGTCACCTCCAGAACACCCTCCTCTCCTGCTCATGCTGGAGACCGGCCTGCTGGAGGAGAATGTGGACAAGGAGGAGCAGGAGGACATGGATGGACACATCGAGGGTCATGGGGACCGGGCACTTGACAGGGCTCCTATGTTAAGTTGGGCTGACTCTCCCAGAGAGACTTCTGATGTTGCCCGTGCCGTTAAAAGGGATAAGCGCTCACACTTGATGGACAGACGGAGAGGGGAGAAGTCTGTATGTGAGGCGGAAAGTGTTTGGGTCACTAACAAAACCACCGCCATCGACTCGCATGGTCAGAGGGTCACCATCTTGCAGGAGATCCAGACCCAGACCGGAGCGCTCAAACAGTACTTTTATGAGACTCGCTGCCGATCAGCTGAGCAGCAGAGCAGTTTGGGCAGGTCAAAGGGCGCAGCGGCAAAACCAGCCGGGACAGGCGTAGCCGGGGCCGGCTGCTTGGGCGTGGATAAAAAACAGTGGGTGAGCGAGTGCAAAGCCAAGCAGTCATACGTCCGAGCGCTCACCAGAGATGCAAACAACAGAACCGGATGGAGGTGGATTCGAATCGACTCATCCTGTGTTTGTGTGCTGCTTTCCAGAGCCAATCAGGCGCTGGGGAGAGAGGTGCTGACGAGGAACGGGAGAGGCTGAGAGAGGGAGGGAAAGGAGGGGAGGAAGGGAGAGAGAGAGGGATGGTAGGAAGTGGAAAGTGACACAGAGCAGAGCAGCTGTGACATCCTCCTGTGTGCGCTTTCTCTTTTACATGCAGTTTTTCAGACATCTCCCTCTCTTTCACTCCCCTCCACAAAAACTTCTGAAAAAACACAAGACGACCTCAACACTAGATCTTAGGGAAAATGTCATATCTAGAGATTTACTCGGAAAGTACTGTTTTTTTTATGATTCATCTTCATAATCTAAGTTATTTTTGATTAGTATGTAAGCATGTGTATGTCTTTGATATTAATATATTCCTTTATATATGTGTACAATATGACACCAGTATACCTTTATGTATGAAGCTATGTTTATCTGAGTGTATTTATAGAAGAAGTCTTCATGGAGTGGTAGGTCTCTCCAGTGTCTGATGATAATTCCAGCCTCTCTTATTCACTTGGGTTGTGAGAGGAAGGAGCGCCACCTACTGAGGCTCCATTTTACTGCTCCATCCTGCTCCTGGATGGATTACCGTCACTATTGTTACAGTGCTTTTAGCAGCGTTGGTTCAGAAACTACAGCATGAGCACACTGGAGAGTGATTTAACAGGAAACATCCTCGTCTGTGAAACTTGTTCCAAGTGGTTCATGAATGTAAAAAAATAAAAAAACAAAACATGATGTTTGTAAATTATACAACCCCCAAATTAATTTCAACATCTGCTGGTTTGTTCAGTTTGTCTGCCAAATTTGGTATTAAAGGATCTTTGTACTCAGCATGTCATTTTTACTTTATTTAACAGATGAAGAATTAACTTCAAAAGTATGCAGGAAAGACAAGTTGGCATAAATGAAAGATTTTTGGAAAAGTAATAAGGGATTATAGGAACACAAACCATTACTTTTTGACAGTAATCACTGTCAAACCCTATACACATCATTTTGACCATCTTATTGCAGAGATTTCTCATGTAAAAGCACTACACTACAAGAAAAAACTTTGTTTTTTCCCCATGGGGTGACACTGTACATGTGATGGGTATTAAAATACATGAACCTGTTTATGTATAATTATGTGTTCTGATCTATCCACGCTCACCTGACTTTCTCTCAGTTTTATAATTCTCTCCACAAACACACACGGACACCAAGCCTTTAGCTTGCCGCTTCTTTCCTCTTTGTAAACACAGTGGGGCATCCTATCGCCTTTTCTGTAATTGTCAGATCTTATGACAGCTTTCATCCAAACAAAAATAACTGTTCTGCAATCATTCACTTGATATTATCACAACAGGTTACATGTGCTCAAGGTCTGTTTGTGAAGTGATGTTTTGCATTGACCCCAGCTGTGTGTATTGTTTACAACAGCATTATGAGAGGATGCGAATCAAACTTTAATGCATTGGCAGGGTGCAGGCACTGAGGAACATCTCTTTGATCACCCATAGAGGATGTGTCAGGTGCTGCTGCAGATGGTTCTAAGCAAGTGTCAGAAAGGGTGGAGAGATGGATAAGAGTTTTTTCTGATATGTAAAAATAATCGAAGTAAAAGGACCCTAAAATTCATAAATTAAAGCCTTCATACAGACTCTTCCAACATCTCACCTGCAGAAAAACAGAATTATTCATATCAAAAATGGAGGACGTTTACGATGATCAGCAGATCCACCGGGGTCGCTTTATTTTTTTTTCTTTTACATCACCATTTTAATCATCATCATCATTATCTTTATTGTTTATTTTCCAGATGATATTTTCAATTTGTATTACTATCACTTTAATCATGGAAATCTGATAAATCATTGCACAATTGGTTCTCAAAATGTACACATACAGTAGCATATTTGAATGACCATTTTCAATGTTTCATATTTTCACTTTTGAAAACTAGTTCAAATGAAGCCAAGAAGGAACAAAACATGTTCATACATTTATCCAATACATACCTAAAGAAAAATAAATAGATATAGTAAAAAATAAAAAATACAACTGAAAAAAATACACACATTTTACAAATTGATCCCCAGGCTCCCAACCTCTTTAAGTTTATCATACAGATATATATTTTTTTAAAGACACCTTTTATCATCTTCACCACCAAAAAAATGTTTTTAGGTCATTGTTGTTTGTTTGACATGCAACGTAAGCACAGAGGCTAAAGGTTTTGTTTCCTGGGCTTCCTTGGGCTTGCCCTCTTTTCCTGCCTCGCTCTGATCCCCTCCAACACCCCACCCCCACCCCCTCCACCTCCAGAGAGCTCTTAGTTTCTGTTATGGCTTGTGTGTGTAGTAAAATGACCGGCCTCTGTCCATCCTTGTAGGTTTTTCTTTCCTCCTGTGAGTTGCTGTTTTGTCTCCCTGTCACATCTCTCCATCAGGATTACCCAAGACCCTGAGCTGATGGTTACAAGTGATCAACTGCACAACAACATCCTGGAGAGCTAGTGAACAGTCAGTTTCCAATATAATGCCCCCTTAAAAATACACTGAGCTCCTTGGTACCACTTTCTAAGTAGATGTGTACTTTACAATTTACAATTGAAGATTTGTGTTTGTTTTCGGGTTTTAAAGCTGCAAAACTTCAAATGTTTTTTTCCCCATTTGAACCACTTTCTTTGTGTTTCAAGCAAACAAAAGACAATAATTTGGGGTGAAACCCAATTATTAACCTATTGACAGAAAGTTCCACAAAGATGATATTAATGACACTTTATGACCCAAAACAAGCAAACAAAAACCAACAAGACCATACATAAGAACAGTGACCACCGGCAGGAGGTAGGTGTCAACCAAACATTCATGTTTTTTACCCATGCTCCACCACACAGACTTCCAATGAGTGATGTATTGGACTGCTGAGCTGGAGCAGGATGAGATTTTTTTAAGTAAAGAAATTTTAATGAGACATGTACAGGATAAAAAACTGCATAGATGGCCATGTCCACAGGGGGTGTCAAAATTGACAAATAAAAAGTTCCTCACAGGAGCTTTAATTACAACTTTTGTGTATTTTAACTGTCTGTTGGTGTAGTTATCCCCAAGAACCAGCCAAAAAGAACAATGTTGAACTGCATGACATTTTTGAAGATTGATCAAAACAAAAGTGTGTGGGAAAATGAAAATGAAAAAAAAAAAAAAACTTTTTAAACTCTTAAAAAGCAGCAATCAGTGATTTATTAGTTTGACACTTAAGCGTTTAAGTATTGTAGATAAAAGGCTGAGACATCCCAACACTTAATCCCCAAATATAGGAACGTTTCTGAAATAAACCAGACCCTAAGTCTCCAAATTTCAGGCAACTACAGTGTGTGAGAAAGCGGAGTTTGGGGTCATGACAGTGATGCCTACTTGTCCCAGGATGCTTGTATTAAATAACATCAGTTTTTTTTTACTGTTCTGAGCATCAGTTTGCTACTGATCTACAAAACAAGTGAAGACTGAGACTAGGATCCAAAGCTGATCCTGTCCATCGTCCTGTCAGATAACTAGGTTTAAGAGCATGCCGATGCTGGTAAAGCTACAAATTTTGAAATTTATCCAAACTGATTTGAGATTAAATTTCTCTGGAGTTTTGGCAACATTTTCTCTAAGTGACATTCCCCTGATTACCATTTTTGACATCTTTAAAACCTAAAGCCAACCTACCAGCTGTTTGTAAAGTAAATCCTCTTAGAAAGTGGCACTAACACCAACTGTATTCATTTCCTGCCAACAACATCATAAATTCACTGAACACAATGCCTCTGTGGCCTTGCTCCACCCTGTCCACTCCACCTCTGTGTCTTTGATCTCTATAATAGGGTCCCTTCAAAAGAGAGATTACCCTGCCTATCAGCTTTCAAGGTGTCAGTAGACAAAGCACGAGGAGGGCTGCTCTGGTGGCCGGAGTTGCTCCACTACTTCAACCAATTGAGGACACTTTGACAGGCCCCTCGGAAGCAACAATGGGGCCACAATGGCTGACACTAGACACCAGTTGACTTGTAAGTAGAGGAAAACACCTGTGTTGTTTACAGTTATAAGCAGTGTCTCTCCATGCAGCCCTTTCTCCCCCTCTTCCAGTCATTCCTCTTAGTGTTTAAAAACTAACATTTACACTGAGGTTAACTTCTCTCTCATTAGAAACACCTGTTGCGGAGCTGAAGTTCTAAGGCGACACGTTGAGCTGTTTTGTGGGAGAGTAAATGGCAGCAAGAGGTTTCCTCTGAAGGTAGGAAAATGAGCCCTGATATAACCCACTGAGCTGACTGTGTGCAGACAGGAATGAAAAGAGAGGAAACCGGCGCGACCGACTAAAACCTGACCAACACTGGCGTTGTCCTCTATTAACCCCACTGCACAGCCACACCGAGCGAGAGAGAGACAGGGAGAGAAAACGGCTGATCCTTTTCAACCTTCCTACTCTGCTCGGAAAAATACATTCATACATTCTTTATGTCCTTTTCCCTCTCATTTCTTCTTGGCTTCTGTTATTGCAGAATGGTCAGGCCGTTAAGATTTATTTTGTAGTTAAATGGTTATATTTTCATTGCTTCCTTCTCCGTGGATGAGCGAGAGGGTCCTCTAGTCCCAATCCAGTCAGTGCCCTGAGGAAAGAAACAGAATTATTCTCATGTCACTGCGTGCGCAGCCTTAATTCAACTCTTGCCCAAATCCCCTATCGCCAAACCCCTCACTTAATGACCTTGGGGGAAGGGGGGGACTACTAAAATCCCAGGCTCAAACCAATCCACTACAAAAAGCATAAAACAACAAGCAGTAAAGCAATGTGGTCGACACATGTGCGGAAAGCTTTGAGTTTCATCTTACCCACATAAATCAAAATAGTATGAGACAGTTCAATGAAAGCTTGTTCTCACCTCAGCCCTTCAACAGGAGTACGTCCTCACTGAGGCAGATTCACCCCGGGCACCAGCGTTGGCTGCGTCAGAAAGCCAGAGACAGACACGCACAGATGGAATCATTATGGTGACATCTTAAACAACACTGACCTTCTACAGGCATTCCCATTAAGTATGGGGAATGAGGCATAATGGTCTTCCTCTGTGCTTTGAAGCGGCTGCTCCTTGTTATTGCTGGCTCTTTAGCTAAAGGAAACAGAAAATTCCTTCGCCAAAGTAATGGCACAGTAGCATGAAAACAACCATCTCTTCAAAGTGTGTGATTTAAGTCCTGTGACTTATGTAACTTATATAACCACTTTTTGTAAACTAAAAACAAATGTTCCTTTTCATTGGTTCTTAATAGAACCATTTACCAAGGAGTGCAAAGGTGAATGGCTTTATTGAACAAAAGATAAAATCTGCCTCTTTTTAGCTTTTTTGGCAAATTTACAGGATATGTGCTTCTCAAATAAGACACAAAGTTCAGTCACAACTTTTTTGTATAGAAGATCCCATACTTGGGACAACACAATGTGCCTCACATTTAGAGAAAAAAATGAATTCATAAAAGTGCGAATAGTAAAAAAAAATTTGCAGAATGGACCAAAAAAAAGGTAGAGATATAAAATTGTGTACAGCATGTATGCCACATGTACACCCCTCGAAAGAATCCTATGTACATGCACGCACACAAAGTCTTACTGGGGGGTGAATCCCAGTCCCCAAAAGTAGTACAGGAGGTAGAGCCTCCAGTTTTTTAGGCTCTCATCCACCAGGTCAGGGTCAGGGGGGCAGACACTCTCCTTACACTACAAGGCTTAAACCTTTTTGGTTAAGCTTTGGTTAAGACTAGCCCCTACTAAACTCATGAAAAAGTACAGTATTTAGTCCACCTGGGGGTTAAATCCTTGTGGGAGGTAGTACCTGTGGTTTTTTACACTTTGCCTTTGGCATCATCTATCAGTCAAGATCAGAGGCAGACACCTTCTCCTCTTTCAAGAGTAGTCTTAAAGTCATATTCCGGTGTAAAATTTATTTAGGGTCAAACACACCGCAACACCAAGTTAGACATCCCCCTCGAGAGATGAATGTTGCCGACTACATGCTTCTTTAGTTAAACCAACTTTAGTAACATCTGCATGATAGCAATACACAGCGGTCTGAGGAGCCACACACAAACCTCAACCAAAAAGCCACTCTGTAGCCACAAATGATGCTCAGAACAGCAACTTAACTTCATGAACAGTACATATGGGGTCCCAGCCATAGTACTAGCCACCAAACATCTTTTGAACTTTGCCTAATTTCTTCAGCAAAGAGACTAAACACAACTCACCTACCCTCTTCCAGCAGCCACTTGTTTGTAGCGAGACCTCGGTACAGTCCATTACGGACAATAGCGGGGAGACGCAGCTCAAGGAAAAACATTTATGGTCATTTCTTTATCATTACCTTGAAGTAATAATCACCATATTTATTGTTTTGCACTGCAGAAGTGGTAGTTCTTCTGCCTTAGCGTCTCGGTCTGACTGCATTTCCATGAGGAAATGATCATAATCTGCACTGCAGTGAGGTAATACAGTGATTATTACTTCAAGGAAATAATAAAGAAATCATAAATGTTTTTCCTTGAGCTGCGTCCCCCCCTGCTATTGTCCGTAATGGACTGTCCCGCGGTCTCGCTACAAACAAGTGGCTGCTGGAAGAGAATAGGTGAGTTGTGTTTAGTCTCTTCGCTAAACAAATTACACAAAGTTCAAAAGATGTTCTGTGGCTAGTGCTATGGCTGGGACCCTATATGTACTGTTAATGAAGTTAGGTGCTGTTCTGAGCATCATTTGTGGCTATAGGGCGGCATTTTGGTTGAGGTTTGTTTATGGCTCCTCAGACTGCTGTGTATTGCTATCGTGCGGTCATTACTAAAGTTGGTATAACTAGAGAAGCAAGTGGCAACATTCATCTCCCGACAGGGCTGTCTAACTCTGTGACACGGTGTGTTTGACCCTTAATTAATTTTACGCGGATATATCCCTTTGACATTTCTGATAATGCTTTGCTCAGGCTTGAGCTATGGGATGGATCTGGCTCATTAAGCTTCTGTCCTTCCTTTTTTGTCTCTCTCTATCTGTTGGTGTCACATAAAAGCATATCAGTAGGTTTTAGGTTAGTTGAAGACTATTTATATTTCAGGGACTTTTTGGGCTCTTGTATTTGACAGGTTTCTGTTGCCGTGAACTTGTACTGCTACAACTAAGTCTTCCTTTCATTTAATGTTGATGTGAAGCTTTGAGCTTGGGAGGCCGCTGAACAGACCACTGCAGTTGTCAAGGCTACTCCTGATAAATGCATGTATTAATTTCTGAAAATCTGATTTTCAGTGAAAGCTGCTGAGCTTTATGATGCTTTCAGATATACGAATTAAGACCATCGCCCATCTAAGAAGTCTTTTTCTTTTATTTTATGTGTTGCATTAAATAAGGAAATATCAAAATACTGAACTAATATGAAGACACCTCACTGGACTCTGGAAATTGTAATGACCACTTTGCACAATTTTTAGCATTAACTAAATCACCAATTCATTTTTCGCAGATCAATCATACAAATTGTATCCCATGGGAACACAGGTCATAATCAGCTGTACCTCAACAGGACCAAGTCTTCTACCTAGCCATAGCAGACCTTTTGGCCCGAGTCTTGTCATGCTCGTCATGTGAGTAACGGCGTATAGAGTAACAGGTCTTCCTTCACACATCGTCTAATTCAGGACATGCCTACAGGGCCTCTGAGAAGTTGAACATGAGCACGAAAGTGTCAGAGGTCCTGTGTCATACTCACCATCACTCTGAACCTTTCTCAGGGTAACGGAGGGTGTGGCGATGGCTGAGGCACGGAAGTTAGCAGGCAGGGTCTCGGCGGAGTCGGAGGTCACGCCCCGGAGGTCTTTCTCCCTGAACATCTTCCTCCAGGAGGGCGAGCGTGTGAACGTCTTTGTTCCATCCTGTCAGAGTGTGTGAAAAAAAACATGGTTTTACACAAAATCCTCCATCAGTCAAATTCTAACAGAAAAATCTTTTGAAGCTGATTAGCATGCTGACCTCATCAGGTCGTCTCTCGGTTCCCATGGAGATGAGCGTGTTGTACTCTTGCTCCAGGAGCTGTCTGGCCTGCAGGAGAGAGGTGATGCAGGGCTTTAAGATTCATTTGGACTCCTCAGATGACACATTTTAAAGACGGGCATGCTCTGCTGGCATTCATTAGCTCATGTTTGAACTGCTTTAAACCAGACGAGGTATTTTAAGCCCTTTATTAAAGACAGCAAAGAACAGACAGGAAATTACAGGGACAGAGATGCAACAAAGGTCCCCGGCCACACTTGATTGTTTTGGTCATGGTTGTTGTCTAACCCTTTGAGTCCAGAGGGCTGCCTGCTTAGCCACTCTGATGATTTTTGGTTTTGTATCATTCTTGCTTTTACATGAGGCATAGAAGGATGTTTGAATCATGCATCAGTTTGAGAACATAAAACCTTCAGATTTAAACCATATAATGTTGTTTTGATCATTAGGGTCCTAGCATTTTTGCTATGATCATAAATGTTGAAAAAGTAATGCTATTAAAGAAGCTATTCATAAGTACCATCAAGGAAAATTAAATAATAAAATTGTTCTGCATAGAAAAGGGTCAGAGTGCTGGCTGTAGGTTACGGCTGCCAAAGTGTCCGGAAACTTGACCTGAGTTAAATACATACAATACAATAAGTGGTTTCACAGTTTCCAGACATGTTGATTGTAGTTGATTGACATCTGCATGGCTCATCTGCAAAACAATAGCCCACATGACACAGTACAGTATGTTTGCATTGCCTGAGTCAGGATAGGAGTAGGACACAGAGGCCTTAAAATAACTATATCTTTACTGGGTGGTGAGTTACTGAATGCATGCCTATCCGTATCTGTCTATCAGCAGCTAACGGAAACATGAGGTAGCAGAAATACCCCTTTAAGTTAAAAAGCTATAAATGCAAAGACGCATGCTAGCATTACACGGTTATCTGGTTCTCTAGTTTGACTCCAGCCTCTGCACCGGTAAAACAACCCACTGTAGAAAATGGTTCTTTGAAGCCAAGCAGCAACTTCTGGTGTTGGAAAATGAAGCCCAAGTGTAAATTGAAAACTGTTGATGCTCAAATGTCCACTTTAGCCTAGCTTAACCCTTATTCATGGCACTTACATGCTCATTTATCCTTTTCATCTGATGTGCAAAAGGCTATGGATGGTGCCTTCTGCCCATGTCACTGTGCATTTCAGTTGTATTTCTGCATGTGATCTGGAAGCTCACAAATACACACCAAACATTACAGGACCGCTCAAAATGGAGGCCTTGATCAGTTCAAGCCAGACTAGCAAAACACAACCAAGATGAATACTTGGAAAACTTTTTTGAGAAAAGATTGCCTGAGTTGGTTAGAGACTATAGTCTATATATGCATATATATTCAACAGAACGGTTGGGTAGAGATCTGACAGGAACTGATTGCCAGTTGAAATGCAACAGAGAAATGGTGGTCTGTGCCAGCACCCTCCAATAGATTTATAGTATAGTCAAACATCCATTAAGGATATTTGAACATACGTGGCTACTGATGGTTATAGTGTTTAAAATGAAAGAGAATTTATGGGAAATATAAATGAGCCATAAGAGTTAAAAATAATTAGAGGTATGGTTAATTTGTCTGCAGGTGTCCGTGAAGTAGCTGCCTGCTAGGCGGCAAGACTATAGTCTTAATGTAGCCTTTTTGCCAGTTTCTAAAGTAGTCAGAGATAGGGCTGCACGATTAATTGATTTTAAATTGTAGGTGAAAGATGGTCATTATGTCTTCAGTTACTTAGAAATAGTTTTCTGTTTTCTTTTATCTTAGACATGTATTCTTTTCACGTACCTTGACATGATTTGGCGGAAACTTCCGCCTTCCTCAGAAGTGTCAGTTGGTAGCAGGTGTGACGCGTCATATCAGCCAGTGTTAATGAAGCGTGACCCTTCTGTCAATATTTTTGACAGGAAAGGTCACACCTCCTGCTGTCTGTCGCCTCTGCAGGACGCTGCTCCAGGTGTGTGAGAGCATGTATGCCCCCTCATCCCTGTTCACTGTCCCTGGGCCCTGTTTCCTTATTTCGACGGGAGAGTCACACCTACTACCAAGTGACACTTCTGACGAGGGCAGAATCTTCCGCCGAAACATGTCAAGTTATGTGAAAAGAATACATGTCTGATCGTATTCAGATTATTTAATTATGACGATATTAAAAAACTTAAATTTGTCAAATCAATTTTTCTCTCTATCATGTCTTGCGCCTCCAGGCCACCATAGGCTCCCAATTCCAGCAAGAGCACTCCCCAGTTCCCACACACACCAGTGTAAACAAGCATGGCATTTGTAAAAGAAGGCAATAGTTTCATGGCTAAATAGGGCAAGAGCAAGTAAGTTGTGTGGAACTGGTACGGCTTTGCAGTTTTGGACGAAGAGCAAACGACTCCCTGCTGAAAAGTCTGTCTGAGGATGGTATGCTCCCATCAACACGGAAACAAATTCAGGAGTCAACGCAAAAGATTTTTGACGTATTGGTGTTTCATCCACACGGAGACAGTGTTTCAGGTGACTGTAAATGGTACTTTTTGAAAACGGGTCAGAGAGTGCATAGACAACTACCTGCCTATCTGCATCTCTCAAAACAATTATCTCACAAATAGTGTAATTCTTTTATGGCGCCTGTTCGTGTCCGGCTAAAACAACCTTGATACGCATGCTTTGTACTCTTCTGTTGTTTGTGCATTTCCTGTGCAGCATTACAGTGCCACTTACTGGCTTGGCCTATGCACTACATAATTTTCAGCGATTTTGTTTTGAGAGATGATAGAAAAACTTTTTTTAAGGGGAAGTTTGGTGAAGTTGTCACTGAATCAAAAATCGAAATCGAAATCACGTTTTCAGAGAATTAAAAAAAAAGAAAAAATTTTGCCAAAATTGTGCAGCCCTGGTAGGAAGCCACTTGGAGTTAGCATTGCCAATATGACCACTACCTTGGAAACCAGTCAGATATGTCAGTTAAACTAAGTTCATGGTTTATACAGTCTATGATCAATGCTTATCATCTGTAAGAGTAAAAACTTGGCAGCAAACTATGGGTGTCAAGAGTTTTATAACAGCCTGTATGATTGAATGAAAGTATTTTGATTTTTGTAAACTTATTTTGAATGTTTTTTATGCTTACTATTATGTATACTATGCCTTTTCTCATTATTCTTTCAGTCAGAAGTTTAACCATGGACTTGCCAGTTTGGTTTTATAACATATTGATTAATTTGGTTGACAAATATTCAAGACTTAAGTGCAATGTGATGACTCAAAGCTCCCAGGTCACATTTTCTTCAAGCAGGTGATATATTATGTGCCCCAATAGTGCCCTGAGTAACTGCTTAGAAAACTGCAGTCACACAATAAAACAGAACAAGCAAACAGGTAAAGGTAGCTGATGATCTGGAGGGTAAAATGACTGTGGAGAACAGCTGTAACTTCACTGATGGCCATGTTTACCTGTGTGTTCTGATTGGGGATCTGCAGTAGCAGGGCCAGGTCAGTGAAGTCAAAGGTGTCATCAAGAGCCAGCAGAGCTCCATGGACACCGCTCTCACGCAGGTTGTCTGCATACTCCTTCAAGCCCAGAGTCTGTATCCAGCACATCACACGCTCATTGGACCACACCATCACATCTGGGAAAAAGGAAGGAAAGGTAAATGAGGAGGAGGAGGTGGAGAGGGGAGGAGGCATCCATCTGCTGTTTTTATAAGCGAGATCGAGTTTCTTAATATTCTGCTGACATCCTTGAGCTTAGGCTGGCTTATGAATGGTCTCTCAAAGGGGTTAATTGTCGTTGAAGTATCACCGGGTGATCAAGAAAAATGGTTGAAAATTCCTACTCAAATGATGGATTCACTTAGATGGACTGTGATAGTCAAGCCAGGCATCAGCCAAACAAAAACCCCACACATTTCCTGACTGGGAAAATTCTTCTGGGAGGAAATCAGCCAAGATGAATTGACTGTAAATGTACAACATGTGTATTCTGAGGCAGAGCATTGGGAGAATGGGAGATTTGGGTTTGTTTAATGACTGAGAGTGTTGACATTTATGTGATCATTATCAAGTCAAATTGCTCTAGAAAGCTGTGGTTTATAATCTCTTAGGGGAATCAAGGGGAAAGCAATAACTAAGAGGTGGTCTGAACATCTTCCAGCTAGCAGTGTAGTAGAAAGACCAAACAAAGAAAACTCCTGTTATGTTTGGAGTTAGAAGGTCTGTACGCGTTTTTAACCCCAGCAAGTTTGTAAAAATAATTGATATGCAAAATATATGAAACAGGGTTGGAGCTCTGACCTTGTTCCAGAGTTTAAAATTAATTTCACAATCAATAAAAAGTAAAAGAAAAAAATTCCGAATATCATGTATGTCTGAACTTTTGTAGCCCATTGTGTTTGTGGCTGCTTATCAAATGGAGAGCAATAAAATGTCCAAAATTTGTCAGTTCATTGCAGTCTGTGCAACTTACATCCAACAATCTGAAACACAACAGAAAGACATAGACAGAGCACCCCCACCCTGAATAAGATGTCACAAATGGTCCATTCTGCCTTTTTACTCAGAATTCCAAGATTAATATGAGATTAACCAGTGAGTAATCCTTTAATTCTAAGAGAAAAAGTGAAAATTCGGAGAGAAAGTCAGTCCGTATTAACTTTGAGTGACTAAATCCCACAAATCTGAAATGAGAAAGTTAAGGATTTTTGTGGATTGCATAGCTCAGGAAGATATTTCTTTTCCCTCTTATGTCAAATAACATAAAACATAGAGACAGTGTTCTGGTGATAACGGTTATGATGATTTAGAATCTTCAAATTCATGTCTTTAAACTGTGTTTAAAGTTCCTCTGAAGAACTTTTAGTCTGTGGTAGTCCCCATCCTCACCCTCATGTACAATGCTATGTCTTTAATCTTCTTGCTCATCTTCTCCTAAACACGCATCACCTTTTGTTGCCAAAAAATGTCACGCCTCAGTCTTTAAATGGTCTAACATTTTAGTTATTGTGAATATCGAAAAGCTGTTTGTCAGGTTATGCTTTATCATCCCATCTGGCACCTACTTGGAGGCAGCCCTTCCAGTTACTAAACAGGAACTTTAATGAAAAAACTCTCTTCCTCGTAATGTTCTTGTTTGTTTTTCTAGGTCATTTAAGAGCATCATTCATAATTTCAGTTGGTTTTATAAGCACAAAAACTCCCTAACAGGAGCTTTGACAGCCAGTCTACTGCTCTATGCAGTTGATTCATCCTTTTTTTGTTGTTGGGGTCTTAATGAATAACAGAAGCCAACAAAATAGAAAAAAATTGACTGATGCCTTTTGTAATTTGGTCACAAAGAATGACAATCCAAGCCTTTTAATGGCAAAAGCAAGAATTGTAATGGCACACTCTTTAATTGGTCATGTTTTCCCCAAGGTACCATTACACATTTGATTTGATTTGATTTAGTTTGGATCCACTATTATTACAACAAGATATGTAGTAACTACTCTTCCTGTGGTCCTTATCTTCTTTTCCATTATCATTTTGAACTTAGGCATATACTTACAGACAGTACACTTAAGTAACGCTCATTCTACAATTCGTTCATACAGTAGTTCTTATTTTCTCTTGCTTGTTGAAAAATAAGCCAATACATAAATGAGGTGAAGAAAGAACCAGCATCCTGATTCAATAGTATTAATTCTTAAAGATAAAAATTTTGCTACCCCAACATCTGGGCTCATCTGATCATGCCAAGCCTCATAAGTCTTTTGTGTTTCATCATCTCATCAATTCCGGAAGTTCAGGCCCAGGCCATCAGCACCAGATTAGACCATCAGCAGAGACTTGGGATGGGAACCCCCAAACGTCACACATAAATGTCAGACTTTATCTAGGATGAGATTTGTGAGGATGTCCAAACAGCTGCTTACAAGGAAGACATCCCTGGATTAGTGGGGTGAAACACTTATTTTCTATGATTGATTCTGTTTTTATGTCTCCTAAAACAGATTACAATGCAAAATCCAGGATGTTCAGTAATAGGTCCTCCTGGCTCATGTTGACATTTTGCACGAAACCTACAGTGAGTAAAAATCAGACTGTGTGATGAAGGGTCGTGTGTTGGTAAGATTTTGTTATTGGTGTCTTATTCTGCTTGCAGTTCCCTATTTTAGATATGTAAGCAAGCTCATGACCAAAATAGTCATACATTATGTCACCATATTACTGTGGTATATTGCTGATGATGTCCTGGAAACCCCTTTGTCCCTCCTTTACCCTACGTTGAAGACATGCAGTTTAATGGATTCGTTTCCAAGCAAAATGTTCTGGACTCTTGAGTCTGGTTCTACTCAAGGTTTCTGCCTGTTTAAAGGGAAGTTTTTTCTTGCCATCATAACTTGCTCAATACTGGAAAGTGCTTCACTCATGTTGATTTGAGATGACATTACAGGTATCTCTAGATGGGGCTCAATCTTGTCCCATCTTGAGCTTGGGTCTTTGTAACACATCAAACAATGAGTCTGGTCTAGACCTGCTCTATTGGAAAGTATCTTGAGGTAACAATTGTTGTGATTTGGCGCTATATAAATAAAAATTAATTGACTGATTGATTTTGTGCCGGCAGTGCCCACAACCTCAATTTGAGAGCACTCCTTATAAGTGCTTACTGTTGTTAACTTTTTTTCAACTTTTGTAAAACAAAAGTTGCCCGTGGCCCTTCCTCCACATCACATTTGCTTCAATTCAATGGCATTTTATTAAAATAGCTAGCAGTTCTACATCTGGAAATAGTACGAGTGTGTTTCGTTTCTCTTTCTTTCAGGCCCTCGCACCTTAATACTCATCAGGGTTTGTTGCAGATTGGGCTGGGACAGGTTTTGGGATGTTGAGCAGCTGTAGAGTTTGTTTCTGTACAGATATATCTAAGAATGTTTGTGTGTTAGGAAAACAACATTAAGTGTTGAGCACACATATTAAATTCATTATTTTTCTTCTAAATCACATGAAGGCAGGTTTCTTGCCCCTCATAAGCTGTTGGCAGCACTGGCATATAGATGTTTAAGATGTTAAAGATGTTTACTGTCATCTTATGTGTGAAGTTTGAGGTGGTTAAGACCCCCTTGTGTTTGAGTTACAGTGGCTTCCCGGTGTTTTGGCAAATGGATAGTGGGGGCAGAAAAAAACTCTAAACTTCATAAGTTTTGTCTAGAAAAAAATAAACACAGCTAGTGTAAAAAGGTGTGAGTGGACACAGGCCCTTATACTGGACTGCTTTTAAAAAACAACAACCATGCATAGAACATTTAGTTAAACTAATGGGTTGATAATAGATCAATAATAGTGATGATTAGGGTTTGTACAGGGGTCACTAAGGTATGCTTTGAACAAGACAAAAGCAGCAGGTGAATGGAGGAATTAGCTGGGTGGATGGGGTCACATGAATAGGGGCACGAATAATGAGATAATAGCAGTGCTCACCTTTGTTCTGGTGGGCGCTCTCCTCTCTCCTCCTCTCCAGCTCCTTGCGGTCATAGTTCAGACGCTTCAGGCACATGATGCCGTAATGCAAACTGACCCTGAGAGAGGTCAAAGAGGCAGAGAGAGTGAAGCAGGTTAACTGAGGGGCGTGTTTCCACTCTCACCTTTACTCAAAGAGCATTAACACCAGCCGACTCCTTTTGACCTCTCAAGAGAACTTTAAGAGAGCCTGGAGACACACAGCTGAACAGCCAGAGTGTTAGAACAACAGCAGCAGCACTCAGTCAGTATCTGTTAACACCTTCATATTTTCTATTCCTCACAGAAACAGCTTAGACACTAAAGAGTGGGCCGAACTCACCACAAGTTGTTAAAGTCGTTAATTTACGACAATAAAGTCAATTCTAATGAGATTGAAGTCTCATTAATCCCATTTTACTAACGAGAGTAAAGTCATAATAAAGTGATTACTAACAGAAATAAAGTCGTAATAAAGTAATAAATTACAAAAATAAAGTCGTAATAAAATCATTATGATACTTATAACAATGTGGTGCTGTTGTGCTAAAAGATTAAGTATCTCCTTCTTTGAGAAATCTATATTATAGTACATTTTCAAAAAACGCTCCATGGCTCTCATTTCAACAACTGTCATCTTATTCAACAGGTTAGAATAAGGACTTTATTCTGACCTTATTCTCGTAAGTTATTACTTAATTACGACTTTATTCTCCTTAGTAATTACTTTATTCTCGGAAGTTGGGTTCCTCTGGACTGTTGCTGTGGACATGACATGACATTAATAACATAAAGCTAGAGTTAACTACTATTAGGCCTGCTGACTGTAATCACATTAAATTAATTTAACATAGTCCATAATTACTCATATCCTAACCCTGTAAACTGAATTCATTTTTTTTTCACCATTACATGAGTTGTTGTTGTTGTTTAAATGTTGCTGCTGTCCCATCTCTCTCTCTCACCCTCGTTCTCTACTCTCTCTCCCTCCCTTACTCATTATCTCTCTCCTTCCCTCTATCTTGTTCTCTTTCTCTCTCCACTCTCTCTCTCTCTCTCTCTCTCTCTCCCTCTCTCTTACTCTCTCTCTCTCTCTCTTGTTCTCTCTCTCCTCCTATCTCTCTGAATTCCTCCCCAACCCAAAAGCGGCTTGGTGGCTGTCTGGCCTGAGTTGGGTCCTGCTCAAGGTTTATGCCTGTTAAAAGGAAGTTTTTTCTTGCCACTGTTACTCACGTTAGATGAGATGGGCCAAAACCCATCTTAGGTTGGGCCTTGATAATTCATCTAACAATGAGCGTGGTCTAGACCTGCTCTTGTTCTTTGAAAAGCGTCTTGGGATGACGACTGTTGTAAATTGGCGCTATATAAATAAAATTTGATTGACTGATTGAATTTTGATTGAAATTTGAATTTGAAGTTAACGACTTTAATCTTGAAGTCTAATTTTTTTTTCTTAATGTGGCCCTTATACTCCGTCGTACAAATGTATCTGGTGAGTATTAAACTCATACTAATATAGACACTAATAGTTACTCTATCAGCTTGTTTCCATGAGCAATATCTCTATAAAAGAACTACTTAAAGCTCCAAGTTTTTAGTCGGCCATGAAGCACCTCAACATTTGTTATTTTGATGAATTTATTTTTGAGGCTTGTAGCCCCTGCTGTGGGGTAGGTGTCAGATGGTGAGTGACAGCATGCTGCTGAAATAGTATTTGTTGACATTTTTCATGGCAAATATTCACAGTGACTCACACTGATGTACAGTGATTCCACTATCAAAAGAAAGCAAGATGAGATTTTTGTCTAAATATATTTCTTACAGGTAGTGGTTCAATGGCTCTCAGTTGAACCATGCACAGTTCAGACCACATGTGATCCTGGTTGAAATGAAAAATGTCTGATCAGACAAGTCTAGTTTTTGCAGCCTCTTGATGCACTCGCCTCTGCTCCAAACTACCAAACAAAAGCATCATTTAGGGTCCTGTCTGTGTCATAGCTCTGCCCCTTCATGCCCTGTGTGTGAGGGAGCTGAGTGCAGGCTTCAAAGACTGATATGTAACTGCATTTAACTTTACTTATAGGGGTGACTGTAAAAGACCAGTGACAGCAATTTGACACCTGTACAGCAAGTATAAGAACTTTTCCCAACATGCCATACAGATGTCTATGGATGAAGAAAATGCAAACCAGAAGTTCTTCAGAGAAACTGAGCCTTCCTCACTCTTCTACTCTTCTTTTTAACACTCAACATAAATGACAATTTAAAGTTCAAGTTTGGGATTGTAACTATGTCCCTGATTTTTCTGAAAATTTTTGGGGAACCAAATAACATAAAAATAAGACTAAAAATGAGCTTAAATGTGGCCAAATGATGGCAAAAAAACAGAGGAGTGGTTGTGGAGCACATGGGTCACAGCTGTAGAAGGAACAAGCTCTACCTGTGGAAGCTGTCCACCATTTTGAGCTGTCCTCTCAGCTCCTTTTTCGTCAGGTGGTCCAGCATACGAGCATCCACCAGGGACTCCATGAAGTAGCTGCGATACTGTGGCAGACCCAGGCTGGGCAGCCAGTCGTTTCCCACCCACTCATGATTCATATCGCCATAGGCCAGTATCTGGAGGGGGACAACCAACCACAGATGATCAACACTGATTCACGCTCGGCTTGATATGTGATGGTGCACATGACTCACTTTGGCCTCAGTGGAGATCAAATTACTGACAGTCATGTGCTGTTAATTTTGACTTTTTGAGAAGGTGCAGTTGATCCTTACCTGATCCCAGCTGAACTCCTTTAGCTCCTGCAGCACCGACAGAAGACAGGAGGCAGACAAAGAGAGACAGAGCCAGAAAGAGAGAGAGAGAGAGACGTGGAGGTGGAAAGGGAAGAGGTGGAGCAGGGAGCAAAATCAGGGTGAATGGACAGAGAGATGATGGAGGGGATGGGGGTGGGGAGGAGGGCAAAGCAGCAGCACCAGCAGCAGCAGGAAAAGAGGACAAAAGGAAGGAATAGTGTGTTAGTGAACGGGCAATTAGTTGGAAGCAGTTCACACAGAAACAGCAACCAGAGGGAAAGAAGAAGACACTCAACACTATGGCCTGGACCCACCGAAAAAGAAAAAGAGAGACGTACAGAGGAAGAAATTTAAAAAAAGAAACAGAGGGGGAAGGAGGAGGGAGACTTGTCAACATGATTAAGGCCAGACAAAACATTCAAAAGAATTCAAACAGAATCAAATCATAATGAAGAACTCAAAATGGGTTTTCAGAACAGAGACAGGACAGTGGGTGGCACTGACCGGAGGTTTGGTGGTAGCATTCAGGGACTCCATCTCTGCATGGGTCATCCATACATTACTGGTCGACTGAGGAGAAAAAACAGACAACATGGAAGCCATTAAGTATAGAAGTAATTCAAAAGACAACAGGGTACATTTAAAAGTAATGTGAAAAAAAGGAATAAGAAAATGAAATAATGGGGAAAATAATCAGAAGTCAAAGAATCAGGAAACAGTTTTAACTGCAAAGATTAAAATAAAGCAAGTATTAAAACAGCATCTGGTGTCAGAGAGCCTCTGATAGCCTGAAAAAAGTTTGTCTGATACAAAGAAAAATATTTTTTAGTGATGAGAAAATCTGGTTTAATTTAGCAACAGTGAGCACTACTGTTATGATCAATTAAATAAAGAGTTTATTTCCTGTAGTCTTCATCTGCTTTCTCTTCATAATGAGAGATGAGGAAAGTGGATTAGTTTCTTGAAATTTTAGTTTTGACAGTATAAATAGCTGGAACCCTGTAATCCTGATTTTTTAGAAAAAGGTAGAAGTCACTTTTTGGGGTTACTTAAGGGGACAACAGGGTTTAATCTTTAATATAAAAAGTGCTCCAAAAATATAAAGTGACACAATACAGTTGGCACAGATGGCCTCAAATCCATTTTTTTTAAACCATGGTTTCACTTTTTGCTGTGTTCTTCTCTTCTCACATGAAGCATTGGCTCAGCACTGATTTGCAAAGAACTTCATCAAAAACCATTAGACAACCACACCAGCTGATGGCTTTGTTGTCGTCATGGTGATTCTGTTGAACAAGGGGTGCAGCTGGTTGGTGTGAACTGATCAGATCAGTCTGTATAATGTGTTAGATCAAATGTGTGATCAGTCCTTTTTCTCATTATTGTGATTCCTGCAGTGAATTAACTTCAAACTTAACTAACCAAGAGTGGGCCGTGTTTTTTTCTTCTCCTCTGTGGAAGTGGAGACATAAAAGCAGACATGTACGTGCGTGACAACATTTTACAACTCTTTTCTACATCTGGTTTGTCTTTGCGGCTGATGGGAAGGCAAAGTTTGAGGAAAATGTAGCCTTTGGTTACCCACTTGTTTTTAAGCTGTTTTTTAGATAGGACAGCAGAGGAGATAAAAGGAAAGTGTGTGTGTGTGTGTGTGTGTGTGGGTGGGGGCTGGGAGGCTGGGGTTCGAGGGATGATGTGCAGCAGAGGTCATGGCTGGGAGAAGAATCAGCAACTGCAACAACAAGGACTCCAGCCTTTACATAAGAAGGGCTAAAACCAGTTAAACTGAACCCCCATTCCAGTGAAACCTGATCAGCTGCATGGTTTCCTGTGATTATTTTTGACATTAATCACATACACAATACATTCATGTTGTAAGTGAGTGTGTTACATGTTTCTGCATCTGACACCTTATAGGAAGTCCCAAAACTTTGCACACATACTTTTCTTTTCAGCCACCCCCCCCCCAAAATATAGTTTTTTCTATTAATGCCCTGAGCCACAAGTACATAAAACTATCACAAAAATCCAGTTTCCTATGTCTATGATGATCAAGCTTTGCCAGGTGGGAATTGCAATGTTTGAATCAGTTTACAGCAAAATGTTTTTCAGCTACAATACCATTCTGAGATGTTATCCAAGATTTTGTCCCCCCCCCCCCCCCAACATTTAGTCTCCTACAAAAAAGTGGAGAAGGGCCTTACAAAAATTTAGATTAAGATTTTGTGTTCATTTTGCATCATATCGATTTATTTATCCAAAAAAAAAAAAAAAACACCTGGTCCAACAGGCTACTTCTGCTGTTTATGTGGTTTCAGCATTTGGACAGAGCAGTCTCTGCTGATCTTGTCCTCTACATGCTTCAGTAGGATCATCCTTTACTTTATGTCTCATATGGAGGACGTCTTGACTGAGGCTTTTCCGATTTTTCCATATAGTATGTTAAAAATTTGCTTACAGAGCGAGTGCTGGCCGGGGCAGAGGGGCTTGTGAGGGACACCATCTCCTGAATGGCCAGCCGCAGTTTGAGGCGGTGAAGTGGGTTACTTATCCCAATCTCCCGCTGGATCTCTGTGTCGGACAGGTTAGCCATGATGGCCCCGCTCTTCACATTGGCACGACAGGCTGCAACGTACCAGGCCGGCATTCCAACCCACAGCTGCAAGTGGCAGAAAACAGATTCAATATTTGTGAAAGCATGAGGAAAAGTTAAATCAGTTTAGGATAAAGCTGTTTTTACTTTTAAAGTCCAATTGTTGAGGTTTCTATGATTGCACATTACCTCCAGCCAAGACACAACAGTGGGTCCATCCCAGGATGCAAAGGGAAGTCCTTGGCGACATGCTTCCTCCAGTAGCTCATGCCTGGGAAGAGGAAGAAGAGCCTGCGTGAGACATCATTTCAATCTGAGAACCAAAGTGGATCAAAACAGGAGACAAAATATACAGACTTCTTCTTGCTGCGGCGGTCTTTATCTGCTGGACCCAGAGTTCCAGTCTTATTCATCCCCATCGGGTCACCAGCCGCCTGGTCTTCAGAGGGTGTGGATGCTGGAAGAGCCACAGCAAAAACAAAGATCATAGAGATACCTGATACATTTCATGTCTTTAATTCTTCCCTCATCCTCCATGTGTTTACCAAGAGAAGCGGATCCATCCCGCCCAGGTTGGCCCATTCGCCCCTTTTCTTTTTTTCCAAAAAGCCGACCAATGGAAGACTTGATGCTTTTCTTCTTACTGGATTTGTGGAGAGAATCTTGACTGCTGTTCCCATCTGCTGAGAGACTGGGAGGGGCAAAGTAAATCACTAAAGGGAAAAACATGGAAAGGGCAATACATGGGATTTAGTTTGATTGATGTGTGGCTGCCCTACCTGCGAAACTCTCTGGGGTCATCCAACATTGCTCCTGGGTGGGTGAGGGCCATCCTGTCTAAGCGCAGGGCTCGAGGAGTGGGAGGAGGCGTGGAGTCGAGGAGAGCAAGGGACCGATCATCCTCTTTGTTGTTCTGGAAAATTCAATTAAAAAAAGAAGAAAGATATATTTTAAAAAGAGGAATAATTGAAAACTAATGTTTTCATGATGTGGGGTTAGGATTGGTTTCTCTCAAAAATAGCCCAATCATTGAGACCTATACCACTCATACTTATCTACTGCCAAGACGTCAGACTCATGTTGACGACTGGGGCTGAACAAATTTAAATTCACCTGAGTTCATTCATCTCAGAAAGAGGAGACATTGCAAATTTTGCACTACCTTTAGTGATGGTTGACTGTTTGTGCAATCTTACAGGTGGAATTGAAAAATCTCTCAACTACATCACAATTAGGATTTTCCCCTGATTTCTTTGGTTGTTATTGCTTATTTATCTACCAATAAGCTTCTTGGCTACCACTGCACACAGTTAGGCTGCAAGTTCAATGATACTTTGATCATTTTATATTGGATAGTATCAAAAAGCACAAAGCCTTTCAATCAGAGGCTGCCGCATGCAAATGTTTTTACAAAGGGGGTATTATGCATTTTTTTTTTCAGATTCTATACTTCCTGTAGATCAGAAAAACCTTGTGTTTCTCATACTGGTGTATTAAAAAATACCATTATTTTAGCCTCTGTCGAAAGTGCTCCATTATAGTTGCTGTCTCTTTATGCTAAATGTATAAGTTAATAAATGAGTGAATGTATGGAAGAGAATTAAACAAGACTGCCTGATTAAAAGTAACAACAAAATTTATACCACACTCTCATCTGTCTTAGTAAGCAGCTAGCTAGCTTAGCCTTAATTGAACACATGAATGGAAAAACACACCCTTCCTGGCTTTTTCTACTCTTCAAAGATTACATTTATAAGCTTATTTGAAGCAACATTTCAACGCTGTAAAAGCAAAAACTAGACATTCTATGGTACAGGTTATGTTAACTGAAACCACAACATAGCTAATGCAACATATAAGCAAAATTTAAGCTTATCTGAAGCTAAAAGCTACAGACACTAGAAAAAAACTGAGTATTTACTCCATCGTACACACATTTTAAAGTCCGGTAAGCAGAGAGAAATATGAACCTTGACATTCAGGGCTTAAATGCACCAAAAGGAGATCGAATATTTAACATGTGAGTAACATCCTCTGGTTCAGGTGACTGCACACATAACATAAACATTCTCGGAAATTATTCTGTTCTCTGAAAAATGTATCCGTTTCTTCCCCTTGGATGACTCTCAAACGACGTTCTTGTCGCCTTATCTGTAGAGGAAATGACTTGTGTTAAATCTAATCAAAACAGATATAAGATTTGAGATATTAATCTTCAGGCACTACACACTTAATGAAATGCTGTCAACAGTGAAGCCTGTGATGACAGATGCAGCTCATCATCACATTCAAATTACATCTATGAATAGTCCAAAAGTAGTAAGGAGTGTCCCTGCCTTAAGTAAAACTAGTGCTAGTTTAGAAGTTCATGCACAGTTGTGAGTGGTGCAAGTCTATCTGTCCCTTGGATTTTCTTTCAGAGAGGTTTGTCCTACTAACTGAAGATTACAGAATAAAAACAAGTCTTGATTTTTTTCAAGTTTTTGTTTTGTTTGCTGATTATTTTCCTGCTCGTTATAATCTTCTCTTTACTGTTCATTTGAATATTTAGAGTACTCCTCTGCTGCCTTAATTTGTCAGTCTACACAGCACAATTTTTGTTTTGGAAAAGAGTAGAAGCTCCTGTTCTGTCTCTAGTTTTTTGTTTCAGCTCTGTTGCTTCAATGTTTTCTCTGTCACTGTATACTCTTCCAGCTAGTACCATAATTTAAACAGTTCTTGCCGTTCTCCTCTGAACTCCCACATCAACATCATCACTTTCACAACCACCACTGACTGCATGTTTTGTGTTTATTGCACCATCTTTTGAAATCTATCCACTCATTTCGTAAAGCCTGGGACAAGCGTGTCTGGCACCAAGCATGGCACCACCCTACGAGGTATTTAATCAGCTGCCCCAAACTTACATGGAGCTGATGAATACCTTCAACTCTCCTGACCCTGACTGCATGATTTACTTATGCTTTATTTACATGACTCACAGTCTGGAGGAGCTGTTTGCATAAACAGGGAGGTGGATAGACAGAGGCAAGATAGAAAAGTTTAACACAGATGGGAATAGAAGTTTATCCCTAAGCTCCAGCAGTACCTGTCTATCATTCTCGCGGGCCGGGGAGTGGGGCAGGCGAGGGGTGGAGTGTCCAGAGCTTGGGGGTGAGGGGGAGGCAAGGGTGGAGGATGTGATGGACGAGGGGATGAACCCCCGGCCTGTGCTGTCTCTCCCCAGGGTGGACGGAGGGATGGGCGGGCTGTCCAAAGCCACACTGACCCGGCTCTCGATCTCTTCGGCTCGCAGTTCCGTGTTCTCCTTCTCCTCCTGGATCAGTCTGTTTTTGTAAAATAAATTCAAGTTAAAAACACTCTAGCTGGTCCAACACTGAACACAGCAAGACGGACCAGGAAGAGGAGTCCAGAATTGGCTCATTTACTTACATACTCATATACTATACTAAGCCTAAATGTCTGTATTGCAAACAGCTATCAACCTTTACAAAGCAGATGGACTAGCCAGATTCAATGTCTGTTATTGGGCGGTTCCATCTTGCAAAGTTTTGATCTGATGCACTTGTTTCAGGTCAGATAATGACCAGATAGAAAACCTCCCTTTCAGGGGAAAGAGGAGGAAGCTATGGGTACTTTCTCTTTACTGGAAGTTGTTGCTTATGCACTTGTTTCCTCCTCTTGTTCTTGCAATTTCGGGAAACTGCAAAGTTCTTTTCCTTTAAAGCAAACAAGAAATAACTTACAGTTCTTAACTGATCCTCACGTTTCTTTACACAGCAAGAACCTGCTTCCTCAGTTACTCATTATGTCCTTCATTGTTTTCTGCCTAGTTTGACTCAAATACTTTTTCAGGAGGTGACTTTTATGTGCATATTTTCAACATTAGAGGCTGTACAGATTAAACAAACCTACATGTTTGAATTTATGAGTTTTTATTGGATCAGTTTCTGGTGAGTTCTGATGTGTGTTTCCTCACTTGATCTCCTTATTGATGGCCTCCAGCTGTTTCTGCAGCATCATGGCCAGTGTCTGCACATCTTTCTGTCCACTGGGTGACAGCAGCTCAGAGCCAAACCCAGTCTCCCCATTGTCTTCTTCATCAGAGCAGCCCACCTCCAAGCCGGGCTCAAATCCGGTCCCAAGCAGAGCTCCACTCTCCCAGTCTGGGTACTGTACAGAGTGGGAGCAAGAAAGAGGATTCGTTACCCATTTATCATTTCATACATTTCCAAAATACTCATCAATCACTACTTCTGAAGGGCGACTAAATCTGTTTATATTAGCAATTTAAAGGGGTCATGGCATGAAAAACTGACTTTGTTAATGGGAGGGGGGTGCATATCAGGGATAGAAAACCGCTACATTCCCCTACTGCCCCTTCCAGAGATGGGTGTAAAGTGGATGTGGCTTAGGTGCAGCTCATTTCATTAAAGAGACATGGCCCAAAACGGAGGATTTTGAGCGGAGCTGTTTTTAGCTGATAAAAAGAGCACTAAAATAATTGATCCAAATCGAATTTTGACCGAAGGACGTCATAGATATGCTTTTAACACACCAGGGGACTATTTTGAGTTGTGTGAAATTGGCATGCCATGGGACCTTTTAGTAAAACTAACCATTCCCCAATCCGCTGTTCTATGTTTGCTAAGTTTGCGTGTTGGATGCTATCATGAGCACATGCTAGCATCCAATACGCCAAACTTAGATGATGAATATGGTACAAGTAATGTCACTAACATCAGCACAAGTACAACCATGTGTGCACAACCATAATTGGATTCGTCTTCATTTTTGAGACAAGTGAAGTAAACACTTTACAAGCTGTCATTTTAAGTGCAGAGGAAGTGAAAAACAGAATTTTTTGCTGGTTTTATGGCAAAAAACATTCTTAAAAGGTTTTGAAAGTCAGACCACTGACAGAGGAAAAAAAATCTCTGACTTTGTTTTGAATTTAGATTTGGATGTTTTGGTTTTGCTGGATATCAGACTAATATTTTGTTGTCTGGAAATGAATTATCCACTGCTTTAAAAAGGATGCAGATAGATGAAAATAAATTTATGTGTTGTGTTTGGGATGTTTGTTGCCCACCTTGGTAGAGTCCTCTCGGGCCGAGCTCCAACGAGCCCTGTGACTTCGCCTGACAACGCCCCCTGTGGAGGCATTACCAAAGGGATCCAGGTGAGTGGTAGAGCCTGATGGGAGGGACCCACCTCCGTGGGAATACCTCAACTCCAGAGCGCTTCCTGGCAGAGAGCGACTGCGGAGATAGAAAGGAAGATAAGATGGCACAGGATAAGATGAATCTATAATTATCCCTGCAGGATGAATCAGACCGAAACATTGAGACAGTTCACCACAGAATGACACACAGGTCAGGTATTGTATTTCCCACAAAAAGAAATACCTGCAGAGGAAGCAAAAACAAACATCGACTAACAAGTAGAGAGTAGAGAACATTTGACAGAAAGATATGAGAAGTACATAGTCAGCTGAGAGCCACAAGTTTAAACTTCACTTTTTAAAGGTTTGCAGAAAACTATCAGAGAGAGTGAGATTCCTGTGTGTGTAAATGCATTAAATCAGTATTTTTCAGAGTCTGACAAGATAAGAGACACAGCACCAGCATTTTTATGGTCATGCAAGGCCACACTTGAGTGTTGTGGATGTCTCAGAGGCACCAACCTGGAATAAGAGCCCCCGGGCCTCGATCTCAGCTGATCTAACTCCAGCTGCAGCCTCTCCAGCTCCGCTATCAGCTGGTCCTGGGAGAAGAAAATAAATACAGTTGTTAAAAAATGGCGTGTTTCCACGAGTTCTAACAGAATAAGGCCAGAGCTGCAGGAACCTTGTTTGCCAAGAGATCATCCTGGAGTTTCTTCATGTTGGACAGCTCCTCAGACAGGGCGTTCTAGAGGTGAAAAAATACAGGGCTTAGCAACTAAAAAACAACAACCACTGTGGATTTGTACTGAGATTTCACTTTTCCATCATTTTCCTTAATACTAGCATTCATTGATCATCTTGTTTCTCTGATGTTATGAACAGAAACCTGTTCTGTGTTTTTAACTCCTTTTAGCACTCTGGCTTCAAATAAATAAATCTGTAACTTTGTCATCAGAGACACTAATTGCTGGCTTCTACCTGAGTCCAGCTAATGCTTTTAAGTTATTAGCCGATGCTACATAAGGGGCTGGACAAAATATAGATATGACAGAACACCACTGTCCTGACCAGAGTAGTACACTCAGTGCTGAGGCCATGGATGGATAATTTTTTTTTTTATAAATAACACAGCCCACTAAACGGATTTCCTTTCAAATTAGATTCTCAATGCCACTCCTCACTGTGGGGCTAACTGTCTACCATTCTGCTTTTACATGAATTTTGTCATCTTGAGTTTTACCATTGAAGAGGGGTCATTGTGCTTAATATTTGGTTTTACATTGTCCCTCTGATCACTTCTGAGCAGATTTACATGATTTATAGTTCAACAGAGTCATCACATATTTCAGACTGCTGTCTTTGAAAACCCTGATTTCAGCCTCTTTCTGAGACACTTCATTAAAGCCACTGTCCCTTTAAGTCCCCCCACCACCCAAAAGCATCCTGCCATTTAGAGCCCTCTGTAGTCCCATCTGGGGATTACTTCAACACACATTAACCATAAATCTGAAACTTTGCTCATGTATAGAACTGATGTCCAAAATTTTAACTTCACATTTGTTTTCAAAATTACAAAAAAAAGCAGAATACCACTGCTTTAAATGATCATCTTATCATTGATCATTTATCATAGAACTGCATTATATTTTATGTTGCTGTATAATCTTGTGACATATCGTATCATACCAGAGATGGGAATTGTGGAGTCATAATGTCATCTCCATGCCATGTTTTTGTTCTGCTTAGTTACTGAACCAGGTGCCTTCACTGATGAGCTCACCTTCCTGGCTGCTCATTGGAAGCAGCTGGTTCAGTAACTGAGCAGAACAAATACATGGGATGGCGATGACTTGGTGACTCCACATTTTCCCATCTCTGTATCATACTATATCTTATCATACTCTATCATATTGTATCATATCATGTCATATCTTGTTATACCCTATCATATCGTACCATATCCTAACATACCCTATCATATCATTTCGTATTGTATTTTATCACATCGTGCCATATCTTATCATACCCTCTCATATCGTATCATACTCAATCTTGTCATACCCTGTTGTATTGTATCGTACCATATCTTATAATACCCCATCGTATCGTATCATATCATGCCATATCTTATCATACCCTATTGTATCGTATCGTACCATATCTTAACATACCCCGTCATATCGTATCATACCATATCTTATCATACCCTATCATATCGTGCCATATCTTAACATTTCCTATTGTATCGTATTGTACAATATCTTATCATGCCCTATCGTATTGTATTGTATCATATTGTGCCATATCTTATCATATCCTCTTGTATCATATCATACTATATCTTATCATACCCTATCATATTGTATTGTACCGTATCATGCCATATCTTATCATACCATATTGTACTGTATCATACACTATCTTATCATACCCTGTCGTATCATTTCATATCGACAGCTACATGTCCTGTTTTACTGTATCCTTTCTCATTCTATGGTGTTGAATCACCCTTCACTGTATCAAAGTGTTTCATTATACCTTGTCATATCGCTTTTTTCATATTGCATGGTATCAAATCATCTTATCGCTGTGTGGCATATCTTATCATATCGTATCTTATTGTATCATATCATATCATATTGTATTGTATCATATTGTATGGTACTGTATAGAGAGGAGACAGTACTTGACTGGTCACTCTCCTGAAAGCAGAGACGTCAGGAAACACCTCATACCAGGAGTTTATGAGGACAAATTTGCAGTCAAATTCAAAGGAATGGGACACTTAACGCCTCTGTTTTATGAGGTTCAGATCCTAATCTGACAAATCTGGAGAAATCCTGCTTGTGTCTGAGCGGGTCACCTTTTCCTCCAGGGCAGCCATTCTCTCCTTCAGGTGGAGCTGCAGCCTCTCGTTGGACTCTGACAGAAGCTTGTCAACTGTGTCAGAGAGACGCTTGTTGTGTTCATCATTCATCCTCTCCCTCTGTCTCGCCTGAGGGGAGGAGAGAGAGAGTGAGATGGGTGAGAGCGGAAGAAAAGAAAAGGAAAAGGGAGGGCAGCAGGAGAGTTAATGACAAGCATTCTGCTTGACTGAGAGCAAGAGACAAAGATTTCTATCTGAGTTCGGTCAAATAGGGGGTTTAGAAAATTAGTGCGCCTTTGTGCTGCGTAAAGCCTAACAAAAGCAAAGGCATGAAAGAGGGGGAGGATAAAGAAAAAAAGAAAGATGGAAAAGCAAGCATGACTCACCCTCTGTAGCTCCTGGTTCTTCTCCTCCAGTTGCGCTTCCATCTGTCGCAGTCGCTCCTCAAAGTTACCATGACGCTCCTCTGCCTGGATGATTGAAGAAGAAGGAATAAAAGCTAGAGCGTGAACTGGGTTGCAACAATAACAGAAATCCATATAAAGGAAACAGTTTGTTGACCTAGTCCTCATCTAATTAGTTACCTGCCTATACAGATCAGAGCATAACATGAAAGTTTGTTTGTCTGTGTCTAGCCAGGCATCAATCTTATCCTTTCAGGGAAACTATCTTGCCTGAACATGTAAGGAGTAAGTGCAGCCATTAAGGCGGTTTTGCTACTGCGAGGAGAGTGAGCGTTTTCTTGGCATGACTAAAATGTGTGTTAACAGGAATGCTAGAGGTTAACCTATGAGCAATTAAACCAGTCAGTCATGAAGAGTCTGTGTGGTGTACAGTTCCTGACGTGTTGAACGCCCAAGGATCAAATAGCTGCGCTGACTCTGAGCCCTAGGCTGGCTTTCATCTTGGATTGTGTGCTTATGAATTGCTGGCACCATTTGCCTGAAATATTTGGTATTCATCTGTCGTTTGACATCTTGTGTTCTGTTTCCCTCATGCATGAATACAACCACATGCCTGCACAGACACACTCACGTATACGTTTATACGATACCCATGCTTGCACCAGTTTACATGCCCACACTTGCCCACTCACACTCACACATACTCAAACAATTGTGTCTGTGCACCCAGGCATATCCTAACATACATAGATTTTTGCACACGTGCATGCATATACAGGAATTTCCTTTGAACTTAAGGATGCTTTACCTGGTTGACAACTTCTACAACAGTTTTCCAGCTTTTCCAGTGCCTCTGTTTGGTATGTATTACACTAAACATTTTTCACCTATCACTCAAACAGAGGTGACTCTTAATTACGTTTATATGTGATGATGGCAAAGGGGCTTACGGTGGTTATGGCAGCCTTCATTTCCATCATTTTTGGGCATTTATATTCATAGCAGTTCTTTCAATCAATTAAGATTTATTGTGACTAATCACAGAAGAGGTTGGGAAATTGTGTAATACTCTGAATGTGCCACACTACAATGTAAAAAACTCTAGCTTCCTGTTGCAACACAGCCCAGGTTGAGTCCTGCCCCTGCCATCCAAAGCCAAAATGACCCAGGCACCATCCAGCTCATGGTGCACACTCATATGCACACTGTGCATTTTTTATGCAGCTGTGTGGGTGCAAACAGTCGACCACTCTGACAACTGAATTTGCACTTGATGCAATTTGAACCCTGTCGCCCCCTGTGGATTCAAATGAGGGGAAACCGGATTCCTGCAGTGTTTCTTATTTATTCATCTTGATACCTCTTCAGACCTATCAGGTGGCTCAAAAATGTACCACCCAGGCTGTAATGATTGCCCGCAACACACACAAACACACACACACACACACACACACGCACGCACGCACGCACGCACGCAAGCATGCACACACACCTTGTTAAGTGCTGCCACTCTCTGTGCAAGCTGGGCCTCGATCTCAGGCAGCGTCTCGGCCCTCTGCAGAGTCTGCTGCAGCTTCTGCTTGGCATCATCCAGACGCTCCTGAAGCTGCCTGTTCTTCTCCTCGCTCTGCAAATAAAACATGATAAGAGGGAAAATGAAAATAGGAGCTCCAGTTGAGATTGTTGAGGGCAGCAAATTTGAAGATGCTATGGGGGAAAAAAGGCACTGACGGCATGCTCAGAGTGCCAACGTGAAATGCCGCCAAGCTGCCAATCAAGAGCAGAAACACGGACACACACAGGGATGAAAGAGAGGTTTCTCACCTGTCTGTAGAGGGAGTCTTTGCTGGCCAGCTCATTTTCTAACTTGTCTTTTATGTCATGGAGAGACGTCGCCTCCCTCTGGGCACTCAGGTACCTGCAAACCACAACAAACAGGCACAAAGCTGGAGCAGTGAGCTGGGCACATTTTTTGAGGGGGGCAAACAGAGTTCACAAACACAGGGGGAGAAAACACAAACCTGCGCTCTAATGTGGTGATTCTCTCCTCCATGTCTTCCCTTTGACAGAGAGCCTGGGAAAATGAAAGGAAGTCAAGTGTAATCATTTGGATGTAGACAAAAAAATGGCAGCTCAGGTAAGCAAAAGAGGAGGAACATGTGATGTTCACATGTAGAGTGTGTTGTTGAAAAGGGGTTTCACTTTGCCGGGACAGCTGTATGCTGAAGAATGATAATGACTGCATAATAGCTGCTGTTGACAGATTTTAGAAGCAGCCACTTATGCAGTTGCACAAGTTCAAGAGAGACAGAGAGGGTGAGAAGGGAAAGATTAACAGTTTCTGAAGACGACTAAGTCATGCAGTCATGTTTGATCTTGTGCTCTCTGTTTAACAGTGTTTTATTGAATGGTAGTTTGTTTTCAAGGCCCATCTGTGGACAGACTTCTAAGGCGAAAATGCTGTAGAGTGTGGCAAAGGTTTAATTGCCTTATACTTGTCCCTTTAATACACATTCAAGGAATGAACGGATCAGTTGAAGAAACCCGAGTGATGTCAGAAGACATGGGCCAGCTGGACCTGACAGCACCCAACAGCAGCTCTACATTCACCCATGAGTCCCTAGAGCTCTCAACTCCTGAAGTATTCTCAGTCTTTTCAAAATATGAAAAATTGATCTATGCACATTAGTAAAAATGATCCAGGTTGGAGTTTAAAACTGGAACTGTAAATACAAGTTGTAAGGTTTGTTTTTGATCAGGAGAGGATCCTTAATCACTGTTCACAGCAGAAAATGACAAAGACCTTATTTTGTTTGCTTAAATCACAGCTACTGTTAAAACACTGGGGCCTACCAGCTCAACACTGAGTAGGTTAAATGCACCACAAACTGTATAACAGGTTTCACCATTGTGCACCACCGTTTTCTGCAGACATTTAGTTGAGCCACTGTGCATTATTTGAGAAACAATATGCCTTTTTCTATGTAAATGATTCTGAAAGCAAAAAAAAAGTCCTTTATGTGCCATGTGAAATTTTCAGTCTAATAAGGGTTGTTTTGACTGTGCTGCATTCTTAAAATGATAGGATTAGAGTGCACAGCACGGCTCTGAGCAGTAAAGAGCGGAGATGCTGATGGCTCACTTCCACAGCCACACATGAGAGGAGAATTTTGCTAAACTTTGAGGGCCTATCATGAGTGGAAAATGTTAGGTGAATGGACATTGAGATGGAGCAGATGGGGGCAAACAGTGTGCATATCTCTGTGCTGTTAGTTGCTGCATTTAGTGAGTTTCTTTACGTTAGAAAGTGGAAGTTTGGGTCTTTTGTGTCTCTTATTTAGATGGCTGATCTTTATATTATAAAAGCCCTCTTCCAATTGTTGACACTGATTGTTTATTAATTAGTGTAACACTCAAACATGTCCTGTGTTTATTAAATTTAACAAAACTTATATCTTAAGTTTTGTCTTTGTACTTAAACTCTGAGCAAAAAAGCTCCAATAGTTACATCTTAAAGCTACTGTGATAGTTTTCATCCAAATTTTGTGCCCCCTGTGGACAGAATGGTACTTCTTACTCTTTGCTGATTTGATGCTAAACAAGTGAAAAGAAAAGAAAACAAAAAAGTCTCACCTTACTTTGTTTTGACAACCAAACTTATCAGTCATTGTGAATCTTTGCTGTGGACAAAGCTATCATTTAAGAACTTGTGCTAAGTTCAGACTGATTTATTAGCAATAACAAGAGATGATTTTTTTTGGAATTTCTGTTTAATATTTATAGCTTTCTGTTTTCAAAATCTTTCGCAAGATCCCCCGGTTTCATTTCCACATCACTCTCCTGCCCCCTTTTCTTCTATTTCATCCCTTTTTCTGCTTCTGCAGGGTCCTAAGAAGGAGTCCTTGTATTGCATGAACAAGGAGCTACAGTAAGTGAGCCCTGATAAGCTTCCCTGAACAGGCAGCAGCAGCGACTACTTATTGACTGCTTTTCCATAACAGTCAATAAACTTTGCCTTATTGAGCCTGTTGAGGGTGTGGTCTTTACTGGTGAAAAGGCAGTTTGACCACTGAAGAAAGTCTGCAAAATAAACAGCCTGAAAAGCTTTAATCATCTTTCAACACAATGATCAATAAGGTGAGTCTGCAGCTTTGTCTACAGTACTGTCGCCATGCCATGCCACCTCTTGTGTGTACCAAAGTAAATTGTTACATATTTCTTTGAGTATGAGCAACACAGACATGACTCTGACAGACACACAGTAGTGGTTTATTCTCACCTCTTTCACATCCCTCTGGAGTTTCTGGTTGGCCTCTTCTGATCTGGCCAGCTCCCTCCTGGCAGAAGTTAGCTGCTCCTCGATCTCCCCGACCTGACAGGAAGTGACAGCATAGGATAAGCATACATGGGTTTCTGTCCCAGAGAATTCCTGGCTGGAGATGTTTTTTGTTTGTTGGTTTTGGTGAAGGCATTAGACCATAAGAGTGTCTCTGAATGGAGTACCTGTCTGCACATGAGCGCCAGTCTCTCTTTAAGCTGGCCCAGCTCTGACCTCTGACGCTCGATCTCGCCCTCTCTCTGCCTGTCAATGTCACCGTCATCCAAGATTGAGGACGGTCCATTAGGGAGACGCTAAATGAAGAAAAATAGTACATGGATTCTTAAAAGACATAGATCCTGACCATTACTCCACCCTTGGACAATGGCTGTTTTCCAAGTCAAATCTTGGGCCTAAACTTTTTTGGGAAGAAAAGCAATGAACCTGTGTTTCATTTACTTAAATCTGACCTTATCTTTCTTAAAACAAAGTCATTCAAAGAAAATAAGATTATCAGCGACCCATTTGTAACCACAAGATAAAACTCCTTTTAAAGTAACAGAAACACTGTGTTTAGGATTTTGTGTAGCCCTGACCTCTGATCTTGGACTATAAACTTCTAATCAGCTTTTTACTAACTCTAAGTGCAGGACTCGAAAAAAGGTGTTTAATTTGTTTTCAATTTTCCTCTGAATGGAGCCACCTCACGAAGAGTTGTGATCAGTTTATGTGAAGCACAGGGGTGTTCACAGATTAGCAGCCAGGGGTGGCATGTGCCCTTGGCCACCCCTGGAGCACCCTAAAGCCAGCACAATCATTTCCAATTAACCTCTAGCACTCTTGAAGTTTCTGGGCTGTGCTATGACAGGTTGCTGGCTGCTCTCTTTACCTTCCAATGGAGCACATATCCTTATGTAGTTTAAATGTGTTCCAACTCTGCTTCCTACCTTTTACAGGACAAAAATACACACGAGAATAAATGATACCTTGATGCAAATAGCTGAAGAAAAGTAACGAATGAAATCCACTTACTTCTTTGCCGTTGTCTATTCCTTGCTGCCGTCGCTTGATTTGATCTTTCAAAGACACAACCTGAAACCGCAAAGAAAAAAATCATCAGGAGACACTGAATTCACTGAAACCTGCAGATGAAAAAACAAACTGTGAAGCTGAGAAATGTGTGCTCACCTCTTGTGAGGAGGACTGCAGCTCTTCCTCCAGGGCTGCCACTCGCTCCAAAGCCACCCGTAGCCTCTCTCTCACCTTCTCATCAAGGGCTTTGTGGTGCTCAAACAGGGACTTTAGGGCGTTCAGGACCTCCACTTCGCTGGAGACCCCGGCTGAAGACTGCGTCAGCCTCTTGACCACGGTCATCCTCAGACTACGCTCGTGACGGGCCACCAGGCACTCCAGATGTTCAAGCAGCAGCTGCAAACACATGTTGATTATGTACAACAAATCCTCTACGGTGCACCTTTAAGGTCTCTGAGGTGGTTGGTCACACATAAAGGAAAATTCTCATCAAAACACAAGAAGATAACGTTTGAGCGGAAATGAGCATTCTTACTCTTGTGTTGTTCCTCTCAGCCTTTAGCTCAGCAATCTCCTCCTCTCTCTCCAGCAGCTGTTCTCGGCAGAGGTTCAGCTCTTTGGTCAGCACTGCAAACTCCTGCAGGGTCACAAGAGGGTGCTGTTATTGTTTTGACACTGCCACTGGTGCTGCAAGAGCTGCATGAGGTCATGAACACACTGATGATGGTGTAAGGTTCCCTGTAACACCAAATCACTCTATAGAGATGTGCCGCTCTATTGTGTTTTAACTTGATGTGGCTGTTTCAATTTGCATTACTGACTTCCATCATTTCCCAGAATTCCCTCAAAGAGAAAATATAAACTCAGCTTTCTTGGCTGGTTTTATAGATGGAGGTAGCGGGGTGCTAAGGTTTTCATTTTGGCTCTTTTCTGCTTGGTAAGAATGCTTTTTACTTTTATAACCAATAAAATAATGAAGTAATGACAGGTAGAAACATGCTACAAAACTCTTTGGAAACTTGGAAATATCTCAGCTGGAGCTTACCTGCCACAAACATTTACCATTGGACATAAAATAAAACACAAAGACTGCAGACTCAAAAACTTTACTGCCAATAACTTCGGTAAGCCCATGCAACACAACCAAGAAAAGTTGTGATTTAACAATCTTGATTTAATCATTCCACTCAAACCTCTGCAGGTTTATACTGCCTTTACTAAGTGCACATTTTGGCAGGAGACAACAACATACAGTGTAATCTTTGCCGCATCTACCATGGCACTCACAGTAAACGACACAAGGAGTCTTAAACCAGACCTCTACATAAAATTTAACGGCCAGGTTTATTGCACATGTTGCACCTAAAATTGCTTTGATTGCGCAATAACCAGGACTGGCTGAGAGTTTACCCGCCATTAAAACAAATGCCTAGAGGTTCGACAGGCGTGAGAGTTAGGCAGAAACGTCTAATGTTCAATATTTCCAGATGAAATTTGGTGGTAAAATCTGGTCATGTCAGTTGGTCAGCTACAAGATAGTAATGAGTAAAACTATGTTGGCAGTACACAACGACAGCTGTAACGAGGCCATTAAAGAGCACCTATGCATGCATCAGGCCACTGTAATCTTTGCTCCGTGTCAACACTGATCAGTTTACCCACACGCCAGCAAACAGGTGCCTTTACCTCACACCCGCTTCCTGCAAAAATGCATTCCAAAAAGTACACACCATGTAACGAGCTTCAGAGCTGATGTGCTTGCTGGGCTGAGTTAGGAGAGGAAGTGAAGGGAAGATTTCAAAAGATGGAGGGAGAAAGGATCAGAGAGGAAATTGCTGTGTACAGATGGTGTGTTCTGCGCCCAAAGGATATCTTAATTCTGGGATTAATTCATGTAAAAGATGGGGCGAGATGGACAAGTCGCTTTCTACATTCTTCCCTTCGTCATTTCGGTCACAAAAACGATGCAAATCATTCTTACGCCTTCCATTTCCTGCCACCTTCATCCATTCTGATCTTCCTGTAATGATCCACGACATCTAAAACAGACTCCTGAAGCCACCTTATTAGTATGCAGCAATATGCAAATGAGCTTGATTTGTTAGTCTCTGTGTGTTTCATATCACCAGGTTTTCTCCCTCTCTCTCTTTTTGTGCCATGCTGTCACTCTCTCCCTCCATCCCTGTCTCCTGTTTTTCTCTCTTGGCAACGTCTCCACTCACAGACGAACTCGCTGAACTCATCTACTGTAGAAAGTGTTGTGGCCCTCCATGTGTTCCTCTATCTGTGTGTGTATTTCTACACATGTGTGCGCCATATTGATCCCCCCTCTCAGTGAGGTAATTCAGTCCTTTAATGTCCAGTCCAGCACTGCTACGTCTCTTATTCCGTTTAGGTTTTCCAGGCGTAGTGACCGGGAAAAATAGGTACTAACAATAAGGGAGGGAGGCATCATTGCCGCCTGAGGCATCCAACAAGGACTCCTGCCTGAAAATAGAGATAGAGCCCTTGTATGTTAAGTGGAATTGCAAAATGATTAGCTCTTCAGCTCAGGGATGTGGGATAATATAATAATTGGCTTCTGTGCTGAAGGCATAAATGTAGCATTTCCACAATAAGCTTCAGGTTTTAGGTCTGTGCCTCTAATGTACAATCAAAGAGCCAGCATCAAATTTTGAGACATCTTTAAAGGTTGACGGTCAATCAAAAGTTACCAGTTACAGCTTCAAGGTTTTGATTGTGGAGGAACCAGTTGAAGTTTTTATTATATAAGGGATAATATATTGTTATTCTGACTGTAATCTATAGCCCCTCATTTTCAATAGTTGGTAGCGCTTCCATGGCCATGATAGACTTATCGCCTTTGTACAGACAAATTGATATTAAACCTAACATTCAAGTTTTAAACATTCACCTACTTCACTGTCTTCAATCACATCAAACGTACATTTTCATTCAAGGTAGGGCTGTGCTATAACTGTAACCATATTTATTAAAATACCAAATATTGATTAAGTGCTAAAAATAAGCAAACGCTTATACTGTAAGTTCATCTAGGTTCTCACACGTCAGAAAAACAGATAAACGAAGAAGAAGCAACAGCTGACTGCTTGTGAACCAGCTTGAAGCAGCTCTCTAAGAGATCATTCAGCGCTTTTAAAAACTAAATTTCCATGATTTTATTTGTAAATCAAAAAGTTAGACTGGAGCTTGTGCCTCTTCTCATCTCTAACTGATTAAAATTTGTACTTTCTGAGCATTAATCCAAATCCAATTCAATTCACAATCTAGCCTGTGCCTCAAAATAGTACACAGTTTTACAATGTAGGAAATACAGTAACTTTAAATGCATGGCAGAAAATATCAAAATAAAAGTAAGCATAACTACTGTTTTATAGACTGCTCTCAAAAGGAGTTTCAGTGACAGATAGTGATGTGGATAATTCATGAATTTGAACACAATCAGAAAATGATCACATGTCAACCGTGTTTAAGTCAAACTGATGGACTTGAGCATTTTATCGATTATGTTGCTCCTCCCTTATCTTGCCTTTTCCCAGTTTACTTCACGTGCCGTTTTCAACTCCAGGTTTCCATAAATATTGTGGTAATAATGTTACTAATATATGGCCACAATCATTATGAGGTAACAAATTGATGCTGTGACAGCCCTAATTCAAGGTAACTCTCAATATAAGCCTTTGTCAATGAACATTTTCAGTAGATGCAGTTAATAACAGCAGCACCTGCATTAAGACCTCTTCCCTTTAACCTTTCTGTTGTTTTTTTTTCATTCATCTGGTCTCTAGCAGTTTGTGGTTAATTCATGTCTACAGACATCTCTCTTTCACTGGTCTGTGTCTCTTTCATTAAAACTCTGTGTGTGCTGTTTTCCTTTTTTTGCTCTTCTTTGCTCTGTCAGCCATTAACCACCAATCAAATGAAAGCAATATTAAAAATATTCCCTGTCCATAAATGTCTATAAATCCTTCTGTAACACTGTTAACAGGAAGAGGTGAAATCATGAACAACACAATAACAGGTTGGGTTGTCTCTGGTGTCAGAATAATTTACTGATGTCAAGATGTTTGATTTATCCCAATATCAGTGCACCAACAGTATCTGGTACAACCAGGTGATAGGTAAGAAAGCCATGTAATAGATAACCATAAACCTGATCAGTATCTGCCGTTCATACTCAAAGGTCATTCCAAATCAGGTATATTTGGCACTTTCTAGGCTATTCTTTGCAATAACTGTAACTTCAAAGAAACAAATTGGTTTGATGTTCCCAAATAACTACATATAAAATAAATTTCAATGTGCTCATCTTCTCTTTTTTTCTGCCCAAACCCTTTGTTGTAGAGAAATATACATTCCCATCCCAAAGAATACATTAAGATTTCAGTTCATCCCTCAGAGCAACTAAAAACTATGTGGATTATATGTAAAGCCTAATTTTAGTTTCAGCATGTCACATGTCCTGGGAGTTCTCTGCTGTTAGTGTACTTTAAACCCTCCATCAGATCTACAATAAAGAGTCACACTCAACATTACAATCCCTCTTACAGGTTAACACATCAATAATTCATCAGCGTGAAAGGAAACCATTTTCCATCTGAGTACTGTTGATACAGTACAAGAATACATTCTGCTGATAATACTTGATCAGTTCTGCTGTCAGCAGGCAGGAGTCCTACTTCAGTTGAGTGTTTCCTTTCCAATCTGGTGCTTTTTCACATGAACATTTTTCAGGTATTCTCTCTCTGTTATTCTGTTTGTTTGTTTTTCTTTTTACAGCTGGCAGACATGTGATTTTGAGCCCAGGAAACTTCAGATCCCAAGGGAAAGCTCACTAATCTTGATGACAGTACAAAGGCCAAGCTGCAGTCAAGACAATCCAAACCTCAAACTACATCTTAACCTCATATCAAGACAAAAAACTACATACCTGTCAACCATGTGCCATCAACCTAATTCATAAAAAACACAAACATGCAGCACAGTGAGCCAGCACTCCCATCTCTTCAGCCCTATCCTTTTTACATATCAAGTTGAGTTTTCCCACAATGCCATGGAATCCAATGTGTATGAAAATGATAATCTATATCTGAATGACACTGAAGAATACAAGAGTGTGTCCAAAGTAGCATGGCAGTCAAAGAAACAGTGATGTAGTTTATCTCTTTCCTTTTAAGGCTGTGACTGCTGTTGCACTTCTATAACTTTGAGCCAATGTGGTACAAAAATATCGTAAAACCTTTTCATTGTTGGCTAGTGCATGGATGACTTCTGATAATATATACAACTTTTCATGGATAACAAATCAAGATGCTGGATTTTAAACAGCATTTACCACTGAAAAGTAGTGTAACTTCTCCAAATCCTCTTTGGTCTGTCTTTATCTTTATCTGAAAAGGTCCACAGTTTCCTTTCACATGTCAAGATTAATGCTCTCATGAAAGGGTAACTAGAGCTTCTTGAAATAGTATGGGAGGCAGAGCCTTCAATTCTCAGGCCCCTCTCATGTGGAATCATTTCAGTCTGGTTCAGTCTCTCTTTTAGGTCACATAATCTAAACCCTTAAAGGCAGAGAGTGGAAGTCTTTGATTAAGATTATACTACTTGTTAGGCCTGGTTCAGGCCTCGGGACAACGCCTAGTAGTTGGGAGAGTCTAAACAGGGCTCTTCTTTTTTCCTTCCTCTCTCCATTCATAGGTCTACATGCCCTGTTTTAACATTTTACTAACTTTGTACCTTGCCTAAGTAATCGTATTCCCTAGTGTTGTTAGGTGTTACGGTTAGAGACAACCTGCTTGTGTGAAGCTGTTATCTGTTTTTGTCACTTAAACCTATCAAGGCAAATGGCTGTTCACCTTGTAACAGCTCTGCTCTAGGCCTCTACCTTCTGAAAGCTTGCCATTGGATGAAACTGTAAGGGTCGCTGTAAATATTATAAGAGAAAGCATCATCTTGATCTGTTCTGAATGTCAAATCACCACAGCCCAAGCCTTCATACCTGCGGCAGAGCGATAGAAAGCTGCCTCTGGAGTGACTCCTTCTCATGGCCCAGCTCTCTTAGCCGTAGGTGGGCTGTCCCCAGGCTGTCCTGGGTCTCCCTCAGACTCTCCAGCAGCCTCTCCCTCTCTGTCAGCATGTTCACCATCAGCGACTCCAGGTTGCCTGTACTGCCTCCCTCGTCACTGCCACCTCCGCTTACCCCAACGCCTCCGCCACGGGGATCCCGGCCGCTGTAGCCCCCCAAACCTCCTATCCCTCCACCCATCCCTCCACCACCCCCAGCAGGAGAAGACGAGCCGCCTCCTCCGCCACCACGCCCATCCTCGGAGATGGTGGGCATCACCTCGCACATCATCTTGAGGCCTGGGTGTGAGAGTTGTTATCTGAGAAGCTGTATAGGACACCTGAGTGCGGCTTCTGGTCAATGTCAAGAAAGAGTGACAGCGTTGGTTAGAGGGTCTTTCCTCTCAAGCTGATTGGGTGAGGGAGACAGGCAGGAAGTGGGCACTGAGGATGGGAAAACCAGTGTGGTTCTGGGGATGTGTGCGTGAGAAGAGTGGGGGAAAGGGAGAAAAAGAAGTTTGGTGAGGGGATGGGGTAGGGTGCAGGGGTGAGAGGGGAGAAGTGCAGGTCTGGTGAACGACCTCTGACCCCCGGTCCCGGCTTCACTGTGATGTAAGACGAACCTGAAAGACAAGAAGAGAAAGACATTGTTTCAAGGGAGTTGTGTTGATGATGAAGATTTGATGGAGGAATAATCTGTGTGGCCTGGGGTGTTGGGATCCTTATATGGTACATTATATGATACACACACAGGTAGGGTGCACACTTCGCAAACCTCCAAGAAAGATCAAGCATTGCTCATATTGCAGCAGAGCTCTCTCTTTCTCTTACTGGCATCGCGATACTCTGGAGTAATTTATCCATCAGTGCATGTCTCCGCTTTATGTATCCAGGCGTCCATACACATCATGGGGAAAATGAAAGCGCATGATGATGTACGGAAATAAATTGTGAACGGCAGCTTCACCTCAGCAGCCTACAAACCTCCGTCATGCAAACACGGAACAATTAGCCGGCCTGTTGTGGAGGAAAGACGCGGTGCTGTTTCATACATCCATGTGAGGAGAAAAAGGGTGTCATCATGAATTGTAATTACGGGCTGTATCCAGGAGGAAATAGGCTTCTTCTATCTACGGCTCGGGAACCCATCAGTAATAATATTCCCGGTGAATCAAGAGGCTCATTATTATCATCCTCGGGGTGTAAAGTTTGGAAATTGAGGCTGTCTTTATGAAATATCGTTTACAGAGGGGGAAACAGCCTTTTTTTGACAGAATCTCGGGCTGTGCAGGATAGCCTCACATCGCTATAACATCATGGTGGGAGGTGCCAATCATCCTATAAATGATGTAGGCCTTATTAACAAATTGAATCACGCGATATTACACAACTGTGTTATTTCTTGTGACATGATACAGCCAAAATTCGGAAAACGCTGTGTCGCTGAGGCTTTACTCCGTTTGCAAAGCGTCTATTTCCCAACCCACTGCCCTCCTCCCCTCCCCATACCATCCTGCCCCCCTCCCTCCCCCCACCCATAAAAACAGCTGGATGGTCTAACGCACGGCTAGATCTGTGTACCGTGCATCACTGTGGATTTCAGCCGCCACCTGACGGTTTGGGAATCTTACCCGCTCCATGATCGACAGAGAACGGACGGAAACGCGCATCGTTGTCCGGTTCACTCCATCAGAGCATCTGAGATACGGAGGTTGCAGTTTATCCCCGTTACAGCCCGGTTACCAGCCTGCCCCATCCCCTCCCTCTCTCTGCTGAGGGAGCGACGGCTTGCCTCAGCCGCTACATCAAGTTACGCGTCGAACTTGTAGACTGCATCCGGTCTGGACTTTCAGAACAAGAATATTACAAAACAGCAGGTGCAAATAAAGAGCGAGAAATACAAGGTGCTTTCTCAAACCTTTTGAGAAACTCTGCGGGTCTTAAAAGCGGAAACCAGGATCTAGATTTAGCTCTACAGTAACTGATCCACCCCTCGAAGTGGCTCTGCTCTAGTCCATGAACTTTTGGGTGCAGGGGCTGAAGACAGTTTAGTTTAGGCCCACCTCAAAGATGGGTCTCTATTTGAGTGACTGACAACTTTTGGATAACACAAAGAAATGATTTCCTGTAACCTGGTGTTGTTTAATAATTAGCGCATTATATCCACCGCCAATCTGATATCTGAGAGCCTATTTCTATAAGTTCATCAAAGACTTAAACAAGACTAAAAGACTGACATAATAAAAACTAATTCAACAGGCTTCCCTAAAAAATTGAATTCATGTTTCTCCTTTGATGAAAAAGATTTAAAACACCCCATATCTCAAATAAGACAAAATTATGAAACCAATCTTCAAAAGAAAAATGGTGGTCTGCTATGATTAACTGCAATATCTCTCTTTACAAGAGTATTGGACAACCTGAATCACAGTGTTACTCCTTTCCATGTGAATATATTCACAATGAGCAAAATTACACCGCTGTTGAGAAAAAGGAGGAAACTTGTTTCGCAAGTTGACATTTTATTTTTATGCCTTGAGATTGCATTTCCGGTGTTGTACGAGTGTTTGTATGCAACTTGTGGCGACACTTCGTTTATATCTCCTTCTGGACCTTAAAGAAACAGGCTTCTACCGGCTATCGCTACATTTCTCCCGTCCATCTTGACTTTGTCCTCTTACCACATATTCTTCCTCCAAATGATTGTCAAAAGAAAAGTTCTTCATTAGCAGGTCACTAAAGGTGCGAGAGTTTATTCCGACACAAATTCCGTGTAGTACAAGAAACTTGTCAAAATAATTCAACAACAGCGCCACCCCGTGGTTTAAAGGAAACATTTACCACAGAGGGAGTACAATGTTTTAAGATTTGACCCAGTCATCACAGTTTCAGAGTTTTGTTAAGCTACGCAATATTTATAAATGTTCAAACTTTTGTATTGAAATGTTAGAAACATGTTGGAGTTCAGAGGTTTTACTACTTAGGCTTTACCGTGAATTAATACAACGTGTATTGAAAGATTATAAGTTTGTTTTTTTTGTGCTAGTTACCCTGGTCATATCAGAGGATTATCAGCAGCTTTAAGAATTTTCTTTCAGTAACCTCTGATAATTTTTAGAAGTCAAGAAAATGTTTCTCATGGGCTTTAAAGATTTTCAGTAAGCTACATTTGATTTTTTTTTCCATGTAGAAAATATTAGAAATTTAACAAAAAAATAAATTATATTTAATGGAAGAATTTCAAAACCTTTACATTAATTATTTTTCTGAAGACCTTGATTGAACTTCTCGGGTGAATTCAGGGGATGTTTTGAAAAAAAAAATCCTTAAATCAGAGCAGAAAAATCCAGAAAACCCATTTAAGGGGTATGACTTAAAACTCTTAAGATTTCTTTTTTTTAGAAATTTTAGAACTTTATGGAAACTTTTCAGGACTATACACAAATTTCCCCCGGAATTTTCATGACTTTTCACAGAACCTTTTAATAGGAAGCCTAACTTTACTTTTACTTAAACCTTTGCCAGTTTAAGGAAAATTAAATAGAAATTTGCAGAATTTTTGGTGGGACCTTTTCATGGGAATTTGGGAAACTCCCTAGGAATTTTTTTTTTTTCGAAGTTTGAATAAAATTTGAGTAATTTTCTCTGTGATTAGGAATCTATCATTGGAGTTATTTGGAAGTTATGGTATTATTTTTTATATTTTTGTATTTATCTCAATCAAACATCAATTTTTCCCAACCCCACACACTGGCCATTGTTGACCAGCCCTTCATACTTTAACTCAAAAAAGGTCATTTTAGGACTTTAGCTTTACTTTACAGTCTGGTACTTCTGTTGATGAGAGCTGTAAAATACTTCTTTGATCACTAACTATTCACAAAATCAAAGTTTTTATTTTTCAAAGCCAAGGTTCAATGTTTAAAATACCAATGTCCTAAAACAGTCCTATCTAGTAAATGGATAAGATCACACTGTCATGATGTCTTGATTGACCCCCGATAGGGTGTTGACAGCTTCAGTGCTTCCTGTGGTCAGAAACAGATGGACAAAATGCAGTAGAGCTGCTGTTGAGAACACATAAAAAAACACAACACAACACAACACAACACAGACCTGTGAGTTTGACCACAGGGAGAAGTGCTGAGCTACAAAGCTCCCACAAAGTCTCAGCAAGGCATGGGACACTGGTATGGTTTTATCAGACTGCATTTGTTCTGAGTAAGAGGGCTTGTCCAGAAATACTTTGAATATAATTCAAAATCTCAGGCATGTGAGGCCTTAGAGCTAGGTAAAAGAAATAATAATATAACAATACAATGTGGAAAACTCTGGAGATCACATCATGAACAAACAGACTTTATGAGCTTGGCAGCTTCCTCAAAATGTCTCAGTTCCGCCACTCTGATGTCGCTGCAGGGATACCAGGAGAGGAGGGGTCATGCAGGGTCATATAGGGTCATCTGGTCAGAGGAATGCTGATAGGAATGCCCCAAGTGTCAGTCAGGCAGCATCCCATCAGCAGGACAAAAGCAAGGATCAGCAGCAGGTCCCCAGGGGGCTGTGATGGTGAACAACAGGACCAGAGCAGGAATCTTGTGTTTTTACTGCTCCTAGAACCCCATTCCTTGATGTAGATCAACATTTTGCCACGTACGACACACTACTGACGCTTTTTAACACCATGGAAACATATGATTTTGTTCTCTGGGTAAATGAAAATAAAAAATGTGAGTTTTTATATGTATTAGATCCTTTCAACCTCATATTCAACTTTTTTACTTAAAGGTATTTAAAAGTGATAGAGGTCTAAACCTTTGTCATTTACACAAGTTAAAAGGAGTTTCCTCAAACAAGTTCTTTGGTACAATTTTCGGCTCTCCAGTTTACTCTTGTTTGGTGTCTAATTGTAGAGATGAGTTGTCAGCATCTGCACTCTCTGCTGCACAAAACTGTGCTCCTGATGGCACTCAGTTCTGTCAAGGAGACTTCAAGCACAAACAAGATTCTGTTTAAGAGCAAAAGCCAAGCTGGTCAGGCATATCCAGCAGCTCATTCTTTAAAAAAAAAAACACACACACCCTGATGTACTTCATGGTACACAGAAACACAGTGACCACCAACTCAGAGCGAGCAGTAAAAACTTCTATCTTACTGTGTTTGGCTGTTAGTTGTTCAGTTTGTGAATTAGGTGTTTCTTTCTCACAGAAATGGCCCCATTTTGCCACAAATACATACATTCTGGCTCATTTCAATGTTTGCTAGATAAATTGACATGTATGCAGGATGAAGCACGGGGAAGGAGAGGACAAACATGTTCTCCTCCTGGTTCAAGCTTAATTTTCATCTTGGAGAAAATGCTCATGAGTAATGTGACTCCAGGAATCTGTCTTTAGTGGTTGGAAATCAGGACTTTATTTGAGATACTGAACATGTTACAGTGATTTCTCAGCAGAAATTAAAACTCCATTGATACTGAAGTTTTCTGACAGTACATTTACCGATATCTGTATCTGGTGTCTGTATTTTGATGTACAGCAAATGATGATCACACAGCACAATATTTCATGATTCATGGGCAACGTCCGTCTGAGTTTATACATACAGTTCACATGTTTGAGTCAGTAGGAGCCATCTGGATATCTGTGTCAGTGCAAATCAGTGTGTGTGCATTGAAGTGTGTGTTAAGGCTGTTGGAGCGTGCTACATTAAGTGTGTAAAGGCAGATTCTGTGGAGGCTCTGCAGGCAGATTATTATGGACTTCTGCTTCAGGTGCAGCTGGGACTTTTTCCCCTGTGAGATCTAAAGAAGGAGAGAAAGATTCATTTCATAAAGACAACTAAAACAAACCAAAACTAACAATAGCACACATATGTATTACATCTCTGGGAGGTTTACCTTTAACCTCCTCTTTATTTGTCTCTGGTTGGAACTTCAGTTCTCCATTAGGACCTGCAGGAGGCTGCCCATCTGCTGCCTGCTGCTCCTTCTGTCTCTGTGACATCTCTAAAACGGCCTGAAATATCAAAGTTTACAGCTGAGTTATCGTCTGTGTAATTACAGGCATTTTAGTATGTACAATTCACCCCTACATGGTTGAACTCATGCAGGTATCTAACGCAGTGGGACACTTACCTGCTGGTACTCCCGCCTCTGGGCCTCCAGGGCTTTTCCTCTCTCTTTTAGCAGCTCTTGCTCCTGACGCAGAGTCTCCTCTCTCCTCTTTAGCTCCTCCTCTTTGTCCCTGAGCTCCACCTCAAACCGCTGGAGCTCCTCTTCTGTGTACACAGGCTTGGTATCTAAAGTCTAGAGAAAGAGGGAGTTTTTTCAATACAACTAATTTACAGTCATATTTTTACCAGACTTTCTCACTGGTCACCCATCCATGCCACATACTTAATTCTGAGTGGTCAAAACCCCATAGCAAGGGTAACTGGATCATAAACATCATATCAAATGATCTGAAGAAGAAATCTGACACATCCATGATTTCACCTCTTCCGGTTGACAGTGTGAAAAGAACATCTCTGATAGAAATGCTCAACAACAGAATTCATTTATACTTTATTCAGTTATTTGGAAAAACAAAAACTCCCCATCGTGGTTACTGGCTGACCAGTCACCAAAAGAGAAGACAGGAGGAAAGTAGCACAGAAACTAGTGAGGGATGTTAAAACACAAAGCTAATTCAAAGAGACATCAACCAAACTGAAGAAAACAGAGACAGAGCCACCACAAAGTACAACACAGTTACCAAACAGACATTTACTATTCTACTGGGCACTGTCATCTGTGATTCTCTGGCTAGCATGGATGTGAACTGAACAAGAAGTAAGTTGAATTGAACAGAATAATAGGTATGTAACAACATGAATGGCTGGTACTACACCCTCAGTGACTGTCTAAAGGAATGTACCAGAAAGTGTCCACATATATGGAAAAATGTTTCCATAAGAGCCAAGGCTCCTTAAAAAGTGGTTCCTGGGACCAATGGTTTTGGGTACTTTAAATTTAAGTCCATCGTCAAGTATCCACATCACTTGTAGTGAGAGTGTTCACTTGTTTAAAGAGTGGGAGATAGGAGGCTTCTTCCACTTAAATTTCACTACCCATATTTTCCCAGCTTGCTCTGCCCTTGAACCACCACATCCCTCCAGTCCCTTGCCCAGTCTCCCCAACCTTAGCTCCACATTTGTTTTTTTTACCTCCCACTCTTTAGGATTATTGAACTCCTTTTTCTCTGTGGATTTGAGGAACTCTTCCAGGCTGACGAGACGATCTTTATTTGTATCCACCTTTTGACACGGAAACACAAGAAGATTCAGCAGAAAGCAGAGTAAGACTAAAGTCTGAAGAGTGTTGTGTGGCGAATAAGAAAACTGACTGATAATAAGAACTCACATTCTTCATAACATGTTCCCTCATCCTCAGTCTCTCCTCCTCCATTTCCATCATATCATCTTCCTCGTTCTTTGGGTCGTAGACCTTCTCCAGCTGGATGGAGAAAAAAAAAAGATGTTAGCTGCAACTTTTTTCAAAATAGTGTCCACAAACGGACAAAACAGCTGTAATCTCAAACTGATGATCATCCAGATTAGACCTTCTGTCACAGCATAGCAAACAAGTAAAAATCAGATCTGAAGCAGAATTTAAAAAGCTATGAGGTGCTGCAGAAAATCAAACCTCTTTGGTGAAGAGAGCCTCCAACTCCTGCTCGTCTAAAACTCCATCTTCATTTGTATCTAAAAAAAAAAAACAGGAAATCAATTTGTGCTTTAACCCCTTGACATGTAATCCCAGAATCCATCCACTGTCAGGTGACTTGTGTCTCTGGGGTGATGGATAACTTTTTTGGGAACTCCAGTAGCTGATGGTGAGTTAGGAAACAACTCCCAGCTAGGACTATCTTCTTTGTCTGCTGCTTTGTTTCAGCAACTCTGTGACTTCATGTTCACATCAAAATTAAATCAAACTGGCCCTCGCAATATCTGCAAAAAACAGGCATGTCCTGGTCCATTAGACTGTTCTGAAAGGCTCCCGTTCATCTATTTCTGAAGGGTCCCAGTTTCACTATGCAGTAAATCACTAAGAGGCTTCACTTTGGTCACATTAGCTACAACCAGCTCCAAAAAGAAACCAGTACACTGTCTTATTAACAAACTCAGACCCTGGTGAACAGATATAGAGAGGCAGGCTATAGATAAAGAGTAGTCACTTACCGTGCAGTTTAAAAAATGTTTTGGGGTTGAACTCCTGAGGATCCAGTCCATCTGTCTCCTCCCAAACCTCCCTCAGCTGAGCAACACTTCCCTGAGCGTGTGATGGAGAAGAAGTGTTAATGGAAGATTCACACAATGAGACTAACTCAGTGATTTAGATGTAACATTTGTGCATACCGGGGCATTGACTTTTGGATGCTGCCGGTGTTTGTCCTTGAGCTCCTGCATTCTCTTCTCCTCCTTCTCCCTTTTCTCCTGGTCCAGACCTTTCAGGTACTCCCGTCTCTCGTGCTCCTTCAGCATCTCGTAACGTTTGAACTCTTCATGCCTCTCAGCATCATAGTTCTCCAGGTCTTTGGTGGCCTGAACAAAGATGAAAACAATACTGTCATCTTGGGTTTGGATATGTGTCAAATGTTTTGGTTAGTGGCTTTGTAGCCTGCTTAAGTCTGATCATGTTTATGGTTTGAAATCTTATCAGAACTTATAAACACATCACCAGCTAGAGAGGGTTATTTTTCAGCCTTTGAGTCTGTTTTTTAAAATCGATCTCTGAAGAAACTCACAGTTGAAATAAGCAGCTCCAGGTCTTTGGCCTCAAAGTTTTGGTTATGGTGATCCAGGTGTTCAAACTGCTTCAGCAGAGAGGCGTGGTCCATCTGCAGGGCTGAAAGAACAGGCATGAAATGTCAAAGGTTTGTCATCTATCATCTTTTGTGCTTAAAAGGATATTCCCGCGTATGTTGAAGTTATGGTCAAACACCGAGTTAGACACTGCCTTGAGAGATGAATGTTGCCGACTGCTTGGTTCTCTAGTTATATCAACTTCAGCAACGACCGCACGATAGCAATATACAGCAGTCTACGTCTCCACGTGCAAACCTCAACCAAAAAGCCACTCTATAGCCACAAATAATGCTCCGAACAGCACCTAACTTCATCAACAGTACATATAGGGTCCCAGCCATAGTACTAGCCACAAAACATCTTTTTAGCTTTGCCTGTTTTTTTTAGCAAAGAGACCAAACACAACTCACCCACTCTCTTCCAGCAGCCTCTAGTTTGTGGGTGAGCCCTGACGAGTCGATCACCAAGTGCAGTGGAGTTTCGCAGCTCAAGGAAGAACATTTCTGATTATTACTTCATGGAAATGCAATCAGAGCTCTTGTCTATCTTGTGTGTCCACTGCAGATACGGTAGATCTTCTGCCTTTGCGTCTCGCTCTGATTGCATTTCCATTCAGTAATAATCATACATTTTCCGCTGGACTTGGTGATCGACTCGTCAGGGCTCCCCTAAAAACAAGTGGCTGCCAGAGCAGAGTGGGTGAGTTGTGTTTAGTCCCTTTGCTAAAGAAACCAGGTAAAGCTAAAAAGATGTTTGGTGGCTAGTTCTATGGCTGGGACCCTATATGTACTGTTGATGAAGTCAGGTGTTGTTCTGAGTATTATTTGTGACTATAGAGTGGCTTTTTGGTTGAGGTGAGCACGTGGCTCCATAGACTGCTGTGTATTGCTACCGTGTGGTCATTACTGAAGTTGGTATAACTGGAGAAGCAAGCAGTCGGCAACATTCATCTCTGGAGGGGGGTCTAACTCGGTGTTACGGTGTGTTAGACCATGACTTAAATTTACACCAGAATATACCTTTAATGCTTCTGTGCAGCTATGACTAAAGTTAAAGTTAAAGCTATGAGTAACAGCTTTAAATACTGAAATGAAGCATATACTTTTATTACATGTCTGTAAACAAATCTAATCTGCTTTAAGAGACATATTATAAATAAACAAACTTCAAGCACAAGAGTTACAAGCAGAAGACATAAGCATAAACATGAGGACTGCACAATATGACAAAAGGATCCACATTGAAGATCCACCCAGGATCTTGAATGTGATCTACCACATAGGCAAAAACTCCCACGCTCACTCACTCTGAACATTGGTGCTGTCTAGTTTGGCCTTGAGCAGCATCCTCAGACGAGAAACCTCCTGACGTTTCAGCTCATCCAGGCGAGTCCGGACATGGTGACTGACCAGGTCCAGCTCTTTACTCAGGCGACCGTTCTAACAGGGAGCACAAGACAACAGCAGGTAAAAGAGTGGTCAAAGAGGTAAACCAATGACCTTTGAGTGTGAGGGGAGGAGATGAAAGTTTACCTTAATGTCCTCTGTGTTTGCTGTTTGCAGTTTCTCTCTGAAGTGAGGGTCGGTCTCCAGAACCTCTATCACCTCTCTGAGATACCTGTCGTAGTATAGGCCGGTGTCCTGCAGGGGTGAGGGGAAAGAAAGATTGTTGATTAGGATAGGACTGTAGTGAGCATCATGATATCATGATGCAATGCTGAAAGAACACGGAAAACACGCATCCTGTGGCTTTTAGGCTTTAGATGAGTTTTTATGCATGCACTAACAGATGATGACCAAGTCAACTGAGACTACATTACCCCATTGTCCTCCTGCACCTCCTCTTTAGCTTCCTCTTGGCCTACATTGCGATCTATAGGCACCGACCAAACCCCGGCACAGATGGATAGAAGCAGCAGCCAGCCAGGTTTTAAGTTCATCCTCCTGTGAGAGACAATGAATATTATATCACAGAGCACTGCATGAAAAACTCTGATTGAAAAACACTGCAGCAAATGAAATGAGCATGAATAAAAGCTGGCCAATATGAGGGTGTTAGGCAGAATCTCAGCCCTCTCTTATAGTCATACCAGTGTTGCTCCTTTGGTATCATCATAGTCCACAAATATTTGTTCTCTTGAACTTGACGGTTTGTGAATCATATGAACAATTCATTTCATAGAAAATGGTGCAAATACAAAATAGAAGATGTTAAAACGGAACATGTTATTGCTGAATGAAAAACTGCATGCTCAGTGATGCCACCGACATGTTTTTAAACAGTTCGGACAGGAACAACAAAACACAGAAAAAGCGGTGTAATGCTAAAACCACCTAAAGGAACATCTCCCAGTTGATTATGTTAATCAATAGGTTAGTCATGTGACTGGATATAAAAAGGACAGTGGAATAACGTCCCTCAGAAATGAAGATGAAAGAAGATTCACCACTCTGAAAGGGGCTGCGTGAAAAAACACTTTGGCAATGCCCAACTTATATCTTTCAGCATGAAATTGCAAAGGTTTGAAGATTTACTCAGCACCAGTGGGTTGAATCATTCAGAGAATCTGGAGGATGTAGAAAAGGTGTAAGGCCTGATACTAGATGACCATAACCAGGCAGCTGAATTACAGACACGACTCTGCAGTGGAAATCCCTGCATGGGCTAAGAATCACTTCAAAAAAACCATTGTGAGCACAATTTCTTGTTGCATCTGTGAATGCAGGGTAAAACTGTACTATGTAGGGAGGAAACCACATGGAAACATGATCCAGAAATACTTAGAACTTCTCTGGGCCTAGATGGACAAAAGCTGAGTGGATAACTCTCTGTTACGCTGATGAATCCAAATTTGACAGTCCTCTGGGAAATCATGGGAGCTGTATCCTTTGCTCTTGCTAGAGGAGGCACTATTTTGTCTGGTGATTTATCATATTGTCTCATTTACCAAGTATCAATTTTTCAAATTAATTACTAATATGAAGTCAAGTTTAAATGGAAAAATAAAATTAACTGTTTGTCCAGTGAGGTTGGTAGAGGTGACATCATAGAGCAGGAGAAAGTTAGCGCAACAAATATATTTTTAAAAGGTTTGCAAATTATGCAACATGAAAATAAAATACAGCGTAAATAAGACAAACATAAAGGTAAGCCAAATGCTAAATTAGCCAAACAGTTGAAAAAAATAGTATAAATCGCAATATATTGTATCGCAATACTCACTGTTTTGCAAAATGTTGAAAATCGCAATAATATTGTATCGTGATAATATCGTAATGTGGGGCCACTAGTGATTCCCACCCCTACTGCTTATTATCAGTTCACAGTTCAAAAGCTAACTTCCCCACTGCTATAGGACTGCACAAGTGCCCATGGCTAGTTTACACATCTGACGCCTGGTTCACACAGGAAGCGCCACGCACGGAAGCAGAAGCACTGAGTTTCGGATCGGTGCCCGTGTTAACCTATGTGACTGTTCACACAGCACGCGCAGTGAAATCGCTTGCGCTCTGGAGCGCTGCCTCTCCGCTTCTCTCTTTTTTTTTACGTGAGCCGCCAATTGTAAAGCTGAACCATAGACTGTATATACTATGGACAACTTGGTTCCGCCTACCGCCTGTATACGGATTTGAAGCCAAAAAGCTCTCAGTATTTCCGGGATTTTTCTTCATTTCCTGAAACCAGCGCTGCGCAGTAGCGATGCGCGCATTCGGCCGCACAGTCGCAGAGAGTCGCTGTGATGACACTCGGTTCAAACAGCGAATCCCCCGGGAAAGCTATGCAATCCCTGAACATCCATAGGCTGTACCAGGTGTCAATCATAGAAAACATGAACCCCCTAATAACTTTTGAAAACGAAGCTTCACAGAAAAAAGAGGACTTGAGCACAAACTAGTCTTACAATAACTACATGTCAACATCGCAAGCAGGGGGGAGAAAAATTTATGTTCTATTTCCCCTAAATGAACAGCAGAGTGTCACAGAAAGTCATTCTTACCTGTGGCCGTCAAACTTTCTATCTCCTCTCTCTGAGTATCACACTCTGTGACTGTCTCTTGACTAAGTATTACTATTGTAGTAGCTGTAAGCTTCTCCACTTCATAATTACTTTCAACGGTGCAATCTGTTTGTAAGCCAGTCAAAACTTCAATAATTTAAGAGTGCAATACTGATAATAACATTGTTTATTAAGCTAAACTGTGAAATATTGTTTAATTATGCAATACTTTATTAAACTGTATAATACTCTGTGCAATATCTTACATTAAAAACTGGTTTTGTTGCCACTCTTTATGCTTGTACATATCACATTTCTCTATGTAAATAGCTTTATTTCTGATATTCTTCACTTTCTACTAACCATCACACTTTCTTATTTAATGTTATTTATTCCTCTTTCTATTGTCCTTCCAATAGTTGTATTTCAAGAGCAATGCTGTAATGGCCCTGGTGGATAAATAAAGTATTCTGATTAATAGAAGAGGGTGATGCAACTCAGTGGTAATTTTTCCAGACCAAACTGTTTTAAGTTGTTTTGGGTTTACATAATACATCTGAGGTTTCTGTTCACAGCCTGCTGTCTCTGCCCAGACGATGCTTCTTAATTACTAACTCGGCTCATATCATACATGACACAGAGAACAGAGCTACTTTCGCTTTACATAAATGAGGCGATACTAACATGATTACTACAATTAGTGGGTGACAAGTGTTTATACTATGCGCCGAATTTACCAAGACACTAAGATACCATCAAAACTTGTTTGTTTTGTTGTTTTATACTTTTATTTATTTATTGTCTTAATTTGTGAAGACCGAAATAAAATTTTAAAAGTGAAGTTTGGTGTAGTGATAATTCTGATCCGACACATAGGCACACAAATCCAACGAAGAGACTAGTTCAAGATGACACGAGTGAAAATCCTGGAATAACTAACACTGTTTGCAGTGGGACATATATTCTGTTTGATTTATTAAGCTGGTGACCTAACTACCTCACAAAAGACATGCGGATGCAGATCCGGGGAGCACTCGACGCAGATGTTGACCTTTCTTAGTGTGTAATAAGCTGTGAAATAGTGAAATAAGACAGACCTTACAAATAAATCTCTCTGCCTTGTTTAAAATAAAACTCCCATCATGACTCTTACACTGAGACAATTTACGATTTAAAAGCGGGGTCTTGTCTTGTTATGCCCCTTTGCCTAAGCTCTTTTTAGGTGTTAGCACAGATCTTGCTATGCTGTCCCTCTTATAAACATGCAGATTCACAAAAAAATATTTTCATCACAGAAATTCTGATGTTTGACACCATCAAATGTAACTCGAAATGAATCCGGAACTTTAAAAATCCTGGCTCTTACCGCAAGTTTATTTCTGATATCAGATCCACTGCTCCGAGCACGATCTGTATTTGCGTCGGATAAGATTGACGTCACAAGAATGCAGCCGCTGTCTACCGTGATGCGTTCACAGACTGTCGGATATCTACCTTTTCATTTTTTCCTTTGCTACGCCCAGTAATAGTCTGGGGTTATAACCGAAATGTTGTTTTGTTGGTGAAATAAGTACAAACCTACAATATATCAAATTCGGCAGGTCACTATGTAGAAATCATAAATATTTACTTATGTCAATTAGTTGGTATGAGCGACCAAAGTTATTTCAAAGCTTTGGTTTGGAGTACCCAAAGTTACTACCGCATAAGAAGGCAGCATTGTCCCACAATAAAGAATACAAAAAGAATACAAACGTTTTTAACGTTTAATTGCTGTGAAAAATAGACTTGTCGTATATAAATCGGTACAAAAACATAAAGTTATGGCAAGCTGAAATAAATTAGCATGAATTAGTCAACAATTGCACGTGATAATAAATATAAAGAATAAATATAATGCATTAAAAACATGAAAGCATTGAATAAAATTCATTGAAATAGATAATAAAATATGGCACATGAAAAACACAGTTAAAAAACTTGCTTATAAATAAATAAAAAGATAAATAAGTTGATACAATTTCAAAAATATAAGAAAACGTCAGAGCATTTTTGAGGTCATAATGAATTTATATCAGTTTGACTGATGGACTTGAGAGCTGTTGGATTGATTCACACTCTCTTTGCCGTGGTCGATGGAGAGTTTAGAAATCAATGTCTCTCATGTCAGTGGGTGTGCCGGGCCTTTCTGTCTCCACCTCTTGACCTTTTTCCGTGGGACCCTGCTGAAGCCCACTTCTCAGCCGCTGTCGGAGAGCGTACTCGATCATCTCACTGTAGCACTGCAGCACGGCCTGGGATACAAGACACATAGTTTAAGCTTCAAGCCTTTATTTTATTTTATTTTATTTTATTCATGTGCAGTATGACAGATTCCTCTCGGAAAAAGTTGGTTTGCTTAAGTCTGAGCATCCCTGAATTCTGGACCTCTTCATTATCAATTCAAATTCAATAAAATCAACAGGGTTTAAAATGTTTAAGCTCTATTCACTCACCAGATCAGTCTGACAGAGCTCGGCCAGTGCTTCTCCCATCAAAGCCAGTTGAGTGGGGCTCTTACTCCCCAGTCCTCTCAGGGCGCAGTTCAGTGATGCAGCAGCAACAAGTGATGGAGGAGCTCCCAGGAAGCGGGAGTCGCAGGCACACATGGCGGCCAGCGTGTCACTGTGCCGTCGCAGGGTGGAGAGCAGCTCCCTCCCCGACTCACTGTTGTTTCTGTCTCCTGTGTCCTCCATGACAGAGGCGAGAAAATGTGGGAAGAAGTCCTGAGGAGTCACTGCTGCTGTGTCCCAGCGGAGAGTGGCGAGGATGACCCTCTCCATTTCCTAGAGAAGAGAAAGCCAGTCAGAGTTATGCTGGCAAGACTCAACTTTTTTTGGTCCAAGACAAAATGTAATTTGTTTTTTTTTCTCAGTGTAGAATTGAATGAAGGCATTGGTATTTAATGAGTACAGAGTTAGTGCTGGAATATGGAGTTAAACTTGTTGGCGCCCCCTGTGGACAGAACGGTACTGCTTATTTCCCTTCTAGAAATGTTTTTGTTTGACAAAAAAATCCTGTAATCTTGTCAAGCAATTAAAAATGAAATATGACAACAGATAATAACAGCAACTCTTTTTGATAGTTGACTAACTTCCACATAGTGATTGTACCACATTCCCAGTTTATTAAATGTCTTCAGCTGTCCTATCCACTGAAGGTTTAAAAGAAGAGAAAAGGTGTGCTGCACCTCAATGTGATCACATAACCCTGACACACACTCATTCACCCCTGCTTATCTCGTTTGTTTGTCATTAATCACATAGAGTTCAAAAACAAAGCCTGTTTCCAGATGACACCAGAACTTAATACAAACTTTAAAAAGTAGCAAGTGATGATGGTTGAGTCCTGCCTTTAATAACTGATCACATTTTTAGAGCAAAATCTTGATTAAAAAGTCAAAACAAACCAGAAAATGTGTAAATTTACTTATTAGAGAAAAATTTTAGGCAGTGAGGTATAGTTTTAAGTTAGTTGCCATCAGGTTTGTGGATGTGAAAACGTATCACAATCAGCAAAAGGTGCAAAATCTCCAAGCATTATGATCCTCAAGGCACCATTTTTGTCTATTTCAGTGGAAGTATGTGTATAGGAGGATAAAAAAGGTCATAAAAATGTGTGCAAATCAAGGGTTAAATTGGGTTTGTGGGCTCAGACTGGACCCTATAAGTGAGCTTAAAAGTCAGATGATAGAAGTGTCCAGACAAGTACAGCAGAAACTTAGCTCCAGGGATTAAACAGTCATGGTTTTAACTCAGACTTGTGCATATTGTGTGTCTGACTCACCCGCAGGTTTGAAGGTTGGAAGCTGTATTCAGCTGCAGCACAGAGCGTGTCGGCCGTCACGTTGTCACACTCTGTAAGTTTGGAGGCAATGAGGATGCAGCCAGCAGCCAGGCAGTACGGTGAGATGGGTAGAGAGAGAGAGTTAGACAGGAATCTGTCCAAGAGGGAGACAGCCAGAGGGAAGACGGCTTCATCACAGCCACAATCACAGCACACCTGAAAAGAGGAAAAAGGGTTAGTGAGACTTCAGTGTTACCGCTCTCAGGAAGGTATAAACCAGCCAAAGAGAAAGTGGATCCTGAGAGTGTGTTTCATACCTCAAGGGCCCATTTGGCAAGCTCCTCCCTGTGCTCTGGGTCCCTCTGAATGAGGGTGATGTAGAGGGTTGAGGGCATGTACCTCTCCTCCATGTGGAGCAGCCTTTGGATCACTCGGTGCCCTGACACACTGGGGTCCCATGCAGCTCGCAGCTGAGAAGAACCCCCAACTTGGAGCTGGTTCTGTGTTTCAGTCTGGCTGTGGTCATCCTCCACCTCCTCACACCACAAAGACATACACTCACCTCTGTCCATCTGCAAAGTCTGACGAGTAAAACCTGAGCGTTTTTAGTCCAAAAGGGGAGGGGAGATTTCAGTTAGTGTTCCTCTGCTGCCTGAGGAAGCTGGAAAATTTATGCAGATACTCTTTTTTCCTCTGGAGTAGTACTTGACTCCCTGTGGTGCTCAGCTTAATATCACTCCTCCACCTTCATCTCACAGTTTTATACCCGGCTGAGGAGAGGGAGAGGGGGAGTGGCACCACAGAGGAAAGATAGAAAAAAGGGTACAGACCCTCGTGAGTGACATAAAACAACAAGAAGAAAACAATATGGTCTGTGCAACAATTGCACCAACAGGTGGGGAGAGGAAGAAGGAATGGGGCAAAGGGAGGAGTGAGAGAGGGAGATAGAGGGAGGAGAGAGGAGCAGACAAGTGAGGGAGTGGCCCGTAGGGACAGAGCAACAGCTTGTGTTCAGCAGCAAAGGAGAGAAAAAAGAAAGGAGGTAAAAAGAAAAGGGTGTGAGAGGAGAGAAAAGGTCACATCCAGACTCTGACAATGGGAATGGGTGACAAAAGGACGAGTGTTTGTTTACAATATGGGCACCAGAGGAGAGACGTCACTCTGTAGATGGATGCTCTGTTAGATAAATACAGACAAATGTCCTAATTTAAACCATCATTCATTAAATTCATCAGCAAAATTAATCGAACATCCTTATTGATTTTTTTTACAAAAAGTTTTTTTTTTAAATTGCTTAAAAAACATTTTTTTTTTATTTTTTAACTAAAATTGACCTTGTTTGGGCTTTTTTAAATTTTTTTCTGTAGAAAAACGATGAAACCAAAATATAATAACTCTTTTTAATCAATAAAAAGAACATTTTGAAAAAAGTGATGCCAGGAGCGGAAAGCGAAGTGAAAAAGGTCTGGTTAGATTGATGACATGTTCTTCCCCTCTGATTCATGTTAGTCCACCTGATCATCACGCAACAGACACCAGCTAATCAGCTCACAGCCATGCGGTCCATGGAAAGCTTGAACCCTTTAGCTTTCCACTTTTTTTAAAACTAAGAATGGATGAAATAGGAAATACAAAGAAACACATAACACTTTGCAAAATTTAATTGAGTAAAAGTGATTTGAAAAACTGCATGACAAAGTGAAAGTATAAAGAAGATTCTCAATATCTCAAGTAAATATAATGTGTTCCTTTCCACCCCCTAGTATCACACACTTTGTCCAGACAAGATGCAAAATCTTTAAATAAAAGGGAAAGAATTGACTATTTGAGCAGGATTGAATAAAGTTGGTGGCTGAATCCTTGTGATTAGAGGACACAGTCAGATTCTGTCAGTTTTCATGGCAATCCTAAAAAGTTTGACCCTGCTCTGGTCCTGGTGACGTGAAAATGTAGGAGATCACAGGAGGTAACTTGGCAGTTCATGATAATAATGAAACTACAGCCTTTTTCTAAGTTCACTAAGAAAGGGAGAGATGGAGAGTTCACTGTGGTGAATAAAGTCTCTGGGAGGAACACATCCTGAACCTGGAGAAGTCATTTCAAAGATGTCACTGATCTGATTTTCATCTGCTGATGAAAATTTTAAATCATTTCTCTCTTTTTGTCATTGTCAAAGCAACCTGTCCCCCCTCCCATCCCCCCTCTTGTGCCTGTGGCAATCTGCTACTCGAGTTTAAAGAGCAGTGAAGCCAGCGGGGAGGGCCGACCGGCCGGGTGAGGTATGTGCAACAGACAGTGGAGCCGGGCAGGTCAATGAGCCGTATTGTCTCCCTTTACAAATCAGTGTCAGACAACAGCCCCTGGCCTTCTGCCTGCTGCTGCCTTCTCCTCACACACACACTCAGAGTTCACACATTAGAAGGGTAGACACACTTTTCACACGCTCCCCGGGGACCCCTCCGCCGGTCACAATGGGGTCGCACTCCACAGCAGAGCATACAGATTGTATTTGACAGTCATTACAGGTGGCTCTTCTCACATGAAGGCTTCAATGGCAGCTCATGTTTCTAATAGGAGTTAAATGGACGAGCACATGGACACCATGACAAGATTTCAGCTGAGCATCAATTATTCATCTACTATTCAACATAAACTGTGACTTTTGGTACCTCTAGAGTCAGATTTAAAAGTTTTTATCATCACTATGGTAAAAGTAAAAAAGCAAGTAAGTGATTGAGGAGAATAAATGAGTAAGTAAAATCAAAAAGTAAGTAAAATCAGTGAGTAAGAAAGTTAGTAAGAGAGTGAATAAAGTAAGTGAATAAGTAAGTCAAGAAAGTTGGTAATGTAAGTAAGTAAAGAAACGTAAGTTAGTAAGTGAGTGAGTGAATAAGTTAGAAAGTGAGTGAGTGAATAAGTAAGTGAGTGAGAAAAGTAAACAATAACTAAATAAAGTAAGTCAATAAGTAAGTCAAGAAAGTTAGTAATATAAGTTAGTAAGTTAAGTAAGATGATTAAGAAAAGTGATTAAGTAAGGTAAGTTACTAAAGTAAGTTAGGAAGTGAGTGAGTGAATAAGTTAGTAAGAGAGTAAGAAAAGTAAACAAAGTAAGTAAATAAGAAAGTTGGTCATGTCAGTAAGTGAAGTAAGTTAATAAAGTAATTTAGTGAGTGAGTGAGGGACTGAGTGTCTTCTCTTATCTTGATGGTCAACTGTGTTATCTATTGTGAATATTTTTGTATGAATTGTGTTAACAGGCCTCTTTGCTCAGCCGCTTTGCTGACACCTACCCGGCACCAGGTTCAGTTTGTACAAGTCTTTCTTTGTGTAGTCTTCTGGCTGTTATAAGTGCTTTTACATTACATATCACATTTATTCATTCACACTACATTTATAGGCTGAAAAAGAGGCTGCTGGGTACAGCACAGAATTCAGCGCAAACAGTGTCATGATAATACTAATACTACTACTACTACTACTTATAATAATAATAATAATTATAATAATAAATATAATAATACCACATGCTCATAGGACAGATTCAACCACTCTGATCACATGATCTTATACACCTATTAGATGTCATGTTGCTACTTTTAAAAAAGTAATCACATGACATGTGATAAGGTGGAAGGTATGGTACTAGGACCCAGGTGAGGAGGCAGGGTCTATTAATGTAACAGGGGCTGGAGCTCACCTGAGCCTCTCTTCCTGCACCTGGGGCCAGCCTTTGTTGATTTACTCGGTTCTTTTGGGATGAGGATGGATGAATCTTGCCTGCCTTGCAGTGGTCACCTGTTTTGTCTAATCCAGAAAGTCGTGATAAAAAGTAACAAACTCTCAAGGATGATTAGATTTTGTTTACTCTGACCAAAGCTTCAAACACATCCTGTAACTTGTTAGAGTTTTCAGTACGGTGTTAATCCTTAATGAAGTATATGTTCTGAATAATTCTCCTCTACTCCTCCTGGTCTTTCAAAACAAACCACAGGCTTGAATCTCCTACGTAAAGCTGCAGATCACAGCTTTTCTTTGACATCAGCCGGCATAATGACAACATGAGGAGAGCTTAATCCTCCGACATGCAGTTGATTGTGGCATTAGTGAGAGAATATGAGGTTTAAAGCTGTCTTCAAGGCCCTCGCCTTTAAACAGGCTTTGAGAGAGCCTGAAAGCAGATTGAGTTTGAATGAAGGACAGAGTGAGTTAGGCTCTGAGGTCAGGCTGGGCTGGACAGAGGGTGGGGTGGGGTTGAGAGAAACAGAGTGACAGATCGCTGGCCTGTTTAAGTACCCTGCTAAATTCATACCTCCCAGCTGTATTCAAACAACATGGATCGAGGGGGACATAGCCAGTGAAGAGCAGAAAGACAGGGGTGCAGTGGGTCCTGAGAAGGAGGCGGGTCCTCTCCGCCCCTCATTTTCCAGCTCATTTCCCCGGACAGTGGAAAACAGAGGACCTATTTTCCAGCCATTCACCTCACATGGACACCTGCTGTGTGAGGGGGTAGAGGGCAAAGTTTAACCGGTTCACCAGTTAAGACACCACATAAACAAACACTTACTGTTACACTGAGATAATGACAGCTTTGATTCTGATATTCCCTTTTTGATTAAAAAGTGTGTAACTTCCAGGCCAAGTTTGCATGGTATTGGGATTAAACCCACTTATCATCTGAAAACAGTGTGTAAACATCTAGGACTTTTTCCAAAATCACATAATTGTAATAAAAGTTTTAGCATTTCCATAATTTGTAGCTTTAGTGACAAATAATAAAAAAAATCTCTTTATATACTGAAGATGAGATGGAAAATGTTGTTTTTGGTGACATGAAGAAGTGATTCAGCTTGTGCTCTGCTTGGTTTCACTGTTAAATAGACAAAAACATGATCAAAAAGCAAATTGCGTTTGAGTCCGTGGGATCTCACATGAATAAATGTGATTTGGACAGTGAAACTATGTACATACTATGACTCTGTTTTCACATCAGGAGATGCTTCAGGGTGTTACGACAGTTTCTGGGGTTGGTCTCAAGAAACAGTCATGATGCTCGATGTAGACACAGACACCAGCTGAACAGAGGAGGGGGCACCACTACAAAAGCTAATATTTCCCATAACCTGGTGTGATATGATCATTAACCCAGCTCACCTGCAGCCAACATGATTTGTAATTTTTTTTTTAATTTATAAAAGCTCATCTGAGGCTTTAATTAAAAGCTGTGCTTATCTTCTACACAACTGTCTCAATAGTCATTTTGGCTCCATTTGCATGATCCTCTAATAATGTGTTTTGAACAAAAGCCCTCAGAAGACATCCATCCATACAATTGCTAAACTTTGTTTTCATGTGACATTTGAATTTCAGCTGTTTGCTGAAGATCTTGAATTGTGTTTTTTTTTTTTAACTTTAGATTACCATGCTGACATCAGGATAGTTTATTTGTCTAATTTTTCTTCACACAAGAAGCTTGTTTTCTCATGATCATGGAATAACTTATCCAAAATAACCAGCAACTTAGAAAACTAAACACTGGGCTGGCCATTCCACCACTCTGCCCACCGTGCTTATCTCAAGACAGAATCTTAAATAATCCTTTCACAAAAAAAAAAAAAAAAAAAAACCCAGAAGAAATAACATGTTTGGTTGCATTCCCTCTTAGAGCTTTCTTTGATCAGTTTTGTTTTCTGAACAATTTCTTGTTGAGTTTTGTGTTATCTGCTATTTGTTGAAAGATTTGCGGTATAGGGATGATGAACCTGTGGTTTAAAACTCCTGTGAGAAACTTTTAGTCTTTGTTGACTTTAGTGCCCCCTGTGGACAAAGTGGTAACTCATCTATTTGCTGATATTGTGTTATCATTTAGAAAATGGTGCTGAATAAGAGAGAAAAAAAATCTTCTTAGACTGAAATTGATCACTCACTATGAATATTTCAAGGAGATTAACCTGGACCTGGATCTATTTGCTAGTATTGACAGCCTACCCAGTGTTGACAGCTTTTCTACCCTTGATGAATTGCTCTGCCACTACAACAACTCCCTACATAACCTTTTCAATAATCCTGCTCCTCTCAAAACCAGATCCGTCTCTTTTACTCACACTGCTCCTCGGTCCACTCCACCTCTCAGAAAGCTAAAAACTAAAGGACCCCAACTAGAAAGACTCTACGAGAAAACTGGTCTTACTGTGCACAAGGACATTATTTAAATCGTATTCTCCTCTACAAAGACTGCATCTCTAAAGCCAAATCCATCTACTACTCTGGTCTGATCAGTACAAGTGAAGAAAACTCCCAGGCCCCCTTTTCCTCCTGACAAAGAAGGAGCAGAGCCTTAAGCCGCTCTGCTCCCCACCACTGAAAGTCTCTCCCACCAGACCTCCATAATACTGACTCATTGCCACATATTCAATCCAAACTTAAAACTCATCTGTTTAAACCAGCTTACTCTGTCTGACCACAATTACACTATCCGTTCTTTTAAAACTTTTTAAACTGTATTTTATTACTGTACAGTATATTACTGTTTAACTCAGTTTTAATGATGTTACATGACTTGAGTGTCAAAAAAGGCGCCTACAATGGCTAAAATGCATAACAATAATAATACTAATACCTAATAATACTACTACTACTACTACTACTACTACTACTACTACTAATATTATTATTATTATTATTATTATTATTATTAGTAGTAGTAGTAGTAGTATTAGTATTATTCACTGTGTGAAAGGTAACACAGGCTTTTTTGGATACCTACCACCTCACAGCAGTAGCAGACATTTAAAATGACACTGTAGAAAGTGTCAGTCCTGTCATCAACTGTCTCATTTGCTTCTACACATTATAGAGTTGTCTTACTGTGCATTTCATCTAATGTCATAAACTCTTTATAGGAGCTTTAACAACATTTTTATCTTATTTCCTTGCTGTGTACGAACTTGAAATTTTCACAACAATCAAACAAGGTATTGCTCTTCTTAAAAAGATGGAAATTAAGTAAATACAGATTTCTTCTCTTCAGAGGATTCTCGTCAGAGTTTGTGTTAATAATTTACAGCAATTTCTGAGGCTGTAGTCTGAGGAGCTGTGAGAATATATAGTAATATATAGTTAGATATATGTTTAGGCAGTTTTTTTTTGTGTGTGTCCATGAAGTTAGACTAGATAGTTCAAAGTTTGTAGACTTTCTGTGTACTGCAAGAAAACAATAGAAATAATGAAACCTTCTTTGTTACGATTCAATCTTTTATTTTGTAATAATTAGTCAATGAAAAGGTTAAAGACATAATACAGATAATTACAAGGCTTAAAATATCACCACTCCACTTGTGAAAACCATAAGGCATGCAAAAGGTTTGCATAGAGCTGGAATGGCATTGTACAGCACTAACAAGCAGAGTTGATCCTTCATCTTCTTCCCTTTGCAGGTACAGAGGCAAGGGGACGTCAGGGACATAGAGAAAGAACAGGCAGCATTGATTAAATCATCTGTAAGAAGGTAAAAGAGCAGCATAAAGAGGAGGAAAGAGAGCTAAAAAGGTGGCAGTACTCCTCCGCAGAGACACCTCAACAAAAAGGACACAGACACACAACACTGCAAGCCCAGTCATAGTGTTTCCACCTTTTCAACAGTAACATTCAAGGGTACTTGAAAGAAAAAAACAGACTCCTTAACGCCCCCTGCCGATGACAAACAGCAACAACAGTATTTCACAAATCATCATTCCTTCTGATGACATCATTTACAGTTTATAGATATTTTTTCTTACATAAATACTTTCCATACATTTCTGTCTGACCTGCAAGCTTAAGGATAAGTGGGGATGTGTACTGAGCTACATGAAGCGGCGCCTGCTTCTGATTGGCTGAGGAGCTGTGTTGTCTCGCTGGTCTGGGAGTTGGGGCTGTCTTCCTCAGAGCTGGAGGGGACGTAGAGACCCAGAACCTGCTGCACCTTCAGGGGGAGCTCCTGGGGAAGAAATTACACAATAGCTAATGACAAGTCAAAGTAACAAATATGACCATGCAGACGTGTTTTCATCCCCTGAGATCCTGTACTCTGTATTTTCCCCTGATTTTCTCCAAGAAGCACGTGATCATAAATATTACTTCAAATGATACAAAAATGACAGGAAACAGTGGGGTTTAAACATGACAAAGCTTCAACAAATCTCACATAGAAACTAATCATTACAAAACAGTTCTTACTTTTCCTTAAACAAATAAGAAAAGAAAGTCAAAGTTTTTGGTTTGGTGGTCAAATGTTGCCTTAAACTACAGAGAATCTCTTGGTTTGTGCTGATTCTGCTGCCCCCCAGTGGACAAAACTCTTCGCTAGTTTTGTTCTGTCCTGTATTATTAGTGTTTCTTGACATAGAAAATCTTTTCTTTCTCTCTTTTCATAGTCAAAGGTACAACAGCTGAGTTTTTTTTTAGCCTAAAACAGACAGACAACAGGTTATTTCTGTAGCATGTACTGAATCACTTGGTCTAGTGGTGCACGGTATTGGAAAAATCTAACATTGCGATTTTTTTCAACCCTGCTATATATATTGCGATATTAAAAAATACAGGAATTTTCACCAGATGACCTGAATCTCACTTTATGCTGAAATCTTGTGGACAATTAACCTGCACTGATCTTACCTCTTTTTGTGAATGTTAGTAGAATGGCTTCTGTCCATCTTAAAGATATTTTTAGCATACTTCTATTGTGCTGGGACTTGTTATCTCTCGTTCTGGCAACTGATCAAAGGCACTGCCAACACAGAACACGTGTTTGGTCGATATCATCCTTGCTGTAACTGAAATAATTTCAGATAACTGACACAGATTTTTGTTTTTGGTCTTCATTTTCGGTGGTTTTCTCTTGTTTGTTGCTCCTTTTGCAATCGTTGTTGTTACCCATGTTTTGCCCAGAAATGCGCGTCCTCCGAGAGTTGCATGCACCTCGCGGAAACGTGCACCGCTTATTGTGGAGTTATCTATGGAAATGTTTGATTTAAAACCCATACAATTCTTATTTGTGAGGCTAAACAGTGATGAGGAATGTACTGAATGTAATTCTTGGTGGGCATGCTGTTTCGGTACAACACCAGCAGTGCCAGCGACTCCCTCAATGTGCAGGCCATGTGCAGGGGCATGGTTTACTCCTCTCTGATTTTGATTGATAGCTGGTAGGGGGTAGTCTGGTTGGCAACTAAGTAAAGAACAAATGTGATTGGTGGATCGCTGCACAGCACATGCATAGTCACATGCAGTGTATGTCAGTCAGCTACCCTTGAAATTAGATGAGTTCATTCACCTCCAACATCGCAGGCTCTGTGATGTGACTATTGCACACACGTACATCATGATGACAATGCTCAAACGATTTATTGTGCAGGCCTAACTTGGTCTGACATCCAGCCCCCACCACTGCCTCAGAATCTAAACATAACTGTATAAAAGAAGTCTCTCTTCCTGTTGATGCTCTTTAGCTAGCTCAAAACTCCCCACGGGACCTTTAACACTAGTTTTATGTTTTTACACTTACTGTTGAGCACCTACTGAACTGTTTCTAACCAATAGAGTACCTGGTTCAGTCACTTTTGAGTGTCTTTACACTTTTACCACTTCATTATATGGCTGTCCATACCTCGACCCCTGTGATGGATCACTGAAATATTCCATTTGACATTTTGTCAGTCTTTTTTTTATGTCTTTTTCTTTTAGCAGGGGAGACTGATGGTTTCCCAGCATTTTATTTTTGCATTGTAGTTCATATATATTTATTTTTTTATTGTGGGTTTTTTCTACCCCATTGTTGATGGGGTTATGTTGCTGGAATTGTTGTGTGCTGCGAAGTATGTACTCTCAAGATGAAACTAAAAAATGTCCAACTGGAGAGCTTTCAAAGAACAAGAAAAAGAGGAAATGATCCAATGATCTTCAAGCTCAGACAAACACTCTGTTTTTACCTAAAGATATACTTCAGCCCACAACAATCAAACCAGCTGTGGACTGAGACTCAAACACCTCATTGTGAATCTAACTGGCTCTTACCTTGCACTGAATCAACTGGAGGTAAATGGCCTCGGCTCCCAGCAGAACACTCTGAAGGTCCAACTTCATGGTCAGCTCATTAATGTGCTGAGGAAACATCGAGAACAGAAATGAGACAAGTTATAAATGAATAAATTCATGTCTTACACACACAGTCATATGAGTGTGTTTACATTGCACACCTTCAGAATAGTGTTAAAGTCGTGATCAGAGCCAATCAGCTCTCCTCTCTGGGACTGCAGGATAGAACAGGCGATCAACAGATGGAAGTTGTCACATGGGAGTCGAGTCCAGAGGACCTGAAAAAAGAAGTTACAATTACAAGTTGACAATTTGAAGGGTATAAAAACAGAAGGAAAAGACCCCTACAAAAAACAGACAATAACAGTGAGAGTGTTGGAGCAGGAACTGTTGATGGAAGCTCCTTTTGACACTGTAAACGGATACAAACAGTGAAGTCACCTCGAGCACACAGGGGTTGATAGTTCGCTCTGCTATATTATATTTGAGTGACTATTTTTGTGTGACTTTTAAAGGGTTTAGCTGATATTACAGCTGCTTTTGACAGCCAACTCCATCTACTGATCAATTCCACAACTCCTGTCCCATTTGATGTTAAACAAGTTAAGTCTTGTGTCATAAAGCAGCGTTGTTTCCTCTATTTGATCAGAAAATACCTTATCAAACTGTGATAATTTGTGGTGCATCTTGTGGACATGATAGTGGTACCTTTTCTTTGCTGATTTTGTCCGGGACATTTTTACATTGTGTTTAAACAACAAATCTAATCCTGATTTCTTTGAATGGTCACATGGTATCCCTCAGTTAAACTTACTCTCTGAGGAAAAGGCCAGAAAGACTCCTACAGTGTGATCTGGCACCTGTCTTGTGGCAGCATTAACTGGCAGTAAAAACTGCTGTACAGAAATAATCCATCCTGCTGCTGATGGTTTTCTCTCTTCCAAAACTTTTTTATGTAAAACAAAACAAACAACAACAAAAACAAAACACTGCAGCAGTCTCACCTCCCACAAAGTGAGGATGTCCTCGAAGGAAAACTCTCTCTTGAACCAGATGAGCAGCCAGCGGAAACAGAAGCAAAGAGAGCCGCTGTCCTGGGAGTCTGACAGACAAAGATACACATTTTAGTAACCATATAACAAACTCAAATTCATGTGAAATATCAAGACTTATACATCCTCTATACCTCATAGAAATCTTGTCTGCTCGATTTACATATTCTTAGGTTTAACCCAGAGGTTAAATCACAACTTGTATTCTTGTTTCTGCTCTACTTGCAGCTGCATTATTCTCTAAACTATAGCTAAAAGTGCACCATGTTGCCTCATGCCTCCTTATGTTTTATTTTTAGCCTAACTAGTCTGACAGGAGGACATTAAGAGACTCACCGAGAAAGTCACACAGCTCAGGGTCCAGAGCCCTCAGCAGGATACTGAGCTGAAGGAGCTGCTGCTTCATGGCCTCCTGGGACTCCTCGAAGTTCTGGTTCTGGTGGAGAAAAAAAAAAGAGTTCAACACTGGGATAGAACACAGGAACGAGCAGCACAAAGACTGAAGGCTGACTGAAGTGCTGCTGCTGAGCTGTAGCTGTAAACCCCTCTTAGGTTTGCCTTTTAAAAGACCTTATGTATCAAATAGTCCATTTACTCAAGTAAGTTTTTATGTCTTAAGACAGAAACCTAAAACTGAGGCAGTCACCTCGATTTTTCACATGTTTTTTTTTTTTGCATTTTCTGTACTAGTTTTACATTTTAACTATAGTGGGAGGGGTGAGTGCTGGAATGAGGCAAAAATGACCACTCAGAGATCATTTTCACATTCTACTCAGGCTAAATCAGCAAGACTCCTCACTGCTCAAACACAGGTCTCAAAACAAAAGCCAAATGCTTCAGTGAATCACCCAGAATCCTGCTGCTTATGTCTCTCATTCAGATGGTAACCCTAAATGAGAAGGACACAAAATTAAGCCACAGTAAGACTACAGTAAAACTGCCCTCTGTTTTCATTGAAGCCGCTGATGTGGCACTGAATCACTTCACTGGAATTTAAACAAACAAAGCAGGAACAGTAAGTTCAGCTCCAAGTCTAACTTTCTGTTCTTTGTGATGCTGCTGAGCTTTGACTGTGTCCACAGTGACTCTGAATCACCTTTCTGGAGTCAAATCTCAGAGTATGCTGAACAAGACTTTAAGTTCTGCAAAAAGAGAGTGACAAGTTTGTGACTGATTGTGAGAAAGAAATTTCTACTGACCACCAGCTCCATGAAGCCTGTCAAACACCAGAAGGACTCGACCTCATTCTGGGTGACAAAGAGGAGAGGAGAGAGGAGATCACTCATCCCCTGGACATAACCTGGACAGAGGGAAGCATGGGCATCAGGGGAATAAAATATCATCTGACATGTAGACACAAAAAAATCTAGCTGTTCAGTCTTGTTTTTAGTAATTGACAAAAGTAGCTAGTACTGTCTAAAATTGAGCATTTACTGCTTTAACTGTTTTTTTTTATATTCCACCGGGAGACTGCCACTTTAAAAACACCCTGGTAGGTTTTGGGAACTGTCCACAGTTTCATTCTTCTAAAATGATGTGTATGAGAAAAAAAAGGGATGAATAAATGAAGAAGTCATAATTACCAGATTGATAAATGAACAAATAAAGTTAAAGGAGTTCTAAACAGGCACTGGGACATAGAGTAAAAGTTTCCAAACAGGAAGGGCCTTTTAAATATCTTTCATTTGAGAAATTCACAAAGCCTAACTTCTTTGAATTGTGTGGTTACTGTGATAACACATAGTCTCATGGGCTGTTATTCCCCTTTTTTCATGTCATAGACACTGGATTGCAAATTAAGTTCCTCAAAATAGGTCATTTGAAATCAAACTGTGACACTGTCTTGACCTAAAATGATTTGTGTAATAAATGTGTCATTTATCATGACCTGACAATGGCTCAGTTCGTCAAAAAATATACCCAAGCAAGTCTAAATGTACCTGGGCAGCCCTGAGCCATGACTGGACATAGAAGGAACCATCAATGAGGAGGACGGTGTGCATGAAAAACACCTGTTTTCGTCATATTATGTGAGCACAGCAGTCTTTAGTTTTAGTCTGTAAAAAAATCCTACATTCTCCTTTGTTGACTCACTTTTACATTAAAAAAGTGTGTGATTTTCCTCCAACTGTGGATTATTTCTTTAGTTTCTTCAAAGGATTATCACTCTTACTCAACTCTAGCAAAAACATAATCTGTCTTCTGTTTTGTTGCTGAAGTTTCAGGAGCAGTACAACTCGACTTTTACTCACAGGACTACATACCCAGATCAAAGTTGTACATGCAGTATGTCATCAGTACGTCATGAAGCAGAGTCAGTCCTGGATTATCATTCCCAGAGAAGAACGTATTATGTCTGTCTGTCCTGCTGACATCCCTCTCTGTAAAAACAACAAAAACACTTCAACACCTGCCCCATCTCTCACAGTCAGCTGACTGACACCAGAGAGAGCTCATCTGTTTTCTGACCGATCAGGCTTCTGTATCCTCTGAGGAGGGAGTTCCTCATCTCCTGCTCTTCACTCACTGATTTCCACTGCACCTTCATCCTGAAGTACTCATCCCTGCAGACACAGACACACACACATGCATTCATGTGAATCAACAACTTTTGACAGATGCTTTCTTCAGTCAAGTTTACAAGGTAAGTATGCAACTAGCTCAGCAAACTGCAAAAAGGGGAAAGCAACGAGTAGGGCTCAGTCCAAAGGTAACAAAATCCCCTCAAAGCAGCTTTAAATGATCCTCTACAACTCTGCCACAAGAACTGCTTATTCATACCAGAGAGTAAGTCGATAATATTACTGATCCTGATGTCATTTTTGGAGTTTGTTCAAGTCTTTTATATCCTGAGATTTCTCTGAACTTCAGGGTTATGTAAGATGAGTCACATTTACGTTATGCTCTAGTTATCATGTCAGATTGTTAACAGGGTTGTACATGCAAGCCCCGCCCTCACCGGTTTTCAGCTGTCACCTGGCTTGACACTGCACTTAAAAGAGTAATGATGCTATCAATAAACACGTAAAGTGGTTACACAACTGACAGGGAGGTTAGCTTTCTGTTGGACAAAATGTAGGCTGGTTTAAAGAGGAATACACACCAATGCTCTGCAGGACCTGCCTGTATGTGTATCTTTTACTTCTGACAAGGTTAGATTAAGATTGATCAGCTCTTACAAACATTACAACAACAGCAAAAACTGATCAGTTGTGATTTTTGTGGGAAATCTATGATGAGGTCACTTTCTAGAGCTCAAAGTTAACTGCCTGCTGATGGGAGCCTCAAAAACAAACTACATTAAAAAAAGAACACAAAAGATATGTAACAATAAAAAACACAAACGTTTTGACCCGCAGAATGTCCTCCCTTTCTTTGGTAGTGCTGCTCCACGGATAAAAGCCCAACAAGAACTTCCACACCTCTTTCCTCAGGGACGGTGTGATGCCCTGAGAAAGAAAGAAAAGCCTGGTATGAAACATGAACTGTGCAGAAAGGGTCAGCCCTGGCACAGGATTTACTGTCTTACCCCTCTGAACACAATCTTTTTGAGCCTCTGGGGGTCCTTCACTCGCCCCTCTGCATCCAGAAACTCTTCCCAATTGTCCAGAGGTCGTCCCCTAGTGACCTGTGGTCTAGGACCTAGCTCGACGCCCTGAGTGGAGAAACACACACAGACACAATGATTTATGATTCGAGTGTCTCCTTCTTGAAATAGTTTTGCTTTTTGCTTTTCTTACACATGTGATGAGTTCAAAGCCAGGCTCATCATCAGACTGAGGGGGCAGACTGGGATCTAGAGAGGAACGAGAGTGGGCAGGGGATTCTGGGGGCCGTAGCGCTGCCTTGAAGAAGTTTGTGACTTTGGAGAAACCGCCAAACGTAGTGGCGTATGGGTCCTGGATGAATCTCTGTTCAGGCCAACGGAAACCACAGATTAAGAATTAGCAAGCAAGCTGGTGAGAAGGCTTTCATGATGAGTATGTTCCCTTATACAGGTTCATATGCTTGACTTTTAAAGCTCCTGTGAGGATTTTTTGGTTTGTGTCAATTTTGACACAAAATGTGTTTTGTCAGAAAATGCATAAACAGCATTTTCTGACAAAACAAAAATTTCCTACAGCAGATTTTTGATGGTCAAATGTTTCATTTAGGGGGAATATTTACAGTGAAAATGGTAAAAACAGGGCTGTGTCTTTAGCTGCACCAATTTCAGACATTAAAAATAAGAGTTTAAAAATCATTTATGATGCTGTTGATGATCTTTGCTTCATGCACACTATTAAAAGACACCGACGTGAATTTCAGCCGATTTCATATACATAAAAAAAAAGAAACTATTCACAGGAGCTTTAAGTTACCATGAAAACATCTTACAGAAACTAGATCAGTGCCTCCATCATCAAAAAGCTGCAGCTTGTCAAAGGACTGAGAGAGAGCGCCTGAGTCATGAGGATAGGCCAGGAAGAGCCGCCCATCAACTGGTGACCTGATGATAATGACAACAGAAGCATGTTGTATTTTCTGTTTCATTGACTGCTTTGACAGGGAGAAACTTGAAGTCAAAAAAACTCTGGCTCTTACTGGTCCAGAATGATGTAACGCTGCAGTGCCCTCAGCAGCTCCCTTGTCCCTCCTCTGTGGAAGTGCAGTGGGGGCAGCGGGTGTCCCCCTCGACTGGTCAGCACCAGGAAGTTTCGGCCCAATGAAAAGCGAGCCCTCCGGAGAGAATACAGCTCAGAGAGAGGCAGAGAGAACGACCACTGTCCTGCAGGGGAAATACCTAAGTTCCATGATTGATTTTCCACTTTTTTGAACATCCTATTAACAGTTTCAGTCACTTTTTAAGCAACGTTTTCTTTTAGCTGCCTAGTTGTTAACATTAACTAATTTTCTGTGTCCTTTATGATTGTAAATACAGTGCCCTGATTTGAAACAGTCCCTGTAGGTTTTCAGACATTATAATAGACGATAAACAGTCTATGATGCTGATCAATTCATCATGAGAGACTAATTAGTCATGCAGACTAATTGATGAAAAAATACTTTTTAGCTGATGCCTTCAGTTTCATGCTTATTTAGTCTGAGTGAAAATGGTACCTGAGTCTCTGACCGGGACAGGTTCACGATCTTTCTTCACTGTGCTGATAACTGCCCAGTCAGGTTCATACCCGGGGTCAAAGTTTGTATCCTCCTCCCCCCCTTCTCCATCCTAATCAATGAGAAGATATTTTTCCAGGGGATTATATATGGAACAGGAAAAAACACTCCTATAGTGTCCATCCTGTGAAATGATAGTTACTGACCTTTTTGGTGTAGAGTACAGCAGGGGCACTTCGACCCTCATCCTCCAGCGGGCTCCACTCTAAAGCTGGCACTCCGGCCTAAAACAAAAAGATAGTTTAGTCATCCTTTTAGTGATTCCTGTCTTTGACCCTGGACAACGTGAACTACCACAGATCTGCTCACCCGCTCCACAACACGGATAAACCCAGGTTTGGATGTGTCCTGATTGTTCCTCTTGGCATTTGTGTGAAGATAAACCCCCTCTTTCTCAAATATCAGCTGAGGAGAGAAGGCAAATCATTTAAAAGTTTCATCATATTTAAGTCTCATTTTGTCCCCCCATAAGATTTCAATAATAATAGGAAAAACAGCCAGAATGATAGGTTAGAACCATCATATTTGACGTAGAGTAAAAAAACAAAGCCTCAAATTTGTGTAGCTGGAACAAAAACACCACCATCAACACCATCAGTAATATTTGTTAGTGTTGTTACTAAAGAGCTTCTTTGTGATTACGTTTTTATATTTACTGATGATGAGTGAAATAAAAGCACAATCAGGGTTTAGTTAGGGGTGCCCGTGACAGAGTGGTTTATACGAGCCCCATACAGGGAAGTTATGCCTCTGGATGGCGATTCCAGCCTGTGGCTCCTTTTCCACATGAAACTTCCTGTTCAGTCTCATTTTAATAAACAGCTTGTTTTAAAGATTTTTGGGTCTAGGGGTCAGATTCACTGTTATACCTGAAATAAGCATAAAACAACCTTTTAACATTCACAGCTTCAACCACAGCTATTTTTAGATGGGTTAAATAAAAATGAAAACAGGGCTGTACTATGAAAATCATTTTAAGCTTTTTTGTAAGTAGGTCTCAGATCCACTGTTAGAAGCTTAAAGGCACTGTGGGGAGTTTTTGGTGGATTGAGAAATAGCCTTAAACTGATACTTGAGCTTCTTTATGGCCTTAAAATTCAAATGAGACCATCTAAAACAAAGCTCAACATTTCTGTTGTATGTTTAGATTCCTGAAGCTGCTGTGAGAGGGCAGGTGTCAGATAAGATGGTTGAAAGCAAGCCTAAGAAATGGTTAATACTCAGTGAATAATACATTTCACCTTTAAAGATAAAAGGATTTTTTTTTTCATCTGAAAAATTCCTTTCACATACAGAGGACAAGAGATAAGAGGTATCACTTTGTCCACAGGGGGCGCCAAAGAAGACACAAACCAAAAGTTCCTCTCAGCAGCTTTAAATCAAAGCACCCCCCCAAATATTAACTTGGATGTTTCTTAAGATTTGGTGTCGGTTCACTGATTTTATCTGAAATAAGAATAACAATAAAGCTTTATCAAAAAAGCTTTTTAAAATGTTTTTGTTTTTGTAGCTAAGGTTCAGATTTACTGTGATCTCCACGAGGTCTATTGAGCATCTAGTTCATCTATTTCACAGAAGCAGCCTGGCCTGTTTAACCTGGCTCAAAAACCCAGTCATCTGGAATGTTTTTACTGCCTAACTCAACAGAGACTTTACTCTTTGTTATGTCAAATAAAAGAGCTGAAGAACTAAAGGAACAGCAACTAACTTTAACTGTGTTGCGTTTTTCATCATTGCAAATGTATTTATTTATGAAGGCACAAGCACACATACTCTTTATAGTTTGTGGATAGTTGTGGTTATTTAAATGTAGCATTTAATTAAGTTGTTAGTGTTTTTCCCCCTTTTTTCTTATAATCATTGCTGGTCTTCAGTACTTGCTCTGGCTTGTGTTAAAATTCTGTAGTTAAATGTAACTGCTACACCGTCACTATCATGAAGTCAGATTATTTCGGGCAGAAAAGCTGCATAATTGATAACTCAATCACTGACCCATAATAAAGCGAACTGTAGCTGTGTTAGTTCAGTAAATCGCTTCACAATGATCGGGTTGATGTAAGCCTGATGTCACATGATTGTTGTGGCTGCTCGGTCAGATCAGTCAGTGAAGCTAAGAACTACAATAGATTTTACAGTCACATTAGACTTCATAGACGTGAATGACAAGCTTTTACAGTCCGTCTGGTTTCTAATATGGATAACAATTAGCAACAGAACTGACTCCGACATCGTGAAAGAAGACAACAAACCTGTAACCAACAACAGTGTAACGTTACTGCTGCTGTCGCACTGAACGTTATTGGGGGCTAGCTTAAAGTGGTAACAACAGCTAACACAATAACAGCAAAGTCGACTTCTATGATCCATAATTTCACTACAACACGGAGGAAATTACTCATTCATTCACAATGAGAATGAGGTATCTGAGTGTTGTTGAAATCTGGACATACCTTATAATCTTCAACGTTTTGCTCCATTCTTTCTTCTCCTCTGGTTCGACTCGTTTTTCCAAAATAAATGTTACGTCAGTCTTCCGGAGTCCAGAGGCCCCGCCCTCGAATATACGTCATCGTAGAACTGAAAGGTGATCCTTGGGTGGTGGACAAACTGTTTCTACCATGGTCTCTACTAACTGATAAAAGTTGCATTGAAATTAAGGATGATAACTTTGATGTTCAACTTTGTCTCTGAATTAATTCATGATTAGGAAAACTCTCTGTCAATCGCAGCTTTTCAAAAAGATGACCCCCTTAAGATAACCTGAATATATCACAGATTCCCCAAATACACTGCGATATTGTCATTCATTAAAGTCCAGTGTGTCAGTGAGATAATTATACTGCTATACTACTAATATTGAATTCTACTGTGTTAGAATAAAAGTAAGATCATTAATATAGGTGTTGAAAAAAGTTTTTAAATATTGACAAAACTTAGACATTAAATGATGTATAGTGCTGTATGATGCTTTCTTTCAGAGTTTGATATATCTTACTTTTTAATATTACAGTTGGATTAGTATCATTATTGCATTTTGCTGGCATGAATGCTTCAAGCTTCATACCACTGAAATACTCAAGAAACGAAAATTATCTCAGATGTCCTCCAGCAGATTTTTTGGGGGATTATTACTTAATAACAAGTCATAACGGAACAAGAGAAATCTCTTCAAGAAATTTTATTCGAACACATTAAAGTTTATACTTTCCTGAACAGTCCATACAGAGTAGATAGATAATAAAGCGCAGCAGAATTGCAGAGGATTAAACACAAAATCACACAAAAGAAAAAAAAGGATGATATTACATAAATGAACATTAGGAGAACTATTTCTACATATTAAATCTATGAACAAATATCCAATTTTAGGGTCGAGGCAGTCACTTTCTCTTTTCTATGACCCATCTGTCCCTCTCAGTGTAAAAAAGGCAGACTGATGAAACTCCATCCAGGTCATCTCCTTGGCTATACCCTGTGCCTTGTACAGGTAGAACACTCTGGAAGGGCAGCAGATGTACTTCCAAGGTACCCCAGGGAAGTAAGTATGAATGTGAGGGTTGTCTGGACCCTGCTTTCATGCTTGGTGACAGAACCTGCACAGGCAACCTGCGGGGAACAGCACCACAGCCTTCCTCACACAATATTTGCTCTACAAAACTAGTCTTATACACTCACTGGCCACTTTATTAGGTACACCATGCTAGTAACGGGTTGGACCCCCTTTTGCCTTCAGAACTGCCTCAATTCTTCGTGGCATAGATTCAACAAGGTGCTGGAAGCATTCCTTAGAGAGCTTGGTCCATATTGACATGACGGCATCACACAGTTGCCGCAGATTTGTCGGCTGCACATCCATGATGCGAATCTCCCGTTCCACCACATCCCAAAGATGCTCTATTGGATTGAGATCTGGTGACTGTGGAGGCCATTTGAGTACAGTGAACTCATTGTCATGTTCAAGAAACCAGTCTGAGATGATTCCAGCTTTATGACATGGCGCATTATCCTGCTGAAAGTAGCCATCAGAAGTTGGGTACATTGTGGTCATAAAGGGATGGACATGGTCAGCAACAATACTCAGGTAGGCTGTGGCGTTGCAACAATGCTCAATTGGTACCAAGGGGCCCAAAGAGTGCCAAGAAAATATTCCCCACACCATGACACCACCACCACCAGCCTGAACCGTTGATACAAGGCAGGATGGATCCATGCTTTCATGTTGTTGACGCCAAATTCTGACCCTACCATCCGAATGTCGCAGCAGAAATCGAGACTCATCAGACCAGGCAACGTTTTTCCAATCTTCTATTGTCCAATTTCGATGAGCTTGTGCAAATTGTAGCCTCAGTTTCCTGTTCTTAGCTGAAAGGAGTGGCACCCGGCGTGGTCTTCTGCTGCTGTAGCCCATCTGCCTCAAAGTTCGACGTACTGTGCGTTCAGAGATGCTCTTCTGCCTACCTTGGTTGTAACGGGTGGTTATTTGAGTCACTGTTGCCTTTCTATCAGCTCGAACCAGTCTGGCCATTCTCCTCTGACCTCTGGCATCAACAAGGCATTTCCGCCCACAGAACTGCCGCTCACTGGATATTTTTTCTTTTTCGGACCATTCTCTGTAAACCCTAGAGATGGTTGTGCGTGAAAATCCCAGTAGATCAGCAGTTTCTGAAATATTCAGACCAGCCCTTCTGGCACCAACAACCATGCCACGTTCAAAGTCACTCAAATCACCTTTCTTCCCCATACTGATGCTCGGTTTGAACTGCAGGAGATTGTCTTGACCATGTCTACATGCCTAAATGCACTAAGTTGCAGCCATGTGATTGACTGATTAGAAATTAAGTGTTAACGAGCAGTTGGACAGGTGTACCTAATAAAGTGGCCGGTGAGTGTATGTTGCACCTTTAAATATACCTTTAAATATAGCGCCTTTAAACATTTTCCTGTATATGTTGTATCTGAAATGTTTATCTGTGATTTGTTCTCATAAAAGAGCCAGATAACACAACACATCTCAAACATCATCATTGATGTGATAAATAAATAAATCTGATAAATAAATCTGATGCAGTCTAACTGCAGAAAATACAAGAAATTACAGCGTAAAACATCTCAATACCTGTGATGACTAAGTAACAACCATAGACTGTATAGACTGCATACAGTCTATGGTAACAACACTAATTTGTATTTTTTTACAGACAGACAGGAGGAGAAAAAGACAGAAAATGGAAAGACCAACCCATACATACTTACTACACATGGATGGGAGAAAGTTTAACACTTTACAAATACAGTTCAAGGTGTTTTAATGGCAGTTTAACCTCATCCACAGGTTTTAAAACGGTCATGTACCTCTATTTCACTGAAAACTACCTATTGTAAGTAAATGGGTAGTTTTAAATGTTGAACTAAGCCTCTTGAAATAAACCTGAAGCGATACATTCACAGTGACAACTTAAGAATTAACATAATGGCGGCACAAAAGCTTCAAAACACAGTAGACACTGTTAGAATTATATGAGGGAGGATTTTACGGTTAAAAAAAAAAGAGCACATATCACCACCACTTTTTTTTTTATTGGATAACATTCACTTACAGTAGCCATCTTTACAGTATGAGCTTTCTACAAACAGCACCGCTGTTCATACCTGTCAATATTACTCAAAGTGACACAAAACTAGTTGCTCAACATAACTCAGGACACGTTACTGTAAAAATTAGCCATACTTATGTTTGAATAGTTGGTCAACGCCAGGTGGAAAGGCCACAATAAAAGCTGGTAAAACTGTCTGCTTTTGTGAATTTTTTATTTGCAAAAAAAAAAAAAAAAAACTATAACGTCATTTTCATGAAACTCTGATTCAATCTGTAATTACATTTTGACAGGGCGAAATTAAAGTTACAAATATCTACAAATCAGATATCACTTATTAAAAATTCAGGTCAAGGGATTTATAACTTGAATAGATATCTGCAATTAAATTATGACTATCCCTATCTATGGTTAGAGATATCAACAACTTCATGTTGACTGGTCATAATTCCAGTCATATCCACAATGACATTCTGTCTACAACAACGTTACTTTTGCTTTTTTTCATGTGTAGGGTGTCTCATCACAGATATCTACAATTCAGCCTATCCACTTTATGAATTACGGATATCTGTAACTGAATTGGAGATATCTGTAATTCCAGTTTGAGATATCTTCCATCTAATTCAACCCGGTCACAATCCCAGTTCAAGATATCTTTAATTCAACTCAAATTCAAGATGTGTAGGCTACATGTACCTTTTCCAGACATCTAAGATCAAGTTTTTGTTTTTTTTTTGACTAGGCGAAATAAAGTTGGAGATATGCAAAAATATAAACAAGGCCTCCCACTTCAGGCGGGAGCGGGGCGTGTTGTTAAAATAATCCAATCACAGTGTGGCCAGATTGCCATAAGCGACTTTGGAATTGTTTTACCGTAGAGTCGCTTGCCAATATCGTCAGTTATAACTAAAGCTATAGCTATTAAACGTTAAAACAGCTTGCCATGCTCTGAGTAAATGTTATGCCATACGTCTCAGCAGCGGACTCGTTGTCCACGTGCATGAGACCAAGTCGAGTATGAGCCCTCCCACAACGGTTGGTCACGTGTGCATCGTGCGTACGATTGGAAGTCTGTAAACAGGTGACGTCAAGAACCGTCGACCCAATACCGGAAGAGAGCACACTCTACAAGCTTAACGTAACGAGTATATCACATGTTGTAACCTTTGGGTTTAAGAATGACTTTATTCTCGTCCATAATTACTTTATTCTTGTAAGTAATGACTTTATACTCGTCAATAATGACTTTATTCTCTTAAATAATGGCTTTATTCGCGTTAATTATTACGTTATCCTTGTTAGAAATGACTTTATTCTCGTAAATTTACGACCTCAATATCAGTCATATTTTTTTCTCAATATGACTTAATAATTCGTCATATATATTATATTAAATTATATTATATTATATTACTTTACTGCCATACGAAACACCCTATATTGTTTTCCTTTTGTATACATTATGTTACAGTTTTACCACACTGGGATGTATTTGTAATCAAACTATGTCTAGTATGATTTATAGTATAATGTGTCATGTTATCCCATTAGTTTTACCTGCCACTTATCTCATAATATGTCCTTACTGCTCTGTATAAATCTTACTGATTCATAAACTTTGAACAGTTGTATACACGACTTATTTTGTCATACTTGTTTATTAATCTTCTTTTTCTTTGATCTATTTGGACTCACTGTTTTTATTCATTTTTTACCCACTACTCCTCTTCTTTTGATGTGTTCTTACTTCTGTCTGTGTTGCTGCAATAACCAAATACCTTCTCTGCAGACCAACAACGTGTTATTTCATCGTACTTGTTATGTTTATCTATGTTATTTTTATCACCCTGCTAGGACATTTGATTGCCTAAAGAAAGGCAGAAGATAAGTTTCTCAAAGAAATATAATAAAAGAGGAGAGAAACACCTAGAGCTTAAATGGTTACAAGTTAGCTTAACGTCTAAAAAAAGAAATAAAAAGGTTTGTGAAGTGACACAGACATAAAGGATAAAATACGGCTCTGTCATTGTTTGTAGATATTTCTCAAGATCAGCACACCATGGCCATCAGTACATTTAACTGGATAAGCGCAGTAGGTGTCCTCACATTTCTGAATTTGGTCCATTCTTTTTCCCTCTGTCAATTCAGTTAACGGATTTGGCTTTTATTGTGAAAGGCCTGACCGGAAAGGTCGTTGGTTGTGTCCGCTGACTTGCTGCTGGTGTAGAGCCTGGTTAGGGGAGAGAAACCGTGGGAGAAGGTAGACTACGTATGATAAAAAAAGAAGTAAAGTTAGGATTGATTAACATCTGGAAACGGTAAAGAAAGAAACTGGACAGGTAAGTGAACACCTTGGCTCATGTCTGTTATTTATACTTGCTTGTCTGGCCTTTGTTGGAGCCCGAAAAATGGAGGTGAAATGTGGTTCCATCAAGAGGAGATTGCACACAACACTGAATAAACAACATGATAAACAACAACAGCTGCAGCAGCGGCGACAACAGGCTTGCAGGCAGCCTGGAGCATGTGGTTAAAAGCAAAAAAATACCATTTTAAAGGTGGAAGTGTAGAGGATTAACAGAAAGCAGGCTCGTTATTGAGCTACAGGGGCTAACGTTACAGTAGCTACAGTAGTTAGCATGGGCTGCTGAAGACAGCGAAAGCTGCGCCAGTCAGGACAGATGAGTACGTTTTTTCAAAATTTTACCTGCTCCACACTTTAATGTTCAAGTATCAGTGGTTTACAGTCTTAATTTAATGGTAGTAAATGGTATTGTGGTTGGATAGTAGTGTATTTTAAGCATTTTGTAGCTTTACAGCTATTTTTGACTTTGTTGTATTTTCCAGGTATCACCAGCAACTTGGCAACATCTCTTCTCTCCCCTGGCTCTCCAGTGTGCAAGGACGCCACCCATTACATCATATCTTTGAAGCCACTCAGTGCCTCTGTACCTGATTGATCATTTTACTCCTCATCATCTTCACCAGAGCAAAAACTAACCATACACCAGCAGGACAGAAGAAACTCCAGTGAAGTGATTTATGTTAGCATTTTGATCAAAGTCAGATGAACCTCTGCTACCAAAGTTTCCTATCAAAATTGTATTCAGATAGCCTCTTTTCGGTCAAAACCTAAGAAAAACCATCATCATTCAATAGCAGTCTTCAGTTCAGCCCAGCTACAGATATCTGTAAACAAACATAGCACCATTATGGCCTCCATCACCCACTCATCCGAGCCTGAGATCCCAGACAACCACAAAGAGAGCTGGCTGGCCCTACTTTCTGCGGCCGAAGCATATTGCCAAAAGTCTGGCTGTGACCTGGCCATACTTACAGCATGTAAAAAGTTCCGGTCATTGGCTGGAGAGGTCGAGGGGGTGAGGAAACGGGAGAGCGATAGTGCCTTTCCTAAGGAGTGTGATTTCTCTTACAATGTGTGGGGGCAAGGCTTTCTGGCCGAGTCAGCTCGCCGCTACATGGATGACATTGGTGTGCTGCACTCTATGACCATGCTAACAGCCCAAAAGCACACACGTCAGGTGGGGGTAGAGGGGGGAACCAAGCTGATGGTTGACCTGACTTCTGACCCTGCACACAGGGGGGTGAGTGGCTTGCTTTCTGCTCTGTGGTGCTGGTTCAAAATGTCCATGCTCTGGCTGATATTTTGGTGTTTGTCCTTCAGAACTTTACAGGAGATGACAGCTTGAGTGGAGTCAGTCCCAATGGCAGATTGTATTCCCAAAGCTACCCATCAATCTACAGCTCAGGAGCCACGACAGGCCAGGGAGCAGGACAGAATGGAAACAGAGAGAGAGAAAGGGAGAAGAGTGTAATGGAGGTTGAGCGGGGGAGACAGAGGTCTGCGATCGTGGACTTGGAAGAAGAGTGTGAGGACGAGGAAGAGGAGGAGGATATGGATGAGAGGAAACCCTATGGGAATGAAAGTGCTGGTGAGGAGTGAAGCGGTGAAATCTGTCTGATTTTTCTTGTCCTTTTTTTTAAACGTGCGCACGAATTATAGTTACAAGAAATTTTGGAGCAGTTCATTTAATTACTTTTGCCAGAAGCTGCTGAACGGACTGTAGTGGCTTTTAGTGAATCAAACTCAATGCTTGTTTTTGCAATTGACAGGCAAAGATTGTTGTCCAGTGTTACAGAAATGCTCCCTACAGTGACAGTCCTGTTCATTCCTGACTGATCGTTTCACAGGAGACATCTTTCTCTTCAAAGCACCAAAATAAGTCGACAAAACAGTAATTTTGGCAGAATGAAGGAGCCGCTGGTCAGTACATATGCACAGTTAGTCTTTGTCAGCTCAGTTTGGATTGAACACTACAGGTGCAACAGTAAAACTGCAAATATATTTACTAACTGAGGCAGTGGTAGATAAACTACTGTCCCTCATGCAGAACATCTTTATGCTGTGGGTGCGGTCTGGTGCTATAAAAGACAGCAATGTACCAATCTACTTGAGTCACAGAGGTCACTGACTCTCAGTCAAAAAGGTCAAGGTCATTATTTATCATTTTGCTTCAGGTGTGTTCTCAATGGATGAGGACTCTCTGTCTCGAGACTGTGAGCCATTCTTTGAGTCTGATGGGGAGGAGGAGAGCACAGATGGTAAGACAGTGTTATTCAGATGTGTACAAATCCACTTTAGAGGGTCATCCATCATACATTCATGGACTCTTCTACTCTTCTCAGGGTCTTTGAGTGAGGATGCCCCTCCACCAACACGTGGCATGGCCATGGGTCAGGCTGCATACTCATCCCGTCATGCCCATCCTATGGCTCTGGCCCGCTCGCTGCCCGTTTCTGTGCCTGTGTGGGGCTGCAGGGGGAACAGAGCTGCTCCTGGAGACAGCAGCAGTGGAGAAAGGGTAAGCACGCCGCAATCAGCATGTTTACATGATTAGATTATGTGGATAACGGGGAATAATCAGATAATGGTATTTATTTCTTACAATAAGCCCATGACCTAAAACTCAAACTTCCTGTCGTGCTTTAAACATGGTGTTGATTAGGGCTGAATGGTTTATCGTTTTCTGATCGAAATTGCGATTTCAAACAGCACGATCATGTGATTGCCAAAGCTGCGTTTTTTTTTTTTTAGTGTTGCGCTCCTGACTGACGGTATATTTCAACGGCATGTACATATACATGCTGTCTCCCTACCATCCTGCCAAACTCACCAGTCAGGTGTGGCATATGCTACTCATGGACAGGTCACATTAACCAATCAGTATTGACCATAGACTGTATATACTATGGACAGCTCGGTTCCGCCTTCTGCCTGTATACGGATTTGAAGCCGAAAAGCTCTCTGTATTTCCGGGATTTTCTTCATTTCCTGAAACCAGCGCTGCGCAGTAGTGTTGTGCGCATTCGGCCGAAGAGTCACAGAGAGTCGCTGTGATGACGCTCAGCTCAATGGAAGAAGGCCAATAGGCTGTATCAGGTGTCAATCAAAGAAAACATGAACACCCTAATAACTTCTAAAAACAGAGCTTCACAGAAAAAACAGGACTTGAGCACAAACCAGTCTTACAATAACTACATGTCAACATCACAATCAGGGGGGAGAAAAATGTATGTTCTGTGTAATAAATTTCTAAAGTTTGTCCACAGCCTCATAAGCTTTGCTGGCGGAGGCGGGATTTATGACCTATACTTCAGCCTGTCACTGGAGGGTGCTGTTCCTGGAGTGGCTTCACCCAGCAAGGAGGCAGACTCTGTCCATTCTTTATACAGTCTATGGTATTGACCTGCTCTCTGTGTTTTGAAACTTGAACGCTTTTTAAAATGGCTTCAGTGCAACCACAAGTGGAGTTAGGGGATTTAATCCCCAAGAAAAGATGCACGGCGGTCATCTGGGAGTATTTTGGGTTAGAGGCTGCAGACGTGCACCAGAAACAGGTATTGTGCACGCAAAATCTGTCGTGCTAAAGTTGCTAAATTGAGTGGAAACACAACCAACTTATACTGGCACTTGAAAAACCAACAGGCACTTGCATGAGGAGTGCATGACGAAAAAGTCTGGTGAAAAGTCTAGTAAACATGAGTCTCAGGCCCATTGAAGCAAACAGACTACAATTACAACATCTTTTGCCAGCGTAAACCGTATGACAAGAGCAGCCGGAGACACTGGGAGATAACGACTGCCGTAACAAAATAGGGGAGAGTGGGGTGAGTTGTGCCAGTTTTTACTTATTGCCTTTAAAGCAAGGGGATGACAGTAATACCTCCAACTAAAATATGTACATTTATTTTAGGATGTGGTGCATCCTTGGTTACAATCACTTTGGTTCTTAAATAAACTGTTTGAGAAATATAGCTTTAGAAAAATTAGTGGTCCTGTGGCATAACTTGCCTCCAGTGCAGGGTAAATGGTGCCATAGATAATTGAAGTAAAACACATAATTTTAATCAAACAAACAGTGATGCCATATAAAAGTTCGACAAACTCAAGACAAAATAATTTATTTAATATTTTTTTAAAGATTTTACAACATTAAAGCCTACTTCTCTATAACAAGGCTTGTAGTGCCACATGAGCACGTTTAGAACATAATCAGCTGCAATTCTCTAAACCAAGCGACAAATCAACAATGCTGCAGGGGAGTATAAACCTATACTCCTGTCTGGTTGAACCACCAAGTCTTTGTGGTGTGAGTAGTTTCTTGAGCACATCACCTCTAGGGATGACTCTGTTTTCTTTAAATGTGGAGATTGGCTTTCCATCCACAATTCTTACCTTTAGTTTTCATTCTTGGATTAAAGTAATAGCTTTTTATGTTTTGATGTGTAAATGTTACTGTACACATTGTGAATGTTGCACTACAGCTTGATTTGAAGAAAATCTCAAATCGAATTGAAATTGCAATTTCTGCCAGATAAATTGCAATTCAATCTTTTCCTGAAATTGATCAGCCCCAGTGTTGATCACTGATCAGGGTTTTTTTTAATCAGAAAACTTGCTTATGTGCTTGTACTCTTCAAATGATCTCAGTGGGAACAAAACGATGACAGGCGTCTGTACAGGAAGCGTTTGCTTTTTGTCTCTTCCATATCCTTCCTTTCATATAGTTTGACATTGATTTCAGCATCTCTACAAGAAGCTGCTTCCCCTTTGCTCTTGCTGCTGTAGCTCACCATGTTTGCAGCTGCTTCTTCCATTTTTTTGGCATGCATTCTTTGTTCACACTCAGATGTAAACAACGAAAGAAACCAGATAAAACATGCACTGAATAAGAGAGATTAACAGGCAAAAAAAAAACTAGATGTGTTTATCTAATTTTCAGCAAGCGGTAATGGCTTTTATCTGATAAAAACTATTGGATTATACTGTTTACATGGTGGCTTTGTTAATCAGGTAACTTCAGAAAACGGATCATGAGTTATTGGTGTGCATGTAAACATACAGGGAGAGATAATTTCAACAAAGGAATTGCTGGTCAACATAGAGCTTTGGTGCCAAGTCTTTATCCAATTGAAGTCCCTGTGAGGATTTTGTTTTTATTTGTGTTGATTTTGGCGCCCCTGTGGACAAAGCAGTAACCCTTATGTCTCATCCCCGTGCAAAAATTGTCCATAGACCAAGGATCCCTGTTGTCTTGTTACAGGAAAATGAACCAGTCTTGTGAAAGTTCTCTGTGGATAAAATAACAAAGGCAGTTTTTTCAGTGTGCCTACCCCACCACCACAGTAACAGGCATTAAAAATGACCATAATGAAATTGTCACTCTTTTGTTGATGGTCCCATTTGCATATGGGTATCATAGAGACGCATCACTGTCCATCTTGGTGTGTTTCCTAAGAAACCAAGAACTCTTCACAGTAACTTTAATATCTAAAAAAAAATCAAAAATAGGCAACAAAGCTAACTGATTGTTGCAAGAGTAGGCAATCAACTCCCATGTTTAAAACAAATCTTTTACAGATGAGGTTTGGTGGTAGAGAAAGTCACATAATCGTCGTTTGGGTTTCACACAACATCTTACTGATTTCTCTGTGCTGACATGCCACCCTTGGTGGAGGCGCTGGTGGGTGGCATGTTCGGTCAGTGGTTGACCTCACAGCAGGAGGATTCTTGTTGAACCACACTCGTACTTTTAGCGAGTCCATTAGTTTACCTTTAAATAAGGCTTTCATCGTGGTAAACTGGGACAGATGATTATCTGCTTTCAGTGGATAATCTCGAGAGAAGTTCAGAAATTGCATCTATTAATGGTTCAGATGATTCTCCTCAGTCCTATGGGACAGGGACAAAAGAGCTCATAAAAAATTTGTATGGCTAAAAATCTGGTGTGTCTGTCAATTAAAAGTCACTCTGCCTTTGGTAATTATATCAAAGGTAAGAATTTAAGACCAGGATCAAGGAAACTCATTATTCGCATTATAACAATATCACAGAGCTCCGGACAACATAAGAGTTTTTTTGTCTGTTTGGTCATTGGTACTTTTTGACTCAGAAGTTGGAATAGAAATTTACTGACACTAAAAAAAACATCTATCTAAAGATTGTAAACTGTAAATTTGAAATTTAAACAAGATTGACTTTATTCCAGCAGTGGCCGTTTTCAACACTCCGAGAGTAAGAAAAAAGTACCGTGATGAAGACAGAATAGTTCATGTCCTGGAAGAGGTTTGGCCTCTTAAATACATAGTATATCCTGATGTGCCAACTAATGGCAACTTTATCAATTTATGTGGCTATAAAAAGAGTGTAACATTTGTGTAAAGTCATGAGGAGGCAAATGGTTTACCAAGCACAGGTAGAGTAAAATTACGTCCTTTCAGAAGTTTTTATACAGAAAGAAAATAAATATGATCTCAAAATGGGGCTAGAGCAGACGGAAACGAACAATTTAACAACATTTTTTAACACCATGAAAAATGAACCAAAATCCAGCAGGGGTTTTGTTTACTCTGTTGTTAAATGCTAACATACTTATACTGTGTCTTTGTCTTTCAGGTGGGCTGTGCCGATCTTGAGCACATTGCTGCCAGTATGAAGGCCCTGCTGGCCCCCGGGGCCACAGATGGGACAGAAATGTTCGGGGCCCTGCCGCGGCCTCGTCTCAACACAGGAGACTTCTCTCTCAAGCACTAAACAGGCGAGCAAGAGAAAGAGAGAGAAAGAAAGGGATAGGTAGAGGGAGAGAATCAGAGAGGGGATGTGAAAGTGGAGGTGTGTTGTGACAGGAGACCTGGATTGGCCTACAAATGTGGCGTTCAGTATGTGAAACAGTGGAAAAGCTAGTACCTCCATTTATTTCTCACTAACCAAAATTAACAGCACATGCTTTGAGAAGTAACTGATAAAAAGAAATGTTGTTATAAACACTAATAACATTGAAAACACTAGCCCCTGTCCATCCTCCTCAACACTACACATTTCACATCACTGGCTACTACACATCCCATGACACTACATGAGGCTTGGACCTAAAGATGCGTGTGTAGCTACCCAATCCACTCACCAAGGACACGAAAAGTACCTGGTAAGGCTAATTGTGAGTTGTAACCAACCTTGTGTGCCGATAGAGGTTTCTGGGAGTTTGACCTGTGAGGTGATGAGAGCCTGAGAAACATCCATCTACAATCGGTCGATCACTGGCTTTAGTGCTACATGGTAACGTTGTAGGTAGCAGAAAACAATTTGATCTAAATGACATTATAGTGAGCAATAAAAATGTGACAGTGCAGTCATTCTTTTGAGACTTGATGTGTGTGAAGCTCAGAGCTAGAGCTGTAAGTTGTATAGCTTGGCTTAGCTTAGTTAGGCCTATACACAAAATCTAACAGCTAGCCTAGCTCCTTTCAGAACTACTTCTAAAACACACAAAAAACTGTCAATTTAAGAAAACTTAAAAAACACACACACACACACACACACACACACACACAAAAACAATTGAATCCAAAAATAAGTTTTGCTTACTCACAGCATTTTTAGCAATGTGCTTATTTTGTGTAAAAACAAGAAGACTTCCTGGTTAAGCCGACCTCCAGCCTTCTTGTGCCCAATCGTAGTATTTCCAAATGCCCAATATTGAAATGAAAATGGATTTGATCATGATTTTGGGGGTTTAATTAAGATGAAACTGCCAGCAATGGTAGTTTTTTGCCATTTTGAAAAGGGAAGTTGACACTTGAGTTTTTCATTTGATTGAAGTCACTATGGCCTTTTCTAGCTGTTTTCACCTTTACCTAGTCTCCATGCTGAGCTAAATGCTCCCACCTCTTGTCGATACCTTTGCTGTCGTTACCGAGGACAGAAAGTGCTGCAGTTATGGCTCAAGCACAAGTGATCCAGTGACCTTCCAGGACCATGTGGTTGCTTTCTCTGCAATGCTCTCATCCTTTACTATGCAAATGAACCACCAGGCCAGTTGTTATCACCCCACCTCCCTGACCCCACAGAACCAAAACATCAATTTCTTAGAGGGGAGAAACCAGAGAAATGGTTCGATTAACATGAAGCTTGTGGCTTTTTCAAAATGTGAGCGGAGGACACCAGCACCTCCTCCTAACATGCCTATTTGTACTTTTACTTTTTGCCAATGAATGACTGACTGGTGGAATGATTGTAAAACAATACAGAGTTAAAGGGGATGGTGTTTTTTGTTTTGTTTTGTTTTGTTTTTTGCTTCAGTGCTCCTTGTAAAAAAAAGACTGAATGAGTGAGAGATCGACTGTGTGTGAGAGAGAAAAAAAGAGAAATGAGATGTTCTGAAAGGAAAAAAAAGTCTATCTGACATTTCGAAAATGCAAATAAGTGTTCTGTTAAGTACTTTTATCTTTGAAATAAAGGAGCAACACCAAGTCAAAACAAAGTATGACTCCTTTGTGCAACATTTTTTTGGGGGGGAAAGCAGTATTATTTATGACCTCTAGAGGGCCTCCTAATTCAGCTGTAAGGAGACTAAAACAGTTGATGCATGCTCCAAGATTTAGTATCACACAAATAAACGACACATTGTTACACAACAGTAGAATTTAATGACTACATTTAATACTTAAAAAAATACAACAAGCATTCTAATACATGCAAGCCCTTTGTGTTAAAAAATCAAAGCCTTACCTAAAAATCTAACTTAAATACAAATAAATGTATGTAAATAAAATAAGAAGTCATCTTTGGATATAATATGAAGTGAATACACTTAACTACATGCACCAGAGAAAACAAACACATCCCTTCTTTACAACTCCAACACTTTACCCCTAACTTCACCAAAACATTCAACTCCCCATGACTTTTAAATTTACACAAAATGACCCTCCTTCCATGTTTCAGAACCTCTACCCTGTCACTGATCCTTTTTCCGAATAAGGCAGTATGAATTGGTGCCAACCCAGAACCCGGGGAAGATCTTCTCCTGGATGTTGGCCTTGAATTTGTGAATCAGCCGCACCTCCTTCTCACCCTCACCCTCCACCAGAAGGAACTTGATGATACCGGCAGGCTGGTCCACATAGATGCCCATCCTGGAGGTATCGGGGAGGGTGACGTCCACGTTCTCACCGTTGTGCCACACTTGGTAGCAGGAGCCTGACCAGCCGGCCCCCCAGGAGCCGCTGTTTTCCCCAAGGCCACAGGGCCCATCCGTGCCCTTTCTGGGGGCACTTTGACAGACCACCCCAATCACCACCCAGCCATCATAGTCCACCTCCCAGTACCCACGATGACCCAGCAGACTCTCCTTACACAGCACCTAAAGAGGGAGCAAAAGGAACTGAAGTAAGCTTTTATCCAAAGTTATCAAACAAGTTCTCAAATCTTCTCAATCTCAGATCTTCTCAAAATGTGCCAAGAAAGAATGATTTTTACTGAAGTTCCAAATGACACTGTGACAGAGTGATGAAGTTTAAGAGTAAAAATGCATCTCAAATGACCACAAAGTGTGATCCCGAGTATCCCCACTCAAACAAACGTCTTATTGTACCTCACCTATAACACTGGTTCAGTCACTACGTCTTAGACTAACCCACCTGTGGAGAGTGTTCATATCTCTCGGGCCTGTTGGGATATGGACAGACTGCATCAGATGTTCGAGCCACCTTGGAGCCTCCCTCTGAAATCCACAGCAGCTTCTGTGCAGTTTTATCATCCAGAGTGATGGGGACCCAATCTGAGAGGACAGAGAGAGGAACACTCTGAAACTGGATGGCTATGTGCGAGGAGAGACTGGAGATAAAAAAAAAAAAGTGTTGCATAAAAATAAAATTGATGTTATCAGGTCAAACTTTTTAAACAGTAAGCCTGATGATTTTAGCTCTTCTGTGTTTTTAAATGGGGAGACACTGGACATGTTTGCCCTGGTTGATGCTGCACAGATTGAGGAAGTTGTCTCCCATCTTAGACCAGTGAATTGTGTTTTAGATCCTATCCCCACATCCCTTTTTAAGACCTCTTTTAGTGTTTTTAAGGATGACGTTATTAATATTGCAAACTATTCTCTTCAGACAGGGGTCTTTTCCACTGTCTTTAAGACAGCCTGTGTCAGGCCCCTTCTGAAGAGAGACAACTTGGATACAGCGGTACCTAATAATTACAGACTTGTGTCCAACCTGACATTTTTAAGCAAAATTTTAGAAAAGATTGTAAGTGGCCTCAGGTCCAACATGGATGAAAGATTAATTTCTGTTTTAGTCCTGTTGGACCTGAGTGCAGCTTATATCTTGTCATATCTACCTATATCTTGTCATGGATTTGTCAGTTTAGCTTCGGCTCCAATGTTTCCCCATTTTAGTTTTAGATAGCGTTTCCTTGGGCCACTTGGGCTTCCTGCTAATCCCTGACTTGGTGTCCCTGTGTGTGTGTGTGTGTGTGTGTGTGTGTGGGTGGTGGGGTCTCTGTTAAATGCGGGCTTTGAGGGTGGGTGGGTGGGGGCGGTTTTGCAATTTGTATTTTATCTTGTATTTTATTTGGTATCCCCTGATCCTCTCCTTCTTGTATTATTTAATGTACAGCACTTTGTGATACAGTCCATGTATGAAAAGTGCTCTATAAATAAAGTGATTGATTGATTGATTGATAAAGAGGCGGTTTATTTAGTTATTCATTTACCTTCTGTCTGAATTCACAGGCTGTCTTGGTTGCTTTTCAGTTAAGACTGAATAATTCCATAAATGATGGATAGTATACGATCAGAATTGAAAATAAAATACTCATTCATTCATTCCAGTGGTTTGAAATCGACAGGACAAATTAGAGCAGAAAAGACCTTACTGTAAACAGGGATTGAAGTCTGTTCAAAATCATGCCGGCTAATTTCAACTGTCCTGTTGAGTTAGAGATCCTGTTCATTTGTGTATTTGAATGATTTATGTGCAAATATAATGAACCTTATATGTTTTTGAATTTAATAGGCTAGTGAAATTTGCATTTAAATTACCCTGGTTATAAAAATGACACAACATTATGGATTCAAGTTATTTTAATGTGTAAATGAATAACTTGATTATTTTGTCTCCAAGATATTAATGTCTTCATAATTAAAATTTCATCATCTTTAATTTATTGTAGCATTAAATCTAAGTTCTTTCCAATAGTTTTAATTAGTTTCCAGACCTAATAAATGAATCCTGCTCTCCATGGCACACTGTGGTTGCACAAGTTTCCATGATTTGCTCATATTAGAATAACTATGAAATGATATTAATTGGTAAAAGATAGTGTTAAACTGTCTCCTGATTGACTAAAAATAGCTTCAAAACAGTCTTTTACAGGGGAAGTCTTACACTTCATGAAGTCGGCTCTGGTGATCGGTTCAGGGACGTTGGGCTCATATGGGGGCAGCTTTTCTGAGGTGATGAATAGCAGAGAAAACAAGATTAGAGTAAAATGTTTAACACTTAAAGTAAGAGAGATATGTACTTAAATGACAAAACACAGCCACGAGTTTTCTAAATATTACAAAGTGACTCAAAAGGACAGCCTGACAGGCTGATCTTTACCTTCAGGGACGCTGTTGTTTCTCCTTCCTGAAAAAGAAAAAAGGACATAGGACAAAAATGTGTAAACCATCTAGTGTACTCAACAGATTCTTTTGACCCTGGATACTCCCCAAACAAGTGTGGTGAAGTATCATCAATGCTGAGTACCTGTGACCTGCGTTTCTTTTGGTGGTCAGCAGGGGGCGAGTCTGTCGTGTGCAACATAAAACAGCCTGAAGACGAAGTCTAAACCTGAGATATTCTGTGACCATATTTCACTCATGGGATTATGGTATGGTTATAATACTTAAAAGGCTATTTTAATTCAGTTTTATGTTCATTTTTAAAAATGTATCCCTCAAATAGACTTATGACTCACCGGCCACGGGGTTGGTGTTTGTTTTCAACGATATTGTCTTAGGAACTGTTTTTAGTTCAGAGAGGTTTGTTATGAAATGTTTACCGTCCAAAATCGTTGTCTGCATCATTATGCACCCCAAAACAGGCACAAGAGTAAATTATTCCTTACATCGGGTACGTTTATTTTGCTGTAAGCATTTTAATGTACTCTGCAAACGAAAATACCACATTTATAGCACTTCAAGCATAATTCACGAATGCAGTTTAGCAGCTAAGCTAGTTTGCAAGCGAGGTGCTAACTTCCATCAGTTTTCTTAGTTTACGAAGGAAACACTCTCTGATTGTAATGAAATACACACACTCCAAGGTCGTGTGGGACACATCTCAAACAATTTAGAATAAAATGGTTCATTCTGTTCATTCAGCTAACTAAGGAAGTAAAAATTTGATGTACTATTGACTCCTAAATTAATGTGTTTTAAATATCTTCTGTATTTTGGCTACAACTTTTAATGTCATAAACATACACCCTCAAATATGAATATATTTCATGGTAGGCTAAGCCACAGACCGTCATTACAGCAAGGGCTTGTTGTTCATAGAGTATCAAAGTATATCAACAGAAAAAGGTGTAGAAGAACAGTCAATTCAAAATCCTCCATTACAGAAATAAGGGTTCAAGAGCGACCATGCACTGACACTTTGAAGAAAGGGACAGCTGTCACATTCCTGATATCAAACCACTCCTGAACCAGGACAGTCTTACCCTGGCCAAGGAGAACAAGAACTTGACTATGGCTCAGTGATCCAAAGGCTTTTTTTTCAGAAGAAAGTATAACTGGTGATTCATTTGAAAATTGAGGTCCTTGAATCTGGAGGGAGATTGGAGAAGCACTGAAGTTTCCACAGCCTGTGATAAATTTTGGGTGCCATGTCATCTGCTGGTCCATGGTGTTCTATCAAGTCCTAATGCTGCCTTCGTTGAGTTACCTCAGAAGTCAGATGTCCGAGCTGTGAATGACGTCACACACGAGTTATCAGCGTTTCAGTTACCAAATCGGAAAAAAGTAAAATTGGAGGCAGAAACAAGATGGCTACATCTACGAAAGTTATTTTCACGCTTGCCTTGTCCTTGGTTATATTCGGACAAGGCAAGTGCTAAAATAACTTTCGTAGAGCAGTTAATGCTTCCATCTGCACCTGCCTACAATGCCAGAACTACAACCACCTCACCATGATATCACTGTGCTTGACTGGCCGGTCATACACTCTATAGAGAATCTGTGGGACACTGTCAAGAGGAAGATGAGAAACCTTAAAGTACTGAAGTTCAACCTTTTTTTATTTGAAATACTTTTGAAAATTATTCAGAGGAAATGTTCTGACTATCTGAGCTACAGCGGTCCTCACTTTCATGAGCCAAATTCATGATGGACCTGTGTAATGTGACAAAAATGAGTAAAAAAGGCCCATCCCGAACAATTTGTAGCCCTGATTTTAAAAAAGCTGGTCAATCAGCGAATTTCTAGATTGTGCAAGTGAGCTCAGACTGTGTTGCTACCTCTTGCCATCTTTGTTAGGTTAGAGGAGAGGCAGTTTTGTTGTTTTGTCAACAGTCTTATCTACTTGGACTTGGTTGCTAATTGAGTCATTTGACATCTGTTAATGGGAGTCAATGAACCTTTTTAATTGCTTTGGGTAAAAGTTTGCACAACTCATTGAAAACTCCAGGAAGCTGCTGCTCATCTTTCTCTGAAGCCTCTTCTTTTATTCATATTTTGTCAGGCTGCCATTTATTTACCGTATACCTTCAACAACTCTCAGCATGCCGTAGATCACAGGGAAGTATGTGCACTATGTGGGCTCAGCTCCGATTTGTGAAGTCCTCCCCATGTTGCCCGAGTTTTAGGTTTCAACCGAAGGAATCTGTTGCCAGGGCATCCATTTGTTAAGGACACACATCATGACTATTGACAGCAGGACTCTCAGTCTAAGAATATACTCTCTGTATGAGGCGGTTACTTCATCCTGCTGATTGCATGTTTGTCGTGTTGTGGGCCGGTGTATATCATCTCTGTCTGTTTGTTCCTCCTCCAGCTTGTGAGTCACTGAGTCTTTGAAATTCCCAGAAAACTCTGTAGGTGTTCAAGTTACTGTTTCCTCACATTTCACAGACAACTAACTCCTCATCATTCTTACTCACCTATCAGACAGTTACATCATCACATTTTCTATGGCCAAAATTAGACAGAACAGCCTCAATTTACCAGTGTCCATAAATGGAAGGGTCGAAATAGCTCATGGTTGTTGAGTAAACACATTAGTAGTCCTGAGGGTAGCTTTTTTTTTTTTTAACAATTAAACACCTGTGCTGTCTGTGTGTGGGATTCCTCCATGATGAAAATCAATGTAGACCTGCTGTAGAAGCATTTTTAACATTGAAAACCAGCACAGAATATTCTGAACATCTTCCTCATATAAACTGTCATGTCAATCAATCTGTTCTTCATGGGTTGTTTTCTCAGGTGTATGGCAGAAAGAGGTTTGTGAAGGAGAGTCTATTTATTACACTCAGTTAATGAAAGAAGTCAAATATCTAAGAAGTCAAGAAATGAGTCACTTTCCTATTTTCAGAGTTAAAATATCAAGAGTGAATCGTAAAGGCAAACAGTTTAAACAGGATTGAGCAAAACAGAGATTTTTTTTAGTTTGATGAGCAGTGGAAAAATCTAAAAACATTCATATAGGATTTATTTTTTTCTTGTAAAACTACAAAAACAACAGTATTCGCACTATTTTGATTTTGTTCTAGATACAGTATTTGGCTATCCTTAAACATAAATATTCTTATGACTTGTGTCTGGCGCAAGATCTTCTCTGTAGGCCTGGCATCTTGAGTTTGAGTAGATCGCTAACAGGTTATTTAAGATAAATTAAGATCATAAATACCTCTCTGGAGTTCAAGAAAATAGTTACAGATCATAAACGCTTATACACCCCAAGGTAACACTTTACACAACCAGAGTTTTACCATATTTAGAAACTACAATGGTCCAATAAAACAATCAATTCTTTTATTGATTAATCTCATTTTATATCTAAATTACTATTCATGATGTTAATATCTGTAGCATAGACTGTATATACAATGGACAACTTGGCTTCGCCTTCCTTCATTATATGAATTCAACGCCGAATTGCTCTCGGTTTTTCTGGGATTTTCTCCACTTCCTGGAACCACCACTTGCGCAGTAGCATTGTACGCATTTGGCGGGGGAGTCGCTGTGATGACACTCAGCTCAAACAGCGTATCATCCAGGTAAGCTACGCGATCTTCGTACGCCCATAGGCTGTATCAAGTGTCAATCATAGAAAACATGAACCCCCTAATAACTTTTAAAAACGGAGCTGCACAGAAAAAAGAGGACTTGAGCACAGACCAGTCTTCCAGTGACTACACGTCAACATCGCAACCAGGGGAGAGAAAATTTTATATTCTGTGTAATTAATTTCTAAAGTTTGTCCACAGCTCCATAGGGATTGATGGAGGAGGAGGGATTTATGACCTATACTGCAGCCTGTAACCAAAGGGTGCTGTTCTTGCGATGGCTTCAGGAGGCAGACGGCGTCCATTATACTGTCTATATACAGTCTATGATCTGTAGCTGCCAATTGCAAACATATCACTGACAAAAGGACAGAGGATAGACATCTGATCCCTTCCTATTATCAGCATTAATGTAAATGATAGAAACATCCCAGTGAGCACCTCTCAAAAGTGCCTGTTGTTATGTTGTTACCACAGTCTTCACACCATGAGGAGGAGGTCAGTCACATCATTCAAATGGGGCAGTGGATCCTGGCACATGTCTAAGCCTGGGGAAACTTAACCTCTGCAGACTGCATGACCCTCTACTGGGGAGTGTGCCAACTGCGTACCAACCACCAGGGTAAATCAGAGTCTTGTTTAACATCTGCAAGCATCAGATTGGATGAGATGACGGCATTATTTTCATTCGTTCGTGATGGCCTGCAGTTCTTTTCACACAGAGATCAACAGCTTTTCTCTCTTAGATACACTGTGCTTTAATTAAAGATCTAAATATACAGAATAGTACTGTTCCTTTATGTGGAATACAATACCCTGATTGAAGCCACTAAGAGCTGAAAATCTGATAAGTATCTGGCATGTAGAGCTATTAATTAAACCCTACAGAGGCTTAGGGTCGCGTTACAGAGCGATAACAGGGTTGGGATGTTGTCCACATGCAATATTTGGCTTGAAATCAAACTTGCTGGAGCTTCAAGCCTGACCTCAAAGTATTCATCCATGGCTTGTCCATTTACATGCCAAACATAAAAAACACAGAAAGCATGTTTCCAGGAGGACAGACTTGGCAGGACTGAGAGGGATTGAGTGAAGGCCACTCAGTCCCTTTTTTGAAATGAGTGGAGATGAACAAGAATCTGGTGACAGATCACTTCATCCATCTTTCCTCCCCCTTCCTTGATCACATCTATAAGGGAACAGAGCAGGTGAGATTGGGACATGATGAAAGAAAAAGCCTGTGGAACAGTGTCATCGAGGCTTTAGGAGGGAATTACCAGAAGACCAATGATCAGGGAGAATACATTCATCTTCAGATCTTTACTGTGATTTGGGTGACTTCTTCAGCGGGAATGAAACACGACCTTGGAGTGAGATATCAGGCTGGCAAGTGAGATTGCTGATTGGAAAAATGCCACCCATAAAGCTCTTCTTTGGAAGTTAATCCCCTGTGTATGCTTCTCTTCACCCACCAAGATCAACGGGATAAACAGATACTCAAAAAGATGGATGAGTTGACATCATGGCAGCAGAAAGACCAATGAGAGCAAGCTGTGAGGCCTTAGAATATTTAAGGGCAGAGGGAAAGACACCTCCCAAATCCAGATGGGGATAATGGATGATTATTTATATGGAGCTGTTGGAGTTAGAGCAAAAACTGCAGAGCAACTTAAGTGGATTTAAGAAAGAGATTTTGGTATTGGTGCACCCCACTTAAGGACACACAAGTTTTGTCATTGGAGCAAGATTGAGTCAACAGTTCAAGCGAAAGTCAACATCCGATGCTGACGGTGATGGACAGACACGACGGACACTTTCCCTTCCCAGATTCCCCTCAGTGGGGAAGGGCCACATTATCTGTGCAGATCAAGTTCAAAACATCCCACTGAGACAGCAAGATCAGAAGATACTGAGATGGGCAGAAATGGCAAAGACCCAGACTCATCTCCCCTGTCAAGATTTACTGGCGAGAAACTGTGCAAACAAGTGTCGAGCACACACGTGATGGAAGGAAAATTGTGTCAGAAGCGACTCTTTAGAATACGGCAGGTTGAAAATAGAAAAGAAAAGACAACTAGAACAAGGACTGGTGTAGAGAACACCTTTATCTGGCAAATTTCTGGGTTTTCTGCTCCATGCATCAGTTCATGGAAGTAATGCCAAAGTAAAATGTCAAAAAGCTGAGACAAGGGCACCTCATACGACATAATATCAGACTCAAACAGCCATAAATAAAAGCCAGATGGGCTTTTACAATTTGTTGACTTGAGTTACTGTGCAGCATTTCACACTTTGTTACTGTTGCTGCCAGAGGAGGCATTAGTGACATTTGGGAAGATGAGTTTATCTATTATGGAAGTTGGAATGAGAAACACTGTGTACAATTAGGAAATATTCAAAAAAGCTGATGGCCGGGGTGAAGCAGAATCTTTCTTCAGAGGGAGAACAAAGGTGCTGAGGGCAGACAATAGAGAGGAGTGGGCTGCATGAGGATATCTGTAAAAGGGACTTGTGAAAATGGTGGTACAAGTGCAGAAGAAACCACAACTGTCAAGGGAGTGACTCTTTCAATGATGACATGAGCGATAAGCTGAAGGAGACTGACAGACACACACACATACACAGGAATGAGCAACTTTACAACATTAAATGTACACACTGTTCATTTTCAGTAAAACATTACAACTACAAGAAGTGATCACAAAAAAATCTAATCTGCATGAGCAACGGAAAAAAGATGAAAGCTACAGGTGACAGACTCACAACTGGAAGATTTTGCACCCTAGTCAATGGGATCTCAATTTAAGCATTTACAAGTGGTATTCCACGAATAGAAAGAACTGACAGCAGAAAAAAAAAGATAAAGAAGAATAGGAAGAATAAAAAGAAGAAGAGGAAGAAGAAGAAGAAGAAGAAGAAGAAGAAGAAGGGAAATTCAATAATTTATTGAATGATGAAAAGTTTTAAGATTCTGAATATGAACAAAGCCGTAAAAATAAAGCCGTAATTGCAAAAGTTTAAAAAGTACAGTTAGAAGCTGACCTGTATGTTTGAAGGCCACACATGACCAAAAGAAACAGCCAATAAGTGGCAAACTTCCCTCAGCCTCAATGGTCATTTTCAATTCACCAAAATATTATCCATCTAAGTTCAAATAATGATTTGAAACTAATCATATCATATTCAATTTGGTCATTTCTGGTATTGATGTGTTTTAGTCCCAAAAGACAAACAGGTGATGTCTCCTGTCAGAGGTGAAGATAAAGAGTTTCTTACCAGCTTTCTTGGGTACAGGCATGATTCCCTTTGTGCAGTTCTGCTGCTGTTTGGCATCAAACGGGAGCTTCTTGGGAAAATGCTTGGTGGTCTCTGGTGGGTCACTCTTATTGACTCCCAAAAGCGGTGGGGAGGGAGGGGGGAATGTGCATAAGTTGTAATAGATGGTCACTGTCCCTGACACATGACACTTCTGAACCTTTCTAGGGATCAGTTAGAGACAAGCAAATACCCAGTATATCCCAAGTATGCATGCTCATTTGCATACACATGGGACGAGCATGTGAGGGACGTACAACACAAGAGATGAAATAACCAATAAATTAGCGTTATTTTCAACAGATGGAAAAATGATTTTTATATGTATGGGGTCAGGGGTCAAGGCTGTGCTTCTGGGAGATTTCAAAAGACTTTGATGCTTAATTTCAAAAGCTGGGCTTTGTTTTGTTACCTTGGCAACAGGATCAACTCTGACCTAAAAGTGACTTGCCCCTTATTTCAGCTTAAACTGACCCTGAATCAGGCTATAGGGGTTTGTTCTGCTCAGAAGAGCCGGGGGACAGTCAGTATGTTAGATGGCAGCCAGCTTCTCACTGGGAGAGCTGTCGTCAATCTTCTTATCCCATCAATCAGCAGCTGCTGCAGGGGCACTCTGGCAAAGAACTTGGGGTAAAGTGTACTGAAGTGCTGATGTGGTCAGAGCTTGAAAATAACAGCTTGTAAGTGGTTGGTGCACACAGATATTGCTGACATTTTCAGTCGTCTCAAGTAACCACTTTTAATTCATCACATTTATTTGTAGTGAGTACTTAAAATGTCATTATGTTAGCTGTAATTTCCCACATTACAAAACAAATGAGCTCTTCTTCTTCTTAAATCTCTCTGGAAAGTCACCCAACATTTCATTTGTTTATTTCAAAACATTAACTTGTATACATTATTGTAGCTGACTACATGAGAATTGAGTTCTGTATTAGTGCCATTTGATATTAAAGGTTCTGAAATTATGTTAGAATTCAAGATAATAAAAAGCACATGAGTAGACTGAAAAAATAAATGTACTTACTTGGAGAACTGACAGATCTTAAGACCTGCAGCGTTAAACTTAAAAACACAAGAAAAAAGATGGAAATTTCATGGCTAAATATGTTTATGGTTCATTTACAATGATCATTAGGGACAAAAAAACTTTTTTTGGCACTGAAACAGTTTATGCTCGGCACGTCATTTCTGTCACTCATGGAGGAGTCCTTCAAATTTCCTAATAAGACCACATGGCTACTTTATTTCTCTCTAATAACATCACCTACAGGATCATTTCTCAGGCCAACACAACTGTACGCTTCACATTTAAATGGTGTAACAGTATCTTACTGTTGTACTTACAAAAAGCATGCTAAAAGCTGCCTTCAAGCTTTTCCTGGCAAGCTTTACAAATACCAATAAGTTATAATATTTAGTTACTCACATTGTTTAGGAACTTATTGAACAGAAGCTGTTTTTAACTGTAGCTAACAGGACTAGAATGAACTATCTCAGTTATCTCCTCATGTGCTGTTTAACAGTCATGAGGAAACAATTCTTTGCCTTATTTTTTAGCTTTCTATGACAAAATTTGACATGCAAATTGTTAATATGAAATGTGAAGTTACAATCACTTTGTTGCACTTTTTCTGCTTGGAAGTTTGAGGTATATTCAACAATGGTATCATTTAGTAATTTACTTTCAACAGAGTTAAAATAATGACAGTGGAAACATTTAAAAGAATTGGCAACTTTCAAACATGCATTGAAGTAACTTAATATCAGCTGTCTTATGATCCCCACTGATCACAAAATTCTCCAAATATCCCAATCGATTACTAGCTGTGATTTAGGACAATGAACTTTTAAGCCTTCTGACAATAAAGCATGAAAACAACTCAAAAAAGAGCAGTTTACATTGGCGTGATCACTTGAGTTCCTGATAACAGCCAATAACAGATTCTTTTTGTGCATCTAGCAGGGGTCCAACCTCCAACTGCATATGTGCTGATGGAGGTTTAGCTTTCAACGGTGCATACACTCGGAGAGCTTTGTGTCTGCAGTCAGATCTGGCTCCAATGCCATTGTGCAATTTAAAATAACACTGCTAATGCATTGCAATGCAATAGCAGCAGATCATTAAAGAAAAAGAATAAACACAACAGAAACAGTATTAAAATGCATGAAATTAAAAAGGGCTTGATTTCATAGAAACAGGAACGTGCACACTGAGGAAAGACCATTTTAATATTCAAGATAAGGAAACACTGGAGGTTAGGTTAAAATCTAAAAACAAAGCAACATAGAATGAAATTTAAGAAATAATAAATAAAATGAATAAAAAAACAAAACAGTAAAAGATACTGAAATAAGGGCACCAAACAAGCTCAATAAAAGATGATCCTGTTATTAAAACTAGTTAGAGATAAATGCTCAAACACCTAAACAAAGTTAGATTTTTAAGTATGAGTGAAACACTACAGCTCAGATTGAAAAGAATAAAAGTTACTGCAGTAGACATATATGAAAAAGAATGAAAACACAATTAGAACATGTAGTGTATTTGAGCATAGCACTTTGAATAATGCTTTGTTGTGCTTCACATTAACGGCATAAATACTAAAGGATTATAAGATAATGTTGAAAAATAAGTTGAAGTGGGATTCTCCTCCAGACAGTGAGCCATCATGTTAGAGTCTGTACACTGTCTCTGTTAAACCTCTGAGTCTATCAAAGGCTTGTCTTAATTGATATAACTTAATAGGAAATAACTCCCTGTCACGATAGAGCCTTTCCCACTGCTATTAAAACAAGAATTTTAATGAAGCCTAAGAGCCCTCTTAGCGCCGGCTCTCATAAAACCAGATATGCTTCATGTGAGGCATGAAAACAAATTTCAACACCTGCTGCTTACTGCTGTCAGTGAGAGGGCTTAAATTGTATTGTACCCTGACCTTTGGGAGCATTTATGGGTGCTATGCACAACACCATACACTCAACGCTCACGATGTAATATATTAGTGTACATTACCGGGGGGCTCGGTCATTAAATGTCCTATCATGTTACTTCATTACATGCTTACATGATGCTGCTATGGCGACATGTAGAGCATGGATAGCTGGGGGATACGATAAGTGTGAGGCTGTAATCTGCAGCAGCCTGCTGGGATGGTCTTCAGGGACTGTCGAGACGTTCCCTCCTCATTTTCAAGGCTCTTTGCTGATTGACAGAGCAGGTGCTTGCGCCTTCTCTCCTGACATTCAGTGTTTCTACCCACATGGGTTTGGCTCTCAGTATTAACACAACAGTGGGATTATTCCACAGTAACTGAAGACTTCAGTTGAAGAAATTCAGATAATTAATTTCAGTGACAGTGTAAGAAAGATTGTTTTTACGTGTAAAAGTCATGTGGCCAAATAAGTTAAATACTCAAGAGCAGGGGAAGAAGGCAGCTATTTGCATACATTGGGTTGATGTCTATACTACAAATAACTCAGACAGCCTTATATAAGGGGAATATGACTCAATTATCATAAAATTTGGCACTCCCCCTATATGTGGTTGGTCCAAATATAAATTTGTTTTCAGGATATTTCAAAGCATAATTTCCTTGATTTGCTCCTTAAAAAAAAAGAATTGTGTCATATTTCAAGAAACTTATCAAAAGAAATTTACACATGCTTAGCTGTATTTAGTTACTACAGTCGATGAAGTCTTTGTGTTTTGACCTTTAGAAAAAGTCCTCTCTGTACAGCTATTACTAAGGTACTACAAAGATATCCAGTAAGTCACTCTAGACAGCTGCAGACTCAAAAACAAAATACAACTGTTGTTTGGCAAAATGGGATTTTACATAATCTCGGGGCCACATTTTATTCCCCCACCCCCAAGGGTTAAAAGTCAGTACTGAATACTCAACACTTTAAGCATATTTTATTAAATACTACTTTTATTTTCATGTGAGTAGATGAAGACTATTAGTTTTATTCCTACTGAAGTAAAATGACATTTGAGTAACTAAAGCACTCTCAGTTAGCACTCTCAGTGCTAAATGCTCTCTCTGTAAAATACAGCAGACGCTCACAGTATAAGACAGAAGTAATTCCCATGACTGATCAGCTGTTGGAGCAAAGTACATCTTTAGCTCATAACAAAGATGGATAATGGTTACTAATTTCAGGAATTTCAAATGTATTTTAAAAGGCGTTGTTGCTAATAGATGTTGGAGTTGTAGATCCTGGCTGATTATCCTAATAAACAAACTATGCATCGTTTAAGTGCCCAGATTTACAGTGTGAAAATGACAGGCTTAAACCAACAGTCCTTCCCCATGGCTTTACAACAACATTAACCTTGTAACTGCTCCTAAATCACTGTAGGTACTGGGGGGGGGGGGGGGGGTTGTTCCTGCACAACACGTGCTGCTGACATTAGTGGTCTCCAAGTGACACAGAGCCACGAGATTTATGAGTTATGGCTGCCATGCCATCGGCGACCTGTTTCATGTATGTAACCCCCACTACCACCACCACCCAGTCCAGCACTCTGTTATGATGTGTTATTCTGCAGTAATCTTCTCTACTACATAATGTTCCTGTGATTTTTCTCTCTTTATCACGAGAACCATCTCATCACTTAAATATCTTGTTTATAAATATCAGTTTTATCATTTGGGGATTTACAACCCGAAGCAGTTAAACGTTGTGGGAAATGTTTAGCATTCCTTGCTGACTCCTTTAACAGTACGTTTTTAAGTCCATTTCATCTTTTTAAAGCTAGTTTCCCAGTGCTGCAGTGAACTTCCTCACTTTAGTTTCATCCACAGATCTACACCGATTCTAACACTCTGCCAACTTCTGCCTTGTGGTTGTCTGATTAGCTGCACATACCCGTTCACTGAGCTTATCTGTGGTTGTATAAAACCTTTCTTTCTTAGTTCACCATGAGTGAAACACTTTGCAGAATTTAAGAAGTTTCAGTGGAGAGGAAAAACTTCCTTTAATGGGCAGAAACCTTGAGCAGAACCAGACTCATGTTAGACAGTCATCTGCTGAGACATAATTGTTGACAGCCCTGATAAATTTGGATTAATATACTGTTTATTTAATTTCCATTTTTGTCATATTATAGATGCAGTGTTAGATTATATGGCTTTTTGGGTTCCTCAGACAAAGAAAACAGTGTCAGACATGTTTGTGGCTCACTGTGTGAAGTAGTGTAGGTTTCTTAGGTTGTCCCCTGCAGGACATAAGAAGGACTGCAGGTTACACACACTCATACGACATTGGTGACACTTTCCTGACCTGATGACTATCTCCTGTTTTATTAGGTTTATGGCTCTGGACAAGCATGAACCCAGATCTCTCTGTTACACCCAGACAGAGGAGTTGTGCTTGCAGGTGAGGACTGTGGGCGTTGACAGAAGGCTGGCCTGCCCATGTGACCATAAGCTGTAAAATTCAGTAACAACATGGCGTAACTTTGTTCCTTTTTGGCATATGTTAATTTTAGCCTAATTCTGCTGTTTGTTGTGCACTTGCTGAAAGCAGCATATGTTAATGTATGGATGGCTTCAATGTAAGCACAAACACAGATAATTCCTCTCCCAGAGATTTCACCAGTCATGTGTCCCAGTGTCAGTTTCCATAAGCTTCCTGGTAGATGAACATTCATCACAGTTCATGTTGATAGGCCCCCTGTGATTGGTTGGCATTCCTGCTCTGAGTAAACATACATATGCATAGATTTATTGTAAGAAGAAAGAGAGACTGCTTGGGATGGTGGGAAACTTGCAGTCAAAAGTTTAATCTGGGTTAACTGTACAACTCATATGATTTAGCAGGAATGCATGTGCACTGATCACTAGCTTCACCCCCGTCTGACCTCTGATCCCATCTGACAGAAGCAGATCTCTTTACTAACAAATGACTTTTGTGGCCTGTGCATTTGAATGCTCCTGTTTCCTTCAGCTGCAATTATCCCCTTATTTCACATGTTCTACAGCCAGAGGTGAATGAGAAGCAGTAACAGACGAGGACGCTGTGTCTGTCTGACCTGAGAGGTCATTCTGAGAAAGACCTGCTTGGTGAATGGATGAGGGCAGAGGCCGTTGAAGTGTTGAAGCCAAACTCTGAACCTCCAAAAATAAGAGAATCTTCCTCACAGTTGGACGCCAAAAGCAGCCAGACTGACTGAGTGACAAGAGGAAGGGGATCAGAGCTGTTGACACACAGATTTTGGTACATTCTGTCTCTAAAGCCGTGTTGTGTTAGAGCTCCTCGTGTTTGCTTTGTTTGCATGAAAATAACCAAAAAAAAAAACATGTGTTACTGTCTTTAAGGTTATGAGATCATTCTATTTATTCACATATTCTTATATTTTGATTGGATTATTTTACATTTTTTAAGTTAATAAAACTACCAATCAGAGTGGTTCTTAATGCTGTGTGCCTTGAAACAGGTTAAAAACAAGGTGATCTGCAATGACACAGTAAATTTTGTACATTTTCTGCTTGGATATATCCTCTAAAATGTGGAATCTGAATAAAATGCCCCCCCAAAAAAATAGAATATTACTGTTTAATTTGGAAAAAATAACTCTAATCAGGAATTATTAATAATAAATAATTCCTGCTTATTGTTGATTTTTAAAGTCTGAATGTGCCATGGGGGTCCCTTTGCAGAGGCTATATACCCCAAGGAGGCGGCCTGGGTTTAATGCCAACTTGCTGCCCTTTTTACGGCATTTCACTCCGACCATCTCCCAGTTTCCCGCTGTTCTATCCTTTCAAAGTAAAGGCATAAAAGTCACAATTTAAAAAGATGAAGGATCTGGACTCTACTCCTGTAGGATTTTAGTTGTTTTCCTAAACCATCATTGACTTCTGAGTAATATTATGTGACATCTACATCTCTTCAGAACTGAGAGACAGAAACAGACTATGCAAACACTGACGTGAGGCATTAGTAAGTTATTCCTGCCACTTGTTTGGGATCAGCAGCAGCTGCTCTCATCTCATCACAGTAAACAGCGGCTGTATTATGAAGGATAAAACTGATGGGAAAGGGCTGTGTGGTTCAAACGTGGTAAACTGACATGGAGGAGGTTTCCTTGGAGACAAGATGTCTGGCTGTAAAGATTTTTAATCGAATGTTTATCTTCTGCTATTCTCATTTCTTTTCAGTTCAGCCACATATTTAAAAATATGTCATTGAATTGTTATTACTCGGATGCAATCTTAGTTTGACTAAGTTTTTAATACTTAAAACATTAATATAAATTCTTGGGTGCACAACAACCACTCTCTTCAGCTTTAAACTGATGCCTTTTTGGTGGCTGGTTACCAAACACAAAAACATGCATCATAAATAGCTTGTTTGAGCTACTTTAGGAACCTGGTAGTGCAGGTTTGCAGCCTTTAGGTGTGTCTGCACTGATTAATTGTTTTTACTAGAGTTATATCCTACTACTACCAAGTCTGTCCTGCTAACTTTATCTATCTTTACACCTTTATTTCCCCAGGAGAAACAGAACACATTGAGACTTAAAAGCTCTTTTCAAGATTACCCTGGCCATGACAGGGGCAGTTTCTGACAGACAAAGAGAAACCATATATATGCACATACCAAAGAGTACATGTTAACACATTTCTACGACTGACTCAAATGTGTCATAGTGGAGCAAGTCAAACAAAACTGTGCTCGATCCATCAACCAAGATCATGTGGACATCAAGCAGAACACATACGAACAGATGCGTCTGCTACCATGTTGTTCAACAATGCTTTAAAATTTCACTGAGTTCATGAGGGTCCTGGAATCCAAGAGTGTAAGTTCCTGTTTCATATACAATTAGAGGTATAAGGAAGGACACCTATGACGGACTTATGGACTTAAATTGGCTAATGTTTTAGTCTATGCTTGGACAAGGAAGACCAACCTACACAGTCACACTAAAAACAGAGATGAGTGAGGACATTAAACCTCAGTGCTCCGTGACACACAGTGTCTAAGGCATGCAGTCTCTTAGAAGAGGCATGCATGTACAACACATCACTGTAATCTAGTACTGACATTACAGTGGCAGAGGCTGCTCTCTTTTTGGACTCAAAAGTACGTCAGGATTTGATCCTGAAATAAAAGCCAAGTTTCCATCTTAATCGTCTCACCAGCTGTTGTGAGTTCCTCATACAGTGTGTTTCAAGCTCCTTTGAATACTGATACAGCTTCAAGACCTACATCAATATACAAATGAGAGCACCAGTGACAAGATGGATGATTTTATACACTACTTGATTGGTGTCACATTAGTGGCATAGTACTGTATATTCACTGTATGTGATGTATAGCAGGATGATATTTCAATCATAATATCATCCTAATTCATATTCAATAAACCTTTTTAGAGACAGACATGTTTTCCTAAACCCAGTCAAACTTCTTCCAATTAACCTGATATTTACAGCCACCATTGATACACAGAAATGAATATTCATTCCCCTTCAAATACATAGCATTTTAGTCCAATTATAAACACATAAAACTGAATGAAAAAATATCTTATACATCACTTTGTTTTCTGCACAGTAAATTTGGGTTGCAACTCCTTTACTCAGACACCTGTTTTGTATGTAATGAGTAAGTAAATATAATAGCACCAAAGCTTAATCTAATCAAAGATTCAAGAAAGGTGTATCTGAGTACTCAGATGCTAAACCTCTACGATCAAACAAACAAAAAAGAAAACTCAACAAAAATCAAGTAATAAATACTTTATTTTCACATTAGTATTAAAATTGCAGTTCTCACAACATCTCCTCCATTTCATACTGTATAGATTTGACTTTTGGGTCCATCTTAAATAGCAGTATATACAGCAGTTAAAATCAGTCTAAGCCAGTTATTGTTCAGAAAAGTGTTTACCACAATCAATAAGAACCTTTAGTCATCTAAATCATCTTCCACCTCCATTAGCTGCTCCGCCTCCAGCTCCTCCACCTGATTGGTCCTGAGCGCCTGACATCATCAAGAAGAGAACAAGTGGCACGATGTACATCCACTGGAGAAGAAGAGACAAAAAAAACTTTAACACAAGATAATTTGTTTTAAACTAATTTAGTGCTGATCACAGAAAACTTTTCCAGATTGGTTATCCCAGATTAGATTCAAGTTATTTTCTGAACAGAGGGGGTAAAAGGTTAAGTGTGCAAGAGGGTAAAGAGACAGTAGTATAAAAACAAAATTCCAGGATCAAACACCAAAAACGTGTTCATAGTGATTCATTCAGACAGCAGTTTTATTTCTTGATTATTTAAAATGGAGGCTTTCTTGTATAAAAACTTTGAATTCAGATTATTTTACTTGATTTTTTAAAAATGAATTTATCTTTGGTAATCAATAAAGTTCTTCTTATCTTATCTTATATTTAATGTGTTTGGTGTTGACCCTCAGAGAAACCATCAAAAAGTTAAAAAATGGCCAGTCAGAGGGAGAGGAGGGGGTGTTTTCAGTTAGTTGTATTACTGAGGAGAGAAACACAATCTGACAGAGGAGGAAGGGGGACAGAACTAGCCACAAGTAAGAAAACAGTACTTCAGTGGTAGTCAGCTCTGCTCTCTTCCTCCCCCTGCTGGGGGCTGTGCTGAATTGGTGGCCATGAGGAAGATAGCACCTCCAAGAATCAAATACCACTGGAACACAGCACAGCACCAAGTCAACACACTGGTCACTAAATAAAGCAAGATACACACACATACACATACACAGCAGCACAGAGCAAAAACAAAGCTGGAGGAGAGAGGCTGGCAGAGGGGATCTGAGGTCAGTTCTCTATGTTTCAAATCATGTCGACAGACTGAAAAGATGTTTTCACTAATAAACACAAACAGAGGTATTTAGCTGCTGCTTTCACTGATTCATTCTTGGCTTTTGATTAAGGCAAGATACCTTTTTATTTCCCCCACATTTAAGTCAACTGACATTTTTAATTGATTTTTCTTTTCCGTCTTGAATAAAGGAGACACACATCACAAAGAAATGACTCAGGACAAGTATTTAGCCCCTGGGCTACTAATTCACTTTAGTGGTCTACGCTTTGCGGAGCCCTATCAAAGTTTATAAAATGCACCATCGAAGTTGTGTATGGCTGCAGGGTTCACCTGCTCAACTTGTCTGTTATGATGGAATTAAACAACATCCTCTGCAGCTCATTAAAAATCTTTTCACATGTACAGTTGCACAGATAAGGCAGGACCAACTACAGCAAAACACTTCAGGTTGGGTAGTGAATACCTGAGGTTGGCTGTTCTGCACCTGTGGATAAACTGAGGCTCTTCACTATTTGTCATTTAGTCCTCGTCATACATGGTGCAACTGGAAATGAATCCATGTTGGTGCCATTCAGCAGGCATTTGGGAGCTCAAGCAGTCTTGTGCGTCTCTCACATTTGACACATTTCTCCCACACACCCCTGTTAGAGATGATGACAAAGATTTGCTGTGTTGCTGCCTCTAGATGCTTTGAACAGGAGCTCAAAGAGAGCAGTGGTCAAAGCCAGAAAGAAAATCTGTACTCTATGAAAACGATCAGCTAAAAACTCCAATTACATCTTCATTAATCAACCAGCCGTACTGTTGATTGAATTGTCTGACACGACGAGTTGAGGTTTTAGTTTCAAATCAAACAGAAGCACGGCTGTAAAGATGATGGCGCAACCTAGGAGGACGTGATGAAATTTTAAATGAACCAGCAGAAAAAAAAACCCTCAGAAACTCCAGTCTATTACTGCAGTGAGTGCCATAACATAGACTGTGTAGCTATGTAATGCTGTTTTAGTAAGTTGGTATATTCCTCTGCTGAGAAATACACTGAATCCAGGGAAGATTGCCAGAGTAGCAAACTGGAACATGTTTGTAAGACATGTTGAACTGATGTTTCAGGAGGTACTGATCTTCACAATCTGGTAACCATGGAGAAGCGACAGATCTTTTGCACCTTTTGCTTGTTGTTGTTGTAAAAACAGTCAGGAACCAATGACCAAGAAGACCTTCAAACTTCAGAAGTAAATGTAATGAAGTCAGTCCTTTGGTGTGTATCCCTGGTAGTCCTCTTTTTTCACTCTTTAAAAAAAAGTTCAAATCTTTCCAACACTTTTGAATAGACTGGCTTGGACAAATCCTTTTTTATATTTGTACTTTTTTTGTGTCTGGGAATGTGGAGGCAGAGTATCAAATAGTGGTAAGATAAGGATGCTCTTGCCAATGATAAAGAAATCCATCTGTCATCATGATTGCAAGTCTCTCAGAATTCAAACAAGTTATGTAGCATCTCAATATGTAACAGGAGGTATTTTCTTATGTACCAGATACAAAGACAAGGCTGGGACAAGAGATTTGTGGAGCCTTTTTGCTCTGATTATGTCCACTTGTTGTGGAAAGTTTCATGCTTATGATGCCAAATATCAAAACATGCTGAACAGTGAGTTAAAGTTGTATGATTTTAAGTTTCAACCCTCAGGTTGTTTGTTTTAAGGACAAAAAAAATAAAGGGGGCATCTTCTTTTCCTTACTCTGATCCTAACAAACTGAACTTCAGGTGTGAAATTCCACCTTCAGATAGAATAAATTACTGACTCCAACCGAGATCAAAGAAAAACATGCAACCACTTTGGCTTTTTAGCAGACTTTGGTAACAGTACTGAAATGCTCTTTAGAATATTTTTAGCAAATCCTGCAGGCAAGTTGTGTGTGAAAAGTTAGTGGTTCTGATTAAGCTAAAAAATTGATGAACCTAATAAGCATTTTTATGCATTTATGAACTACATGAGCCATTAGAGATCAGAGCACAATTACCAAAGGCAGAAGAATATCTATAGGCACAGCCAAGCCCCATCAGCAGTTTCCAGTTTTCAGCGAGAGTACTCACATATTTAGCGAAGAAAGATTTCTGCTCTTGTGGATTCTTCCCTTTCTTTTCAGTTTCTTGTTCCATTCGTTCAAGGAAAAGCGCTGTCTCAGGTCTAAAAGAAAGCTGGCAATTAGTTTTCAAAGAAAATCCCAAAAGAGCGTTGTAATCAAATGACAGAGAGACTTGTTCTACCTGAAAATGGATGTAAAGCTGCTTTACAAAGATAGATATAACTGAATCATAAAAATCTTAAAAAGCAACCCAAGAGGATTTTACTACAGCAGGAAACGACAGATGGATGGAAACAATGAACCAGATTGAGTTCATCAAGTGAAGCACTGACCCTGGTGCAGTGACGGGAGCCATGATGCTGAGGGTGGTGTTGAAAACCTCCAGATCGACTTCATCCTCCACCTCGGTGCCCCTGCAGGCTCCAGGTAATGTTACTATGGAGATGCCGATAAGGTACCCAGAGACATCAGTGTGGAGGGTGATGACGTCGCTAAGATGAGACTCAATCATGGCGCACTGAGGAACAGAGAGGGATAAAGTACCTCAAAATCGGCATCATAAGTTCTTTAATGATGCCGTAAGTTCATTACAGCTGCTCTTATTTAAGTGTAGTGATATGCAGTAAAGTCAAAATAAAGACAGTAGTATCCATTAGCATTTGAAAAAGGTAAAGATTATGACTAAAATATTGTTTTCCCTCTCAAGCTGTTCTTGGGAGTCATGCAATAATGACAGTTTGTGGGCAAAGATGCAGGGGCAGCCTGAGGAGCAGCCCGACCCAGGCTGGTAGGTAAAGGTGGAGCAAGATCCTGTCCTGTAATCTCCGCAACAGCAGCAGAGCCTGTTTGAATATTTTTAAACCACTAATCACTACAAAGTACCATAAACCATTTACAGAGGTGACGGAAGCAACAATGTTAAAGGATGTGATATTTGCCCAATTATTTTGTGTTTGAATGTGTGTCATCTGCAAAGCCCTCGTCTCACCCTGTCAGGATTATAATTTGCATTAACACCCTGTTTCCTATGAATAAATGCATGATTTTTGGTATTAAATAGTGAAGGGTAGTCAAATGTGAAAAAAATGGGTGCAACTGAGAATGTCATTTATGAACTATCAATTATAGTTGTTGACAGTGAAGAATTCAGTTCATGTTGGGGCTCTACCTTCATTTATTTACACTAACAAATATCTGAATGAGTAATACTTCTAGGTATTCTTTATTTACAATAGAGGACATGTGTAATTCAGATCCAGGCCATTTAAAATGGAGTTCCTGAGTGGACACGCTTAAGTTTTACATTAAACTTATTGTTTAACTTTGGTTTAAAGGGGACCTGCCATCAAAAATGTAATTTTGTGTGTTTTTTGTGTCAGATAAGGTCCATATTATGTTCGTCTTATGTTGTAAATGTGAAAACAAACCGTTACGTCGTTTGCATTCTGTAAAGGTTTAAAATAAAGGAACGGGTAAACCAGGCCAATTGAAAAAGCAGGTCCTTCTGACGTCACGCTGACCTTGCTCATTATTATTCACGAGCGCGTCCTCGGTGAGCCGCGCCCACTCTCTCGTTCTCGTACTCATTCACAGTCAACATCACTCTCCAGCCAGAGCGAGACCCAGCTACCACTGTATCTGCTATGGGTCTCTTCCAAACGACCGGTGTTTCCTTAGCTTCACTGCCGGAAAATGAACTTAAAGCTGGGCAGAATGAATGAAAACACCGCTGGAGATCTCCGGCTTCTTCTTCAACTTCCACCTCCTCTTCGGACTCGGGGTCTAAAATATATGGTTTATACCTGCCATTTTTAGCCTTTAGTATAAGGTGACCAGACGTCCCCGATTTCCGGGGACAGTCCTCGAATTGGATGATCTGTCCCCGGCAAAAGCTCTTCCCGGCAAAAGCTGTCCCCGATTTAAGCGTTTCATGAATGAGAGCAAAAATGTTGCGTGTGGGCTCAAACAACGGTTATTACAGTAGCCGAATGGGTAGGAAGCACAAGTAAGCAGTCCTGAACAACAGTTCTTACGGGGGTTATTCCAAGGGCCATACGCTGCTACTAAATAGTACCAAGATTTTGTCTGTGATCACACAGCCCCTGCACCCTGCCTGCCGCTGCCGCCGCCACACCAAATATCCCCGGATATCATTACAGACATCTGGGCATCTTACTTTAGCACACATTAGCAAAATGGATAAACCGAAATCCAAACCTCCACTGCTGAGCCAATCAGAGCACAGCAGGCTTCACAGCAACGATCCAATCAGAGCAAAGCTCATTACCATAAATGTTAATGAGCCATAATCAGTTGGTTTTCCTGTAAGGTTTTTTAGGCATACTAAAACAAACCATCAAATAACTTTTCAGCTAAAATTATGTTGCAAACATGATCAGAGGACATCAAGGATTATGAAAAAATGATAAAAATGGGTATGAAATTTTGATGGCAGGTCCCCTTTAAGAGGACCATTTTGAGCAATATACATTTGCATGTAATATTGAATATTGTTTCAGGACATGCTGCAGATGCTGCGCTTCCTGTAAAACCATCTACTTCTCATTAGCTTATGAAAACATAGAAGCTAGCACCAATTAGCTAAAAGCCTTTAGTTTATTAACAAACCTGAAATCATTGCAAAATTTGACACCTTTCAGTAAAGTTCATCTTGCTGTCAACCACTGACTTAAACCTCAAGTTCGAAACCACAAAAAAAAAAAAAAAAATGTTCTTATTCACTTGTTACTATTATATCCATATCTACTTAGATCTAGGACTGGATTACTTAGATCTTATTACTTTACCCCTGCTTTCTCTTTAAGGTAACTTAACAATGACAGAGCTTGAATTACACATTAGCTTCAACATATGGTTTCATGTAGACTTTGCTCTCCAAATGAAAACCGAACTCAAACAGAGCTAGCGCACCACACCACTAGTACAGAGAAGTTTCATACATACAGCTCTAACAAATGCGGTGAGGTAACCTTCCATCTGGCGCTCTGTCTGCCGATCAGCCTGCAGGAAAACACGAGGCACTCTGATTCTGTACAGACCATCCACTGCAGCCACTTCCTGTAGGGTCATTAAAAACAAACATGTAAGAGATGCAGGGTAATGCCTTGGTAACCTCACCCCAAATTCCCGCACAAGTGATCAACTTTTCTGCAGTTTTGTCTGTGGTTGTGCATAAGCATAATGTATATACAAGAGACCTAAATGTACTGTTCAAAAATAAAGCAAAAAAAGCTCATCTATGTCCACAGTTGCTTTCACATCACCATGTTCTACCTTTAGTTTGATCCGGTCTTCTTCAGATAGCTGGTTCTGACTAAGTGAAACACTGGGCTCTCTGCCAGCTTTCAACAGCAGGGCTCCACGTACCCGAAACTTTGCTACATCATCTGAAACAAGCAGAAAAAAAAAAACAGTAAGCAAGAGGAAGACAGTTATGTAAACTAAAGGTAGACCATTTAAATTAGGCCGATTAATCAAATTTCTAAATTATCCACATTATTTTTAGATCAACCCCACCTTTTCGTATTGTTAATAACAGCATCTCAAATTTTAATCCGGTAATGACTACTGTTGAACCATTAATCTTTTGCAATGTGCAGAATGATTAGTCCATGAGCCAGACCAGATGTCGGTACCACTTGGGTGGGCAAAACCTTACATATACTAAATTGTTTTTAGGGTCAATATATGTAAATTAAAATATGATAGACTTTACATAGGGGTAGCTTTTTATATTTTTTCTCATTTTGTTATTTTCCTCAATAGGCGAATTTTTGTTAACTCCAAAAGCAACACAGAAAGTCAAAAGCACATTAAAAGTCATTCTCTTTTTGGGTCACACTGCTCTTTTCTATAAATGAATCAAACCTGTGTCTAATTAAATGAGTTGATGAAGTGGGAGTGGCCCAATTTGATGGTGGAGCAGTTCTTTCAGGTATCATAGCACTTGAGCCAAGAACCAAAATTTCACATATCGGTACCACCTGGGTGGGCAAATCCTAGTTGTGATTTTTTTATTGCTATACATCCCTACAATAAGTTTTTATATGATAGACCTTGGTAACTGGTAGCTTTATTGTAGTTATCACTCATTAAAGTAATAGAGTGCAGCTGTTCAAAAACGAAAAATCGCCTTCCTTCAAAATTAGCTTTCTTTCATTTTAACCTCTCATTTAGGTGTGTTTGAACTATTGGCTAGCCATAGAGACTTGTATTAACCCCCTAAGTAGTATTTCAAGTAATTTATCTAATACAGGTGTGTATATATAAGCTTCAATTAGCCAATTGTCAGGTCTACATTTTTTACTTAGAAGTAAAGTAAAGTAAATGCAGACTAATAGCATTATAATAACACAACTTCAATATGACACTGACATATTTTAAATGCAGGCACTCAATATACAATCATCCTGGCTGGTGCAGGGCAAGAAGACATTAGCAACAAAATAAGATCTTCTGATGTATACACTCTATACAATCATCTGAGAAAAACTCCAATTCCTATTCAAAGTCCTATTCTTTCCATAAGGAACAGTGACAGCAAATATGACTGTCAAGTTTTGGCTTAGTACGTAATACTGTCACTGAGTCACAGTGGGTCTGTTAACATAGCTCCCTTTGGTCATCACTTATTAATCAACATCAGTAATCGACATCAGTATCTGTATCTTCTTCTACATCTGAATCTGCCGGTGTGCAAGGGGCTCTTCCTCACTGTACTGGTTGGCACAAGTTTGTAATTTGCACAGGTTTGTGCACTTCAGCCCATTGCTGAGACAGGTGCAGTCTGGTGGTTTGCATGTCCTCACACACTTGCAGGATAGCAACTGCAAGACCGAAGAAGTAAAGTAAATGCAGACTAATAGCATTATCATAACACAACTTTAATATGACACTGACATATTTTCAATGCAGGAACTCAATATACAATCATCCTGGCTGGTGCAGGGCAAGAAGACATTAGCAACAAAATAAGATCTACTGATGTATACACTCTATACAATCATCTGAGAAAAACTCCATTCCTCCACCAAGAACTTGATGAGACTGGCTTTGTTGGCAGGGCTGCAGAGAAGTTTCCTCCACTGCTGAATATTGTGGCCAGAAACAATGTTTCTGAGCTGGATCCCCATGTCTGCACCTCTGTTTAGTCTTTCTGAATTTTTGATTGACATGTCCTTGTAAACGTCAAAGACAACATCAGTCTTTTCACTATCACCACCTTCATGCAGGACCTTGGCTAAAGTTGAGTCCAGCCAGCTTCCACCATGTCAGGATTGCCTATTAATGCAACAGATTCGTGCCAACTACCAGGCTGCTATCTGGAGACGGTCTCTTCATACCAAGCCATCTGTACCAAGCCCCAAGGACCATGGGTGGACCATAAATGACGAAGGGCAGCTGGAAATACAGTGGATGCATGGTTCCCCAGCACCAGATGCAGTCTTGCAGTTGCTATCCTGCAAGTGTGTGAGGACATGCAAACCACCAGACTGCACCTGTCTCAGCAATGGGCTGAAGCGCACAAACCTGTGCAAATTACAAACTTGTGCCAACCAATACAGTGAGGAAGAGCCCCTTGCACACCCGGCAGACTCAGATGTAGAAGAAGATACAGATACTGATGTCGATTACTGATGTTGATTAATAAACAATGACCAAAGGGAGCTATGTTAACAGACCCACTGTGACTCAGTGACAGTATTATGTACTAAGTATTATGTACTATGTCATATTTGCTGTCACTGTTCCTTATGGAAAGAATAGGACTTTGAATAGGAATTTGAGTTTTTCTCAGATGATTGTATAGAGTGTATACATCAGTAGATCGTATTTTGTTGCTAATGTCTTCTTGCCCTGCACCAGCCAGGATGATTGTATATTGAGTGCCTGCATTTAAAATATGTCAGTGTCATATTAAAGTTGTGTTATAATAATGCTATTAGTCTGCATTTATTTTACTTCTACTTCTAAGTCAAAAAATATCCTTAATTTAGACCTTGATTTAGACCTGACAATTGGCTAATTGAAGCTTATATATACACACACATGTATTAGATAAATTACTTGAAATACTACTTAGGGGGTTAATACAAGTCTCTATGGCTAGCCAATAGTTCAAACACACCTAAATGAGAGGTTAAAATGAAAGAAAGCTGATTTTGAAGGAAGGCGATTTTTCGTTTTTGAACAGCTGCACTCTATTACTTCAATGAGTGATAACTACAATAAAGCTACCAGTTACCAAGGTCTATCATATAAAAACTTATTGTAGGGATGTATAGCAATAGAGAAATCACAACTAGAATTTGCCCACCCAGGTGGTACCGATATGTGAAATTTTGGTTCTTGGCTCAAGGACTAGATACTGTAGATCACTGCTTCTGACATAAAAAACGGTCAAGTTCCTAAATCTAATCGCATAATCCCAAAAATACTCGTAAAGCTCATAATTTGATCTACCTCTTGTGTGAATACAAGACAGGTCAGCTAAATCTCTGCGTAACTCGGTCGAACTTAATATAAAATTATGACACTGCTTTTATTACACATGCCGAGCGACTTACCAAATGCTTACACTTTACAGGAACTTGTCCTTCTTTGAATAGGACAGACAAGTTCATAGATATTTGATTACTAAATTAAACTAACAGATTTGTGAATGAGGTTTGGATTGCATGGTTCTCCATTCAATCGTCATCTCTTGGAGCTACCTCGTTAGCTCAACAATAACACAATCATATGTTGTGAATACAGTGTTTTCAACCAAGAGCTTTTCTCACCGACTTCAAAGGAATGATCCAGAGGCACAGAGAAACCACTGAATTCCGCATCCAAGGCATCGTCGGCCTGTCAACACAGATAAAAGCTAGTTAGCGTTCAGCAGGTCAATGCTAACGCGGAGCTAAAACGGGGGCAGTTTTAGCCGCACCGCTGTCGATTCATCGTGAAGTTAACACAGTTTATTACTCACCCTTCTACCGTTATTACAATATGCGAAATGTGTGCACAGGGCCATTAAAACAGACACAATAACGGCAATATTTGAGTGTGGTAAACGTGCCATTTCGACAGCTATGACCACCGGAAAAGACTGTCAAGATTACTACAAGTAACACAAGGAGCACTTCCGGAGTAATTACACACAATAAAAGACTTTGAAATCGATGCCATCATTTTCATTGCTGTAGCCTCGCTATCGAGTAGCTCTTAAAACTTTTTGTTTTACTCACTCTGTTTCCCTATTGTCAAGACTTGAATGTGTTTTTGTTCCTCTCAGTCCTTGACACATTGGACCCTGTTTACTGTCTTCACAAGAGCCATGAGCTTTATTTTTTCCAAACAGCTTTTACTTATAAGCTAGGCCTACTTGTCTGATGGCGTTTTAAAACTGGCAGAGCTCAACAATTCAGTTTCATTGGTGAATGAAGTCAATGACATTCTGTCATTTTTCTTTACGATTCCGTAATATTTGCGACGTTTTTTTTATAGCTAAAATAATGTTACAACAACATTTTTTTGGTTATACAGATGTGATGATTGATTATAACCCTTGTTGCCATTTGTTTATCAGTAGCGCTCCCCTTCAATAACTGCTTAAATGCTATGAATTTCCTGTGCACGACTTTATGGCACAACTTCAAGACTTAACAAGTTCCAGAAGAAGAAGAAGAACTTTATTGATCCCTAGAGGGAAATTCAATGGACTGCATCATTAATGTCAGATGCTTGTAACTGGTACCGCTGACCAGAGTTGCAGAAGCACAAAACCAACAGACACTGGCACAACTCATTCTTGACAATGCTTTGTTATCTTACCAACATTGAGATGAATCAATCCATTGCAAAGGGAAAAGCAGAGTTGTGTAAGTGAGACAAAAAGACAAAAAAAAAAAAGCTGGAGAAAGGATTCAGTAATTATATGACCGTGTCTATTTGATCCTCCCTTTTCTTATGAGTGACTCTTACACAGAGTGAAATATACCCTAGAAAGTTTTCCCAACAATTTTTGAAGACCTTTTTTGAGTCCTGACAGACATGTTTGTTTTAAATGTATTTAATAAAAAAAAAAACTCATGCCGACACAGATGAACAAATGTTCACACTCACATGCAAAAAGTAATGGAAATAAACAGAGATAACTGGATAAATTGTGACTGCTAAGCTGTTAGAGGTAGGTCTCTGTGATGGCCTACTTATGTGCATCCTATTTACAAACACCTCAATGTGTATCAGCTTATGTTTGATTTTGAGCATTGTTTAGTTCTTGATGGTGCAATGTTGTCACCGCTGTAGTCTTTGAGTTTGTATTTTTAGCATTTTGCTCTCTCTGTAGGTTCATGTCTGTTGACAGAATGCAGTAATGAACCAGGTCTGAATTTATGCTGCTGTCTTGTAACCTGTCAAAAGCAATTCCTGGGATACCGTAATTTCAATTTCTTCTTCTTGGTGAAATAAAGAGGTTGGTTTCTATTTCGGGCTTTCTAAATTTCAGCTTAGTGTTCTATGTTCTGCCTCCAGCAAAAAAGGCAGTACCAGATGAATAATTCACCTAAAAGACAAGTTGAGTTGTATAAGTGCCAAAAATGCTATGTGCTCCAATTTATTTGGCCTCCTGTGATGTTTAAGTCTTTTGACAGCTGTGTAACCTTTTCTATAGGCTCAAAACATGAGAATATCATGAGAATAGCAAAGAACACTGAGGTCCCAAAGGCTGGAGGAAGATAAGAATGGCACACAATTCAAGGTTTCAAGAACTTTCTGCATTCAACAATGGTCTTGGAGGTCATGTAACCTGCTGGCCCATTGTGTTTTATAAAGTCCAAAGTCAACAGAGTGGTCTACCAGGAGATTTTAGAGCACTCCTGCAGAGAAGCTTTATGTGAGATGATAATTTCTTTCTACAGCCAGTTTTAACACCTGTCAATGATACCAAAACTACTACCAAATAGTCTTCTGACTATGTTACTGGGCTTGACTGGCCAACAAACTTCTCCAACCTGAACCCCACCAAGAACCTGTGGAACATAATGTATATCAAGAGAGGGATGAGAAAAACCCAACTCACAGATAAAGAATCGCCAAAAGCTGCTATCAAAGCAGTCTGAGTTTCAACAACAGCTTAGCAGGACTCAAGGCTGATGAGCCCAAGCCATGGCCTAAATATGCAGAATCTTGTTTTAAGCTGGGCCTTACCTCGAAGTGTTGAGTGTATGAATGACTCAGATGTTGTATCTTAGTTGTTTTTATATGTTTATATGTTTATGACTGGTATGAGTTCAATTGTTCAGTATCAGTTTTCTTCAATATTTAGTATGGCTGTTCTCTCCTTAACATCACAAAAAAGATCACGCTACCCAGGACCAAGAGATGTTGCAAGTTTTCCTGACTGGTGCACTGACACATCTTAGACCAGCAGAGGCTGCTGACAGACCAGAAAAAGGCCTCAAACCTGCCTCTCTTTCTCTAAACCTCTCTCCAAAGAGTTGAACAACACCATTTTATTAGCTGAATAATAAATATTTATGTCCCATGATGAAGGGGGTTGCTTGTGTTTTGAAACTCTTGAGTCAGCACTCTACATTGTACCTCCACAGAGATTTTTTCTGTAAGCTAGAGGTTTTTTTTAAGGTGGAACTCTACTTTGAATCACACAGAGCAGAAAACTGCTGTTTCTAATCTGTGGATCTAAAGCACCAGCCTGCATCCATAATATGTCGTCATCCTGATGCTGGGATGGGCTGCCTTTCACAACTGCAGCAAAGGGTGATCAGATTTTACTTACACTGCATTCCAGTGTAACAGAACACAAAACTTAACATACTCCCTCTCACTTGTCTGTAGAGGGGAAGAAGATAGCAGGGACCACTTGATGGTTGGTATTGACTCCGAAATCATGCCAGAGGATTTGGAGTGGACACACTGACTCCGACTGGGCATGTGTGGTTTTGAGGCATGTGAGGACTCCCTTCTGGCTGAGAGGTGATGACAGTCTCACTGGTTTAGACTGAGTCAGTGCTTCTCTCCTCTTCTGTTGTTTGTATCACATCTTGCATTTAACCTAGAGTGCTTAGTTATGTTGCATTGACTTATTTAGACGTTATTGTTTAATTCTGAAGGAGGTTTAAAGCTCCTGTAGGGAGTTTCCTTTTACAGGTTATAAAGCAGATTGAAATTAATACATATTGTTTTACATGACCCACAAAAGCAAAGAGATATTCAATGAGAGCATGGTTTCATTTTTGCATAACGTTTTAGAGTCAAGAACCACTGCTAGAAGGCGAAGTGAGTAAAAATGCTCCAAAAAAGCCTTCTTACACATTTTCCAACCTAAAGATTTTCAGTTTGTGATACGTCTCATTGTTAAAGGAAAGCAGGGCATGTTTTTTGATGAAAGAATTTGCAGAGAGAGAGAGAGAGAGAGAAAAAGCCAAATGATTACAGGTATTATTCTGTCCACAGGGGGGCGCCAGATGAACACTCACTGAAAGTTCCCCACAGGGGCTTTAAGGCAAAGTAAACAAACATAAGCTTTATTTTAACTGTATTTGGTGTGAGTTGCCAGTACCCCAAAACAAACAGGGACCAAAAACAAAATAATAAAACATGAGATGTATTTTATCAAACCTTTATTGTCAGTTTTTAAATCAAACTGACTCCAGTTTAATTATTTCAGGGAATTATGAATGACTTATATTGTCCAAATTAATATTCACTTCTCTCTAAAGCACTTCCTGCACTTCGTCTTCATACCCCTCATGGTCCTAGTCCCCCTTTTTGAGAAACACTTAAATATGTGACTAATTTGTTGCAGCCCCGATTAAGATGCCTGAGGGAATGAACTAGAAATTTCTAAGAGGTGTACAACATGCAAATGAAAACACTCGTAGTTCTCCCATCATCCCTTGTTTTGTGGCAGTGTCCCATGCTGGGCTTTGTTCACAGCATTACTCTGAGTCAACAGGATCAGCAAGTACTGACACCAATGAGTGGAACCCTCTGGACCAGAATCTGCGGACTGTCACTCCTCTTCTCTTGACCTACGTGCTCTGGATTCTGGATCCAGTCACCAATTCAAACTCTTTTTGCATTTGCCAAAGTCCTGTTTAACTATCTCACCAAGTCAACAACAGGCCAGAATGTCTGTGACCTCAATGACAAAGAGCCCAAACAGAATGAGTATCAAAGTAGAGCAAAAAAAGAGAAACAGAAGCAGCAACAGCAGGTTTCTGCCAAGTTTGATTGATGTGATCTGTTTCTAGATGCTTATTTCTGGCTGAGGAGTTCTGCTGACACGCAAGAAAAACCCTCTCTGGATGCAAGAGAGAGGCATCCATCATTTTAAAGCTCAACATTTGTGCATCCAATAGCTGAAAAGTAGCTTTGAAACCAGGGTGAAATTTTTTAAAGTTGATAAATATCAAGAAGTCAAGGAATATTGGATTCAGAGGCATCTAATTCTCATGGGAAATGTTGATGAGTGTCACACTTTGACTCTCATTTTTGACTATTATGATCACGTTAGAGCCAAAAGAAGATTTTATGTATAAAGTCCCCATTAAAATCTCATTCCATGTGCCTTAGAGGTCTCACTTAACACAAAAAAGACATCATGTCTTTTTTAAACTTTATAGGGAGTAACCCCCACTGCTTCTTTAAAATCTGTACACAAGATTAAAAATGAGAAGATAAAGCTAATCATTTCAAGCACAGCACCTGTTTTCCCTCAGATTTTATGCCTGAAATCACAGTTGGACAACATGTTTTTGAAATTGAAATTGTTTTGATGGGCTCATGTTACAGTATCTCTCAGTCTGGGCTCCTGTTGTTCAGTCTGCATGGAGCATATGGCGACTAAAGCATGCAATTCCCCGGGGCTCTGCCTTTGAAACTATGCAGGCCAATCCGGTATGAGTTTCACCCCCCGTCTGGGACAGCCCATTACTCTCTGTCATCGCCCCAAACAACGGTGTCACCTTACTATCCTTAGTCAAAAATGAAAGCATGGATGTATTCACGTGAAAAAAGTGAAATGGGGACTTTCACTTTGAAGGAAGATGCTGTCAC